TCCTTTCCTTTCCTTTCCTTTCCTTTCCTTTCCTTTCCTTTCCTTTCCTTTCCTTTCCTTCTAGCACCCCTCAAAAGTTGCAAACTCACCATATATATCATATATGCTCACTCACCTACTCACACATCATTAGAAAAAGTCAAAGACACAATATATTTGAGAGTTCGTATAAGCTATACCGTGGCCAACGATCCGAAGAACGAAAGTTTTGAGATCCCAGCCATGGGCGTATGTCACGTGGTAGAGCTTGAGGATAGGGAGAAAGGAGAAGGAGAGGTGGGCCTGTTCACGGATAGGTTTGAGGTTTATTTGGATATGGGACCGGTGGCGAAGAGGATGGAGGAGGTGGCCCAGGTGGGGAAGGGGAAGGGGGAGGAGGGGAGGGTGTGATTTATATATATATATATATAAGGTATATAAGGTATATATATGATGATATGTGGATTTGCTTTTAATACGGGTACTCCTTCAGAGGTATCTAGGAGGGAGAAGGAGATGTTCAAACTGATGGAACTCCAGCACGTCGTAAATTCCTTGCAAAGGTCCTTTTCTTCCCCTGCAAATTGATTCAAGATTTACTCCTGCAAGTGACCTGCGAGGTGACTAGATACTATGTCCGATAATAAATCAATGGTTACTCCATCTTTTCTCTCCTGATATATAATATATTCCTCCAGACTCCATACGAAGAGCTAGCAAAGGAAAAGGCCTCAGATCCGAATCTCGGTATGTTCAACAGTAGCGTCAGACTCAGTGGCTCCCTTGCGCACATCAGGACTAGTAGTAGTCTCTTGGACGTGCGAAGTTTCCTTCTCATGGATCTCAGTCCTTGGGTTAGCAGTTTCCTCATCACCAATAGCTTTAGCGCTCTCCGTAATTCCGAAGAGGTCATCCATTCTATAGATGGATGTCATTAGCACCTAAAACCAAGTCATAGATATCAATCATATCATTCTATATCACAATGTAACGTACCTTTCTAAACTCAAGCCCTTAGTCTCGGGAATCAAAAAGTAGACAAAGAAGAACATCGACATGCAGAAGCAGCCGAAGATGAAGTAGGTCCCATACCCGGCTCGTCCTACCGTGACCAGCATATGCGGCACCGCCTGAGCGACGACGAAGTTGAAGAGCCATTGCGTGGCAGCTGCAAGTGCGACGTTCATAGCTCGTAGTCGGGCGGTAGGGATCTCCGAGACGATGATCCAGCAGCAGGGACCCCAGCCGAATTGGAAGAAGGCTGCGAAGAGGAAGATGCAGGTCAGGGCGAAGTAGCCGACGGGAGGGATCGTGGCCCCTTTGATGGGGGGATCAAAGCGGACGTAGAAACCGATGACGAACATTGCGAGGCCTTGGGCGATTGAGGTCCAGAGCAGTGAGCGTCTTCTTCCGAGTGAGTCTGCGGCGAGCAGCAGGAAGGCTCCGCAGGTTACCATTTTTACAACGCCATAAATACCGGTGGCGAAGAGAGAGCTGGTAGTAGTGCTGATCCCCAAGTCCTCGAATATTAATGGAGCATAGTAGTTGATGGCGTTCGTCCCAGTCATCTGTTGGCAAACCATAAGCCCGATGGAGAGGAGAGCTCTGTTTCTGTTTCCCTTGATGGTCCACATCTCTCGCTGCAAATCCATAAAGGTTGAGCCGCCGATTAAACGACGTTCATTGTCAAGTTGCTCTGCCATCTCTGCCAGTGCGTCTTTGACGTAAGGATGATCTGGGGCGAGATTACTGACGCGAGACAAGACTGCTGTTGCCTTTTCCCAGTTATCTCGTCGGGCCAGCCATCTGGGAGACTCGTTACATAAACATATCCCCGTGAACAAAGAGCTTAACTAGATCAGCTACTTCCTAAGCACAGAGGAAGAAAAAGACATACAGAGCCGGAAGACACTGAAGCGCTAACGGGACCTGCCAAGTGGCATTTCCAGTCATGCTCTTTAGAGTCCCATAGTTGACCCAGAAGCTTAACATTGTTCCACACGCGATGAATAGTTGATACAAACCTGTTAACCCACCGCGGATGGCTCGGGGGGCATTTTCGCTCACGTACAGTGGTGTTAACATGCTAGCTGCTCCAACCCCAAAGCCAGCAACTAGTCGTCCCACATAAAGAGCGGACAAGTATCCAGAAGCGGAGCACTGGATTATAATACCAAGTATTGTGACGCCAGATGCGATAAGCAGCGCAGGTTTCCTTCCCCAGCGGTCTGCGACATAGTAGGCTATCAATGAGCCGAAGAAGCACCCAGCTTGAAGCGTGCTAACGACTTCTAGAGGTCAGAAAAATCAGAGGGATAGTCATTGGGGATAACTTACTGTTGCTGTTTAAGTTGGCCGCAGTGGAGGCAGCTTCAGAAATCAGCTCTATGTTCCTGAAATATGACCAAGTCTGGAATAGACTCCCAGAGTGAAAGGAGGATGTCAAACTCTATTCCCTGACTAGATAGCAAACAAAATTCGTAATCTGGAGAACGTACTGATGTGATATGATCTGGCAAGTATTAGTATACGATCAAGTTTGGAGGGAATGAGCAACAACGTACTTTATGAAAGACGGCATAACTATTACTCCACCAATAGTACCTATATCCCACCCAAATAGCATACCGCCAAAGCAAGCTTTGAGATGTCAGCAAGTCAAGTTCCATAATTGCTCCCTTTGGCCCATCACATCCTTTCAAACACCGGACTTCAGTGACTTGCAAAATCAGATCAACGTTTCAGAATCAACCTCAAGCCTAACCACCGAGGACTTCTTGAGGATAATCCGCGTTAAGTAACTTATGGCAACATGCTTCGCTCAACACAGCATATCATACTAGAGCTCTGCATCTCAGAAGACATACCTGAGCAAGCCAAAGCAAATACCCGCCATCCTTCATTCATCAGTCTTATTCGTCGATCAATGGCTCATCACCAACCGTATATCTCTGGCGGATCCCTTATGAACTCTGGTCAGCAAGTGAAAGGGGAGATTCTCTGAAGGGACTGACTTCTTCATCGCCTCATTTCTTACAACACGCTGCAGAAGCTTTACACCGAGCCCCATTATTGCGGTTTGATAGAGTCAACTTTGTAGAAGTGATGTTTCGATACCCCGGACCGTATGTACCCAAGCTTCTTCTCCAACGTTTCTGAGAACGAAACCGTAGAGGGAAAAGCAAACGTGGCAGCAAGAGAGAAGGATTAGTCGCAATGGAAGAGACGTGAAGTCATCAAGCTCACTTGAGTGTGTTCCATCCCAGGATGACATATGACTTCCTTTTACTCCCCCATATCTGGATAAATACCCCGGATAATACCGGTCCACATTGTTTGCGGGGAGAAACCCTGGTTCTGATCGACCAAGGGGCCAGAGGCTAGAGCGGATAAAAACCGTTGAGCTTCAAGAGCTCGCGGAGAAACATGTACCGCACAATACCCCGCATCGGAGAGGAATCCAGATGTTGATGGTGATTGGAGACGATCTGCATCTCGAGTTGGCTTCGTCGACTTTTACGGTAGATGCTCCGCGCCCAGATCGTCCAAATCTGGGGACGCATACGTACCAGTCAGTTTTCTGGAATATTTGTCAAATTCCAAAATTTCTAGCTGTATTGAAGATCTCCCAAAATAACACTACAGGTCATCAGAGGTTGACCAAACTGCTGAGCCTTAAATGTATCTTAATCTCTCGTGAGCTCAAGTCTATAGTCTCACGCTTATTGGCTGGGTATAAGAGACCAGTCAGAACTGTAGTTTCTCAGAGGACACTGATCTCATCCATCAGCCACCTTGGAATGACAGGCCTATTCTTCCAGCCGTCCAGAAAGCTTTCTGGCGTCACGCCATCTCCTGAAGGCTTAGCGTAAATACCTGACACATACCAGACCGTCTCCCCTTTATTCACCGTATGCTGCAATGTTGGGATGATAGTCCTACTCTCCACAAGATTCGAGTTCGGGTCAGCATTGACATGCATTGCGGTACGGCCGCTTGCCCCCAGATCTACGATGCCTACAGCTCCCTTAGAAACCGCAATGGCACCAACTGCGCCGGGGGAACTTCCCTCGGGGGTATTGAGGTCGTAATTCCCAATGATCTTTGGAATGGTGCCTTCGTTTTTCTCGGCATCATACAGATCAAGAGATCGGCCATCTAGCTTCCTTTCGTTGCAGATTGCAAACGATCCATCTGCGGTCATCAGTTCTCGGCCGGCTTCGAGCTTATGGGCTCGCAGATGCCAATTCGGTGTCGCTTCAACCGGGGGTATGAGATAGGTCTTAATTGTAACATCGGGAAACGGTTTCCATATTGACTTCAGCACCGGTAGCTCGTCATGGGTCTCAATAACAGCCACTTCGCAGAGTCGGCGAGTTTTCCAGACCTCTCCCCCATCATCTGACAGCCCGAGCTGAGAAGCAAGCGCAAATTGCTCAAGCGTAAAACATCCCGTCGGTACAGAGTAGCCGTACGCACTACTATAAGCAAAAGAGCCATATTTGGCATGTGTACCCTTCATGGGATAACTGCATGCTTGTCCGGACGACAAGAGAAGTCGATGGCCGCCAAGATAGCTTATGATATGCCCTGGATGCTTCAAAGATTTGATTTTTGGCAACAGAGCTGTTGGATATGGTTCTTCCTTCGAGGTCCAGAAAGGATGGTTTTCCGGTACAGCAAGGCAGATGAATGCCAGACATGCCCACATTGGACTCTGTGGAGAGTTATAATTCTCGGCCATGTACATATTTGGAAAGCAATATCCAATAGTCAAGGTCCCAGTCGAGCTCCAGATTTTCCCTTGAGTCTGCCACCAACGCAAGTTTCTCAGGAGGAGTCCTTTCACAACACCCCAGGTCAGTGGAGCCGGCAATTCGACATCTGCGTAAGCTAAAGCTCCCCAGAAAGATGCCATAGCAAAACGATACCCAACACTACGTCCGAATGGGATGGCTCTCCCTTCTTCGTCAAAGTAGTGGATAAAGTCTAGAGCGAAGTCTTGCGCTCTTGTTTTGAACTCGGCAGCTTTCGCCGGGTCATCGTCCCCAGCCAGTTTCGCATAGAGTAACTGCAGGAACTGAATCGCAAAACTTCCACTATAATAATCCTGTTGCCAAATCCCCTCGGGTCCGTCATTTGACCACCCATTTCCGCGGAAGAATGAGTTGAGGTGTATGATATCCTGCTCAATCCGTTCTTGGGAGTATTTCCCGCCGTTCTTCTTCAAACCAAGATTGGCAAAGACTCTAAACCAGAGCCAGTTTGTATTCGGCATACTGTAAACAGTTAGTATAAAGGAATGATTCCAAAGTGGGTTCACGTGATATGCTCGCACATACTTCTTCGAATTGATCGAATTACCTAGCCATGCCTCGACATTCGCTCTCTCCCTTTCAGACAGCGAATCCCAGAAAACAGGCGCCACAGCTAGCATAAATCCAAGAGGGCACATCTCGACCATCCTCTGATCGTTATCCCTCGGATCCCCCCAATATTCAGGGCTTTCGGGATCCGTCCCTGACCTGAGACCTTGGATCCACCATTCAGTACCGTGATATGTTCCTCCGCCTGCAAGCAAACTCCCAAGAGCCCACATAGGTCGGCATATTCCCTCAATCTCTGCAGCAGTATTGTCAAACCGGACGGCTGTGCCACCGGGGACTCTGATACGCGCTTTGTGGGGTGAGAAATGAGGCAGCAGGGGATCAAGAAGGGTCTTGACCAGCTCTTGTACTGAAGCACGATCCGTAATATCAACCTTGGAAAAGGGATGCACGTCACCATATCCCAATACCAACGGCTTCATTTTGTCGCGAGGAGTGGTCGTCATGATGATGGCGAATACAGCACCGAAAACAAGTGAACCGAGGTTATACGCGTTGAGAAAAGATGAGATTTACTTACTTGCCTCGATGATATACAACATGATCATGGAATACATACAGCGCCGTCAAGAGCATACATCTGGTATTCATGCATTTTGCCTAAATGCTGATAAATGTCGTTGACCCCGCTCGACATATTCTCTCCTATTTAAGCGAATCCATCGGGCACACCTGACTTTCTTACACGTGACCGTTCCTACTTTCTCTCACCACCTGCACTCCTCATCTAAACCCATTCACACACACCCTTAGAGAGACTCACAGTAAAGCAAGATTAAGCCATTAAATTTGACAGGTAATAAACATAATTATTAAGGAATAATCTGTATGATCATTGTTAAAAGCAACCTTGTTAGTCTAGCCAGCTCCTCTCCATCTGGCTAAGTACCTCGAGTCTAAATCCACCTCCTCACAATAGTGATTAGACAGGGAAAGAATACGGAGGACTACCGTGAGGTCAAATATATATTGATTGCATTGAAGGGGTAATTAGGCGCCAAACAATGCGCACGCACGCTATGCAAGAAGGGATATCGCTAACCATTCAGCATCCAGCCAGCCAGTCGAGCTATCCAGGCACACATATGCTACAGAGCCACCCGGTAGCATTCCGTCTCTCCCTTTTCCCCCTGACTGGCTCTCCTCTTTCTTCTCTTCCTCTCTCTTCCCCACTATCCTTTCCCCAAAGAGTTCTTCAACCTTATAGGACTCAGGAAAAATTACAACGGACGAAGGAGGTCCAGATCCAATCGGGGCGGAACTTTGGACATTCATCCATCAATTTGAAGCACTAGACATTACAAAGCCTTTATCTCCCCAAACCATTACACTTCAATCATCCAGCGCTATAGGCTTCTTCTCCGACCCGTCCGGACTTGGAGGGCTGATTATTGTTGTAGGCGTAGGCGGGAGCTTAGGCGTAGGCGGATTTTGGCCATCCTCTGATGCAGGCGCTTCTATCGTTGTTTGCGCTACTGCTTCTTCTTCTGCTTCTGGGCTGGCTTCGCGTTTGCCTGTTTCCCCTTCGCCTGCTTCTTCTTCGCCAACTTCCTCTGGACCAGCTTCTTCATGACCGGCATCTCCTTTGTCGGCATCTCCGTGACCAGCTTCTTCTTGACCGGCATCTCCTTTGTCGGCATCTCCGTGACCGGCATCTCCTTTATCGGCATCCCCGTGACCATCTTCCCCGTGACCATCTTCTCCGTGGCCATCTTCTCCGTGACCAGCTTCTTCATGACCAGCTTCTTCATGACCAGCTTCTCCATGACCAGCTTCTCCTTGGCTGGCATCCGCTTGGCCAGCTTCTCCGCCGGCATGTTCGGATACACTCGCCACTTTCTCTCTGCGCCGCCGTCGAGCCTTCCTTTCCTCCTCCGCGTTATCTCTTCGCCGTGCTCTTCGAATGCTTTCCCTTCGATCATTTGCATCTCCATCCTCCGTATTGTCTGCTCCTCTCATTCCTTGCAGCAATAGAGCAGCCCGCTCGGCAATATCGTCTTCTGAAGCCTCCTTGATTGTCTCTGGAGGGGCCGCCGTACTTTCGGTTTCCAGGGTTTCGGGTCCTTTCAAGCCCTCTTCTACTTCAGGTATCTCATCCGCATCGGGTATCTTCTGCCCTGAGGCAACGCGAACTTGATGGCGAGTCTGCAGTCGTGCTCTTCTCCTCCGATCTCTTTGATCCCTCGCCTGTGGCGCGGCAGCTCGTAATTTTTCAAGCAGGGAGTCCATCGCTCCGGTCGAGATTGGCGAAGGGGGTGAACCATCCGAAGAACCACTGACCTTCAACTGCTGCGCGCGCTTCCGTTTCATTGATTCCTCGTTACGCTTCTTGGTGATCTCCATGGCGATGTTCTTCTCTCTCGACTTCTTCCACTCCGTGACGAATGTAGCCAGTTTGGAAAAGAAGTCCCGCCGTGCGTTGTCATCACTGGGGTCTTCGCCATAAAAGACCATAATATCATCGTACGTACGAACCATATCTTCCAAGTAAAGTTGCATCTGTTCGGCCTTTCGTCTAGCCTCCTTCATACATCTTTGAACAACTTGGCTGACACGATCTTGCGGGTGGAACTTCTTTGGATCGCTGAGATTGCCCGAGTCAAGTGACATTTGCACGTTCTTGATGTTATCGATGTAGCGTTTCGCGTCCTGTTGGAGTTGCTCCACGTTCAGTTTCTGAGCAGTGATTACACCACCAATGTCCTCGGTGAAGCCTTCCCATTCAGGATATTGAGTTCGAACGATACGCTCAACGAGATCTGCGAAAGTCGACTCGTTCTTATCATCCTTAACCATACCAAGACGCGCGAGCGAGCTCAGCTTGAAACCGCTTGCTTGCTTGTTGGAATCGTTCATGTAGTTGCCTATGTCAAGAATGAGACCCAGGACATTCATCAAAGACACAGAATCTCGTAATGATTCCGAAACTGATACGATTTGTCTGAGCTTTTCGGAAACCTCATCATATTCATGTTCGTATGTTCTGGTCAGCGAGAGTGCTCGCATTCTCGACTTCCAGTAGTGGTGAAGCTCAAATGCGGTCTGCAGATAAATCTGATCTTCTCGTGTGAGTTCGGAGGGGTCCTGTTCTCGATTCTCCTTATTCGCATCCGGTCCGGTCCAGTCTTTGCTATAAGGCGCCATTAACTTGGCCGTGTTTTCTGGGATATTGCACATATCCTCTTTTTGCAAAAAGTTCATGACGACATTGTTATCAAGCACTTCCTTGTCGCAATGAATTATCATCTGGACAACCCTTTCGACGGAGTAAGAAGAGAATTTGGCGAGGGAAATTTCTAGGTACTATTAGCATTATGTCACTGGACCATACAGAGAATACTTACGGAAATTCCTCATGAGATCGTTAGAGATGATCTGCTTCTTGTCTCCCTTCTTGCTCGTGCCGTTGCCAATCTTCTTGATTTCCTTGGCCATGAAGAGCTTCTCGACTTCATCAAGGACACCCTTCCTGGTAAGCTCAGCATATTTCTGTTCCTTTTCGGCTATCGTTGGCGCGTGTGCAGCCCAATGAGTGGTCATAGGAGTGTCGACCTTCTCCCAATGCAAAGCCTTGAGCTTCTTCTTAGGTCGAGCCACAGGTAAGCCAATGGTAGGAACCGCATTGTACATAGGTTGAGCCAAGAAGTGGCCTGAGGCTTTGCCTGGCATAGGAGGTGGAGGTGGTGCCCCAGGGATGCGTGGGGCTCCCGGCATTGGCGGCGGGGGCGGTGGGGGTGGTGGACCTCCTCCGAATCCGGGCGGAGGGGGTGGCGGTGGAGGCGGGGGACCTCCGAATCCGGGCGGAGGGGGAGGCGGGGGCGGGGGCGGTCCGCTAAATCCAGGAATTTGCCCTGGCATGGGAGGAGGAGGTGGCGGCGGAGGGGGTGGTGGGCCATTGAACCCTTCTTCGACCTTGGATGCCTCCTCATCGCTGGGTGTCTTAGGAGACTGGGATTCGATACTTGGGTGCGAAGGGCCTGTGGTAACTCCGTCACCCTCTTCATCATCACTTGCATCGAGGCGCTTGACTTTAGAGGCCATTTCATCCATGTACTCTGGTGTCTGTTTCGGCCGCCTCAGCTCGACAAGGCGTGGTTTTTCGTAAACGGTACCATCGTCCTCTCCTTCCCTTCCAGCTTCCGTTTCCGCTTCCTCTTCCTCATCATGGAGCGATTCTTGTGAATTGATGGGTTTCCGGGGTATCTTTGTTTGTCGGGCAACACTACCGAGCATACTATTCGCGAAGTCACGAGGTGGAGTGCCCCCGTCGGCTTGTGGTTCACCATCCATTGCTTCACGAAGCGCCCGGAGTCTGTCAGAAGGACCTGCAGCATCACCCCAAATTCTACCTTCGAGTTTGTACTGCGTCTTTTGTCGCTCGATTTGCATTTCAAGGCGATCCATGAGCTTCTCACGGTCAAGTATCCCTTTCATCTGGGATGGATCGCTCGCTCCCACGCCACCCTTCGCAGCATTTGACGCCGCAATGTCCTGAGCATCACGAAGCATAAGATACAGCTCTCTCGTTTCCAATTCATTGCGTTGAGCCTCTTTGGCACGAATAGTCTGGAGGTTCTCTACTTCGCTCTTCAGCGCATCTGCTTGCCGTCGCTGGACTTCTATGATTTGGGCTTGTTCCTCCAACTGCTTTTGCAGCTTCTTAACCATTCCGTCCGCGCCAAGCTCGATCTGGGCCCTCATTTCATCACGTTCGGCCATTGCCGAATCGGCAACCTGGCGTGCCTCTGTGACTTCATCGAATGCTTGACGGGCTTCCGAGTCCGTGTGTAGCTTATCGAGCAGACTCTGAACGGTAAAGTTGAGGCTTTGCTTCAGGTCCATATCCGGCAACCTTCTATCCATAGCAACATAGCTCAGCATCGAGTCAACCAGCTGGAACATACGTAGCCGCTCCTCCCCGTCATTATCCCGGATGAGCAAAAGATGTTGCAGCGCCGATATGAAGTAATCCTGGGTCCTACTGCCTTGAACCTTCTGCATGATGGCATCGACAATTTGAACTGGGTCATTCAGGTCTTTCATTTCCCCTTCTATACTATCTTTCATGCTGCTGTTCTCTCGTTCCAGGAGATCCTCGTAATCGATGGCCTCGTTCGTCCGGAACCGTTCGATCTGCTTGTCGATCACATCGTATTGAAAGCCTTCCATCTTCGTCAAGATCCGCTTGATACCACATGCTGTGAACTGTGCCCGGATGTGGACTCGAAGTTGCAAATCCTTTTCAGGGGCATCGACAATCATATTAATCAAGAACAAGGTAGCCACAGCGTACTCCATGAGAAGGTTCTCCATGCCGATGCCACCACTCCGCACTTCTTCACTGGCTCCCACAAGACTGCCCATCTTGCCTCGGCCATCAACCGTGACCTCAACAACACGCATCCATGCATCAAAGCGGCCATTTTCCCCTTGCTGGTTTTTGACATAGTCCAGAGCCTGGATGACTTTCAGGTGCCCTTGACCATCTGCCCAGTGACACAAGAATGTCAAGACTTCACTGACGAGTTTCCGGGTCGTTAATCGGGGGGAAATCAAAGAAGTAGCCAAGGCCACAATAACTTGTTGGTGGGCCAGGGCATCGTCGGCTCCATATTTGTTGTTCATGAGAGCCTTTAAACACTTCACGATATCATACTCGCGATCCAGGTCCTTGTCGCTAGTCGAACCGTCCACGGGTGATGGACCTTGAGCCTGCCTTCGATTGAGTTTCCCAAGCACATTTGTGAGAGCTACCTGTCCCTGGCATTCCACAAAGGTCTTCACCCATCCTATAGGTTGTGTACGTAGGCTGACAGCCAAACTCGCCAATTGCTTCGCGGAGATACTGTTATCCATAACCTTCCTCACAAACCACTCCGGAGTGCCCTCTTCCTCGGCATTGGCAAGCATTTCCATCGCGGTGCCGTATTGCCCTGTCTGTCTAGCAGTTGTCCGCCGCTTCTGCTCGCCCTGCCATTCCGTCAAACGATCTTGGTGGACCAACGTCCATTTCTTCGCTGCCGGATATGCCATCATCTGCCTCCGTGCTTGATCTGGAAGGTTCTGCCATCCACGCTTCTGCATCAATTGTAAGAACTGTTCCTCTATTACTCGGTCATCGGTCGGCTTGGTGATATTAAAGCTATCGTGGCCAGAAGAGCCAGAGTGGTGAGAAAACTTGCTGAGGCGATGCGATTCTCGGTTCGGAGCATGGTAGGATGGGGACAAAGAATTATTGGAATGCAAATGCGGCGCGGAAGGTCTCGTCGTGCTGGCCGAGGAGAAAACGCTCGATCGCTCAGTAGCTGTGTCCGACTGTTCGAATGAGCTTCGTCCGTATGCGGAAGATGCGCTGGCCGTTTCCGATCCTGGTCCTGGTCCTCCACCGTACAATCTCTGGTCATATGTGCGCGCGTTCAATGAGCTTGCCGCGCTCGACCTCCCTGGACCCCACTGCTGCAGCTGTGTCGTGCGATTCCCAGTAGACGCCATTGTAACATTCGACGCTCCCGGCGGGGGGCGCGGCCCCGATGGATGCGAGCTTCCATGGGCGATAGTTGATGGATCGAAAGATGGATACTGGTGGAAGTCCCCTCCTCCATTATTCAGATGATGTGGCAACGGTTCCCTTCGCGCAGGCATTTGTTCACTCCTTGGTAGGTAGTCCACCGGTATTGGCGATCTGCTGTTTGCGGATACGCTGTCGTAGGGAATCGACGTTATTACACCCGCCGTCATGTTGATTCCCCCCGGGTCCGCGCCAGGCGAATACGGCATATCTATTGACACGACGGACGATTCCCGTGTGTGCCGCGATGATTTCGATCCAACAGAGCTTGCCTTATCCGAGTCTCCTGCTAGAGGTTTACCATCCTCACTTTTCTTCTCCTTTTTGTTACCTCTCGAAAAGAACGACTTGCCGCCAGAGGTCTGTCTGGTCTTGCTATCTGCTGCTGACATGATCGCAGACGCGCGAAATAGGCGTTATGGCAACGGCTCTGCCAAGTATCCTTATTCCCCGGTTGTATGTGCGCCTCGCCTCGAAAAGGTTGGTTGCTGTGTTCATCTGTGTCTCAGATTTTATTGATTTGCATCATGCCACTTCGATGTCCAGAGATGGTCTTTCCTGAGTCGTTCTGCATTGGGATGTAGTTAGCATGAGTATGCTCCAGTCTGCGACGCCGCAGGAGCCCTGGTCAGATAATGGCCGAGGATGCTGATTGACAATCGATGAACTCACGCGCCCACGAGATTGCCGCCCTCTCCAACGATAGGAATCCCTCCCCGCAGTGCTGGAGGTCCCGGGCAGGCAGAAGACAAGCAGCAGATCTGGGAGAAGCCGACTCTCGCAGGCCGGCGGGCTCTCTCTGCGGCTGTTCGATTGGTTGAGGGTTGGAAACGGTCGTCCTCGAGGATGCTGCACACCACAGCTTCTCCCGGGGCCACAGGCCGTTCTCTCGAAAGAAAGCAGGGTAGCAATGCCAATCAGGAAAACCCAAGGGTTGGTAGAGCAGAAGAGGGTATGCAGACGCGGATGCAGGGTGAGGTGAAGGATGTTCGTCCGTGTCCAAGGTACGGAGTATACCGATCACAGTGCTATACCACGACCGACTTCCTTCGCCCCTAATAGACGATTGGGGGGTGGTGATGCGCGTTAAAATTACTGTATATTATGCCTAAAAGAGGTTAAATTAATTAAACTCCCCGTAGCGAGTCCCCTGAATGGCTAAAAATACAATTATATATTCCGTAATTACCAGGAACCGCTCCCGCGAACCACGGCAGCGCAATCGACCATCCAAACCGCCAACAGTGACGGTAGTCCTACTCCGTATAGCTACTTCATCATCATTTATTTATTAATAACTCCTCCCATTTGGCGAGACGCACTGTGCCGCTCTTGATGGGTAGATATCGTCGATAAGTTTATTTCACATTGCTTCCCGTTGGAATGCCCGTCGTCCAGCAATCACCTCACCTTCAGAGATCTGGAGGCCAAGGAGACGTTTACTTTCCCCATCCCGCACCCAACGCACCAGGAAACGAAGACGAGGAAGCCCAGGCCAAGATGGGTTCCACTGTATCATTACTCAAAGTACACTCCTCTCTCTGTGTGATGCACGCCACAGCTGATGTCTTGCTAGACCCTGATCATCCCTGCGCTTATCTCTCTCGTCCTCTACCTCGTCATCTCATATCTCGTCGTGCCTGTGTGGAAACGGTACCGGGCGCGGTACAGCAATTATCTGCCATTAAACACGATATCCACGCATACCACAAGCGTTCGACAACGGATACACGGTGCCCTGGTCGGTGCTATGGTTCGGTGGCTTCTGCCGTCCACATGGAGAGCGGAGTTTGCAAGTTCCCGACAGGCTGTTAGTGCACAAGACGGGTCAAGCGATTTCGATGAGGATGACGGGGAAGAACTGTATGAGGTCAATGACGTCGATCGGAACAGGCGAGAGGCCTTGTCGCTGGATGCGCAGAGGGGAAGAGAGGATAGCGAGAGACGGCTGAGCAGAGATCTAGAAGAAGGCTTTAAGGACGACAGTGAAGATGAAGAAGACGATACAAGCGAGGTGGGAAATCAGGGTGCGTTGCGCTGATGTGAAATCATAGAGTTTGGCTATATCGTATGCCCAAAACTACCTGTATACCCTCCTTTACGCCCACCGACTCAGCAGCTGCTGAAGAGCGCCCAAGTGCAATTATATTAGATACCCAGTCCAGCGAAAAGAATCATGAGTCCAACTCCTCCCATTCAAACAAGCCCGAACTCCCGCTCTCACCATTGATACCGGCGCTCCTGCTCGAAGTCCCCAAACAGCGCATCGATTTCCGCCTCCCAGTCACTCCTCAGCTGTGCGATTCTCCAGTCTACGCTCTGCACTGTACTCCGACAGCGGCCTCCAAAAACCCTTGTGAGATTCAACATCTTCATGCTCTGCGAAGCCCGTTCCTCCAACAGTCTTTTCTCCTTCCTTAGCCTGAGCTCCTCTTTCAGCCTCCTATCCCCTCTACACGCCAGACACTTAGCCGGCATATCCTTCTCAGACACGCACTTTGGCGCCTGCGCAACATCGCAGGACTTGATGACGTGCCCACATTCGCGATATACCATGCGGCGGCGGCAGTGCGGGCAATCTTGGTATCGCGAGTCGGTTTCTAGCCACTAGAAGAGCGCAGGGAGGTCAGTATCCGGCTTAAGCAAAGACAGCGGCGTATGTATGGGGCCGCCAGAGGATGGTCTCCGAGCGCCTGGATCGATCCCGCTCAAGAGAGAGAGCTTGGAAGCGGGACAGATGGCGGAGTTGCGCCCTGAGAACACGTACTCGCGAGATGCAGATGCTGCCGAAGATATGCGAACAGGGCAAGATAGAAGCAACTTCGGTCGAGCCATCTGCGCGCGGAACCCCGAACTCCTCATTACAGATATTGCAACACTGTTCGGCCTCTTCTTGCGGCAGGGCTGAGGGCAGCGCAGGGACGGACGCGGATGCCGTGTTGATTTTGGCCATGGTCGTGAGCATATGCACTCGTGGGATATATAGAGACATAGAGCTGGGCAGTTCGTAAAAGACTCAACAACCGCAAAGCAAGGCAAGGCAATACCAGACAGAAAAGAAGTACGAGTTGTCACCAAGCCGCCCTATATAACGCAACAGGCCTATCACGCTCTCTCTTTGCGCTTTATCGTTCGACTACTTAGAGACGCAGCAGCGTGACCCCCCACTACGCCACTACCCAGCAGACCAGCAGACCACTCATCTACCCAGCACACACATATACCTGCTTTAGATCACGTCGACATTATCCAATAAGCTGCAAGTTACCCATCCCTCGCGCCCTGAACGCAATGACCAGGGCACCGCGAGCAAGACAATGGTCACAATGACGTTTTCCTCATTTGGGTCCGGAGCCAAGGTTCTGAAATGTACCTATGTGCCCACTGCAGTGTAAGATAGGGGCTTTGATAAGAAGATCGCTTGAGCCTATGTAAAGTAAGGCATGTTCAAAGGGGGAACAAGAAAGCTGTGAAGTTGGTCACCCGATACTGTGCAATGGCGGTGCATCGGCATTCGGGGTCACGAGGTGGGGTCTAAGCGCAGGGGACTCGAGGAGGGGGAGGGGAGGATGGCACGTGATGGGCTCGGAGGGGTTTACCTTTATCCGCCTCGCGTACGGAAGCGAGACACAGGTACATCGGGATGGCTCGCTTAGGTTGCTTAGCGGAACTCGCTTACTTGGCCCGGTCCGTTTGAAAATAGGTACATATTCGACAATCCACCCTTGTAGGTACCTTACCTTACCTTATTGCTTCTTCGATTGTCACAGCATCAGAATCAACTGCTTTAGCAATGCTGTCAGCGAACTTCAAATCCCCGACCAGAACAATCGCCTGCTTTAGCTCGGCCTCGAAATCATCGAATGCTAATGCAAAATCAGGACTACCTTCAGTCCATTTGCCGGATTGAAGCTCAAGAGGTCAGTTGTCGCTGGTCCTTGCCTTCTGCCTCAGGCCATGAAGGTAAATCATCTTCGGATTTAGCCAGCCCGCAAGTGTCCGCACGATTTCATCTCCTTGCACCGAAACGTCAGCGTGTTGGATCAAGCACCGAAGCCCCAAGTGATTTTCAACCTTCGCGTTTGGCAGAAGTAACATGTCAACTAGCTCGCATGGCCCACAACAGCTGAAGGACCACATCGTGCAGTCCCGCATCCACCGCGAACGCGACGAATTCATCGCAGCTATCCGTGAAGAGGACATCTGCCGCCTGGCGTCGTCGTATCACAACGGCGATCATTGCAGTTTCTTTAAGTCTCCATCTCGTGGGAGCTACAACATCTGTTATTTTGTGCGCTTTCCGTCAATTAGCTCTGGTGAAGATGTGGAGAAGTGGGTAGTACGTGTTCCTCTGGCTCCATGCCTGGCCCATGGGAGCAGGAGCAAGCTGGAGAGCGAGATTGCTACGATGCAGTAAGACCATTCCGTCTTGATCTATAGAAGCGACATTAATCGACCCTGTTTGGCAGGCTAGTAGCTGACAAGACGACAATTCCAATCCCAAAGATTTATGCGTACCGCCTTGGTGACGGTTCCGAGCCGCTATCATCGTTTGTTATTCTCGAATACATCGAGGGAGAGAAGCTCTCATACGCGCGGCTCAAGACCCTCTCGGACGAACAGCGGGAGCGCTTATACACTTCACTTGCCGATATTCACATTCAGCTAAGGAGGCTCGAGTTTTCTTCGATCGGGTGCTTGACTAATAGTCCAGAGGGATTCAACGTCCGAAAGAAAGTCACCACTATCGACATCAATATGCAAGAGCTAGAAGGTCTGCAGCCTTCCAAGATCCAAAGCTCCTTCTACAATGACAAAGACTCTCTCACTTCGGCCAATGACTACGTTGCGATGCTACTTGAGATTGCGGACAATGCGTTCGCAGAGAGTCGAAACAGTGTCTTTGAAAGAGATCAGGGCGAGGATGCTCTATATCATCTCCATATCTTCCGCGAGTATGCTAAGGGCTGGATGGATCGCCGCCTTGATCAAGGTCCGTTCGTTTTGGTCCATGGTGATTTCGAACCCTTCAACTTGATAGTGAATGATGACATGGATATTGTTTCGGTTTTAGATTGGGAATGGAGTCGCGTAGTACCTCTTCAATTTTTCAAGCCTCCATTGTGGCTCAAGAATCCTGATACCACCAAACTTGCATGGGACTTCGTCTATCAGGACTATTTGAAGAGCTTCGACCAATTCTTGAAAATCGTACGGACCCGAGAGTGCGAGAAGTATGGGAATGAGCTATTGTTTAGTGAATGGGCAAAGGCAAAGGAGGATAGTGGATTTCTTGTCGCCAATGCCTTGGAAAACTGGACCGACATCGACTGGTTCGCGAACCGATATATCAACTGGAAATGTTACAAAAACAAGGGTAACCTGGATGAACGTGTAAAGGCATTCATGAAGGAGAATCCAGCTCACGAAACACTCATTGAACGAAAACTGCGGGATGGGATTGTTTACAAGGCCGAAGCAGATAGACTTAAGGACACGACTATCAAGCCAAATCCAAGTTACACAGATTAGTCGAGTCCGCTTCAACATATTCCACCATGAAGCACTTCTTTCATTAGCTATGGAAAGATACTATCTGCGTTAGTCCGACTGTTCCACAGATAGCTTTTGGAGGGCTATAATCATCACGGGGACATCATACCTTCTCGTCAGACGCATCATCCGAAGCTCGCTAGGTTGAATTCATCGTCTCTTCCAAATCTTCCAACCCACTCTCCACTCTGGAATAGTCCTCCTCCAAGCGAGCGATGTGAGTTCGAGGGCGTCAATTATGTCTTGATGGTTGAGACTAGACGACGATTTACCTCGAGCGGCTTTTGCTGCTTTTAAAGATGATGATGTGAATTTCTGGGCTTCATCGTCCATCGGTCTAGAGCTTGTGTCTTATCACCGTCCTGATCACAGGCATTCTGTTCCAGGGATAGACATAGGACCCCAGCTTTCAAAAACTCAAAGCCTCCACATCAAGTACAAGCCCATCCTAGGTTTTCCCCCAGATACGGTTATTGTCTGGGATCTCATCTATTGCATCTTTGATTCCATTTGCTAAGTGAAAGACGGCTGAAGCTTGGGTTCGGTTCGAACGCTTCATTCCTGTAAGGCGTCTAGGTCAGTTTCATCTTTTTAGCAAAATCCAAAAGGGAAGAGTTAATCTGCCTAGCCAGGGGCGGCATACTCACCACAGGAATCTGATCAAAGCAACAATAAGCACATATGCCTACAAGAGTAGTCTGTCTTTAAGGGTCTAGTCTATTTACTTTTCTTCTCTTACCTTATCTTACTAAGTTACTAATAATTTACTTGTTTAATTAGCTTCAAGAATCTTGTCAACTGTTACTCTATTATACGCTTAGCTTTAGAGAAGCAAGCTACATGAAGGCTTGTTATATGGACACTATAGTAGTCTTATTAAGTTCTCAAGAGATCTAAGGGTCTAAGCGTTTATTAATTTTGAAACATGTGAGGTTTAATTCCCTTTTGATCATTTTGTGTCAAGTCTACTATATACATGATTAAGCGAGGGGCACATGACAAGACACCTACGCCTTCTATCCTATGTGCACAGATATCGCAAAAGATCGTCAGGAACTGCCAATAAGTCTGTAGTTGGGCTTGAAAGAATTGATGATTATATCAGCTGCATGCTAGGAACAAGATCGCTCGGCACCCGATGCTCAGAGTTATCTATCTCCTAAACTACACAATCTTTTCAAATTCTTCCAGGTCTTGATTCTTCTATGACAAATCTTATAGGGCCTAGAGTTCTCGACGCTTTGCTCGTTAACCAGAGGAAGAAGTACTTCTCGACTTTTATAACAGATGTCTTCAAGAAGGACTATTGAGCAGACTAGCGGGTTTTGGAACAGCTGTTTGTACAGACTAGAACGAGATCTATAGAGATTCGAGAGCGAAGAAGATGCTTTAGAAGTGAAAAGGTGAGTTTCACACAGGAAACCGATTATATAGGTAAGATGAATTTACTGAATTTTGGATAAATATAAAAGGAATGCCGCACCCAAGAGCCCGCACCGCAGCACAATATACTTCTACTTGGCCTTGCCATCAACCACCTCCACTTCTCCAGCAGGGATGATAAACCGGAACGGGCCCGAGTCATCTTTTTGACCAACTGTCTCGCTGTCTAAGTCGACCTTCTCATTACCAACTTCGCTGCCCTCAGCAGGGTTCCCATCCCCATTCTTGTCAGTCTCTGACTGCTGTTGAGAGTTTTCCTGTTCATTTCCTTCGCCGGCATCGATGCGGATGGGCCGCTTGTCGCCCTGTTCCTGGTGCAGCTTGAACAGGCTCTTGCCTGCAGCTTTCATCATCGGTTTGAATGTCTCCCGGGAATCCACCAAAGCCTGCGTCAGAGCAGGTGCCTTACCACCAACCCCTGCTGCCTTTATGAATTTGTCCGTATCTGTCATTACCTCATACATAATACTCCAGCCAAACGCCACCAAAGGTCCAACAGCAGGAATAAGACCAAGCCCCACCGCAACAAAGCCGACAAGCAGATCTGTTATGAACTTCTCATCCGGCTCGTCTGCCTCGTATTTCAACTTGACCCCTTGCTCGGCTGACTGCGCTTGGGCGAGATCAATAGCCTGGGCCATATCAAAGTCCGCGATGGCTGGTGACCCATGCACAGCCCGCCTATCAAACAAGGCAAAACATGCATATATGTTGCGGTACTCTTCCGTGCGCCGACTCCATGGTATCAGGAGCTGATGTCCCAGTTCAAGCACATCAATTCGCACAGTCCAGTCTGGCAACAATCCCCAGCCATATGGCTCATAAGTAAGCGATTTGTCAAAGGGGACCCGGGCATACACTTGACTTGGCACCTTCCCATCAGGCTTGCGGTAATCAGGCTTGAGCCCAGGCTCCGACTCTGCCTCGCCCTCGGGGCCAGCCTCCTTCATGCGGTCCCACACCTTGTTGTGCTTAGCCACCAACATATTATGCTGCCTTACCCACCGGAAGTTATGGGGTCTGTAGCTGTCCCACTTCTTGATTTTATTTTTCAATTCATCGATCTCCTTCTGATATTGGCCCTTGAGTCTATATGCTGCTGGCAAGCCCTTGCGGCCGCGAACATCGAGACGTGAGAAGATTGCATGTCCCGTGTATTGGGGATGAGCCGTGTGGGCACTGGGTATCATGAAAGCTCTGACGGGATATGTTAAATCAATCCACATGAAGCGTTCTTCTGGCTTTGGCAAAGGCACTGCGATGTAGCAAACACTGGGGTTGCCCGTCTGGCGATGTAGCTGGCTACGAATGATATTGCTCTTGATACGATACGTGCGTTTGATATCTTCTGCGCTGGGGCCGTACCTAGAAGTAGATTTAAAATTAGAATATGAAGTCAATTTATCAAACTGACAAACACGGAGGTTATAAAAGTAAATCTGAGTAGAAGAGACATTTCTATTCGGAGTAATGCAAGGGGGTGCTCTGTTTTAGGTAACTCCAGCATTGACGGAAAGGAGGAATCTGCTCCTAAAGCCTTGACTTACATGACAGACATGAACTCATAGCGGCTATAAGACGTGAACTCATAGTGGCTAAAAAGAACAGGCAGCGAGCCACCCTGGAACACCTGCTGCCCAGTACGTGGATGGTTTGGATAATGAAGCGGAGGCGGCCCATTCGAAGCTTCGTCCTCGCTGTTGTTGTAGACGACCTCGAGCAGCATCCACGAGTAAAAGTCATCCGACTTCGAGCCATCGTAGCCTGGGCTCTTGAGACTGGATTTTAGGAACCATGCCTGGCCTTCGCGGGGTGCTGCGGCCATGATATATTTGGAAGTCCGAAGTCTATGTGAAGAGTAGATGGAAGTGCTGAAGGTGAGGAAGCAGTTGGAAGAAATCTGTGGGTGAGAATGTTATACTCGGAAGCGATATATTGACGGGGGAGCAGGATTGAAGGTCTATTTCATCACTCAGCTATCTTTCCATAATCAAAGAATGAGCTCACCGTAGTTGCTGCATCCACTGCAATCGTGCAACCACTCGTTGCCATTGTATGGCCAATAAATGCACATTGTACAGATTTTGAGCATACAGCCCCGTACCAGCGTATCAGATTTGACTATACATACTCCTTGCTTAAGTCAAAACATTCAGCTTCTTGAAGATGTAGACTGTATGAAACAGATCAGCGAAGTAGCATCTTGGATTCTTGGTATCTGACAGAACATACCGACTCTATGCAATGTTGAATCTATGCAATATTGAGACTCTCCCAATCCAATACAAGAATTCCGCTCTTATGCTTCACTCTGTGACAATATCAAGTGAAGTACAAGTACCACGATGCATATATTTCGACCATCTTTCATGCACTGAGATCCAGATTGGGGAGACTCATACACACCGTCTTTTGCCATCTCGTAATTGATCGGTCACTTGTGCAGGCGACCTGTCGAGTGTAGGTACGGACATGCAGTTTTCAGCTCAAATCATGGCTAAAAGATTGCGCCGAGTGTTTGAGGTACGCGTTGCTGTTATTAGTAGGGTCTATTTGTCCGATATTTCGAATCTCTGCCGGGAATTGAAGTTACAAGAGCGGCTCCCGCGGGGAAAAGAGATTTTATAGTGACTTGATCAAAAAGAAAAGAAGGGTAACTAACTACTTTATATACTCAAAAAAGGAGAGTCTATTAACAGGGGCAGGCGCGATATCCTCCAAATGCCCGGTGCCCGAGAGTCTGAATATCCATCAGGATGTGACTACATGTTCAACAAGAAAGACTATTGAACGCGGGAATATCGATCCCTGTAGAACTAGCTACGTTCGTTCGATAAGTTGCGTGTATAGGCTGTGTTTCTTAGGATAGTTGAAGTACGGAGAATGTGTCTCACTACAGCTGGGAGTTGAGCGAGAGGCTGAGTATTCACTGATTGGTCTTCTACCCCGCGTTCTCAATTCGGTCTTTGATACAGATTCCAAGCTTTGATATCTTTTACAGCTTTCGTGCGACCTATTCAAATCCTGATTCTTAATTGGAACAGCGCATGTGCGGAGATCAAAATCATATAAGTGCAATGGACTCCCCTCTGTCCATCTACAACTCACTCAGATCTCAATTACCCGCACCACAATAGCTTCATCTTGACCAGAAACTAGCAACGGGAACCATAGAGGCAGTTACAATGGTCAGATTGAGGTTCCTTTCACCTGACACCACTTATATATTCGCCCTTTGACCCTTAAGCTAATCTTGCTACTTTCAGTTCCGTGCAATCGATAAGGTCGTGACAGGAAGCTCGACAGAGGACAGGGTCACGGAACTCGAGAAGCAGATCCAAGAGCTCCAGAAAATGGTGGAGCAGCAACAGGAAAGAATCGAAGCTCTGGAGCAATGGCCCGGCGATGTCGCACTTGTCGAGGTAAGACTGTTCGAACTATGAGGATCTCCTGTAGCAACCAAATAACACACCTCCAGGGGATGGAAACCCAAGACGATAATAACACTCCGGTGTAGCCTCATACTCTGTCTTTTCAAGAAGGGATTGGGAGGGTTGGACCGCTTCTGGATGGATTGACTTGGCAGTATAGAGTAACCTCATGGAACTTGTTTACTGTCTCTATGCCGTCATGAGATGCATTGAGCAGAAATATGAAAAGATAATCAAATAAAATCTGTTGCAAGTACCAAGCCACTAGCCTTTATCACGTGCCTCTTTTGTCACGGGTTCTAAGGTAACCGCATAGGGATTAGAGGAAGGTTCCACGGGTCTTATGATCACGTGACGCATAATATTAATGCCTAAGGCTGTCTGCCTAGTCCCTTTGAGGATGGATTTGACGGATGCACGAGGGATGTCTGAAGGGTGCCTTAGGCTGCATGCCTTGTCAACACCTGGTTCTTCCAAGAAATTAAGACTTTCTAAATGTTTGAATATCTGTCTAACAAACTTTTTTGAAAAGTTTAATATTGTCGAGCCGGGCTAGGACATTATGCATTATTTAGTTTACTTTGCATCTCTTGTTGCCAATCTCACGTACTTTAGAACTTTCTAAATTCTAATTCAACTGGCAATACATCTTATATCCAACCTGATACCTATCTCTAAGACCATGCAGGGCTCACTAGGCTGTAGTATGGAGTGCAGTAGTCTTGGCTCTCAAGTTCTATCACAGCTCCCTGGCCGGCATTAAATCGGTATGGGCAACCAGGCACAACTCCGCTGGAAAGAACTGGGGGAAAAAAAAAAAAAAAAAACCATAGAAAACAACTGAAGGCCACAAGGAAGCACTCAAATCATAGACAATTAGTAGCGGTGAGTCCCTGTCAGCTGTATCCTTATTAGTATAGTAGATGTTCGTCCTTGTCAGCGTCTTGTCAGAGCCTAATCCCGAGACCACCTAGAATACAGAGTATTAGCAGACGTGTGCTCTGCTCTGCTCTGCTCTTTGCGCGAGCACTAACGTGTGCGTACCTGCGCTGTTACTGACACTCTAGAATAAACAAGCCTATACACAATCTTGGTCCACAGCCACACTGGGAGTTCAGAACTACTAGGCATTCCAAGATGCATTCTAATATCAGAACACAATTGATCATAGCAAGGACTATGCGATGATATGAATCCCTCCACTCGATTCGAGAGGCAGAAGTACTTTCTTTTCTCCTTACTAGGCATAATAAGTTTGCCCCTTTAGAAGTCACTGCCACCATAATATTGAAACATACATAAAGTAGCACTAAAGAGAGGGAAGAAGGGGGACCATTAGTAAAAGCAGAAGAGACTTTTGAAGAGGCTTCTCTGGATATCTAGACTTCTAGATACCATAGAAACCATTGCAATCAGGCTCGGACTTTGCCGGCGGCTGGCGAAACAAGAGCACACCTCAAGCGAGATTTTGGCCTTTGGGGGGAACTCTCTGAATTAGCTGAGAGTATGAAAACTTCCCTAGTTTCTTATTGTCTACTACCACAACATTCTGCCCAACAGCAACAAAAGCAGCAACAAGCAGCAACAAGCAATAACATTGCAACTCAGACAAGTTTAGCTCTCTATCACCTCTCCAGAGTAAGAGGGAGCACTAAGTAGGTCTTATTCTCATCCATTCTTCATGGCACGGTGATAGGGGCCGAGTCGCGTTCTGTTGATAGACAGCGGCGCGTCCATCTTATCCTCTACTCTCTATCGCGACCTCCTTCAAATCATCATAATCATTCACACTTGGGAGATCTTCCTTTCCTTTAATCTCTTCCCTCAGTCCACAAATCCACAGCATCTTGTTTCCTAATTCATGTACTATTCATTGTACTAGGTTATCGCGCTAGCGCATGCCTTACATTTTGCTTAGTTGTCCTACCCTCAAGCAGGATAACGGGAGGACTCTGCTCTCTTCCAGATCTTGCCTATACCACACGATCTATTCACTGAACATATTGAGCGCGCCGTCCTCTTCCTCCCTGTAAACCGCACAACGTCCTACCCGCTCTCATATTTGGACTTTCTGACAATACCCAGATATGGCACCCATGGATGTTAAATCATGGGGTCTCAAGGTCCCCGGACGGCCTCCTACCCCAAGTGAAGGCCGTGCACAGGTATGTTCAGGATCCTGCCCCTTGGACAATCTATGACAGACATACTAACGGCCAACCGTGTATAGACATATGCTCGCATCGGTCCTACAGATTCTCAGGCACTACTGACATTCGATAACGGGACAAGTCTCTGTTTTGGTCCTAATGCAAGTAGCTGCTAAAGATACCTTGATCTCTTTGTATTTGACTAACTTTGGATTAGGACCCAGTTGACGAGTTCACGGGCGACCATCCGTTTATTAATCAAAGTGCTCTAATTGACCAAGCTCTATTGAACGTGAAAGCAGTCCGTGATCGATACCAGCATAGCTCAAGTAACAAGGGGGACGAAGATGACAAGGGAGACAAAGATAACAAGGTTTTCGACAACTTCCGATCAACAACCATAGACCTAGCGGCATTCCCAACGATCACACTAGAATCCGGTACCTACTCGCAAGTCCCGTCACAGTTTGCTACTATTAGTTCTCTGATTTCTGTCTATTCGACATCAAACAAGTCAGATGTCACCGGGACATCTTACCTCGGTACTTTATCTGATGAGCAACTTGCCGCGAGGACAGTTCAAGGGTCTAGAGAGAGGCAAAGCCACAGAAATTTGACACAGGAAAGAGACAAGACAGAACAAGGAGCACAAAACCAGCGGCAACTACCGTATACCCATGGCGATGCATCCACCAGAAGAGGCACAAACCAGCGACTAGACACGGGAGGGCAACTAGTTCATCTTGACACACCCGCAAGACAAAGAAGAGATCAACAGATAGTCTCTACCAAACCAGTGATCCGTCAGACTGCTCATACTGCCAGAAGAGCTAGGCATCATTGGGACACTCCTACCCCACGAGGGAGACACCAGAGATATAATTCTGAGGAGCCACTAATACATCTTACCCCCGTCAGGGGTAGGACAAATCAGCAGCGAAACATTGAAGAGACACTGACTCACAGTGAATTCTCTATTAGAGGGAGCAGATGCCTACAGCGAGATGCTGAAGAGCCACGTCAGGCTTCTGACTTGCAGGACAAAACTAGAGAAGCGAATCGCTGTCACTATGCTGATAGAGATAATAGCCATGGCCGTGGCAGCAATCCAATGCTCACACGGGACAGTGATAGTATCCATTGCACACAAGCTGATAATGCCAACAGCTATAGCCAGGATGCAGTCGCTCGAGAGCGCCAGAGCGCACCAATGCACACCGACCGGCCGCTTGGCCCCATGTCTCCTCCAGCCCATAAGCTGACAGGCCATATGCCACCATATCTGATACATGCACACCAGCCACTCGGCCCTCTATCACCAGGGCGTATACCACGAGGGTGTATGCCACTCGGATATATGCCACCGTTTTTCATGCACATATATCCGCCATATGGCCCTGTGCCACCAGGACATATGCCACCAGGACATATACCACCAGGACATATGCCACCAGGACATATACCACCAGGACATATGCCACCAGGAGGTATGCCACCAGGACATATGCCACCAGGAGGTATGCCACCAGGACATATGCCACCAGGACATATGCCACCAGGACGTATGCCACCAGGACATATGCCACCAGGAGGTATGCCACCAGGACATATGCCACCAGGACATATGCCACCAGGACATATGCCACCAGGACGTATGCCACCAAAACGTATGCCATCAGGATACATGGTACCAGGACATATAAGACCAAGGCATATGCCACCAGGATATATGCCACCAGGACATATGCCACCAGGATATATGCCACCAGGATATATGCCACCAGGGCATATGCCACCAGGATATATGGTACCAGGACATATAAGACCAAGGCATATGCCACGAGGGTATGTTCCGCCAGTTCCGGTCCATCGCTCTCATATATTTCGCTATCCTCCACCCATCATGAGGTTGCCGGTTCCCGAACACACATCAGCAACCACGCAGGGACACCTAGCCGAGAAATCCCCAAGACATTCTGATCATAGTAACTTGGACGAAGGGGGCGCTCAAAACTTCATGACCAGCCAAAGCGGCAATCAGAGCTTTCCCAACCGGCTGGCCTCGGAACAAATTCGCCCATCCATGCCAAGCCATGGCAGTGGGAGCCGTCCACCGCCATACGAGGGCTCACCTCTCCCTGATAATCCAGCGCATGACAGTACACAGGCGGACTATAGGTACGCTCGTTGGCTTGAAGAGACCCAGCTGTCCCGTGGGTTCAGGGAGACACGGCTTCGAGGAGACGTTCTGGACGAGGAGCCAGGGTCCCGAATTGATCAAACCACTGGCCATCCGAGAGACATGTTTCGCACACCGAGAGTCAGCCATGCCACAGCCAAACCAAGTCCAGTCCTTCAACGTTCTAACCCGCCACCATACGGTAACCAGGCAGGCGATGGGCACGCACGTTCGCTTACCGAAGAACTCCAAGCGTCCCGTGACTTGGGGGAGACAGGTCCTTAGATGCTTTGAACAAGCCGGAGTCTCAAACGGATCTAATCAGAGGCCAGATGGAACCGCGAACCACTCCGCCGATAAAATCTGAACCTGACGGTACTGCCATTAGTACTCGTAAGTCGGCCGTCGATTATTTGAGAGTGACAACGCTAAATCATTGTGAAGGTTTTGTTTCGTTGAATTGATGGACATCGAACGAAACATGATTCTTTTTTCCAACAGAGAATCGGGCAACCTTGCGACGATAACCGCTTTCATCTGCTCGTTGACTGCAAATTACCCGTCTGATTGAGCTAATTGATGGACAGAGAGTGCATTATGACCTTTTCCCTCGTTTTATTGAAAAGAGTTGTGTGTCTGGGGGCGGCAATGGACATTAGCAATCTGGCTTCAAAATGCTTAAGACAAGCAGAGTACCTACCTAACTGAATAGACTTCATTTCCACTCAAGGCCTCAGGCCTGTAAACAATTGTGATCCAATGATGAACTCGAAACAATTATCTTAGGACATCCTACAAAGGAGGCCCTTGGTAGCTGTATTGTTGAGAATCATCTGGAGAGTTGTGAAGGTTTTGAGGCCTCAGCACTTTAGGTCCCTTTGCCTAAAGGTATCTGAACAATTGCAACGCAGCAGACATATCTGGTAGTGCCGGTGGTCCAGAAGGATCTCGACGTCGGTCAAGATCTCCCGTAGATAGCGGGCCCATTGGGCAAGGATTCCTTTTCTACTAGTATCTGGATGTCTCAATGTGAGAACAAGATCGGGGGGCAAGGCTCTTAAGATATAGCCTAGTATTTTGCTTGCAAGGCCAGCTGATAATCATAGCAGAGGAGCCTAGATGAAGTTGCAGAGAAGGTTGTTTGTTGTGGACCTTGGTCAGGGTTTTGCCTTGTGTTAGTCATACCATGATGGTCCCAATCATAAGTTAGTCTGAACAGTTGATTGATACTTGGCATGAGACAGAACCTTGGAGTCAAGCTGAGTGTTCTGGGTCGTCTACCTCAAGTAGAGGTGAAGGGGAGTTCATAAACGCGCTCCTTGTGCCTCGGTTCAATTGGCGCTAGTCCTAGAAAAGCACGAGTGCCGCCTATCTCTCCCCGCTGCAGAGCTCGTTCAACTCTACCATTTCCAAAATGCGGTTCAAGACCTCTGTTCGGAACATCCAAACCTTCTCTAGTATGGAATTCTTGTTTGTATCCTAATTGCTCATGCAGCTGACAGGGCTCTGCAGAGCTCACGGCTTCGTTGTCGTCCTTGGGCAAGGTCGCCTGGGTGCGTCTGGACGATGATAATGTGCGCTTCACGGTAATCCCAGAAACCGGCACTCAAGTATGGGCGTAAGTGCTGGAGCCTGGACTGCATGCTGTCTGGATGCTAAGATGTAACAAGATCACTATCAATTAGCTCCATTTTCGAGGACTATACCATTCAATCAGCAGCCCCAAACAATACCATTGATCTCGAACTGTCTCTTCCGCCCCTCCATCGAGCTTTGAAATCTGCACTAAACGCTACATCTGCTTCTGTTCGTCTTACAAAGAAGGATGGAGTACCAGTCCTATCTTTTACAATCATTACAAACACTATCAGCAGCGGAAACAGCGCCGGCGGCTTCCTGCACGGTACCAGTGATGATCCTTTTGGTGACAATGCGTTTCGAGAAGAGAGGCTTGATGCCAATATGGGAAGAGATAGAGAGGCTGTTATCACTCAAGATATCCCCATCCGGGTCTTGACTGCTGCCAGTGTCGAGGGAATACACGAACCGAGGGTCCGAGATCCCGATGCACACATCATTCTTCCCTCCCTTATACAGCTCAAGGCAATTTCCGACCGGTTCACTAAGCTCGCTATGGCCACAAGTTCTGGCGGCACAAGGAGTGGACTCAGCAATGCGGCAAATGTTCCTAAGCTAGAGCTAGCTGCGAACATGTATGGAAGCTTGAAATTAAGCATCTCCACTGACGCCTTGAACATTTCGAGTGTATGGACTGGTCTCAATAATCCCGAACTAGACCCCAGACAGATTGAGGATAGCGGTGGTCTCGAAGAGCATCCAAGCACCAAGTTAAAGGCAGCTGGTCCTGATGCTTGGTCTACGGTTCGCATCGACGGAAGGGATTGGGGTAAAGTGCTCAGTGTTGGAAGACTTGGTGGCCGTGTCATAGCTTGTATGCAACTTCATCCTTTTGTTTGAACTTTGCTAATTTCTGCAGGCTTTGCTGATGAGCATGCCCTGATTCTCTACGTCTATCTTTCCAACTACGATGACGGTGTCGATGACTCCGTCTTGACAGTAAGTTTGTCGAGGATGCTAAGTTAATATCAAGCTAATGATTGCCTCAGTACTATATCTCTTCTTTTAGCGTATGATCGTGATTACGCCCAAAATATCTGACTTTAGCGATGGCGTTCAGGGAATGATACCATAATGGATTTTGGCACGTGGAAATGTTGAGAAGTGTCTCCAACGGGCCTATAGATATCTGTCTGAACTGGAATCTTGCAATACTAGCCACAGGCGAGACGTTCCTAATAGAGATCATGAAGGAGCGGATATGGAAGCTTTTCTAAGCTTCAGTAACCCAAGCCAAGCCCTGTATCTTGCTGCTTGCATGCATCACAGTTGTTCTAAGGGCGAATGCGGTAGTATGCCCCTGCTCAATCATTGCAGGTACAGTACATGTTCGATCGTGAATACAGGGTTTTTCCAGTAGAGGGGGCTCTGTTTGATCGTCCTATATGTCACACTTCTTCAAGTACCTACCGAGGTATATCAGCTGGAATCGAAGGAGTGGAGCAAGTGGAAGTGCACAATTGGGGGGTCCCTCCAGTTGTACCATCCCACCACCTTCGTGTGAGTGTCTCGAGCAATCCAGCGCTTTTCTTCAGTCCTTGAAGTCTCTCCTGGGTTTAACCATTCCTTTCTATCCTGTCATGACAATATCAGTTCCATAGATGTGTGTGCCTAATCAGTAGTCCTTTGCTGGTTTCCTCCAGTCCTCTATGCACATGTATCTCCTCCTGTCGTTCTTTCGATGTTGGATGCACCACCTAGCAAGAATCATCATTGTCAGTCTATATCCAGAAGATGGAGCCACTGCGCCTCGTTGTCTCGAGCGATGGCAGTGCTCTACCCTTTCATCTCTCGATGGAGTCGAAGATAGTCGTAAGCCAAGTTCTATAGTAGGGCTGAGATTCGACTATAAAGCGTCAGTCTGGGGGCTTTGTCTATCGACTAAGGTGGCTTCCACCGCTGTTTGCGGATTGGGGTTGATACCTCCTGTTCCAATGAGTGCACATACCCAATAGGGGGGACCGCTCAGTGCTGAAATTGCCCTGAGTGATACCTGTTGTTGCCATGAGTGCATTAACCCGGCAAAGGACTGTTCAGAGAAGTACTGAAATTGCTGTCTAGTGTTGTTTTCCCGAGGATTATTCGTCTGGATGTGTATTAACCCGACAAAGGGATGTTCGATGGCGAACTTTCCATATTTTACTCTTCGTAGGAATTGGCTTACGAGCTACCGTTCTCCACACGACATTCACTTGTCTGAACGAAGTATTACTGCTGGTAGCTAAAGCCATTCTTCCACTAAGTCACCTCAATTTACTCGAAAGAAACTCGGGAGAACGTGACAAAGGACCAGTCTTCAGAAGGGCCTGCCGGAGTAACAAGCCATACTTCTTGTCCGTTGTTCTTCTCTGCCTCCTCTCCACAACGTGGAGGTCCGTCCGAGAGGAGTTCTTCTTTATTTACTCTTTGGTCCTCGCGTTTTCCCACCTTCGAAACCCTAACTCCCACAACCCTCTTCTCTCCCTACTTCACTCCCAGCCCTCTTCTTTACCATCACCTCGTCTTGGAAAGAGAAGAGCAAACGTCACGGCCTGAAGGTCACTCTTACCAAGTCAGAAATCCCGTTCTCGACCTACCCTGTAGTGATCCCCGGTCTCTTCAACTTCTACACACGCGATTAAACTCGAGAGGGAGACCGTCAACAAAACTACATAACCATCTTCAAAATCAACAGCCTATTCCATCAACCTCCCGTCTACAATGGCGTCTCTTCCTCAAACTCCAGTTCCCCTTCGGAGCTTCTCTAGTTTTCCACTTGAGATCAAGTTCAAAATCTACGCGCTCATTGACCAGCCTCGCGAGGTCGAGCTCTGTTACAATTCCGACGTGTCCAAGTACTGGACCACCTCGAAGGTTCCTGTTACGCTTCACATCTGCAAGGAGTCTCGATACGAAGCTCTCCGCCGCTACACCCTGGCCTTTGGAACAGAGTCCTCGCCTGATATGATCTACTTTGATTTCAAGCGTGACACACTCTTGTTTGGTATGTACAGCCATCTTCCCTTCCTTACTACTTCCGGTGAAACACTTTTCGCGTCCTATCGAGAAGCAAGAGAGGCTGACTTCAAGACTCTCTCAGGCAACTTCACCATGAAACAACACATGGATACTATCTCCTTGGCCACCTTCAAGCTGCGTGTAACCGGGGACGGAGCTTTGGTCAAGAACCTGGCTATCAAACTGGAGTTGATGAACTATTTGGGATGGCAGCTCAGCAAGGACAAGAAGCATCTCATTCGCGAGGGTGATGATCCTAAAGATGCCGAGTGCATTCTCCTTCCCAACTTCAAGTTCCTTGAACATCTAAGCATCGTCGGTAGGGCTGACAAACAAATGCAGAAGAAGCATTTGGGAATTCTGAAGAAAGCTGCTTCTCAGGTTCCAGGCTTTCAAATGCCAGTGGTTGATTACGTCGGCGGGATTGTTGAAGAGCTCAAGGACAACGATGATGATTCTAACCAAGAGTCCAATGGAAAGCCCGACGAGAAGCCCGACGAGTCTGGCAATTCTGACAATTCTGACAATTCTGGACATGCTGGTGGTGGTGCGCACAGTAACACCGGTGGCAGTAATGGAAATGAAAACGGGGACTTTGAAGGCAATGACGAGCAAGGTAACGAGGGACACCAAGGGGACAATACCAACGAGGAATCCGAGAATGACAAGGATACCCAAGAATATCAGGCCGCTATCCAGCGTTCCATCAACCAAGGACTCATGGGTGTAATTGAGGCTATAATCAAGGAAGAGGAGAGCAATGAGGACGATGTCGAGTAGGTTGTTACTGTTTTGAGGGTCAAGATGTCTGCGGGGCAGTTGCTAAGCTGTCTGCTATACCAGCCTGTTAGAGTTCGATTTGTAGGATATTCTGGACCGTCTGAAGCTGCGCAATTAGGAGTCAAGTGTACTACTTGACACAGGAAGTTGGTCAGCTAGTTAGTACATCACCACACGCTGAACTCAAGAAAATGTTCAATTAATAGCTAATTCAATACAACAAACACACACACATGCAACCAGAATTTAAGGTCCCTAGTATAGATTTCTTTTGAGAGTGACACGCTTTAGAATACCATCGAAGAGACCTCGTGTTAGAACTTGACAGAATCATGTGGAGCTTCTCTATTTTGTCATTAACTCCACATTCAACAACTATGGGAAGGTATCTTGGTAGAGATGGTATTTATGAATCCCATTTTCATATTCTTTCCATTCGCACAAATACCTTCTTTCTTGGATTTCATGATGGAGTACGTACTTCCAAGAGAGGACCGAGGTCAGGTACTTGTGGTACTAGCAGGGGATGTTTGTGGAATCAAGGATCGCCCAGGGGTATGTAAGCGACGACAATACAACGTCAAGTCTTCCTACACTCTTCTCTATCTCCTCAAGAACTTTGCGTTTTGAAAGCTAGATGGCGCAACTTGGACGAGATGGTCCCTAGAGGACTCAAACAGATCCTGGACAGTTCCAGGTTTCCTTCTGATTTACTCGCTGATTTCCTCGATTTTTCAGATGTGAGGTAGGGAGGGAATGGTATCGATGTAATTGCATTACAGGGACAGTATCCCTCACGTCATGATCAGTATCATAGAGCAAGGATGAAGCGTGTGGGAGTTTCTGGATCTGAGGAACCAATGGGCTATCTCGCAGCTTGCTTCCCCGCACATTGCGGCGTTGACAACGTCTGTATTGGTTCTAACTGATGGATATAGCGATGGATTGGGTTGCTTGCTATTCACGATACTGTACTCCTCTCTAAGTCAAAATATCTTTCTCTTCCAAGATGCAGATGCTTCCTCCTATCTATCTCCTTATCCCACAGCTCGTTTCGGCTGCTGCGCTGGGTTCGAGATATCAGTGTCAACGAGCTGCTTATTTCGTCGATAATAACCCAGCAGGAGCCAGCATTGTTGTTCTGAAAAACTCTGAAAATGGCACACCCGTACGAAATGCCACTGGTGGTATTGGTCTCTTTTGCTTCACGGCTTCCACTACTGGTGCAGCGCCGGCTCCTCCTGGCTCAGATCGTATACCAACGCTGTTATCCTTCTACAGTTTATTCTTGCTAGATACCTTATCCTCTGGATTCTATCGTGGTCTCCAATGATGTCCATACCCTCGTCAATTACCGCACTGCAATGCAATGCTAATTGGTATCAGTACCTCTTCACTATCAATCAATCCTGGAAGCCACACGATCTCCATGTTCTTCATGAACAAAGACGATCGATCCACAGCATCCGATACCCATTGGTTGCCCTGTTGACTACTCCCTCGGCGACGACTGCCACACACCATCGTCACCGACCCGCGCCTCCCTCGTCTCCATCACATCCGATCCTCACTTCTTCTCCGTCTCCACCAAGGTTCCCCATCGTAGGCGAGAGCGCAACCTGCTGGTCTGTGTACTCCCAGCGCTTCAACACCATCTATCTATATCATGGACCGTAGCCTCCCGAACATCACGCTGGTCGAGCGGCGCCATCGGGAGTAGGCAGAGATGTCAGGGTATAGCGATTTAATCATTTCAGCGAGAGGTTGGGTTATGATTGGTGATGAATGGGAGCTGTGTGGGGGGGAGCAGAAATAGCTCTTTGCGAATGGGCTGATTGGTATTCCTTCGTCAAGGAGATAGGTGCGGAGATAATACAACAGAATCTTGTTCTTACTGTAGAAGACAGACATGAATATCTAACTCGTATCTGTCTTTCTTTCCTAGTATCATCATATCCCAAGATACATACCTATATATGTACTGTCCTATCCTTGGTATCTCTTCAAGTTTCAATCTCTATGCTCAACACTTCAGAAGCTTGGCTTTGTGACGAGGGTGTGCTTTACTTTTCATATTGTATATTTACTATATTCATGAATAAGATACGTCCAGCTCTTTAAAGCTCTCTCTCGCTCTCTCTCCCTATCGTAAACAGATAGATAGATATCTGCCTGATATTCCTTTCTGCTTAGCATTTTCCATTTTCCATTTTCCACTTTCCACTTTCCGTCCCCACGGGTCTTCCCGTCGCTTCTCCCGAAATAGATACTCTTGTACCACCTTCCTACCTAGCTGACACGCATTGCATTGTTTCTCCTGCCTACCTCACCTTAAGGTACCTGATACCTTAGCAACAGACAGACAGAAAGCAAGACATCATTTCATTTCATTATTGTTTTTAATCCTCCGTATCCATCCCTTTTTCTATTCCGCCTTGGTTTCCGTGCAGGAAAAACAAGGGGCTGGTTTGGTGAGGAGGGAAAATGTCTCGAGTCGGAGTGGCTGACTCGGGACTGAGTCGTGATGGGTCATGGTGGCATGTTGGATGTTTCGAGAATTTTTGAGGGTGAGACTGTATGTCTGTCTGTCTGTCTGTCTCTGCGAGGGCGGGGAGAGGGGGGAGAGGGGGGAGAGTGGAGGAGTGGAGGAGTGGTGGCTGGGTATTGGGGACAAGGGGAGGGAAGTGAGGGAGTGAGGGAGTGAATGGGTGAGGGAGTGGTCCTTGGATGAGGTACTGGTGCTTAGGTAGGGAAGACTGCGATGCGATGCGATACGGTACGACACGACACGATACGATGCGAAGCTCTGGATAGAGCATCGAAGGGAGAGAGTGAGGGAGTCTTACGGACTCGCCGTGCCCAGATCATGGACAGAGAGGACGATGTAGTGTACCGACCCTACCTACACGCAGTGCTACCCCGACGAACAGAACCGTATACGCCGCTCCCGACAACAGCGCCCTGGGATCCCGAGAATTGCGTCGTCGGGATACGACCCGATGGGGGGAGTTGTGCGAGGAAGAAGAGGAGTGAAGTGAATGAATGCCTTAGCTCATGATTCGGGAGGGAATAACGCAAGGGGGGTGCGCGAGAGAGATGGCGATCAGCGGGAGGGAGGAAGGGAGCTCATCCTCGTGTATCCCGGTTGAAGGAGAACCAAGGCGCGGGCCGCGTCCACACGCTTCCTCTGCTAAAGTGCGTGCAGTTAGAGCCCAGGCTAGGAGGTTCCAATATATTTTACTTTGGGTAATGAGTGGACGCGACTACGACAACTTTGGACTACTTGGTGGGTTGACCAACTAACTTGGTGCTGTGGAGTAGACTACTACTACTTACTACTCGGGGCGAGAGAGAGAGAGGAGAACCTGCGAAGAAGAAGCAAGAGTTAGAGTTACCCACCAGGTCTGCACTCGAAAAAATTCGGATGAAGAACCGAGTCTTCAACCTTTTTTTCATGACTACTACTGCGTACTACTGTACGCAAGGTATGTATGTACATTATGTACATACAGAAACCCTTGAAGACTGCGAAGTCTAGGATAGATAGGGGAGGGCCACGAGTCCCAAGACTCCCAAGTCCCAACTTCCAAGGTTCCAAGCTTGAAGTATTTCACGCTTCGACGATCCGTTCTGCAACTAAAGGCTTAAAGCCAGCGATCGCAGCCCCTGAATCCATTGTTCTCCTCTTGGTGCTGTGGATGACTGACGTGAGTTTTCAATAGTCTCTCTCAAGTCTTAGACTTTCCTAGACTTGGGACGGAAGCTTCGGTACTAGTAACTATCTAGAGCACAGCTTTCACAGCACCGACTCCCGAGTTCTCTACGTGGGGCACTGGGGGAAGGGAGAGAGAGAGAGAGGGGTCCACGATCCATGTCGCGCGTGCCCGGATAAAGTGGTGGTGCGAGGGTATATGGATGGGTATATGTCAAATCAATGATCATCAAGATATATCATATGGTCATCAAGAGGGCCATGGAGCATGGGATTTTACATTGCAATTATTTGCAATTTGCAATCTGCAATAAAGCCAGAACAATAATCCCCTCTGGCCAAGTGCCGCGGTGCCGGCGGGCGGGTGGAGACGGGATGATTCGGTCGGTCATGATCTGTGCCGCCACGCGGGCTTCGACTGTCGCCTTCTAGCCTTTCTACTGTAAGGTACAGTACCTGTCGCGGTGCAGGGCGGCCTTGCGACGGTGCGACGGGTACGACTCAGTCTACTGCGCGGAGGGATGTACAGAACAGCCTGGTACTCGGGATTTCATGTGAAAAGTTCCAGAAGGACAGACTCACAGGAAGTCGAAGATTTTCAGGCGATCAGACCATGAGATAGGTGAGATAGATATCTTGATGGGGCGAAAGGACAGGGGAGGGGAGCAGGGAAAAGGGAAAGAAAAAGGGGAAAAGGGGAAAAGTCGGGGTGATTTCAAATACTCGGTTGCACCAGGCCTCAGGTATCAAGCGGAGGGGTCTGTGGATCAGAGAGGATTACATTGATACGGCACATTTGTCTTCTTGACGGATGCGACTTGGATTTTAGACCTGGATAGTGCGGGTTAGATGGTTAAGGGAGGACGCAGGAGTAGGTATTAGTCGTCATGATAAGAAGGATTAGTCGTCGCAGAATACAACAGTCGGGCGTAGTACAAACAGGAGGCATTTGACTTGCTGCGGAAGCATTCGTCCAGGGAAGCTATACGTCGTATCGATAGGCAGATATTTCGCCCTAGGCCGCTTCGGGCATCGGGGCAGATGGATGGAGACGTCGATACGGCAGAATCGGGACGCTAATCCGCTCTCGGATCTATCCGCCACGTCTAGTCGCTTCTCCCCACCAGAGAACACTTTATATGTGACATCGTATACCACCGTATGGCAGCCTGTGTGTGTGTATATATTATTATTATTATTATTATGATATATATACACATACGCCCATATACGGTACTGCATATACTGGACATATACTGTACATATACCACGTAAGGTAACGTGGACTTTGTATAAGGTACATCCCGACAGACATCTGCAGAAGCATCTCTCTAGCATCCCTTTATCAGTATCATTCCAGCGTCAATCAATCAATCAATCAATCGATTCAATCCTTTCCCGCCCGTCCCACTCCCCTCGCCCTGCTCAGTCCTGAACCCTGGACCGCCCCGCTGCTGCCCGGGCTTCACAAGCTGCAGGATCTTACCTGCATAGCATGTCTGTTGCATACAGTCTATGTCCCCGGCAACCCTCAACTCCAAGCAACATCCTGCATTTTGCAAACGGCCTCCGGTGGACGAACCCTCCTCTCCCCCAATCCACGCCGCCATCCCGCATCTGAGACCGCATTCCTCAGACTCGTGCAGCCGGCAAGCCACCGCTAAACGTTGGTTATCGCTGCTTGCATAGGGGGGCCACTCGTCGAGCCGCATGAGAAGCGGGAGACCGCAGCCTACCCTTTCTGCTGGACCTTCACGCAAACGCTGCAGCCATCTGGTACGTACGCGGAGGAGGACAAGAACGTGATATACGACTCCCTTTTACCAAGTACCGCTGTCGTTCGTCTCGAGCATCATCCCGTGCAAACAGCCTTGCCCGCGCCCACGCCAATCAAGCGCTCGACATCGGCGCCTCTCTCGTACGGCTTTGCAGACCGTCTGCGGAGTCTGCGATAGCATGGTTTAACATATCCTCTTCTACAGAGCGCCTGTCACTATATTGGTCGGATATCCCGTCTGCTCTGCTTCAGAGACGAAGGACTGCGGGGGCTCGGTGGAGCGCAGACACTGTCATAAAATGATTATCATGGAGGGGGCATTGATGGTGCCGCCCGAGCGCAGTACCATTATCGGGAGAGCCGTGTGGAAGGTTTGTGTCCAGACAGAATTCCAAATCTGTCGATTGCAGATATCTAACAGGCCTGTAGCCACGATATGTCGTCCTTGGGGCCGGCTCCCAATTGAAAACGCCGAATGACCCCTCCAATCCCGAGACGTCACGGACTGGGTCGTCGAGAAAGGGACTCGAAGTGACCACCTCAAAACCGAATCTCGGCGAGGGGACACGGTCTGGACAATCAGAGGAACTGTACATGTCAATATATAAAGCGAAGGTAGGTTTCATTCGTCAGGCTCGGTTGATGGGTGTTGATCGTATCAGGGTGTCTGGGAACCTATTGCACAATATCCCATGTCTGCTTTCAAGTTATGCTTTATTCGGGCAATCCAACATCGAAAACAAGGTCCTACCGCTCCGACCCTTGTGTTGGAATTTAAGCCGGATACGCCGACGGAGAAGCAACGAAAACGTCGGTCGAGTAGGACGGGTGGTCTCTCGTCCAAAGATCCCTGGGCGAATACGCTCCTGTTCCGGAGCGTGCCTGATGAGCGCTACAGTATTTACGATTGGCTTATGAGGATCAAACCACAATTACCAGCAGAATCCCAGGAGTCTCTAGATGAGATCGGGAGTGCTATGAGCCCGATCAGTCCATCGGGCAGTGTGTTCACGAACCCCTTTTCCTCTCGAGAGAGCAGAGCAGCAAACCCAAGACAGGATTACCAACGTGGGATATCGAGTCAATCGACAAGCTCCTATCACCCCTCACAGAAGGAGAGACCGACAACAATGATCTCGCCGTCTCCGAGCCTGCGATCCAGACGGTCGGATCTGTCATCTCAAGCGAGCTCGCAGCACCCTACTATGGGATTCACATCAGTCCACGGGCAAAATTATACTACGGTTCTCCCGTCAGATCTCCCATCCCCAGCTTCTACGTCAGGCTATGATTCGCAGTTTATCGAGGGGTGGACGTCAGCTCAGGGGAGATCATCTGCTCTCTCATCACATACGAGAGGAAGCAACAGTATAGCTTCTGTGGTGCCACCTGTGGCTCCCATTGGATCGACACCTCCAGGACCACGAGAGACGATTCTAGACAGGGCATTCCAGCTGCGGTACATACCCGGTGGAGACCGGCTGGACAAGGACGAGGAGAAAATCAGCAGCATCGCTCGATTCGAGGCACTCATGAAAGAAGCGGACGAGCGGAAACGACAGAATTCCCTCTCGGTGCAAGCTGGACCTGGTAACAGCAGCTGGGACTTGGATGAAGAATCCGAGGACTCATCTAGCGGAGAACCTGACGAGGATGATGATGCGGATGAGCCAGATATCTCTGACCCAGACATCGCCATCCCAACCCCTGCTCAACGAGCACTGGAGTACATAGCGCGCCGCAACACCCCCCTCCCTTCTCCCATCCGCCCCCTATCCCCCGCGCCCAGCCACCCTCCCATCCCATTCCTCAACCCCCAAGCCATGTCCGCCTTCCACGGCCATTCCACATCCATGGCCAGCGATCTCCGTCCCCGCACAGGCTCGCCCACGCACCGCAAGCGAAGCCGGCCTAACTCCCTCGCGCTCCCCTCGCGCTCCATCTCCGTCAGCACGATCCCCAGCCTCCGCGAACTCCGCGCCAGCTCCAGCGGCACCAGCAGCCTAGTCGCGCCCGACCGCGACCCCAAAGAGCAGCAGCGCCAGAGCAGCACCAGCGTCAAACGCCTCAGCTTCTCGGAATTCGCAAAGCGTCTCAGCTCTACCAGCAGCCTGCTCCTGGTCCAGACCAACGCCTCGTCGAGCTCGGGCCGCGACGGTAGCCGTCGGCCGAGTAGCGAGTTCGCGGCCGAGTCGGACGAGAAGGTGCAGTCGCCGCAGACGGCTCCGCCGGTGCGTGCGGACCCGAGGGATAAACGCTGTGGATGGCGCGGGAGCGTTGGGGTTTTCGGCAGCGAGGGCGGGTTCCTATGATTCATCTATCTCCCTGCACGCCTCTTTTCTCCCTGGCGAGAGAAATTGAGGGCCGGGGGGAGGAGGATCGCTTTCTCGTATATACTTATACTTATTAGGACATGCTACTATCTATAACCGGAGTTTAGAGCTAGAGGGAAATGTCGGCGTGGGAAAATGAGCTGATGGGATTCTGTGTTGTATTTATGGATTTTAATGTTCATGTATTTAGTTGATGATGATGGATTGATGGATTGATGGATTGATGGATTTTTGCGGAGGAAAGAAGGGAGGGGGATGTTGTTTATATATACCCATCGTTATTCGAATCTACTCTACCTGCTGCTACTGCTTTCTTGAAAGTAAGAGAGAAGGAAGGAAGGAAATTTGACGTGGTGTTGATGCTGTGGTAGGTGGGGGGAGATATGTTTATGTGAGATTATCCCCGTTTTCCTCCCCTCTCCTTTCCTTCTTCCCTTTCCCTTTTTCCTACTTCTTCTTCTCTCTAGCGTTAGGAAAAGGGACACAAAGCCATATATATAGCTATCCTCCTATCCAACCCCATCCCATCCTATCTACTTCAACCCTATTACAACAAACCCAAGCAAAGAAATGGAGGCTTATATATATATTGCGTGCTATCTAGATCGGGTTGTGTATATGAGAAGAGAAGGGGGATTTTGAGTGTGAAAAAGAAGAAGAACAAGAACAAGGAAAAAGACATACATACACCCAAAAGAATCACCAATCAGCTCCAGCTCCAGCTCTCGCACCCTTACCTTTCTTCTATTCCACACCTCCCTCCCTCCCTCCTACCATCTTTACCCACCCATACCAGACCAGACCAGACCAGATCAGATATAAAAACTCAAATAAAGGCGCAGTAGTGTAGATAACCTACCTACCTATTGCTCTATTGCCCTATTCCTCTATTCCATTCCCTACATCATGATCATGATGAGATTACATGAACGAGAAATGAAATGAAGGGAATGAAGGGAATAAATGGAATAAAACTGTGCCTCTTCCCCGACTTTCTTTTTTAAAGGGGAATTGAGTGTATTTGTTTAGATTTGCGTGTGCGTGTGCGTGTGTGCGTGGTATTGGTAGGGGGAGAGAGAGAGATAGGGAATAGGAGAGGTAAGGGAAGGGAAGGGAAGGTAAGGTATATGATTTTGTGTTATTTATCTATTTTATTAGTTTATAGGGAGTTTCTTGTAATATCATCCAGCTAGATAACCATAAAAAACAGTAAATATGAGTGATGAATGAATGAAAAGGCGAGAAAGAAAGAATGCTTTGGGTAGATAATCTATATCTAGGTACTCTAAGAAAGAAGAGTTTTGAGAAACCCCCCTCAAAATTATCGGAACCGAGCTCTCTCTCTCTCGCTCCGACCTCACTTCACCTCACCTCACCTACCCACCTCCCCTCAACCTCCCTCCCCTCCTCAATCCCCCACCACCACCACCAAAACTCACACACACACACAACAAATCAACATGTCCTTCGACTCCCCCCTCCCACCCTACAACTCCTCCGATCCCAGCGCCACATTCCTAAACGCATCATGTTGGGACCTGCTCATGATCGAGATCGTACCTATGGCCTATCGACTCACCTCTTCCTCTTCCTCTTCCTCTCCCTCTCCCCGTCCCTCCTCTCTCCCTCCACCATCCTCCACCACCTCGCACCCCGCCCCCAACCCTCCCCACGAGGTCGAAATCGACGAAGAAGAAACGCGCGACGCAGTATTCTACCGGCTCGACATGCTAGGGTATCGCGTGGGCCAGGGGCTCGTGGAGAGGTTCTCGAAGGATCGACCGCGGTTCACGGATACGCTGGATGTGATTAAGTTTTTGTGTAAGGAGGTGTGGATGTTGGTTTTTCGGAAACATGTGGATAATTTGAAGACGAATCATAGGGTTTGTCCTGCCTTTCCTTTTCTCCCTTCTCGTCCTGTCCGTCCGGACGTTTTCAATCAGGATCAGGATCAATTCTCCAGGAGAGATGGATGTGGATGTATGGATGGCTATGGAGGGGGGGATTTGCTCATTATTGTGCGATTGATAGAATGACGAGGCTAATCACAAAAACAACAGGGCGTCTACGTATTAACAGATAACTCCTTCCGACCCTTCGCACGCATGAGTACAGAAGCCGGTGGTCAAGCCGTGTTGCGCGCTCAACCCGTACGTTTTCCATCCCCTCCCCTTCCCTCCCCGTCAAAAAACAAACCAAGAAACTAACACAACGCAACGCAACAGTTCCTCTGGTTCCCATGCGGTATAATCAGAGGCGCCCTCGCGAGCATGGGTATCAATGCCACGGTGCAGGCCGAGACGGCCGAGCTGCCGGGCGCGACGTTCCAGATTAAGAGTGTGGTTGTGAAGCCGTGATTGACTTCTGCTTTTGGCGGGGAGCGGGGAAGAGGAGGGGGAGGGGGTTGCAGGGAGAGAGGATTATGGGATGGATGGCATGGGATGGATGATGGGCGTCTGTTTTATTGTCCTGCGATTTAGCGGCATGGGCGGTGTCGGCGTTGGCGTTGGCGTCTACAAGGGAAGAGGATAAGGGATTTATATGTTATACATGCGTTATGTGTCAAGGCACGGCACTGGGTGTAGCATCACAGCATCAAAACGGGAATCAAGACGGGACAGACCACAGCATCAAAACGGGAATCAAAACGGGACAGACCATCATGGATAAAAGTATTTTTTGAATTTCGCCCGTCATTTCCTGCACATATGCCCAACTTGGGCTATTGTCGGATCCGCACCTATTAATCATCTCCCCTTCCCTCTCCGCAGTCTAGCTCTACTCCAACCCCTCCCAATCCACCATCACTTCATTCTGGTCGTTCCATTTCTTGGCATCGTCTTCTGAAAAAGCATACGAATGAAAGAGAGAAGGAATAATGAGCACTCCCCCGCCCTCTCAACTATCGCAGAGCCATCACAGTCTATCTAAGGTAATGCCAACGATCAGTCAGGGAACCCTACCAACCCGCACGCACAAGGCCTTGGTCTCAGGGTGAAATGAACGAAAGAGCAGAGATGACAAGGACAGAAGAGGCCTCTGTTCTAACAGGGCACAGAAGTGTAGAGAAAGGACATAGGAGAGAGAGGAAAGACAGAAGGGGGGAAAACTACTTTGGGGCTGGTGGGTTCTGCGCGAAGGAAACGCCCTTGGCGATGTTGCCCTTCAATCCTTCCACGCAGGCCTTGAGAAGCACCTTCTCGTTCTCGTCGAGGTTTGTCAGAGGGTTCAGAGCCTTCTCAGCTCCGCTGGCCTATCTGGCTGTTAGTGTGTCTCCAGCAAGAAGGGTGCAGGTATCCTTACGCCTAGTTCAACTGGGACCGAGAAGAAATCGCAGCCAGTCTCCTTGGCAATCACATCACCACCTGCAACACCTGGCAGGTAAACGAAGGTTGGCTCGACGATGCCCTTCTCGCCCTTGAGACCTCTGAGGACCTTCTCTGCGAATCTTTGCATCGTCAGTCAAGTCCTTCTATCGCCAGTGGGCTGCATACCTGTATCCGGCGTATGCCATGGAAAGGGTGGCAGATCCAGCGCCATCCTTAGCCTTGACAACCTCGTCACCACCGAATTGCACACGCTTGACCAGATCGGCCAGCTTGTCCGAGGGGATCTTGACAGCAGGCTTGGCCTGGCTGAAGACAGGGACGATGGTCTCTCCGGAGTGACCACCGATGACTGGGATGGTGAGGCTTTGAGGGTTGGACTCGCCAACAATCTCAGCGACGAAGGTCTCGGCTCGGACGACGTCGAGGGTGGTGACACCGAACAGGCGCTTGGCGTCGAAGACACCCTTGGCCTTGAGGACCTCGGCGGCAATGGGGACGGTGGAGTTTACGGGGTTGGAAATGATGAGGATGTAGGCTTTGGGGGCAACCTCGGCAATGACCTCGATGAGGCCCTTGACGATACCGGCGTTGATGTTGAAGAGGTCATCACGGGTCATTCCTGGCTTGCCTGTGTTCCAGTCGTTAGCCTCTGCTTCTCGAGGTAGGTAATAGATTGTACGTACGGGGAATGCCAGCAGGGATAACAATGATGTCGGCGTCCTTGAATGCGGCCTTGGCTCCATCATCCTTTGGCAGGTAGCCGGTGATTTTCTAGACCCTCATCAGTACACACAGATCCCGCTCTCTCCCCAGATATACATACGGCAGGTGAAGAGATGTGGGAGAGATCGGCGGCAACACCAGGAGTGTTGACGACATCATACAATGCCAATTCGGTAATGAGAGGAGAGGTCTTCAAGAGGAGGGACAATGGCTATGAAGGATACGTTAGCAAGTGGTCTGCACCGGCGCCCGAGGTTCATTTCTCACCTGTCCAATTCCACCAGAGGCACCAGCGACGACTGCAGACCCGTTAGTATTATCCTCCGAGCTCCCATGTTGTCAAACGCAGCATACCGGCTTTGATTCCCATGATTGCGAGGTTTTTGATGAACGGGCGAGTATCTGCAGCGCGTCAATTGCTGGTCGTTGCTACCCCGCAGTTGCGTCTGTGTTTGCGTCACAGCGGGAAGAGGGACAAGATGATACATACCTGTTTGTGAATGTCTAGTATGCAGCGCACGAGGAGTTGACTGTTAGACTTTGGATCTGGAACAAAGGGTCAAGAGAGAGATGGCGAGAAGTTCGATGGAAAAGAGAACGGGAGAGGGGTTGATGAGGACGAGGCGTCTTGTTTCGTTGCAAGCGAGACTAAGGTAAGGCAATGAGGGGTTCGCGGTTGGGCCGTTGATACTAATACATACCTTTTGGACTCGACTTTTACCGTGGAATAACTCTGCGCGCGAGCACTTTAATTGTTCTTGTTTATTTTCTTGGATGAAAAAAGGAGACGGGGGAGGGGGATTTCATATATATACACATTCACATATGAAAGGGCCATCAATGCAGAGCCCACTAATTGCTCTATTGGCTGGCCCGAAGGTCCTTGTGTCGCCGAGGCATTCATTCTCTTGTCGGAGAGTCTCGGGCAAGGCTCCCTTGGTGGTGGACCTTTGGGGCAATGGACGATGCGATTCTTGCCGATGGTCGAGCGATTCACATGCCGGGAAGACGGAAATACCGCTGCTGGGAATAGGGGAAGAGGAAATATGGGGATGGGGATATCCACTGGCGCGGCTCCAGAGTGTCCAGAGGGGAATTATGTTCAAGAGGCTGCTTTGACTTCTGCCGAGCCCTCCCCGCCATGAATGATGATACCATTCCAGAGGACTCTGCCATCAGGGAACCATCTCCACCAAACCACCGGCTCGAATACCAGACACAAGCCGTTCGATACCCATCAGAGAATTATATCTGCAACCCTGACCTCCTCTCCAATAGAGACCGGCCGTCCAGTAAGGCCCATCCATCCAGTAAGGCCCGTCCATCCAGTATAAGGCGCACAATTTCACATGACACCAAATCTCATCATTTCTTTCTCAACAGCCAGTATTCATTCTCATTCTCAACATACCCTCCATTCTTTCAGGAGGGCGAATTCTATCCCGAGAACTACCTAGCAAAGACCATTGATGCATGCATTGATTGATTTTCATTTGAGAACCCCCCCAAAAGCCGTTACAAATCCCACGCTCATTCCTCCTTCTCGGCCACGGCCTTCTTGGCCTTGGCTCCCCGCAACTTCGGCGCTGGCGCCTCCTTCTTGGGCAGTTGCGCTCTGCGGATGGCGCTGGCGCGGGCGACGGCCGCGGCGCGGAGGTCAGGTCGGTATCCAGACTTGGCGGTCTGGCTGGCGATGGCCTTGTAGGTCCTGGAGAGAGAAGTCATCAGCATATATTTTCCAACGAGGTGTTTGGTGTCGAGGAGAACTAGAACTGGGCCGAGAAAATGGGGAGACAAACTTTCTGGTGGTCTTGTTGGCGCCGAAGGTGACCTTGTGCGACAGCTGGGCAGGTCGCTGGGGGTGCTTGGTCTTCTTGGTGATGACGGTGACGCCGCCCTTCTCAGCTGGGAGGACACCGACAGCCTATATCTCTCACATCAGTGACCCGTCCAAAGAACCCTTCTCAACCCCCATTCGTATAATCTGCATACCTTCTCGTTGACGAAACCAGCGTGCTGTCATCCTATTAGCTATTGCATCTTCTGCCCGACTTGGAATACTTACCTTGCGCGAGTGCAGGTTGGTCAGGTTGAGAGGGTCACGGGAGAATTGAACACCTCCGTTGGTGTTGCGCTTCACGAGGAAGGCATTCTGGTTTCCTGCGCGAGGATCAGTCTCAGAATCTGTATGCGATCTTCCCAAGCCGCATCCTCCATCCCATCATCCATCATCCCTCATCCCTCATCCTTCCATGAATCCATCCCTCGCACCCAATTTGGCCCTCTCGCCAGCTAGAAACACACACGGACAGAGACAAGGGAAGAACATACGAGTGACCTCCCAGATCAGGTCCGCAGACACGTTGTTGTGATGGCTGTGTACGGTCGACATGTTGGCTGTGGGTTGCTGACTCTGACGTCTCTTCTCGTCTTCTCAAATTCTCAAGCAACAACTTCCTGCGAATATTCGAAATTCCCTAAGCCTGTGTGCGGCAAAATGTGCGCCCTCCATGATTGGTCCTCGCTTCCGACCCCGGCTAGACCCAACATCGCTAAGCGCATCTTTTGCCCATGATCCCTCGCAGCCTCAGGCAGGAAGACAAGCGAGGCGGGCCCTTTCGTCAGCAGAACATGATTAAGCATATAATCGCATCACGACCCCTTCGAGACGGGATCGACGGCATCTTGAAGCTCTCGAAGCAGAAAAATCCTACCCAAGGCTTTTCGAATATGGGCAGGCTTTGATCTTGCCTTGCCCGCCTCCTCTCCTACCTACGCCTCATCTCTTTCTCGGTCCTCGTCTTATTCTTTTGATATATCAGCTTTTTGAAACCCTCCTCGTCTCTCGTTCCCTTTGACTCTCCTACCTTACCCGCGAATCCAACTTCGGCTTCAAGAAGAGAAAATCGACTTTTCTTTTACCTGCCTCCTACCTACCTTACCTACAGTACCTAGTAACTCGTGTGTTTCTCCCCCGCGCCAAAGACAAACATGGCATACGTACTCTACACCAGCGTCTTCATCCTCCTCATCATCTCCAGCAGTACGTTATAATTGTCCCCCTCCTCCCTCCTCCCTCTTCCACTCTAACCCCCCTCCCCAAACAGTCCTAATCTTCACACGACACCACTGGCTTCCCCACCTTCCACACCTACCCTTCATCACGCCCTCCTCACCCAGCTACCAAACGCTCCCCACATTCAACACCGACATCTCCTCCGGTCTATCATCCACGACCTTCGACCTAACCACGAACCTCGCCTCCGCGGACCCCCGCGCTGGTCTCGACACCCAGGCTAAGACCGAGATCAAGAAGATTATGAAGAGCCAAAAGGTCGGCTTTGACGAGGCGAGGAAACTTTATGTGGAGCGCAGGTTTGGAGAGAATGGTATCGCGCCCGATGGGAGACCTAGGGATCCGAAGTTTGTGAGTTTTTCGTAGGCTCGAGGAAGAGAGAGGACAACCCAGGCTTCAAAACCGCTCTTGAGATTCCAAAAAAGAATCTAAACGCTTCACGAGATCCGCCCTCACGAACAGCGGATTAGAGCAGCAGAACCAGGGTTACTGGGTTGGCAAGCAGAAACAAAAGAAGGAAGAGAGAACTTTCATCTCATCTATCAACTGAGCGTATTTACCAGCGGGCGTTTTTGTCTTGTTTTTCTGGATTGGATTGGATTGGATTGCAATTGCAATTGCATTGGGATGGATGCATATGGATTACTGATCGGCGTACCCCGCCCCGCGTCTGCTGTTTGTTGGCTTAACACTACCTACCATGGACATCGAATTTCTTTTGTCGAGATATACTCAGGAGGATGGATGGAGTGAGGAAGGGATTCTATAGAGAGCTACCTTACCTTACCTTACCTTACCTATACCCACCTAGCATAGGGTCATGCGATTTTCTCAGCTCGTCACTCTGATACACACATTCAACATGCAAGGTTCCTTGATAGAACACTAATCTTGTGACATTTCCTTCTCGTCTCATCTTTGGACTACCTAATTATTTTTCATAGCCCAGAGCCACACACACACACACAGATGCTTGAACACTGCGAGAATACACAAACAGGGAAGTGCAAGGAGTAGGAACCCGCAGATCACGCTCGCGTCAGTACGAAAATCCCCATCCTACCTCCCTTACGCCAGTGATTCGCCTTTATTAAGCACTCGATCATCATCCCTTCAAATGCTTTCAAAATTTCCCGGACCCTACCCTGCAACTCACGGGAAGGGCTTGTAGCTCCAGATCCTCGCCCGCATATCTCCGGATCCGGTAGCGAATGAGCCGCCAGAGGGGCTGGGTGCCACCGAGATGACCGAGTTCTTGTGGCCTTGCAACATGAGTTGCGTGTTGCCGGTTCGCGGATCCCAGAATTGCACCCCGCGGTCCTTGGATCCGGAGAGGACCCAGTTTCCATCTGGGGTGAGGGCAACCGAGAGGACGAAGTCCTGAATCAATTGTCAGTATGGAAAACGCAACATCACAACAGGAAACTTACCTTGTGTCCCTCGAAAGTCCTGATGCACCGTCCACCCTTAGGAGCGGTGTTGGGGTGTCCACCTCTGGGTGCAACAAGCTCCCACATCTTGATCGTCTTGTCCAAACTACCAGAGACGAGATCCTTTCCGTTTGGCGCGAAGGCAACGGAGTAGACGGAATCCTTGTGGCCGTCTGGTCCTTCGAGACGCTCGACGAGGTAGCCGGTGGCGGCATCCCAGACCCGGACGCTCTTGTCAAGAGATCCAGCGGCGACATACTTCGTGTCGGGAGAGATCGCAACGGTGGTAACACCATCCTCGATACTGAGGGTCAGGATATTCTGACCCGCTTCAATATCCCAGAGGCGCACCGTACGGTCGCCACTGCCAGATGCAATGGTACGGCCATCACGAGCGAAGTCGAGCGAGTAGATATCTTGCTCGTGACCGGCAAAGGTGTTCCTGATGGATCTGGTGGCAATATCCCAAACCTAGGCACTGTCAGTATACGATTCGACAGATCACCTACGGGAGGGGTAACTCACCCGGATCAGCTTATCCTCTGCACCGGTTGCCAGGAATCTTCCATCTGGACTGAAGCACACGCTTCTGATGTAGAGATCGCCAACCGAATCCACCGACTCGTCTTGGAGGATGCAGATCTTCTGTCCGGTAACAACGTCGAAAATCTGAGCCGATCGGTTGCAGCCCGTCGCAACATATTTGCCATCATGGCTGAATCTGACGCAGCAGACAACACTCTCGTGCTGGAGGGTGTGGACCAGGTCAACGTCAAGGATGCGAGGCACGCCAGGGTTGAAGATGGCAAACCAATCTGATTCGACCTTCTTCTGGTGCGCGGGGAGACGCTCGAGATCCAGCTCTGCAAGGGCGTTCCCCACATTGCTGAATGGTCCCACGCGGTGGTCAGGAACGGGATGCCCAACCTGAGGGGATGCCGCGGCTCGGGGGTCTGAGTATGGGATCGGTTGACCCATCGAGGGCGTTGCTGGACCGCCGCCCGGTCCACGATTTCCTAGACGTGGTCCTTTGCCGGGGCCTGGAGATGCTGTCGGCGGAGGAGGCGGGTTAGCATAACCGTTCGGTCCTGGTCCAGGAGGATAGTTCGCACTCTGGAACGGAGGGGCCTGGGGTGGTGGGGGAGGCGGCCCTGGCTGGGGCATCTGATGTTGTGGAGGACCTTGTTGATCTGGTTGTGGTGGGGGAGGAGCCAGACCCGGCGCTCCCTGTCCGCCCTGCGTCATGATCCCGCCGAAGAGGTTGCTCGGGCCATGGCCGATGGAGGGGGGCGCTTGGGAGGGGCCAGTATGCTGAGGGGGAGCGCCAATGCCCGAGGCGCGAGGGTTACCACCGCGCGCCTCGAGCTCGCGATGGAGACGCTGGATCTCCTCGTCGTATCTATGACGGTGTCAGTAGAGGAGCGCGTCAGAGACATGGAGAGATGCTACTTCTGCTTCAAGGCCAAATGTGTCTGTTCCATTGTATAAACCTTTTCGCGAACCATCTGCATCTCGTTGATCTGTTGCGCGACTGTGAGGAAGGAAAAGTCAGCTAGAGTCCCCGCAAACCCAGCGGCGATAGTAGAGTGTGCTCTCTTACTAGAGTGTTCATATTCCCCACTTGCTCGAGCCTGGTTCTCGAACTCTGCGCGGATGCCATCCAGCAGCTCGTTCAGGCGGGCACTGCCGCCCTGGGGAGGTGGCGCGAGACCACGGTGCTGGTTGTACATGGACATGGTGATGGAGACAAATGGATGGTGGGTTCAATGGCGGGATGTGAATATGTGAACCGTGGATGGCTCTCGCTCTCTGCGGTGCCCTCGTGCTCTATGCTCTAGAGAGCGCTGTCAATCGACGGGGGAGACGGGTATTTGAACTGGTCGCTGGTGAGTTGACGGAGCCTGAGACGGGGTGGTGCGCCCGGATCAGGCTGAACGGGCGCGGTCTGTAGCTCAGCGCTGCAGCGTAGCAGCGGTATGGTTGGATGCTTCGACGCGCCGGGAAGATCTCCTTCCAGCCTGCGGACGAGGGCAATGGGAAGAACTGATGCGCCTGATGTGATGCGACCGATGGGGAGGGGGGAGGAGGAAGAGGAGAGGAGGGAGAAGGAGAGGAGAGAAGAGAGATGGAGGAGATGGGAGGAGGAGAGGGGAAAGGAGAGGAAGAGAGACGCGATGTGAAGATGTGGCGATGTCCCAAAGTGAAGATGTTGATGGAGAGGACAAAGGTGGTTGTGGTGGTGGAGGTGGAGGGAGGTGGAGTTGTGAGAAAGACGAGACGAGACGAGACGAGAAGAGAGGTACGTGGGAAGAGAACCCACCGACGCAAATCCGGTCAGTGGTTTCCCCCCAAACTCCCCCAACCCACGGCGCTAAGGGAAGGCGAACCCTTGCAAAAAGGGAAGACTCCCGTGCGGCCTGACGATGGTGGCCTGAGGAATGAAAGACGCGGGATGGGCTGGTGGCTGGTGGCTGGTGGCTGGTGGCTAGTGACTGGTGGCTGGTGACTGTAGATGTGGCTGTGTGGCTGTGGCTGTGGCTGCCCGCTGACATAATGCATGTACGGGGACAGGGCAGGAGTACGGGGTAAAGGTGCCTTAGGGTTGATACTGTAGGGTTCTGGCTGATCAGACAGCAATCAATCATTCACCCTTCATGGAAGGGAAAACATCATGGATAGAAAAACATCACGGCAAGGAAAACATTACGGCAAGAAAAAAGAAAACAGTCATGCCTCTGCACCTGCATAAACTGCCCTCTCCCGCAGACCAGCTCCCGCTCATCAACAGAAGACGGCGGGAGATCCAAACCTGCAGCCGCCCTTGGATGGTTTGTTTCCAGGTTGTCACAGTGGAAGGTGTGGTCACGTGATTGACTCGATCTCCAGGTACCTGGGTAGGTATTGAGGATCTGAGAGTTCAAATCTGAGAATCTGAGAGTGGGGATCTGAGGTCATCTCGATGGAATGACACCAAGACACTGGAGCGGCTGGGCCCTTCTCTCCAGCGCCTATTAGATTTCATACTTCATGGACGTCTCGGTCTGGACCCTCTCCAACGACTTGATATATGGAGTCACGTGATATGCCTTCCCAGCTCGCCAGCTTAAGGTAAGGCAATCGATTGACCTCTCTCGTAGGGGATGGAAAAGACGAAGCGGTGATGGAGGAGGGAGGAGCCGTGTTCATCGCATCTAATCAATCTAATCACCGATCCATCATCTACAGACTACAGTAAGGTACACGGTACAGGACCACAGTAGTAAATCAGGTATCACGATGCCCCGGGTATCTCGAAATCCGATGGAGGTCAGTCACACCACAAACATCGCCTTACTCCTTAGAAATCAGGACCGCGCAATTACGGACTTAGCGCCTCACCAGCAGCGGAAATCGCGGTGTCTAACCCGAAGGGGCAGTGCCCTCGCGCCGCTGATTGGCCAGGAACCAAAGGTGGTACGAGTTCCAGCACCAGCGCGTCCTGCCCTCCGCCGTAATCCCGAGTACGACGCCCCGTCCAGGAACCGCAGTCAGGGCTCCCAGGGCTACGGTCGACCACAGCGCCATGCAGGACAGGAGACCGCAGGAGAAACATGTCGCCGTATTCGTATTTCCGAACAAATATCAATAACCACCCCCCCCCGGGTTGGCAACGCTTCAATCTCCATCTCAATCTCCATCTCCAACTCCCTCCAACTCCCTCCCTCTCTCTTCTCCCTCCTCTCCGCCCTCCCCTCTCCGCCCACCTCCGCCGCCCTCCACTCCGTCCTTCGCTTCATTCGGCCTCAACCACGACATCTTGCTCGACTTCAATTCCCCGCGACTGCGACTCCATTCCCGCTTCTTCGCGCCCCTTGGCGAGCCCCCCCCCTTTCCCATTGCCCACGCTTTTCCTCCGCCCGCCATGGATATCGCCCTCGAGTTCCTCGACACCTTCGTCTTTGATTACTTCTACGCCGCGCTTCTCCCCGTCCGCCCCGCGCCTTACATTCTCGGAGATGGCTTGTCCAATTCCACAATGGCCGACATCAAGGCCGCCTCGCCCTGGGTGCACCACTCCACTACCCAATTCCTCTCCTTGGAGCCCCGCGATGCCGCATACCTGAGCCAGTGGAATCGCGACAACCCGTACCGCCAGCTGCTGTCACTCTTCTTCATAACATGGTCAGTAGCCCTGCCGCGCGCCCCAAGATCAAAGGTCAAGGTCTAATATGTCCCCCCGCAGGTTCGGCGGAGCCATTATTTACTTCATCGTCTCCACCATCTCCTACGTCTTCGTCTTCGACAAGACCACCTTCAAACACCCCAAGTTCCTCAAGAACCAGGTCCGCATGGAGATCCGCCAAGCCTCGCTCAGCATGCCCGGCATGGCCATCCTCACCGTCCCCTTCTTCTTCGCCGAGATCAGGGGCTACTCCAAGCTCTACGACGCCCTTGATGCCGGGCCCGGCATGTGGTACAACTTCTTGCAATTCCCCTTCTTCATCCTCTTTACCGACGCCTTCGTCTACTTCATCCACCGCGGCCTGCACCACCCGTCCGTCTACAAGACCCTGCACAAGCCGCACCACAAGTGGATCATGCCCTCGCCCTACGCCTCCATCGCCTTCCACCCCGTCGACGGCTTCCTCCAGAGTACCCCCTACCACATCTTCCCCTTCCTCTTCCCGCTGCAGAAGTTCGCCTACCTGGGCCTCTTCGTCTTCGTGCAGATCTGGACCGTCTTTATTCACGATGGAGAGTATGTGGCCAACAGCCCCGTCATCAATGGCGCCGCCTGCCACACGATGCACCACCTCTACTTCAACTACAACTACGGCCAGTACACGACGCTGTGGGACCGCCTGGGCGGCAGCTACCGCAAGCCCAACGACGAGCTATTCCGGAGGGAGAGCAAGATGGGCCAGAAAGAGTGGGAGCGACAGGTCCAGGAGATGGAGCGACTCGTCAAAGAGGTAGAAGGCGAGGACGACCGGACGTACGGGGGCGAGGAGCTAAGCAAGAAGGACATCTGAGGAGGAGGACACGAGTTAGACGAGACGAGACGAGACGACATGGCTTGCTTGATCGGGTTATCGCGGCAGGGGTCGCGCGGGGAAAATAATACCTTACTACTAATGATTCGAATTCAACAGTGTGGCGCGAAGAGATTGTAAATATGCGCTTGCACATAGGGGTCTTGTCTGCATCAGCTGGCGTTTCTGTAGAGTTTCTTGTTGTATCAAATCGTATTATCAGGGGGGGATGATGGAGGGCCCTCGCTCACACATAGACGCGGCTGTGGTCGCGCCCACGCAAGCACGCATGTCACGTTAGTTATGTTTTTGTAATAATCACACACTCGTTTTGATGTCTTGGTATGTAATGTGAAGTTTTGAATGATTTGTTGGATTGTTGTTTCTGAATAGTAGTAGTAGTAGTAGTAGTAGTAGTAGTAGTAGTACGGGAATGAATGTATATATACTCCCCCCCCTTCTTTGTGGGACTCTTAAGGTACCTTACCTTACCTTACTTTACCTACCTTATACACCACCCCCTCTTTCTCTTCTTATCTCTAAAGAGACAAAGAGAAGATTCCTAGGCTGAATAGGTAAGGTAGGTAAGGAGATGATACTCTGTACTGGTTATCTAATAGAGAGTTTAACGTACGCTTTTTTTTTTCTTTTTTTTAATTTGACTAATAGGTGAGAGTGTGAAGGATTTAGAGGGTGTTTAGAGGGTGTTATTGTCGCTGTGAGTATTATACTGTCGCTGTGGCTATTACTATCGTTGTGGCTATTCACTGTCGCTATCACTACCTATATTCCATAAACGTTGTCTTCTCCACAGCGCTCTCCCCCTAATCTTCTCCCGCGAAACGAAAGTTATAGCCAAAAGGAGCGACAGAAGACCAACCACAAAAGACGCGATATTCCCTTTTGTCCACCCAATGTTTCGAATCTGTACGCAGGTAGGTAGTGACAAATCCCCATGTATCTAGGTAAGGTAGATTGAAACTCCAAGTCATGTGCCCTCGCTTATTAATCATGTATATGGTAAGGTAACGTCTGGTAGCTTGATCAATCCACAGACTTAACACAAACGATCAAGGACCGCCCCTTACACTGACCAGGTCACTGGCTTTGGTCTTTGTGGCACGCTCAAGCTCCTCGATACTGTGTTGTATCGAGCTATATCGCCAGCACGACTGCTCAAGGATCCTTGTAGGAGAATGCCAAGCGCATTGCTGTATACGACATCCCATGAATGAGTTCCTAACAAGACTAGTATTTAGCAATTGTGATCGCAGGAATAGAATGGACAGTGTCCTACCGTAGTCTAACGCATCAGAGACAAGAGCATTCACGATACGAGAGACAAGCTTTGATGTGATCTATAGTTTCTCTCGAACTGGATCCTTTGTGATTACACCTTGGTCCATTAGAAGCTTCATCGCACTTCACGACGAGAGCTGTCAGTTTTGTCGAGTTTAAAACCATGATGACGGAAGATGAGTCCTGAAATCAGATGCTTGATCCCGCTATTAACGTAAGTATAGGCAATGGCCTCGCGAGACTTGTCTCGAGTATGTGAACTTACAGCCCATTACAGCTTCGGCGATACTAGAGCTAAACGCTCCGAAGATAGTTCGAAACATAGGGTCACACCGTCACAGTCACACTTTGCCCTGAAGATTTCGAGACGGTGCTCATCACAGGTCACGAGAGCGGCCTAGATAGGGGGGCGGTTCCTGCGCCTAATCTGGGCTGCAAGAGCTCGAATCTGCTTCTTCCGTACATCAGAGGGCGCAAATCGTTCTCGAATAGCGAAAGCTTCGGTAAGGACGACAGCGGAAGATGGGGAGGCAGCAGAAGGTTTAGTAGGTAGATTGGGAGGAGGGCCTGAGGAGCTTGCCCTTTGAACACTTAGCCGTCGTCTGGCCATGGCGAGGAGCTTGACGGATGTGGGATTCGACCCTTCGTGTGAAACTCCTCTGTCGGGATGCGAGCTTGGCTTTAAGATCTCGGCCGTAGCCGGGGCGACAGGATGCGCGGCGACGGCGGCTTTGACCTGATCAGAGAGGGCGAGAAGGCGTCACTCATTGTTTGCAGGCTTATTTCGGGTGCAGAATCCGGGCCACGACAGAAGAAACCTCTCGATATCTTCCCTGGTCGAGATGTCGTTAGGCCTAAGTACTGAAAGAGAGAATCAGTTAGCATGAATATCATCGCAATTGGCTTTGAGGCGAGTAGCTAGACAAGGATGCTGTCTAAAGCGGGCGTCAGCTTACCTCTTCTTGAGCGTGTTCTGCTTGAAACTATCAAAGCGGTCGATAGCGACAGTAACAGCGATAGCGACGGCGATAAGGTAGTGACACCTTAAATCTGCCCGTAGGGTACGTCAAACTATTAGATAACCACGCAGGGTATGTTAAGCTTTCGGTCCTTGTAGCATATTATCTGTTAGACGAATAATAAGAGAGTCTTAATTTCTTGAGTGAAGGAGTGGCTGTCTATTAATACAGGAGGGTTGAAAGAACTGAGTGTTGAAAGAACTCAGTGTTGAAAGAACTGAGGGTTGAAAGAACAGCATGTTGCCTTCCGTCCACAAAGGGACTAGGCAGCCAGCCTTAAGCATATATCACGTGCCTTAACTTCTAACAGGATTTGAGTTGATTTGATTCGATCTTTCCCCTTCCCGTGTCTCTTTTTCCCCCTCCCCCCCCCTCCCTTAAAAGGGATCTTGTTAGGGAAGGGAAATTTGGGGGGGTTAAGAATTCTGAATATTTTTGACTTTTCTTTATCATACTATAATCACGCTAAGATGTAGAATAAGAAAGGAAGAGGAGATTTGTTAGAATTAGAATTATTATTCAGCCTCAGGGGTATCTCTCTATCTTCTTCTTCATCTTCATCCCAGGAATTGGTCTGAATGCTATATATATAGCTTATACACACTTACACCTTTCCCACACTCCCGGCCCCTCTTCGCTCGCTCACTCACTCACTCATTCACGCAACCTCCCCTTCCGCGGGCGGCGGATAATAAACTGGCTCCTGCGCATTCTGCAACTCGACGTCTTTAGGCTCTGCAGGCGGGGCGGGAACGGGAGCTTTGGACGGTGTGCAGTGGCCGTCTGCCTTGCGGTGGCGGTGCAGATGGAGACTGAGGAATATGAGGGTTATTGTGAAGAGGATGCTTGTTGTTTATTAGCTTCATTCATTCAGGCCTCAAGAAGGAAGACCTGGGGAAGAAAGGGAGATTATGAGGATGGGGAGGATTGAAATAACAAGAGGAGAATGGAACCATACAATTCTAGCCCCCCTAATCCACAAGCCGCCGCCAACGCATTCCTATACGTATACACGCTATCGCGCTTCCCCAGCACCCCGCGCTTCCTCGCGCACAAATCATAAAGCCCCGTGAAAGCATCGTAGGCGCACGAGAAGCCGCCGTGGAAAGCCCAGCTGTAGTCGGCAATCTCGGAGGCGAGGAGGGAGAAGGAGATGATCCAGAAGATGATGGAGAAAATGTCGAGACCCAGGAGCGCCCAGTAGTTGTAGATGATGGGCCAGACGAGGGAGGCGAGAAGGACGTAGCTGGAGATTATGATGGTGGCGAGTGCCTAGGGGGTGTGTGTTAGGAGGAGGGGGAGGAGGGGAGGGTTGGAAAAGGGAAGGGGACGTACGGTGAAGAGCATGAGGGAGTCGCCATCGAAAGAGAAGTCGGTCACACCGTAGGCGGCGAGGCCGAGAACGGTGATGCCAACTACGAGCTGGGCAATGCGGATTCCGAGGAGGAATTTGGGTTGGGGGAGGACGTGAGCGGTCGACATGATGGCGAGTAGGAGTAAGGAGTAAGAGATGAACTTCAAGAGCGCAAGATCTCTGAAGAAGAAGGCGCACGGCAAACGCAGCAAGATAGGACAAGAACGAGAGGACAAAGCAAGCAGGAGAAAAGAGAGGGAGATATAATTACAAGCCTAGCCAAGGGGAGAGCCCTACTTTATGACTGGATTCCGGGAGGCATCATGAACCTCCTGCTCTCAGCCGCATCTGCTTGATATGAGACGCAGCCACTCGGCGGCCTCCATTCCCGCCCTCTTCCCAAACCAGACAAGAAAAGCGACTGGATACAGAAAAAAAAGGGGATCCCCTGCCATAAGGCACTACCCAAGGCGCTTCCCCCAGACCCGGGATCAGGTGTTGCGAGACGTGGCGCGCACGACGCTGGGCCGTCCCCGAAGATTCGCAGGACTGGCCTCAAATGCTCCGCTGTCATTGGAGAGACGAGACGTCGTGAGCGAAGGGGAGGGTTGCTAAAAGAAGAAGCGGGATGGAAAAGGAAATTCAGATGGCACTGTGACTTGACTCCGATGCTGGAGCTGAACAAGCACCGGCGCGCAGGCCTGGACGGCAGGGGGCACACGAGTGATATAAGGTTTTATGATGGCTGCAGATGTGGTGCAAGGCTGAGAGCACCTTTGTCTGCTTGTGTGTTTCCCTACGTGTCTGGTCAAGAGAAGTCACATAACTTATGTAGAAGTCAACTCTTGTCATTAGTTTGTTTGGAGGAGAAGCCATGCCAAGGCCCGAGCCGCTCTCCTCCCCCCTAAGGCAGCTACCAGGCAGCACGAGTCTCGCTTCGGCCCATCTCTGATTGGCCCCTCTCCCCTCCGAACCGAGGCACCCCCCTATCCAAGAGCTTAAACATACGGCAATCTCCATTATTCATGCACTCTGCACTATTAACCTTAAGTTCCTTTACCTTTGACGTGAAAAGCGTAAGAAGCAAATGGCTCAGCGATCGTCTCCCCAGTTCAGAAAGCGAGTCGTCCTCTCATTGGCCCTGTCTATCTCCGATGGCTTGCAGCTTCACTTTCCCCCAAATGAATCAATTGACTTGTTTGGTTCTCTCTTCAACAATCATTTCTCAAAATAGATCCCCGGATCTCACTCACCGAGTAATTCCTAGACACAAAGCACCACCCGACTCCGCGGCGGCGAGTACCTATCTTGTAACTGTTGCGGCTGCTCCGAGTCCTGCTGCTAGATGCTGGGCCCAGGAGCTGTGATCTGATGTGATGCGGTTGAGTGACATTGTAAATGCTGACTTGCTTGTGCTGGTTGGGGAGTTGGAAGAAGAGAAATGGCGATGAGACGCGCATGATGCACGTCTTTGATGATCGTGAGATGTGAGAGCTGATGATGGAGTTGAGAGTCTGTCCCTTCCTTGCGAGACGTTCGCTCATTGCGCAAATTGATGGATCGATGCCCTTACCTGGGGTAAAAAACAAGAATCTCAGATATATGGGACCCCACTCATTGTACAGTTCATAGAACCGTTATTATTACTAGTCACTAGTCACTTGATAACCAGACAGGCATGTATGCACCATCCCTCTACTCAAGCGGATATGCAATGCGTAGCCACAATCCTGACATAACGGGCCTCTCAACCCTTCCCAGACGCCTGCCGATACTTTCAAAGGTATGCCCTCCCTTGCGCTCATGCCTCCTAGAACGCCGTATGGAATCTTCACTAGACCAGCCCCACGGTAATCATGCGAAAACTATTGTACAGGCTGCTGCAGGACCTCTTCTAATGCAACTTATTGACCCAAAGAGATAACAAAGGAGACCACGTCGTCAGCGCGGGTATGTTGCCGACGACGGCCGGTACATGGACGTGCTGGGGTCGGGAGGTTGTCCATAGCCATTATTGTATTGCCGTTTCGCCGGCCGAGCTAACGGCTCGTCGTCTTCGTCGCCGCTGGACGTCAGATCGATGACAGCGGCTATGGGGCGCTTCCCGCTGGTGGATCCGAGGTTCATCGCCGCTGTGGATGATGGCTCGCGGGCGGCCGGTGTCCCGTACGCGCAGGGAGTGCTTACTCGTACACTGTCGCCAGACTTTGTGACCTCAATAAGATCATCATCATCATCACTCGCAACACCGTTCGACTTCGACAGTGGTTCTGGCTTGGTATGCAACTCCCATTTACCGTCCGGTTGTATGGTCACTTGATCCACAGACCGGGATGTATTCTTCAGGATATCCTTGACGTATCTGGCAAGCCGTCAGCACATGGCAAGGAATGGGATGGACCTGGACCTACTCATCGACAGCCAAGTTTTCAAAAGGAGCCGAGTTATTGCATATAGGGCAAAGCCATGTTGGGCCCTGCTCCTGCAACTGCAGGTACGATGTAGCATCAAAGCATTGGACATGCCGGCAAGATATTGATCTGCATGGTAGGTCGATCCTCAGTGTTGATAATGGACATTTAAGGGATAGGACCGTAGCAGTTGTTACAATATCTGGGTCTCGAGACTTGTCGACCACTAGATCTGAGTTAGTAAGAGTCATCATAGAATCCAGAACACTCACTGTCGTTAACAACTGATTCCTTGGTTATGCGTCGGCCCGTTTCCAGTTTCTTCACCAGATCCACCACGGATACTATCTTCACCACGTAGATGAGTAGATAGAATTTCTGTTCCAATTGTCAGCACGACCACCCATTTACAGCGGCGCAGAGGGAAGAAGTAGTGTGTATGTAATGCAGTAAGAACTTGGAGTATAGGGGCTAACTTGAAGAGGGTAGCCACTCGCCTTATTTGTCAGGGCGTAGGTCATCTCAACATTGTTGGTATATGTTGGAACCTTGAGACGTAGCTCCTTCGTGATATCTACTGGTCTCGTAGAGCCCGGTTTGTTCTTCAACCCGCGTAGGTTGGCCTTAATCTCTCCCCCATTGACCTTGATCTCCGACTGGTGAGGAAAGGCGATATCTTGCTTGCCATGGCCCTCCGCAGCACAGAATACCATTACTCTTAGTGATGGGTCTAGTAAAACTCTCGACAAAATCGGATAATCCGAGACTCTCAGGCTGATAAGGACGGTATGTCGATGTGCCGTCATTACTAAAACAAGCCGTCAGCCTTGCGCACTCGCACCACGGCAAGCTAACTCCTCCTTACCTTGACATTCCTTCGTTTCAGCGAGCTGCTGTTGAATTGTGTAGAACGGGCTGGGCTTGAATTCCAAACCTAGCAGCGATCAGAGCCTGTGGGTAGCGCGCCGAGGGTTGGGCTTACTTTGATATCCTCCAAACCGAAGGTTGTTCAGTCCTGCCCCCATGTTGTATCCGCTGCCCGAAGCGACGCCCATGTAGGATGGAGTACCGGTGGCAGCTGGGGACAGTGAACTTGTCATGCTGGAGTATTGTGAATTACTAGGCAACAGCGAAGAAGGGTTCTCGATCATTCCCTTCAGGCGATTGAATGCGATGACATCTCCCCGCCGCGCATGGTCTCGAATTCCTGAGAAGTGAGAAGGTCAGTCTGGGCAGAACATATCGAAGCCGGAGCGAATAGGGGCAGGTAGGGCTAGGCTCGAGGCTCCCCGTCAAAGTACATACTGTCGATGATCCGTTGTTGGAGCTCAGCCTTGACTCCGTTCTTGTTCACGCCTTCGTTGCTACAGATCATCTGGAGAGTCCTGTTGAGCATGCCAGAGTTCTTCACCAACCGAGCGAGGGGCTCGGCATCGAGATGCCCACCCCCCATCGAGGCCATGGTGGGAGACTTAAGGATAAGGGAAGGCTTGACCGGTGGTCCAATACATAAGGACGAGAGGAGGTGGAGATGTTGTGTTGCGCTGCGCTGCTTGGGTCTCGGCGAAGGATGGGAGTGGCGGACACAGTCTTTGTCTAGCTTCGCATTCGCAGAGAGCAGACTTCTATCATGCCGTGAAGCTTTATAGCCTTTTTCATACTCGACCGTTCACGCTGGACGTTGGAGGTTTTCCCACGCGCCTCGTCACCAATTCATCGCCGAAAGAGGTCACCGCCTTTGCAGAAAAGAAAGTTTGCGCTTGCGGGGCTTGTCAAAATATCAAAATATTTCGCGATTCCTTCGACCACTGCGAATCATTGCGAGGTACCTACTTCAGACTCCAGCAACCCCTTCGAATTACCATTCGTAATTTAATTCTACACAATGGCGAAAAGCGCGCGAGCAAGCACGAAGAAGGCGAACCATCAGAGGCTGAAGAGTCGGGTTTTTGGGCCGGTTGAAGATGCACGGACGGAGAGACTCTCAGCAAAACTTCTTGAGTTGGCGTCGCAACCAAAGAAGAGAGAGGATGTAGTCATGGAGCCTCAAGAGGGTATGGAATATGGTCTTTGGTCAAAGTGTCAGATCTAACAACAAGCCAGGCTCCACCGAACAAAACAGTGCCGCCCCGACCGCAGAGAGCAAGGAGACTGAAGGTACAATACTTGCCCACATCTACCATTCTACTTAACGAGGTTCTAATACTATAATTCAGGTATGGAAGTTGATCAAGATGCCTCGAAGAGTACCTCCAAGCCGAAGTCTTCTAGAAAAGGCAGGATAGAGAAGAGACGAAGCAGCCGCAAAGCTTCAATCGTGTTCCCGAAGTACAAAAATGGCAAAAGAGTTGGGCCCAAGACGAAGGGAAGAAGATAGGCCATTAGTACAGAGTTCAATTTCTTATGGTTGCAGAGGCGTTATGGGGGTTCATTCTGCAAGGAGTTCCGGGATATGTGCTCCTGTGAGGGGATTTCCTTTGGGGCAGACGTGGGGTTTTCCTAAAATTTGCAGGCCGTTGTCTTGAAGATATCACCATATAACCTGTGGAATTCTGAGTATGGATTAGCTATGTCGAGTTCATGAAAACACATTGGCTTGGCACTTGACTTGCTTCCAGCAATATACCTAATGAATGGATATCATGAATAAATTTCTTGCCAGTCCGATAAGCTCTCCTTATCGCTTCCGGTACCTTTTGGGCAAGACGCGTTCGCCAAGACAGATCACCGCGATGCCGTGTTAACTTCTTGAATACAACTCTTTAATGACAGCGATGACCCTGCGACTGGGCTTCGCGCTTTCACATTAGGAAATCTCTTGTTGAAAGGTCTGCGAAACCCCAGTCGTGGACTGGGTTGCCATTCGTCGAAATGACACCCGGAACTTCAACTCTATTGCTCACCGCAGCTAATATCCTGATTCCCATCGCAATTCTTACCTTTGCGAGTGGCTTCTTCCCTTACAAACCATTTCTCCCTGGTCTAGCTGAATATGAACCTCTCGAATATGGCCCTCCGCCTGAGGCGCCGTTCGACAAACTCGTATTCATGGTCGTCGATGCTCTCCGGAGGTAGGGAACCACCATTGGGGATTCGGGGAGAACTAACATTCGCAGTGATTTTGTCTATTCCGGACTTTCTGGTTTTGCATTTACTCAGAGGTATGCTTCAGTAATCTACGAGATAATGAGATAGCAGGCTAATCTGTGCTTATAGTCTCATTTCCAGCGGAGCAGCAATCCCTTTCACAGCCCACGCTACATCTCCTACCATTACAATGCCAAGGATTAAAGCCATTACTACCGGGTCTATACCGTCCTTCCTCGATGTTATTCTAAACTTTGCAGAATCAGATACTACATCATCTCTAGCCACACAAGATACCTGGCTTGCACAAATGAAGGCAAAGGAAGCGGGCAAAATGGTCATGTACGGGGATGATACGTGGCTCAAACTCTTTCCTGGGATGTTTGACCGCGCTGATGGAACATCAAGCTTCTTCGTTTCGGTTAGTTGAGTCTAGAGAATTATAGATAGCATATAGCTGAATATAACTCCTCAGGATTTTACGGAAGTGGACAACAATGTTACTAGACATGTTCCTGAAGAACTGATGCATGATGACTGGAATACCATGGTCCTACATTATCTCGGCCTTGATCACATAGGGCACAAGACTGGACCACGAGGGTAGGATCTCGAAAATCCCAGATCCAGTGCTCAGCTGACATCTCGAAAGGCCAAATATGATCCCTAAGCAACGTGAGATGGATAGTATTGTCCGTCAGATTTACGAGGCCATAGAAACAGAAGAGTCTCTCAAGTCAACTCTGTTAGTACTATGCGGGGATCATGGAATGAATGATGCTGGTAATCATGGCGGTTCTGCCCCTGGTGAGACGTCACCTGCTCTGGTCTTCATCTCTCCAAAGCTCAAGACTATCACATCCGGTTTTGAATCTCCTGCTTCGTTTGAAGATGAATTCCAATATTATACTGTTGTTGAGCAGTCCGATATAGCCCCTACGTTGGGAGCCCTGCTTGGCTTCCCAGCGCCCCGAAATAATCTGGGAGCTTTCATTACTGACTTTCTCCCATTTTGGCCCAACAGTATGTGACAACACAAATCTAGTGGGGCTCTGAAACTGACAAGGGATAGAAAATGACCAAGTGCAGATCCTGCTACGGAATGCTAGACAAATTCTGAACATCGTCACTGCCACGTTCCCTGGTTTCGAATCCGACGGGGCTTCTGATGACTGCCATAAAGCCTCCTCTAGCACTGATGAGCTTGCATGTCAATGGAGAAGTATCACCCAGGACCTGGCTGAGATGAAGGGCGGAGAGCAAGACATTAACGGATGGCTGATAGCCGTATCAAAAGTAACTCACCTCCCCCTCATCATGTCACATTGCTAAATAATACCAGTGGTTAAAACAAGCACAGGAGTTGATGAGCAGCACTGCAAGCAATTATGATATTCCCAGGATGTTCACAGGCCAAGCCTTTGCTTCAATGGCCGTCTTGCTAGGATTAGTTGCTGCTGGTCCAACTCTTACACGCTCTGTGAAGACTAGCTCTCCTTTCGCTTGCATCATCTTGCTATATGGGGTCATGATGTTTGCAAGCAGCTATGTTGAGGAAGAGCAACATTTCTGGTACTGGGCTACTTCGGCGTGGCTAGTGCTTCTCTTGATCAAGCGGTACGTATCATTCTTCGCGCAAAAGCTCGGGGCTCATAAAGACTTAGCACTCGCATCTGGGTATACCCAGCTTTCTCAATTGTTCCCGTCTTTGCTGTAACCCTTCTTATGATAAGAATTGCCAGACGATGGAACCAAACCGGGCAGAAATTTGCAGGAGAGCCAGATATTGCTCGTGCCTTTTTCTCTGATCATAAAATGTTCCTTTGGGGACTTGTGGTTGTCACTTATTTGTGGAACATACAGTTCCTTTCAACCAATGGTTTCTCCCGCTTCCCCCAAACTGCTTCTGCTGTAATTGCAACAGCTCTTGCTACGGCATCAGCCACGTTCAAAGTGGCATTCACTGGTCAAGATTCCCCCGAGCTTATGACTGGTCTGATAAAGACAATGGCAGACAACGAGAAAGGGGCCTCTCTCGTGGCCCGCGCAAGGGTTACTTTCATTGCTATTGGCATCTCGCTGATCTATACTCTTGCCACTGGGCGTGGCCTGCCAAAACGTCCAAACCGTGAGTCTTTGCTACCCTTCATCTAGAACCTTGCATTGACTTTATTCAGCTACGATGAAAGCGGTGCATTATTTACTGCTCCTTTTTCTGATTACCCAATCCAGGGCTACGAACATACCCCTATTCCTGCTCTTTGAGGTTTTATCCCACCTCCTGAGCGATCTAGACCTCAACCTCGTCGAGATCACCACGACGTCCTTGCTCCTCCAATATATGTCTTTCTTTGCCTTTGGGGGTTCGAACGCCATTTCTTCCGTCGATCTCTCGAGTGCCTACAACGGCGTGAGCGGCTACAACGTGATCGCTGTAGGAGTTCTCACATTCGTCAGCAACTGGGCGGGTCCGATATTCTGGGCGTCTTCCACAAACCTCATGCTCTTGAAGTTGCATGAATCAGGACATAGGAACCTGCTGAAGGAACATCTGGCTTTGCTCACGGTCTTCGTGACGAGCAGTCTCTTCTTTGTCATGGCTGCTTGCACACTGCTGCGGACACATCTGTTCATCTGGACGGTGTTTTCGCCGAAATATTTATATAGTATGGCTTGGAGTATAGGCCAGCACCTGGGTATTAACGTGGGACTCGGAAGTCTGCTTTTCTGGCTTGGCACGAAATACACACAGAGGTGATTTTAATCTGGCTGTAATTGAAAAGCGAGTACCCAATAGAGTTAGAATTGCATTCACATCAGAAGTCTTCGTGCAAAGGCAGTTTAAGTTCAAATCAAACTATCGAACAAGTCATCAAAAGCGTCGCCCTTTTTCCGCTTCTTCTTCGGACGTTTCGCCGGTGTTGACTCGGCTCCCTTCGAAAGCTCTGCTTCTCCCATACTCCGTTTCTCTTTTTTCTCTTTCTTCCTTGACTTCTTGACTTCAACACCATCATCCCCTTCCTCCTCAGCCTCCCCAGTCTCTTTTTCTTTCCTCTTCTCCCCAGCGATCTCCTCAACCTCATCCCTCCGAACCACCTCTCCCAGATCCAGTTGCTCATGGTCCACCACTCCCTCAGCAACCGTCTTCTCCTCCGTACCCTCATCTTCCTCCCCCTTCCTCAAAGGCAGGATCAGCTTCCGGACCCTCCCTAACGTCGCCATCAGCATGAGTCCCAGAGCCGCATACTGATTATCCGCGACCAGACCCGAGAAAGCCCTAGATTACACATTCCACGCATTAGTCCCTCTTCCCTCCTTGCCACACCATATGCCCAATTCGCAAAAACTCACAAAAAACACCTCGGCATCAACAAGTCCCTGAAAAACCCCACCCGTCTCTCGACAGCCTCACGTGATCCCACCGTCTTCCTATGTCCCTGACCATACAGCAGCACCTCGCGATCAAGAGCCTCAAGCTCGATGATCAGCTTCGAGACGTGCCGTCGGAGCTGCGAGAATGCTTTCCACCATTTGGACAGCCGGTGCTGGTTCTTGTTGCGGTGGGCTGTGGCTAGGAGGAGGCCGGAGATGGAAAGGAGTTCTGGGTGTGGGGCTGGGGGCGCCATTCTTCGTGTGCCCGAACGAGATATGTTATGATGCTTTTAAAAGTATTGAGATGGTGAGCATATCATGGAAATGTACAGGCAGAGAAAGACATTTTGGCGGTGGGTTTTGGTGCGGCTTTGGGGTTGCAACTTTGTATCGAGAAATCGACCAGAGTTGAAAGGCTCGATGTGACACGTGACCAGATAAACCCCTCGATGGACCTTGGTGCCCCTGACGATCGATGGCGGGGTATTTGGGAACAGGACTTGGAGATTTGGGTGAATTAACGTTCTGGGAGTATTTTCGTTTTATTTTATTTGTTTTCAATCTTATTCATCTTACGTATCAAAGATATACGTACAATGTCCAGAGAGATATCCCATAGATGAGTAATCACCCCCAACCTTGGTGTTGCTTGTTGCTATTACGCGACTTCAAAAAACCCAGAATCTCAATTGCGAAACTCAATTGTGCTTCTGTTCTGCTCTTCTCCCGTCTGTTTTGCTCTCCCTCACTCTCCCTCTTCCACTCCCTCTTTCTCTCTTGTCTTTTCTCGCCGTCCTCACCCTCCCTCTCCCGCCCACCATGTCCGTCCCCGAGGACCAAAGCCTCGCGCCCTCCATCTCCGTCCGCAACCTCTCCTACACATTCCCCGACAAGTCCACGGGCCTGCACCAAGTCAGCCTCTCCCTCCCCCCAGGCTCCCGCACGCTCCTCATCGGCGCCAATGGCGCTGGGAAAACCACTCTTTTGCGCCTCCTCGCCGGCAAGCGCCTCGCGCCCTCGGGCACCATCTCCATCGGCGGTGTCGACCCCTTCAAGGACGGCCTCGAAGGCGTGACATACCTGGGTCTCGAATGGGTGCTCAACCCCATCGTGCGGACGGACATCGGGGTCGCGGAGCTGCTGCGCAGCGTGGGCGGCGACCACTACGCCGCGCGCCGCGACGAGCTCGTGCGAGTCCTGGATATCGATCTCGCGTGGCGCATGCACGCCGTGTCGGACGGCGAGCGGCGCCGCGTGCAGTTGGCCATGGGCTTGATCCGGCCGTGGCGCATCCTATTGCTGGATGAGATCACGGTCGATTTGGACTTGTTGAGCCGCAGTGATTTCCTGGCCTTCTTGAAGCGCGAGACCGAGACGAGACCTTGTACCATTGTCTATGCGACGCATATCTTGGATAATCTGGCGGCGTGGCCGACTCACCTGGTGCATATGAGTCTGGGGAAGGTTAAGGAGTGGGGGGCGATGGATCAGTTTAAGTTGACGAGGACCCCGGAGACGGGGAATAGCAGGCTGGGTGAGTTGGTGTTGGCGTGGTTGAAGGATGATTTGGCCGAGAGGGGTCCCAGGAATATGGGCGTTGGTAGTGAGGGGAAAGCGTACCTTAACCCGGGGGTTGGCGGGTATGGGAGTGAGCAGAAGCCGGTCTGAGCTGCTGGTTGCATTTTGGGTGGTGACGATGTGATGATGATGGTCTCTTTCTGAGTGCCCGATTTTGCTTTTGCTTTTCCTTTTGCTATGAGCGCTTCAACGGCTCTTCAACACGGTGCATGCATGGTTGGCGTAACATTTAACATACCCAGGTGTCTTTTATCACTACGGACTCAACGATTTAGAGCTTGTCTTTATATTAAACATGGCAGGCGCAGCATCTAGCATACATGGGTCCCTCTCAAGACTCAGCAAGATTACAAGAATAGACGCGCAAAGAGCCATCCTCGCTCGCAATTGCAAGTTCCATCCCGCTCTCCCCTGGATGAGCTCTATTTGCAGGTTTCCAAGCCAACTGTGTAATTGCCCTTGCCGGGTTCGCGTAAGAGCTTATTATTCCCTCATTAGCTAGATTCCTTGCTCGGTCTGAAAAGGGGCACTTACATTGGAGAAGCCAATTCGATCTCCTGAGCGGAAAAATCTCCCTTGATAACCAAGCTGTAGATCTTAAAGTGGCCCGTCTCCATCCCGACTGCGAGACACACCTGACCATCCCCTGTCTCCGCGTCGAGGAAATCTATCGCCGTGACGGGACCCTCCTCCGTGATAGTAGCCTTGTGAACAAAACCTGCTGACGCTTCATCCCTTACCCAAATCTTGACCTGCTTGTCCCGTCCCGCTGTCGCAAAGAGAGGCAACGGGGTCGGCGCCCATGCCGCATCCAGGATCATCCGGGTGTGGCCTTTCGGATCTAACGCAAACTGTGTGTATTTGGACTTGTCAGTAGCGTCTCGCTGGAACACTGCCCATTGCCGGTCACGACCAACGCTGAGCAGATACTGGTCGTCTGCGGAGAAGCGCAGCCGGGTTACGGTCAGAGAGTGTGCGGTGAGGGGAGGCTTGATCTCATGCCAGGTCTTCGTTTCAAAGAGCCGGATCACAGCGTGGTCGATAGAGCTGGCCTTGCACGCTGTCGCAACGACCGACCCATCATGGCTGGCTGCGAGGGCCGAGATCTCGTAACCGTGCCCGTACAGCTTTTCCATCTCAGGCCACAGAGTATGCCGTGATAGGTGTTCCTCCGTAGGTGGATAATCGAGGTCCAATGTGGATTTGTGGACCACAGAAGCTGGATCGATCGCCTCGCGATCATTCTCGTTGCCGTTCAGCACTTCCTCGTCATCCCCAATTGCTTCTATTGCTTTGTTAGAGAGACCAAGGACCGGCATATTAGCTGCATCTGGCATCTCTTCTAGGTGAGACCCTCCAAAGCCGCAAAGTTTGCTCAGGAGATTCGCAACGGCCCTGGGTTCGTTGAATACTCGGAGGAGCTTCTCATCCGCTCCCGATACAAATCGAGATGAATCCAAAGAATCGATGCAATTGAGATCATAGCCGTGGATCTGGGGCCTTGCCATCTCATGCCAGGAATACTGTTCCCCACGCTTCCACTTAGCATGCAGTCTGGTAGTTTGATCGGAACTGGTGGAGAGGAGGTAATCGCCGTCCTGCGACCACGCAATGCCGGTGATGGATTGTGTATGGCCACTGATACCCACTCCTTGGATCCATCGATCCTGCTCGTCGCTGTGATTCCACAGTCTCCAGCTCCCAGTCCTCCCAAGGCATACTACTGTTGAGCCAGAGGGGGACCAGAGACCAGTCCAGAAGCCTCCGGTACTACCAGTAGCTGTTGTCGAACCTTTCTCGGAGCTGATCTCTCCTAGTCTGGTAATAGTAACCCACACACCAGTCGTGGCATCAGGCTCCCAAATTGCTAATGAGTTATCCGCAGATGCAGAGAGTAATTGCAATTTCTTGTCTCTACGCCATCTCGTGCTATAGATCCAATCCTCATGCCCAAGTAGAAGCGCTTCAAATGTAGCTGAGTAATCCAGTCCTTGGGCCTTGAATCGATGGGCTTTATTAGACAAAGACTTTCCCGGAAGGAAGGCTCCCAACGAAGGATCTGCAGAGGCGGCTGCCGCTGGCAACTCTTTACCTTGGTGAACTCGCCACAGGCGGATATATTTGTCCTGGCTCGCAGATGCCAACAGGAGATCGCTGTGTGGACTATCACTCTCTTTCGTGAATTCCAACGAGCGGATCCACCCCTCGTGACCAGAAAGAGTAGCTTGGAGTTTGAATTCCGGTCCGCTCTGGGAATCTAGGACATAGAGCTGGATGATATCTTTCGTCCCAGCCACCGCAAGCACGTAGGAATCTAGCGCACCCGTGAGCGGGCTCAAGGCCATCGCCAGGGGAAAGAATCTTGGGGTGACAGTGATAGACTGTCGTAGGCTGGCCGTGTTCGATTCATCAAGACACCAGATCTTAATAGTGGCATCTGCAGAGCCGGACGCAAATATTGTTGCGCCAGGTGCTACTGCTATACAATTGATGGAACTTGCATGGTCTGAAATCGTCTGAGCACAGGTGTAGTGTTCAGAGGTCGTGGCTCTCTTCCAAATTTTGACGGTCTTGTCAACAGAGCCACTGAGCAAGATCCCCTGCGAATTGGGGACAAACTTCACGACATTCACAGTATCAGTGTGGCCTTGGAGGAAGTCATAAACACCTCGGGAGCCAGAATTCTGCAATCATGTCAGACTTTGATGCCGAGACATAATAAGTACGTTCATGTGACAGAGGATGGCACTCCGTCAGAGAGGCTTACTTGAGGTCGCCATAATGCTATATTCCTATCCGCTCCAAAGGCCAGGATTCCACTCTCGTCCCAGTCGGCGGCGGCAGGATGCCTATTGGCACCGGCCGCCAGATACTCGGCGTTGAGCTGGACCATCCTCAAGGCATCGGCAAGGCTGAGTGAGGAAGAGGTGCCTCGAAGAATAGAAGAAAAAGCAAGACCAGACGAAGCGTAGAAGATCTATCCCATCGAGCGGCAAGGTACAAACATGCTCATGCTCCAGAGAAGCTGGAACGTCTGGGCTGGAGGAAGATGGTGGCTTTTCTAGGGTGTTGGAATCATTTTCACGGATTTTTATCGCCAAATTTTGTCACTTGCGGTACGGCTTCAGAATGGACGGTTTTGCAAATTTGCCATTTCTTCGCTGGCAATGCCATCATCTTCTTTATATTCTAAATGATTCAGGATGTCTCTTCTATGTCTACATTTTATATGTATATATATATATATATACTCTCTCTCCTCAGCTCTGCTTTTCCGGAACAACATCAGATGTGTGGGAGCAGGTTCTGCTGACTCAGCGAGGCTACCAGCGCGCATTTTTCAGGGCTGAATGCTCGTCGCGAATCGCCTCAAAAACAACATCCATCTTCCCTCCGTTGACGAGGTCGAGTCCCCGACACGGCCGCTGTAGAAGCCCCAAGATGGCGTCCGAGACGATCCCCATCACCGTTGAGTTCACGTAGGTGGTTCCCGCGATCCTCTGCAAGTGAGAGAGACAGCAGCAGCTAATCCAAGCGGCTCAGGGGCGGTCTCGAGATGCTCTTCGCGGACCAGCGCAAGCACTCCCTCTCCGTGCCCGCAAAGGACGAGCGCGGACAGGCGGTCACCGTCGGATGGCTGGTGCATTACCTCTGCGTAGAAGTCATGAAGGATCCTCGAAAGGAGATGTTCGTGCTGGACGGTCACGTGTAGGCCCCCCCTTTTCCCCGTCTCCCTTCACCGCCTCCACCGCGCTCTCAATCCGATGGGATCAAATCACTGCATTCCACATTGCACCGGTCTGAGCAGACGCACTCGCCTTACAATGCGTCTGCACCGCGACTCTTCACCGTCTTCCCCAGCACGTTGTTTCACCCTCTCTACTGAGCATGGCCTACACATACTTACCTTACCGCACATACATACATACATACCTACATAACTTACCTACCTTACATACATATATACATATATATACACATATATACATACACATACCATACTTATAGAGCATCCCTAGCTAACCAGCCCGGCTCCGCGCAGACGCCCAGGAATCCTAGTCCTCATCAACGACGCCGACTGGGAACTTGAGGGGGAGGCGTCGTACGCGCTGCAGGCGAGGGACAACATCCTCTTCGTGTCGACGCTGCACGGGGGGTAGGGTACCAAGGGTAGGGAGCTGCGCTGCGCTGCGGCAAACCTCTCCCTTCGATCAGCGCTGTGGTCTCTCTGTGTGCTCTGTCGAGTAAGGCGACGTACTGTACTGTACTGTACTGTACGTACGAGTCTTGACTCTCTGACCTTGGGGTCCGAGTAAGACAAACAGCCAGACCAGATGCGAGCATCCCCCCTGGGGTCAGGGAATCAGAAATCTCGCCGCATTGGTTTGTGCTACAATACAGTACAGCTAGCACCGCGTACCGTGGTCCTCATCCTCAGCCCAGAAAGAGAAAAAAAAGCAAAATAAAATAAAAATAAAAAAGCCCTTTCCGGTCATTTTTTTTCTTGATAATAATCGAAATTTATGTATGCAGATCAGGTGTTTGTCATGCGATGATTGATTGGGGCATACAATGTAACACAAAAAATCTCATCACATCCATCCATAGAAAAGATTGATCGATCATATATATAGAGCTTACTTACTTACCTTAGATGGATGGCACGGGGAACCCCGAAAACCCCGGGGCTTTCCCTCCTTACCCCCGCGCGTCTTGATTTGATTTGATTTGATCTCCTCCTAGGATAAGGTATCGATCTTTTGTTTGTAAATTATATTAAGATACACATATCAATCAAACGATCCATCCATCTCTCACTCACTCAAATCTCCCCACACCACCCCCCCTCTCCCCCCAGCTTACCTTAATCCCTAAACAAAACTAGTACCCGCCGATCTCCCCTACAGTAATGAACCCAGAGCAGCGTTAATTTCTAACCTTACAAAATCCCTCCCTTCCCTCCCTGCCTGCCCTTACATACATCAATCAATCCCCCCCCCCCCCCCCCCCTACTTTAGATAGATAGAAAGGACAATCAATCAATCAATCAGAGAGAGTAAGATTTGGAATGCTCCATGGAGCCTAGTACACTGGGGAGAAGGAGAGGGAGATTTCTAGGGATTGGTTTAGGTGAGGTAGGGAGGGGGGAGGGAGCGCGATGGATGGATAGATGGTATATTGATTAATATTGAGGTATGCTAGCTAGTATGTAAGTAAACCCAAGGTGTGTAAGGTATGTAGCCAGCCTGCGCATAGGTCGGTCTGATAAGGGATATAAGGGATAAGGCAGATCTACAGTAGCTAGCTATCTATGTGTATGAAGTACCTAGTTTAGAGAGTGAGAATTTATATATTCCGTCAAAGAATAAGAGTTTCTTAGAGAAGCAGGGAGGTAAGGTACCTTAGGTAAGGTATGTGAATTAATAGAATCCATTAAGTTTTTAGTATAGCAATAAGAATAAGGGTAATATTACTACTACTACTAATCGTATAATACACCATCGAGCCGGCCGTGAAGCCTTGCTTCGTCGTAACTCGTAATCTCGTCATGATTCGTAAAAAGATATACCCAAGGTTCCCGTCACTCACGCCCCTTTTTTTTTGGTCCCTCCCTTCCTGAACTACCTAGATGGATGATCAATAGATCCGATCGCCAAATGCTAACGCCCCGCCTCTGCTACTATCGTCATATCCATCTGAAGGCGCATCGTCACAGCTCGCGACGGAGCTCGCCCCGCCACTCCCGCTGTGGCTCCCAGACTGGCTCGCATCGTCCGCGTCGAACATTTCGTACTGGCCCTCGCCTCCTCTCCCGTGGCCCGCGGCGGGGCCCATCATGCCTCGTTCAGTGCCGGTTGGAGAGGCGTATCGGCCACCGCCGAGACCCGTATCTCGCGGGCCTGGATTCGAAGAAGCTTTCGGGTTGGCGCCGACTTTTCGGTCCTTGCCACGGCCTTTGATACCCTTATTGCTGTTCTTGTATAGGTTGGCGAAATATTCCCACAGCTCTTTATCGGCGGACCCGACGATGTCCCCGTCTTTGATCGAGGCAAATTTGGAAGTCAGATCACGGATAGTCTGAGCATGGAATTTGTTTTGGTGGGACTGGAAGCAGATTGGATCAGTTTGAGCGCCTGAAGACAACTGAAGTTATGATGAGGAAGAAGAACTGAGTGCGATGCCGCAGAGAGAGATTGTGACAGAATCGAGACTCTTAGAGCAAGAATAATAAACGTGTTGAGGGGTTTGACATGCGGAGAGACCAGAGACAAACCTTGAGGTTGCCAAGTTGTGTAAACTGCTTGCCACATTTATCGAGGCGACACAGATATGGCTTGGCTTGGTTGTGAACAATCTTGTGGGCGCGGACGTTTCCACGTTGTGCGAATCTCTTCCCACAGATCTCGCATTGGTATGGCCTTTCCCCTGTGTGACGCCGTTCATGAGTCTGTAAGCTGTAGTTAGTTTGGAGGGTGCATGAATTTAGGGGGTTTGGGTTGAAATTACTCTGAGGTTTCCAAGTTGAGAGAAGCTGCGACCACAACCCGGTTCTCTGCACGGCTAGAGAACCATTGTCAGATAATTGCCTAACCATCTGAACAGGCGTGACAACACTCACATATGGCTTCACACCCGTATGGGCGCGCTCATGAATGTCGAGATGCGTCTTCTGATAGAAGCTCTTCATGCAGTTCTTGATCGTGCAGTGGTACCGTTTCCTGCTGGCTTTCGCAAGGCCAGCCTCGTCCTGGATATCCTTCGTGAGCCTGGATCTAGTCTCCTGGCCAGAGGCAGTCACTCCTGCGCTCTGCGCGTAACGAGGGATATGAGAAACACCTACCACAGGTCTACTCGGATCAATAGATGAGCTTTGCTGTGGCGGCTGTGTGCTCTTGGACTTTGCCTGGATTGCCTTCATAAGAGTGTCGACCTCGGTATCAAAGGTGACCTCGCTCGACCCATCCACAGGTGTCGTTGGGGCGATGTCCTTGCTCTTATTCACTACCAGAGTGGGCGAGTTCATCGGGGTGTTCCAGCGAGACTCTGATTTGATCGGTGGGCTTTGGCTATGAAGCTCTTCCACGAAACCTTGCCGACCATTCTGAGCATATGCGACTCCCCGGCCCCCATCAGTTCCCGAATGTCCCAAACGAGGAAGAGGTAGTTGTTGGACATAGTGGTTGGGGAATGTAGGAATCAGGATGTTGATATTAGCACCACCATACGCGTTGAAACCGAAAGGATTATGTTGCACGGGGAGCTGCTGGCGCGGAGCCCCCAGATTATTGGAGGGAGGTGCGCTGTATGGGTTGTGGGGGATGTACTGAGGAGCAACCATTGCCCGGGCTAGAGAGTCTGAGGAGCTTGCTCTCGAGTCGTAGGACGGGGACTGTATCAGACCTGAGATGTCCATCGCGGCGTAGCACGTATCGACGGAGTGGTGCGGGCGCTGCTGTTCAGACCAGCGTCGCCAGGCCAGGCCTGGCGACTGAGCTGTAAGTGCCAGCGTGCCGGTATTGTCTTGCTCCAGCGCAAGACCCAGCGTCGTGATAGCGTGGGTGTTGGTCCTGCAGAAAGCTCGAGGGGAGAAGGTCTCTTAAGGGGTTGGGGGGGGGGGGCTAGAAGGAAGGATAGACGGATGCAGAAAAGCAAAGCAGATGTCTGGCAGAAAGAAAAACGAGGCGAATCCTGTGAGCGGAGGCAAGAAGATCTTGATATACGCGCGTATAAACCTATATATACGGCTTATATCCCACGGATCTGTGCGTCTGGCGTCTGGCGTCTGTGCGGTGATGAGGTCTGGCGGGCACAATCTCCAGACCGAGGCTGTACGATGCGATGTGATGCGGCGGTCTCGAGCAGGAGGTGATGTTCAACGAGGATACTCAACGACTAGACCGATCGATCGGACGGTGTATGGATAATGGAGGGGTTGCCAGACGTTCGGTATTATCTCCGAGATCCCCCTCGACGGCCACAGGAGAGGATTCATACATATACATAAGTCGCGATGCCCCAGAGCGCCCCCACCCCGCTGCGCTCAGTTAGAATCAGAGATTGAGTGAGCGTGGAGTTGGGGAGCGGCATCCCACGTCGCCCACGCGTGACTGGGTCTGCCAATGGCCAGGGCCCAGGGCTCAGCATCAGCAGGGAGAGGCATCGAGGCATGGATTGATGGATTCGTGGAGGCATGGCGGGCAGGGCGGGCAGGGCGGGCATGGCTGATGGCGGTGAAACGGACCCGGGGCCCAGACAAGGCTCTGGAATGTCCTGGGTCCTCTCATTCTCCGGAGGACGGTGGAGTCGTGGGACGCGCTGCCAGACAAACGAAAAGGTCGCGATGGACGAGGATGGAGATTGGAGAGAGAGACACTAGAGGGCCTGAGTGCCAATATGCGCAGGATCCGACTGGGGCCTTCGCGCAGGGGTCGGATCACGACTCACAGCTTTTCGCATCGAGAGGGCCGGACGGGCTGGTGAGGCGCTCTGGGGGAGGGCAAGACGAATCATGATGGAGCAGCGAGATGCATCGATAGATCCACAAATCAATAAACCAAACCAATACACCCCGAATGCAGATGAGGCATGAGAACGACGATATGCTTGACGGTTGAGATCCGGCCGTGGCCGAGGCAGATGCAGAGTCACGATGTGGCTGGCAGATATGGATCCTCTGGAGGCACGGAGTCCGTGGTGATATGCCTGTGAGATTGTGAGCAGTAGTAGTTGTTGGTGTGCGCCACGGAGAGAGGATCATGGAGCATGGTGTTGTCCAAGGGCGGCCACTACTTGGACGGTCTACGGAGTATTTGCTGGGCCATGGATCAGGGGTCTTCGACGATCTGGGATGATGAGTCTGGGCATTTGTTGTTGCAACTTGTATCTGTCCGGCTTCTGCGGCTCTGGCTGCCGGTTTTACAAAGGGGACGCTTCATAGGCCATGTTCGACAGCTCTCCGCTCTGCCATCCCGCTAGGCAGGGCCAAAGCTGAGGGAGGATTGCGAATTGAAGCCTTCAACTCTCCGCTCTTGTCATGCCACCAGACATGATCTCTCGGAATGGTCTATTGTTAAGCAGATGTCAACTCCTCGAAGTTCTTCCTCGTTCTTGATTCTCAATAATCCCTTTTGTCGTTGAAGCACTGTTCAAGAAGAAAGGTTTTCTAGATGCGTTACTAGAGGAGTGACAAGAGAAGACTTTCTTGGTCGAGTGTTCTTCGTGACATGAGGTTGTTTTGAAGCAGCTGCTTCGACTCCGTACACGTCTATATAAGTCTCTCAAAGACCCCGAGTTTCTTCATTTCTGGCCTCTCTTAGATGTCCATCAAGGGAAGTTTACTTTATTTAACCATCTACAGATTTCTCTCTTGGAGGTCTTCTGGTTTGTATCGAAGGCTCAACCATTGAGTCTTCAGCAGCTACAAGGGTCAGGCAAGATATACTCATCCAGATTCCAGACAGAAAGATATCCATGTGCAATAAAACAGCAACATGAAGATGGTCATAAGATGGATATGCATATAATACCTTCCACTCCGGCCAATACCCCGTAAAAGACGGTGTGCGCCGCTACGGCCCCCTTGTCTTACTCTCATGGCGGCGGGCGGGACGGATGGCGGGTCCGACGAGGCCGTCACGGTGCAGGGTCAAGGTCAGGACGTGGGGGGGGTTTGTGCAAGAATTGAATATGGAATTTTATTGTAATAATAGTACTGAAGTTTGTTTATATGATTGATTGGAATTTGATTCAAATCAACTGGATACTCTTAACTTAATTACTAACCTCGGATCCTCCACTGGAGTGCAACTCATGAATCCATATAATCATCCTATACACAATGCAACATCTATCTACCTACCTAATATACTCGGAATCCGGATGCTCTATGGCCTTCCATAACAGGGCAGCAAGAAGCGAGGCCATGCCAGCCATGCTGCGTGGGACTTACTCCGTACTTGGACCTCATCGACAGCATGAATTCAGCCCTCTCCAGCCCGATCAGGAATCCTGCGAGGTGGGAATTCAACTCCAACAACTACCAACTACAACTGCATTGCCTCTCTTGCTTACCGGGATAGATCCAGCAAACTTCCCTCGGGTACACCAACCATCCCAACGAAGCAAGCAAACAAAGGCAAACCACGACTCGGGTTCCAGCCACACGGATTCGTCCCACCGCTCATCCATCGATCCATCGATCCACCGATCCATCGATTCGTACCGTACCGGCCCGGCGCCGATCCCTTCCCCGTCCAGCAGCGCGCTCCCGCGACGGCTGAGAGTAGTCAGTCGCGCGGTGAACATGAATAGATATGAATAGATATGAATATGAATCGGGGATGAACTCACTCTGGCCCTGACAGCGGGACGGCGACCCGGTCGGTCTAGACTGCTACGATGTATAGTTTACCTACCTTACTCTGTAGGCGAGGACGGGAGAGCTGGAAATCTGGAGACGTTGCACGCAAGATATACAGCAATGGACAAGCACAGGGCTGAAGTCCAAGTCCAAGTCAGCTTAGACTCGAAGTCTCCCGTTCCCCTGCGTCAACCACCCTGTACCTAAGTATGTACATGGTTCTACCGGCACTTGCTTGCTGCTCCCTTCTCTTATCTACGCCGTACAGTCGTGCTACTACTCCTACTCCTACTACAGCTGTCTACCTATGCTGTACAGTAGTAGATACCTACCTAAGAGCCTCTTGCGAAAGAAGAACCAAAAGGGACCCCTTGACAGTTATACCAGGGCGTCCCCTGCCGCGGCAGAACGAACGATCCCTTCAATCCAGATAACTTTCTTCCTCAGTTTCTCATTACCTTATTCGCGCTGCATCGTTCTACGTACGTTATCCGAACCTGATTCTGCCCCGTCCCGGCCCCGCGCGCGGCCGTGGGGTGAACGGGGGCCGACGACGCCGAGTTCGGGGCGGTTCGAGGGGGAGTGGAAAGGGGAGAGCGCCGAGTGCCGCTTTCTTCTAACCATCTATCTGCCCTTAGCTATGCTCAGGCTCCCTCTTTCGTCACGGACGTTCCCTTCGACGACCTACAAGGTACATATAATATAAGAAGAGAGACCAAGTCTCAGGAATCATCATCTACATCCTTCCCCTTGCGAAGGTACACGCAAGTAGCACGTCCTCGTTTATGATGCGTACCGATCGATCGATGCAAAGACTGGATGTAAGCTAGATGGATATACATATATGGGAGGACCTATTCATTGTCCCTAGGAAATCAATCAAACGACTGGAGTTGAATAATCTAGAAGTCTGTCTGTCTACTTACTTCCAGGAATCTGGAGAACTACATATCCTAACAGTTTTTTCATTTTTGTGATCTTATCAGCCATCAAATCGTTTTTAAGTACCTTACCTAGTCTCAAAAAGATATCGATTCAATCAATCCTCTCTGACAACAACAGACTGAAGAATCTACTAAAGATACCTTACCTATCTAGGTCCTCCTCCTACCCTAGACAGTAAGTAAGTTATCCAAGACATCATCTCACAATGCCCAATTCATGGTAAAAAAAAAAACAAAAATAAAATAAAATAAAGCAAAATAAATAATCAACAGCTTTACCTTATTCAGGGACTTTCTTGTAGTAAAACTCGCGAGGAGGCCAAAAAGAAAAAAAAAATACAAAAAATACATACAACAGCAGGTATTCGCTGGTGGTCACCCACCCAACTACTAATCTGCCGATCTGAAGCTTGAGTATGGCAGAGCGGACGGGATGCCCTATTTTCTTCAGTCTGTGGTCGTATGTGATAGTTTTTTGGTTATGGGATATGATAAAGTAGGTGTTGAAAAATTGGGGGGGGGGGGGTAGAAAGAAAGGAAAAAAAGAATGAAAGAAAGGGATGAATGAAGGGATGAAGAGATGTAAGGAAACAAATGAGGGGTAGAGGAAGGAAGGAAGGGAGGGATTGGGGACATGAATGAGTTTCCTGGGGATTTGGATGGGAGAGGTAGATGGATGGTCGGGAAGGGATATATATATATATATATAATATATATGTCTTCAGGGTAGGTGGAGGAGGAGAGGTCAAGTCCTTTTTCTCGTCGAAGTGCGTATTGGGTTTGATGGCTACCTTAGATAGCCGGCTCAATTCATGGATTTCTGCGTAGATAACTAACTTCCATCATCGCGTGAAGCAGGTGAACATGCTGGTCATACTGTGATATCTGGTCTGGTCTGGTCTTAGCATACCTGCAGAGTGTATGAAGCCTGCAACACACACGGAGCTTCGCCTGTCACACACACACACACACATATATATATATATATACATATATTCTTGAAGACATGAAACGTCCTCTTTCTATTCATACATTCATCTAGCCCAGAGAGGCAGGTAATACCTCACATTCTCATACACCAGGAACGTCACCCACGTCGCCGGCAGCACCTTGAAGAGGTTCGTCCCCAACCCCCTATAGAAGCCTCTCCACCCATCCTCCCTCCAGACGCGAGCCACCACGCCCCGAATCCCCCTCCCGAACCTCTCCTCCGCATCGTACGTCTGCAGCCTGCTCCGCACCACCTGATACGGGTATGTCACCGTGCCGGCCACCATCTTCGCCGCGCCACTAATCACCAGCGTCGGGGCGTTGCCCAGCTTCTCCTCCCCTCCTCCTCCCGCCTGCTGGTCCGCTCCCCGGATGTAGGTGCGCCAGAACCGCTTCAGCGGCTCGTACACGGCGAACTGCACCGCGCCGTGGCTGTTCCCCAGCAGGCTGATGCCCGCCCCGCGATAGAACCCGCGCGGTCCCTCGGCCGCCCACACGCGCCGTGCGCCCTGCCATGTGCTGGGATAGGCGCCGGCGGCCGAGGCGTCGCTGCTCAGCATGCGCGTCTTCAAGACCCAGAGCGGGTTGGTCGCCAGCGTGATGGCCGTCCCGGAGATGCCTGAAGCGATGAAGTAGTCGGCGGGCGAGAGACCACCACCACCATCATCGTGCTGCTGTTGAGATCCCGGGTGGCGGCGGTGGAATTGGAGGAGCTGCCCCTCGACGATGCTCTTGATGTAGAAGAAGATGGCCCAGCTGCTGGCGTTGCCGAGTAGGTTGGGCGCTAGGCCTCGGTATAGGCTCTGGATGGGACGATCGCTGGAGAGGAGGGACTTGAGGATCCCGAGGCCGCTGATGGGCGTTGGGGAGGCACTGCTGCGGTGGACTCGGAGGGGGTCAGCTAGGTTCGTTGGGAGCTGGGAGCTGGGGGGAGGGGGAGGCTTACTTTGGAGACGCGTCTTGATCACGTCCAGGGGGTGGACGGTGAGGGTGGATATCGTGCCGGCGGTGAGGCCGGCGATGGTCTCGACCAGCGCGGGGGAGAGGCGCGCATGGTTTTCATTCATAAGGGACGTGGGACGGCGGTCATTATCATGGTGTGGAAATTGCTTGCGAGGGAGAACAGTGGTGGTGGGTATGACGACGTTGAAGCTCTGGCAAAAAAATATTTCTCAGTTTGCCGAGGCTGACATGACAAACCTCACTGGGTCCGGGGCTACTTTAGCAAATAGATTTGAATACTGGGTTTGTCAGATGGCTTTTCAAAAGGCTTTCAAAGCAGATGAGCTGCTGTAGGTCGGTTCCAAGTGGTGATTGCGCTGCTTGGCGCTATAATACAAGTATTCACACGCAGAGAGCTTCCTAACCAGTCCAGTCCTGATCACCCTGCAAAACGCCTCCTATGCTAATCTTACAACATTGATCCTACGCAAAGCCCGTCATATGGCCGCAACTTAACATCTGTGCCAGCACCCATCAGAAGCCTGCTTGTGCGAAACCTGTCTCGTAATAAAGGAGTCGAGCTTATGCGAGAGGGGAGAAGAGTCTATAAACCACGTCAGGAACAGCACATCGGGCGAGAGTAGAGGGTTGAGGAAATGTACCGGATGATTGATGGTCGCGGCTCGCTGCGGGTGTAGCCTATATCTGTCAGAACCTATGTCCAGTTGACTATATCTTCAAGCCATACCAAGGTAGAGAATCAGGGGGAGGTAGCCACTGCTTGAGGTTAGCCAAGATCAAAGGCCGGCAAAGGGCGGGAGGCATACTAATGAATGGCAACGCGGGACAAGTCAATGACCTTGCCAATGCGCTCCTGTCTTGAGGTCAGAACAATCCGAATATATCGTCGAGGCCGGGGCTGCGAACCTTGGTTTCTTCTGAGAGTTGCATATCGGGCTTGATCTGATAATATGCGGAGTCGATCTTGGGAAGCTGGGATGGAATTAGCTGATATCCAGAAGAGCATCGGATAGGAACATGAGGACGTACGAGCTTGGTGCTGAGGTTGAATGTAGCTTGGAGGATCTTGAAGCAGAGATAAGTTGAAAAGAACATCCTGGTATCGCAGTGCTTAGTCATCCGGATTTTTTCCTGAAGATTCCCACGCGACTCGCGACGACAGGCCTCGAGCTCTCACTCCCCACGTACTCAATCACATTCGCAAAGATGTCGGGCGCAAGGCATTGGTAAGTCTCTTTTGTTCCTTCCCTTCCTGGAAGCCGAGGATGCGAATCTAATAATCTTTAATAGGGAGCAGGACAAGGAAGCCACCGTCTATATAGGCAATATAGATGAGCGAGTAACGGACAGCTTAATTTGGGAGCTTATGCTTCAAGCCGGTCGCATCGTGAACGTCCATCTGCCAAAGGACCGAGTAACTCAAACACATCAGGGCTATGGATTCGTGGAGTTCATCAGCGAGGAGGACGCAGAGTACGCCGCCCGGATCATGAACCAGGTGCGGTTATATGGAAAGCCTATCCGTGTCAACAAGGTTCGTCTCTCCCCTCTTCCCCGCCTACTTTTCTGGCTCCTACGTCTCTCGATACATATATGGATAGATACTGACTGCTGTGGGCTAGGCATCAGCAGACAAGCAGAAGACGGTCGAGGTCGGCGCCGAGCTCTTCATCGGCAACCTGGACCCCCTGGTCGATGAGAAGACGCTCTACGATACCTTCTCACGCTTCGGCTCCCTGATCCAGGCGCCCAAGATTGCGCGCGATGAGTCTGGCCTCTCGAAGGGCTATGGCTTCGTCTCCTACTCCAACTTCGAGGCCTCCGACGACGCTATCGCCAACATGAACGGACAGTACCTCATGAATAAGGACATCAGCGTACAGTACGCCTACAAAAAGGACGGCAAGGGCGAGCGCCACGGCGACCAAGCCGAGCGCATGCTCGCCAGCCAGGCCAAGAAACACAACGTCATCCCTGAGGTCCCGCAGATGCCCGCGCAGCTGCTCCTCAACGGCAGCGTGCCCGCTGCCCCCGCCGCCATGATGGACCCCAACACGCCCCAGATGGCCGGTCCGCCTGTGAACCTACCGCCAGGCTTCGGCGGCCGCCCGAACGTCGGGTATAATGCAGTGCCTCCCCCACACCCGGGCATGAATGCGCCGCTGCCTCCCCCGCCTTCGGGCTTACCGCAACGCCCTCCCCCGTCGCAGGCTGGCTATGGCGGGCCTCAAGATTTCCATCCCCCGGGCTTCGCCCCACCGCCAGGATACCCGCCGAACGTCCCGATGCCTCCTGGCTTTGGTGGCGGCCCGCCTGGTGGGCAGTTGCCGCCTGGCTTCGGGGGCATGCCGCCTGGTTTTCCTCAGGGCCAGCCGCCGGGGCCTCCAGGTTATGCTCGGAGGTGAGGAGAAGGAGCAAGGGAGGACGAAACAGAATGAAGAACAAGCTATAACCGTGAAACTTCGGGCGGTTGGATAGGAGATTCAAGATCCGATGACTGCAAAAATCACCACGCGGGAGTGGTTGCGTTACCGCGTACACAACAGTTTAGGCGTTAAAAAAAGGGGCGTCAAGGGGTGAGTGCCAGCCATTTTGATAGGCAGCGGAGCAAACAGTAACCATCCTTCTAGCTCATGAAAGCAAGATACCACGTTTTTCCCCTCAAAAAAAGAGTATGTATTATCGTCAGACATGGAGATTGATTGGAAGGAGCGGGATATGTGAGGAAGAGAAAGAAAGGAAAAAACCCATGATGCCTTTTCTTTTTATTTCGCGGAATCTCGCCAGTATTGTACAGTGATACTAGTAATAGCAAATGCAGAAATATCTAAAGGCAGGCCGGCAACCGCCAACCTGCCTGCCATGCATTATTCAAAGATGTTTGTTTCCTCCTCGGGTTTTCTCAGATTCCCCAATTAATTCGCCTATTCGGCCCCTTGAGATGGTTCAGTGTCAATCTTCATGCCATCCCCTTGGCCATCCGCTTCCACCTGCATCTCCTCCCCCTTGTCCTCGACCTTTTCCTTCTCAGCTTCCAAGTACCAGGTCTCCTCAACCGCAAGCTTCCTGCGGAATACCCTTAGCCAGCGTTCGCCCCATTGTCTGACCATGGCGTCCTCGCTCCCCATATCACCGCTTTCTACTTGCTCGTCCTTGGATCCCGTCGCCCATCCGATCAGCGCATCCTCCATCACCTGGAACAACTCCTTCATGCTCTTCCTTTCCCTCTCGACCGTCTCCTCCAGTAGCTTCTTCTGCTCTGGCAACAGCCCCTTGGCGTTCTTCGCTAGTACAACCTGTCTCAATCGTCCGGTAACTTTACCGACCGTTGCGCAAACCATCTCGAACACAAATGCCTCACTCAGTCTTCCGCCCTCCTTAGCCAAGGCCCACTCGATCACGCTTGTTGGGCTCAGGATGGTGTAGTTAAGTAGCTTATCCACGATGTTGACTCCGATCCCTGGTTGATCCTTCCAGTAGTCCATCACAGAGTCGATAATTTGTTTTCTAGCAGGCTCAGAGGCGGGGCCGATGGCAAGGAGGCGCTCTTTGCAACGCTCGATGCAGGAGAGGACGTGAGAGAGCGATTTGGAGCCGATATAGCAGATGGAGGTCATGTAGGCATCGGTGGAGAGCACAAGAGGGTCAGGGAGATTCATGTCTGTTGCTTGGGTGTGGATTCGATCGATGACCGACTGTATCGCATCTTCTGGGGACTTCTTACGGAGGAGAGCCAGGATCTCTTTGCCCTCCTGGCTGAAAGGAATACCTGTTGCTCTGTTAGAGGGAGGTTTTGAAGGTTGGGAATGGAACACTTACTGTCGTCATTGTACTTGAAATCTGGAGTGTCCTTCTCCTTTTCTTCCGTAATCAGTTGCTGATAAGGTTCAGGCAAGGTGCCTTTGATACGCTGAGCAAAACTGAGTCGAATCTCCTTGTCCAAAGCCCCTTGTATGAAAGCTTTCTTAGGATCCAGATTTGGAAGGGCGACATCATCAATCCACTCTGTCCACTTCCAAGTAAATCCAAAGTTACTAAGATGATGAGAAAACCAGTCCATGAACCTGTAGCTCAATTCAAGATCCATCGAATCCACGTTTCGGTACAAGTAGCGAATAGCACGTCCCAAACTGGGAGCAATTGCAGCAGGAGCGATCTTGCATGCTTCAGTCAATACCGAATGGTAGTAGACAAGCTTATGTTCAGGACTGGGAAGCTGGAATAACTGGGAAAAGACGGCATCAACTGCAACATCTTCTGGCTTCCATGTTGACCTGTCGCCTTCAATGTCCCGTAATCTATCGAAAGGGGTAGCTCTCTTCACGAAAGTGTCAGGTGCGAAATAGCAGTCAAGGTCGATGAGAAATCGTGCAGTCGCCATTCTATTGTAGTCCAGAATATTGATGGTGTCAACGATCGAATCTCGTAATAAGCAAGATGCAATATCAGTGGTTGGCGGCACGGTCTCAATGTCTTGGTTGGCGTAGACAGAGAAGTAAAGTTCGGGGAGCAGAGGCCTAGGTCCAGCATTCACAACATCAGGGATAGTTATCGCCGGGAGATCGTGCTTCGGTGCAGAGGCAAGGGTATCTGGGCCAGACTCAAGAAGTACTTTCCATGGGCGAGGAAGACAAGCCAACTCCCATCCAGTAGCTGCTTCATGTTCCAGTTGCTTTTGCAGTAAGCTGAGCACACCATTGGGAGCCGTAGCTTCAGCCGTTCCGTTTCCAGGATATGGATCAACCAAACTTTGCAATACATGTGGTTCACCAGCAATAATATCCGTGTTTTGGACCATACTGGCAGCCTTCTGCTGGGAATCCGTTGACGAGGAAGCCATGATGTAGGGGATGGTAAAGAGAATGATTTTGACCAGCTCTGGTCCAAGATTCTGGTTGGCATAAGTTAGTTGTGCTCAGGCGCGTTGTACCTCGAGGCTTACTTACCTCCTCATTGTTCTCAGTCTGCAAATCAACGGCCTTGGCCAAAATATCCTCTAGAACCGGGAACACACCCTCTCCAGTAAGTAGGCCCTGTAGCGAGCCTAGGAACTTCAGGAGAAGCTTCACTTCCCTCCACTCGCCCTTCGCAATGGCTTCATTCGTCAATGCGGCAGCCCTGTTCAGGATCTCCCCCACTAGGTCTTGTCGTATAGTATTCATAACCAAAACGACAGCCGCCACAAATGGTATCTTGAATGGCTGTTCGATGACCAGCTGTAACGTCAGGGAGTAGAAGTCATTCCGAAGCTCCTCGTCGTCACTGTTGTCGCAAACCGTCCTGGCAATTGAGACGACTTCATCTTCGACGGGTTTTAGAGGCAATTCGGCGATGGATAGTAGCTGCCTGCGAACTTTGACTACTAATGGCTCTTCATAGCGGCGACGCATTGGCCTGCGATCGTAGTCATCCTCATCTGCGGCGCATTCCTGTCAGCCTTGTTTTTTTTTTATTTTCCTTCTTGCGACTCTCAAAGCCGCGGGACCTAATTGGAATTACCTCTGTATCTCCTTTTCCTATTATTATAGCCCCCACGACCTCCACGAGGTCTTTGATCGTAGTCGGCCATGGTTCGGTTTGTTTGTGGTGAAGGTTTTGGAAAAGAAGCTGCTCCGGGAGCTCACAAAATAACGGAGACTCGACTGATGGAGCAGTCGTGTGTTGCTGCCTCAGAAATGAAGGTAAATATGACTAAGCAGTCAACGGAGCAAAGCCTTGCGTCTCGAGCGCGTATTGAAGTTCCCGAAACCTTCAAGCTGCCAGGGGCATTTATATCGATGAACAGAGAATTTATCACCAGGAGTACCGGGCGGCTTCTTGGACTATATGCGAGCCGGGATGATTCAACTACGAGCAAGACTCACCCCAATGAGCAAGCGGGGTCACTTCATCAGATTACGAAGACAGTTAATTAGACAGGTAGGTTCGTACTAGGGGAATGTGAATTGTGCATCAGTCTCGAGGTACGGAAAGTCTCTGATGATCTCTGCACCTGCATTCAGCCAGCCAGCCAACCCTTTTTGATAGCCACTCATGGCACAGTTGACCAGAAAGGAAAAACGAATCTTTTGACCGTGCCAACCCAGGCGATAGCCATCCCATCGCGGAAGTAGCCCATTCCATGCAATCATTGAACACAAGCGTGCCATCAAATGTAAAAGTACGCCTGAATCTTTGGGATAGAGAGAAAAGGAAGTCCAGCCACCAATCTGCTCGCTGTGGAAAGGGCGCCGGTAGTGCAACAAGAAGAATAGAAAAGCAAGAGGCCATTCCCATCATGCAAAAAAAGTCTAAAAACGAGGTTCGGGAAGAGAACGGTTCATCAAAACCCATGACCGTGGACCAGTTCATACCGGGGGAAAATTCGCCATCGAGGACTGAGGAATGCCGTTGCTGGACTGAACAAACAGAGCTCAACGGGAAAATTCGTCTCGTGGGTATTTCTTCATGCCAATAACGCATACCATCATAGATCCTGCGGTTCCACCGTATTTTCCGTACTTCCACAACCAATCCCGGTCCGCAAATGTTGGGAACAAACATAGGGAAGGACCCGTAATATGATGAGGTGGTAGCCGGTGTGGAGACGCTCAGGACTCGACTTTAGCAGAGCCGACCACCGAGCTACAGGAAAGCATTTTATTCATCAATCATCCACGCAAGAGCAACTTCAGTCTAATCGCGCCATCATTTCTTCTTTGGCCATTGGTGTAAAGTTGTCTATGTCGAGGCCTCGAGCAGCCAAACTAGGACGCACATGCGGCGGGACCAGCCGGTGGTTCAGGTGGGGGGCTATGGAGAGTTCTGGGAAGAGTTAGTTGTGAGAAACGAGAGTATTGGCGGGCGAGCATACCATGACGGGAGAAATCGAAAAGTGTAGGTAAGTCCTTGACTGGGCCACCTGGATGACGAGAATCGGGGAATCGGGTATCTGGATCTCGCAGCTCATCGAAGAATGGTTGGACCATAGCATCAATGGCTGAGAGTCGCTCGGTAGGTGTGTATTCAAGGAGGCATGAAATCAGATCGATGGCGTTCTGATCAGCCTTGCGGAATACCTTGTTGAACGGGTGAGGCTTGATTTGAGGGAATTTATGCTCCATGTAGTTGGGGTTCATGGTGCGGATCTGATCCCGAGTTGGAGTGCCCAGAACTTTAATAATTTCCACCAGCTGATCAATTCCAGATTCCCCGGGAAACAGAGGTTGACCAAGCATCAGCTCTGCCATGACACAGCCCGTCGACCATACATCTGTGGTGTGGTTAGCATCGTTCGAAGCAGGGAGGGGGAATTGATGGACTGACCGATCTTCGTTGTGTAATTGGTGGCGCCGAAAATTAATTCTGGGGCTCTGTAGTAGCGGGAGCAGATATATGAGACGTTAGGCTCGTTTTCTACGAGGATCTTGGCGCTTCCGAAATCACAGAGCTTCAAGACACCCGTGCTTGGATCCAAGAGCAAATTTTGTGGCTTGATATCGCGGTGGCAGATGCCTTGGGAGTGGATGTACGCGAGAGCGCGGAAGAGTTGATAGATGTAAAGTTTGACTTCGAGGATAGGCATGGTCGTCTTCATCTTATTGAAGTATCTCGATGCACGGTAGACAGTCTCGGGCACGTATTCTTGTACCAGATTGAGGTAGACCTCATCCTTCTGACGTAGCATGGATCAGTATACCTCCGACCTAACTTGGCGGGGGGAGAGGGGGAACTTACTCTCTCGCCATTCGAGTAGTAGAAGGCCTTCAGCTCCACGATATTCGGATGCCGAACAATGCGCATGATCTGTAACTCGCGATTCTAATGCCAGTGAGTATTGGCCTACGGGTGGAGGCGGGGGATTTCGCGCACCTTGAATCTCTTGTCCTGCAACACGCGCTTGATGGCCGCATCCTCGCCCGAAGGTGAGAGCTTGGTCTGAAAGACGACACCGAACGAGCCGTTCCCCACGATCTTACATTGTGTGTATTGCATATCCCGGGTCTCTCCAGTAACACCATCTTGGACCTTCTCGCGAATAACTTCTAGAACACGGACGTCAGTAGGGGCCCCCAGGCAGAAGCAGGGCACGGGGATCTCTCACCTCCCATCCTCAGACTCGAGAAGGCAGCCGGCCGATTTTGCGACATCTCGAGGTCCAAAACACTGTTGCTATCGCGAGTGCGGAGGGCTCAAGACGAGAAGAGTAGGCAGGAGGGTGGTCGAGGGCCTCGTGAAGTCCGTGTTGGGCAATTGAGGACAGGGTTGAGCGAACGAACAGTCAATCCGCGATCAGTGATTGAGTATGTGGGCCGTTTCGGTAACGTGACGAGCGCCCACCAAGGGAATATTCACCGTTTTTGCTTTTGCAGCGGGAGACTAGCCGAAGCAGGTGTGCGGCTGAGGGCGAGTGTCGTTAGTGGAGGAGATGATGGGGGGGGGATGCAGGCGGGAGGAGAGGGGGGGGGTTGAAGAGGCGGTGGAAAGGTGATTTCGAGGTGTGCAGTCGGGATTCGAATGGTGATGATGCGAGGTTTGGGTTGTGTGGAGGTGTCGTTCGTTTGACGAAGTACGGTCGAGTTGTAGTAGTTTGACTCGTGAGCCAGGTAGTGAGGTTAGGTAAGGTCAGGCAAGGTCAAGTAAGGACCCTTGGCCCGAAAGATTGGCTATGCTCACGCGCTCGAATTTGGAGGGCTTGGGAGGGAGGAGCAGCTGGGACTAATCACAGCTGGGGGATTTTCGCGGCTGGTGGTTGGAGGAGCGGCCGGCCGTTTGATTGTGCGGTCACTGGGCTCGACAGTCGGCGTCCGAGTGGAGTGCGCTATTACCAGCAGGAATCAATCAGTCAATGGCAGGCGGGACAGCCTGTGCTACCGCGACGAGCTGGCCGGTGCTTAGCAGGATGCTGAGCCTGAGCCGGCCTCAAGAGGGGACCGTAGGGGGGACCGTAGACAGTAGTTCTGCAGCGTTGCAGGTGTGGAGCGGGTTCCAGTCGTTGGAAGTGGAGAGCAGGCGATGTAGAGACTGGACGAAATCGAGGGGAGACTGGGAGTGGGCAGACCAGGCGCGATATGAGTGGCGGACAGCCGGGGGGGGGGGGCAACGCAAGTGGGACTTTGGAGCATCCACGAGCCCAAAGGATGGGTCCTGGACTCCTGCGACTTCGTGCGACTCCTGCGAACGCTTCCTTCTGGGTCTCTTGTGGGTTGCTAACTTTCGCTGGGCGTGGGCGGGTGCGGGCGGGCTCGAGTCGCGATAATTCTCGTAGGGGAGGATTGTCGAAAGAATCTGTGTGGGACGAGAATTGGCCTGGAGGTCAAGTCGTTCTGTGGGCACTGTGTCGCTTACGGGAGCCGGTTAGCTTTTTCTTTTGGACTGACGTTGCTGGCGCTTCTCCTGCTGCAGCACCGGGGCCGGGAGACTCATGGGCATGGGGGAGGGAGCGTGGACGATGGGAGGAGCAGTGGTCTCTCTGCCTGCGTGGAGGTGGAGAGGCGGAGGGGGGGAGAGCAAGGGGAAGGGAAGGGGAAAGGCGGGGGCGTGAGGGTGAGCGCGTCAAAAGGGTCAAGGAGGGAGCAACAAGAAGGAGAACTCGGGATGAGGAAGAGGATGAGGAGGAGGAGAGGTAGGAGAAGTAGAAGTAGGTAGGTAGGTAGATTGGATTGGAGGGAGTGGATTGTAGGTGTTGTGGTGGTGGGCAAAAGAGAGAGAGTTGTGCTGCTGCTGGTGGTGATGACGACGATGACGATGAAGACGACGATGGAAAAAGAGTATTTACCGGACAAAGAAACCCTTCCGGTTAGAGTTTGAGCAGCGTAATGGGGAATCAACCTCAAGAGCTGTTGCAGACAGGATGGTAAAGTATATAGTCTTGTGTCGAAAGGCTTTGGTGCGGGGTGGCTGTTGTTTTCCTGGGACGCACACACGATCGTGGATATACGGAGGACTGCAACCGGGTGGCGGGGTAGAGAAAGGTCTTCTCTCAGCATGATTTGTCTCTGGTGGGTTTATCCCTATGCTTTGTCTATTTTTACTATATTTTTCCGTTTTCATTTTGGGGTTTGAGTTTTGTATAATTATTTTTTATTTTTTATTTTGATTTTCTAATTTTTTCTTGGCTTTTCTTTTCAACATTTGCCCTTCTGCTGTGATACGCGTGTGTGTGAGAACTCGCTCCACTCGATTCGCTCGACCTGGCTTTCTCCTGTCACGATCATGGGATCAATTGCAACCCCAGTTCAACCGTTGCCCCAGTACCATGCGCGCCATCGTCAGGTATCGTAGGTTATTGGAACCAGCGCTGCATCTCCAGACTCCAGAGCTCCAAATACGGATGCAAATGCATAAGCGTATCGCAGAAACAGATCGCCCTGGATCAGCCCGCCAGGCCAGGTGTTGGATTCCCCGCTGGATCCTCGTGGGCGAGACATGCCAGCTCTGGCCCTGGAGCTGGAGCGGAAGCTGATTGCTACATCGGGCTGTGTCTGCACCCGTCACGTTGCGAACATTGCTCAGTGCTCACGCCTCAGGTACATACAATGGGGGAGCAGAGAGAGAGGAGGGACGGAGGCAGAGAATAAGGATCGAGCACGCACCGCATGGAGTTCCGTTTCATGTAGGGATGCGTGTCGACGGCAGCTTACAGTACAAGATGAGGCATCTCCTTGTATATCAAGATCCGGCTTGCCTATGCCTACGGGGCGCTGTATCGACGGCATGGCCACGGTCAACCACGGTCAACCACCATCTCCCCTTGCCCTCCGCGGCTGGCCACTGGTAACGCTCGCCTGCTACACGCGTGCCGTGTGAGGGAGTATGCCATATCTGGATCCTGTGGCTGCCCGCAGCTCCGAGGAGTTTGTCGAGTCCTCGAATCCTTGGCTCCTCCATCGTGAGGCTCTTGTGGAAGGATCTCAGACCTGTGTTTTGTCCTGCATTGTCCAGTTTGAATGAAGCTTACTCTCTACACAGTATAGGTACAGGAGGATTTCGGTGTCCGCTGGCAGCGATGCTCCGTACCTACTTCTACTGTATCTACGTACCTCGGAGTGAACACAAGAGGTAAGGTAAATCAGTACATATACTCCGTATGCCCCTGGAGCGAGAAGGCTGAGAATTGATAATCAAGCACAGGCCACTTCGATCTCGTCGCTGTCCACTCCCTCCCTCGTGCCTTGTAGGCTGTAGCCTCGCGGCTACTCTTAAGGTTATCTGATACACACCTCGGGCTCGCTGCACAGCCAGTCCTCAGATGCCTCTCAAATGTCTCGCATTAGGAAGAACTCGGGATCGATGCGGGAAACAAGGGCTACGGAGTAGTATGTGCAGGACTTCGGACACGAAGCGCGCGATTCCAACGATCGGTTCTTGGTATGGACCAGATGGAATCCTACAAAGCTCGAAGGCTCAAAGCAAATTATATGCCAGCCCTAACAACGCTCCAACAGCCCCACGGTCACGCGCCGAGAGCCAGAGACGTCATACCCATCTCGTATTTTCTTATTATTTACGGAGTATACGGGGTAAATGCCGTCGGCCTCGTCGCTTGGCGGGCTTCTGCGGCCGTATTCGCTCCTAGTCCCTCCGCAAGAGACACGGGTTTAAAGCTTATTGTTATTTGCATGGTGTCTTCAGCCTTTCAGACGTGCGACGGAGGGTTAGCCACGAGCCGTGTTCTGCGTTGTGACCAACAAGAGGCTTGAAGACAGAGGCCTGCTTCCAACTCCGCCCTTCACACGCTTTTCTTAGCGCTTCCCAATGGGGCTCGTGACCTGTGCCCCTGTCTTCCGGGCCAGGGAGGGGTATCTGTGCCTCTTTTCAAAAGCCACCACTACTGTAGGCACAAAGTCCGCTTTGTGGCCGTCACATACTTACCACGACTACTGCTGTACAGTGTTATTTACGGAGCACGCAGTATCTGCTGTATTGTCGGCATGTATTAGTTAAGCAGTCAAGTTCTGGAATCGACCCTCAAGACCTGCACATCCAGACCCGGCAGAGCCGCTTGAGGCCAAGACGAAGTCCTCGCGAGCCCAGCCTTCAGAAGCAGAATGCCGTGAACTCGGTATAACGCAGGGGGCCATTCTCTACGCCTGACAGCTCGCTGCCGTGGAACAGCCCGTGCCCCTTTATCGAGCACGAGTTCGAGGTCGAGGGCACCGACATATGCAAAGCCACACATTCGGAGGAAGACTTGAGTGCTGTCTCGTCCACATCTGATTTAAGGGGGTCAAGATTCACGCCCACGCAACCTCCCAATAGCACAGCGCGACAAGGAGCTTGAAAAGGCCATTCTCATATAACCTTCGGATTCGAAAAGATCAATCCTTTAGCTGCACGGCTTCGTCCTCAGCGTTGACATTGCGGGCAAGGCGGGCCGACCAGTGACCGAGGCCTACCTACATACAAACCAATGACTCGCACCGCTGCCGGGTCCAAGTATAACAAATATCATATATGCGCACGATGGTTAGGGGCTTCGTGACGACACTCCGCAGCTGCCCAACACCCATCGTGACTACGGTGCTGTGGATTTCGCCCAATACTCGGAGGGGTATTTTTACTTTGGCGGTTACAACTTACAACTTACAAGAGATACCCCGCATCATTATTCCGCCACCAACGAAAAGAGGAGTAATTAATCCTGTCAAGATTAAAGCAAGATGCGCTCGAAAAGCACAAAACAAGTTACGAAACCAGGAAAATGCGATGCTGCTGGGAAACAACGTCGCATTCAACCACATGTTCAACCGCGACTCGAGTCCCCGCAGAACAGTACTGATGTCTCGATCATATTGATCACATATCAGAAGAACAAAAATCCGCCCATGCTTACCCGCTCTACCCCGAGGGGACCCCTCCAGGTCATCAACGCCACCACTCACACACCCTCTCCTTCTCCCTGCACCGCCTATTTCAGTAACATTCCCAGGATCCCAGCCAACCCTCACGTATGGAGGATTTACTCCGTAGATTCCATCGTCATGGCACGAATCACCGCCACACCCTACTCCCCTGGATCCCTCCCCGGCTCAGCCATCTCACTGCCTCCATCCTTTGCGACCCGCCTGAATGCTGAACGCTGAATGCACAGACTTTTTGCAGCGACACGCATGGCAAGATCTACGCGTCCCCAGTCCCAACTGTGTCACCTCAGAGCAGTCCCAGCCATCCAGCCCATCGCCTTTCACTAAACATCCTCTATCAGTGCGGTAGACCTCTCGCCTGTCCCCTCCCGCATCAGCCCGAAGGCATCAGTGAATACGGAGTTAGGAGCATGCTTTTGACCTCTCACGAATCCACTGTCGTCTGTGTTGAGATCAGGAGACAAGGATCACCACCTCTGCCGAAGGCCAGCGGCTTGTGGCCTCCAGACTTGCTTTTTCCTGTGAGATCGCTTGCGGCATGTGCTGCCCTTCCCCTGCATTTCAAATAATTCCATATCACGTGCTTCTCTCGTTGACGACGACAGCACAACCTCCGATAATCATGTGCTTGTACTGCAAAAGTATCCACGGATTAACCGCCTTACTCGGTATACCTAGTTCCGACCCTTGCCTTTTTATCGTATCATATCATATCACATCATACAGTATATAGTTTAGCAGCTCTCATCCAACCAGCCGGGAATCTGCACTCCCGAAGTTTGAATGTCAAGCGGCATCCCGATTCCCGACCCCTACTCCGAATACTATCTTTGCCGCCGAGACCAGTGACAAGGCCTCGCACCCGGTCTGGCGCGAGTACAAATTCTCCCGTCCCTGCTCTAGTCAGTTTCTGCATGCCTAGCTGTCCCAACATCCATAAGTTCCTATCTCCTGTATGCCGTGGTGCACACACAATGTCTGAGACGATCCTCTCCTCCTTGGCCAGACCGCACACTACATGTGCGTGCCTGACGCTTGCGCAACAGAGCCTCTGCATATGTGTATGGATGGATGGATCCATCTATTAGAGACGGCGAGAAGGTGGTTGGTTACTTCCTTGACATACCGACACCGGGGTAGGTTCAGGTAGGTTGTGACCGGTGAGTAGTCATGATGAGAGGCTGGAATAGGGGTTCGTGAGTTGGCATACGATGTATTTGCTCTGCTTGCTGACTACTTTAAGGGGAGACTTTGAAGCAGAGGAAAGGGGTTAGGCTCATCACCTGATCTCTTGTTCTCTATTCTGTCAATTGTTCATATAAGTACATGCATTATCTATACATATCCATATACAACTATATACACATAATTTATTTTCCCATCTTCTTATCCATGTACTCGACATTACTCTCTCAACAGCCCTCTTCACAAGTCTGAAAATCGCGTCCCTCCCCCCCCCCAACCCTACTAAAACAAAACCTCTCCCCTTCCTCTACCTCCACATCCACATCCACACCCTACCGGCCCCTATGCTCACCTCACCTCACCTCACCTCTTCATAAACAACACTCTTTTGTTTAGCCTTGACCATCCCCACTCAAACGGGGCCCACACACACACACACACTCGTGGCCCTCCGACCATAGCAGTACACGCTCACAAGAGCAAACGTTGAGGAATAATACCTTCTCAAACTGTCATCTGACGCGTTGGGAAAGAGCATAGTCACATTCCATTCCCTACCTATTTTCACAATACTTGATCAAGTCTTGCGTACTATTCCACCGCTTGCTTTGTATAAGTAGGTGAGTAAGTAAGTAAAGAGATAGGTAGATAGATATCTTACACACTTTGAGTACCTGGTTTAGCGTAGGAAAGGAAAGAGAAGGGATCAATATTATATGACATGATTTCAGATGGAACAATATCAGAAGAGGACTTGACGAAAAGAGAGAAGAGAGAGAGAGTTGGTTTTTGGTGAATTATAAATTGGAAGTTGCATATATATGTAAAGAGGTGTGTGTGTGTGTTGTATAGGAGGAGGATCAGTTAGTCAGACGTAGGATAGGAGTAGGAGCGGGAGGGGGAGGGGATGGAGGAGCGGGGGAATATTTCTCTACGCAGGTGGAGAGCCCGTGAATTGAAGCAGATAAATGGCGTTGGGAGAGGATATCGAAGAGTTCTCAAAGACCAGAGCACGAGGGAGAAAAGTAGCTAGGGATATGATATGTGTGGGACAATGCTTTCTTTTGTACACAGGTATCTACGGTGGAAGTCCAAGCCCGACCTGCCTCGCACGAAAAAAAAGGTTCACAAAGAGCCACTATAATACAAGAAGGTCGTTCCCTTATCAATCATGCCTTACCGCCAGCGCTGGGCCAATACGCTTGAATCGCCACCCCCGACATGCAACGCAAGAGAGAAACATATAAGGAAATCTATGGATCGTCACACAATCTTTTTTTCGCCCATCACCTATACAGAAGCGTCTTCCATAGTAGACTAAAAACGGGGAACGCTATTAACACCGGAGAAGCTTGCCCACGTATCGGGGGACCCTGGCGTGGTTGTAGTAAGACATTGAAGATCGAAGAAGAGTAGTTTTGGGGGTCAGGGGGCCGTCCGATATGGTCAGGCGGGCAGCCGGTGTATAGGAGCTTCGTTAAGAGGCATTATATCTCGATTAAGCGGGACCGGAGTGGGGTTGTTTGGTTGTGGGTGGATTAGAAGGGGATCTGAGCTGGAGGGGCGCCACCTCCCAACTCTTGCTGTTCTTGAAGCTCCTCGCTGCCCGCCTCGATGGAGACAGCCATACCGATCTTCGCTTGTTGCTGAGGGTAAAGTCAGCATGGATGTATTGCTCCAGAAGGGATATCGACTAACCTTGAATTGGTCCATCTCAGCTGCGAAGGTTAACTGCACAGGTGGTGCAACTCTCTTCTCCAACAAGCAGCTCAACTTTCCGGTCGAATCGACCTGAGCTCTGAAGGTAGACATTCGGAAGTCATACTTGGCACCGACAGTGGTAACACCCTCCTTTCTCATAGGCATTCCCATGAGCCCGCCTGCCCCTGATAACCCAGCAAACTGCAAGTTCAGATCCACACCAGCTTCCACCTTGTCCGTCAACTTTCGCCAGTAAGAAGTGGTGATGGCACCCTGTGCCTGCAATTGAGCACTGGCAATCCAATCACTTCCCTTGTACTTGGCACAGTATGACACAGCGGTTTCTGGACCTTGGTTCATGGCCGCGCGTTGCCAGATTGCCTCGAGCCCAAGAGCGAGGTTTGGAGTGACCGATTGTAAGTAGCTGCCAATGAAAATTCCAGTGAGACCGCCATCAATAAGAGATGGGTTGAGGGTCTTCACCGAGGCAGTGAAGTCATTTCCCGTGTATTCGTTGTCGACTTGCACCATAGCTTGGTTAGGGCCAGGTGCGATTTGGATCTGGGTCTTTGTGACAAGGGCGGAGTTCCATCGGTAGTTAAACCGAGTTGAGAGTTGACCTTCATTGTCCACGTTTCCTTGCATGAAGATCTATGATTAAAACCATCAGCTTTGTTACACCGAAAGAGCCTCGCGGAATCAACAAAAAACATGATCCACGCCGTCACGAACCTTATTGGTGCCAAAGAGAGCTGCGAATGTGTATGGTGGCAAGCCTTGCGATCCAATGGAGAATGCATGTGAAACTTGGAATAAGGGTTGGATGCTGAAAGCTTTGGTGAGATCCGCCCTCAGGCCTGAGAAGGTATAGTTGTTCAGGAAGACATCGCGCTGGACCTCTCGAGCAATGTTCTCAACTGTTCCAGGGTTTGAAAGACCCAGAGCTTCCCTCCGTTCTTGGAAAGATGTGTATGTGTCTGCCAGAGCTGCAACAGCAGCGTTATCCCACAGGAACCCCAAGGGGGATTCTTTCTCTAACGCGAACGACATGATGTGAATAGGAGGGTTGGCGACACCGATTGGACCAGAAGGAAGAGGGTAGCTAGAGGAGAGAGATGACCAGAGAGGTCGTGATGGTAGATGGTGGTTGGCTGGAAGACGTTGACACCCAGAGATACCGCTGGACTCCTGGACAAGTAGTATGTTCAGCGTCTTTGGAAGTAAATTTTTAGACTGATGGGTTGACGCCTCAGGCGACGAGGCGGCAGCAGAGATGCCGAGCGCGGGTGTGGACGCCCATTGGTCAAACAGCCGACCTCGTCTGTGAACAACGTGGATGCGTGATGATACCTAATAGCGGGATGCATCGGGTCTGTCTGTTGGAAAACACATTTGTGATATTCAACATCCATTGTTTCAAAGGTCATAATTCTGATCTGTGAATAGACTCAAGAGTTTGAGCAAAGCAAGTCTGAATTATCACAAAAGACTGCTGTAGAGACACCGAACTTACTGGCCCTTCTTCCCTGACAGAAGGCTGCCATCGCATATCAATCAATCTTCTTCTCTCTGCCACGGAGTTTTTGATCTTGAGTTGGATCACGAAAAAGTTGGATAACTGAGGAGGCAGTTCTGTATACTACTTAAAAGCCATACTGCCACTTTGACTTTTACGGGTTGCTCTTGTCTCGAAGGACTGCTTAGTCGTCATGGACACGCTTCTGTGAGTGCTTTCTCTCTTTCTCCTTGAGGATGTCTCTACAAATCTTCTTCATTTATTACAATACGCCATCCACCTCCACCTTCTACCTTCCTCTCCATCAAGTACACGATGGCAGATCAATCCATACAAGTCGTTGTCACGACCAAAGTCGAAGAACAGTTCGAGGACTATCTCTCCTTCAAGGCGAAGCAAGCAAGAGAATCCGAGGAACCAGAGCAGCCAAAGATGCCAGGACAATCCAAGGAGGCAGAGGAGCCGAGAAAGGCAGACAATTCTGAGGAATTGGGCCAGCCTTTAATCCATCAAGCCACCGGACTTCAGATCCCGTATCCTCCTGGCTCCGAAACCACTTCGCTGCAGGGGTTTACAGCTCAATTTGAAGAAGTGATCACTCATTTGATGACCCTTACTGATCGTGCGACCATATCCAGTACCGCAGAGATTGCTGCGAACTCTCCCAGATACCGTCGACGCTCCTCGACCTTTATCGATGGCGTTCACGATTTGCCTGATGAGAATGCTTCGCCAATGGCGCCGGCCCAGCTTTACAGCACCATGTCTGGCAGACTCTTCCACTCGGGAAGAATTGCCATTGTTCTAGTTGGACCACCTGCTCGTGGGAAAACGTAGGTTAACCTAGCAGCTCTTGTTTCAGAACTTGCTAAACCGATCTTACAGCCACATCTCTGTCTCTCTTTGTCGTTATCTCCAATGGTAAGAACATCGTTGATATGATGCTGCTGCCACACTACTAAACTTCTTAGGCTCGGAGTCAAGACTCGGGTCTTCCATCTTGGAGACTATCGTCGTGCCACGATGGGACCAAATGTTGATGTACCAGAAGATTACTTCTTTGTCAATGCTTCACCAAGCTCCGTTCTGCTTCGTGGGAAGATCGTGAAGAAATGCCGCGAAGACATTTACGCGTGGTTGAACCATGAGAATGGCCAGGTCGCGATTTACGACGCTGTCAACCCACTGGCTTCTGGACGTAGATCTCTTGCTAAGGAGTTCGCAAAGCATGATGTTCAGGTAAAGAATACATGGTCTATATGATCGTAAGGTGTTCGCTGACTAGTTGTAGACACTCTTCCTCGAATCCTACGTCACTGACGAGAAGATTCTTCAAGAGAACGCACGAAGCGTGAAGATATCTTCTCCGGATGTATGTGAACCCTTCTCTCTTCATCGTATTTAACTAAGGTGTCCCAGTTCGTTGGCATGGATCCTGATGATGCAGCCAAGCTTTACCTCAAGAGAATTGACATTAAGATCCCGTCATTCGAGACCATGAACGAATCCGACCTTAACTATGTCAAGATGATCAATGCGGGGCAAACTATTCAGTACAACAACGTCAGCTTCGGATATCTTTCTTACCGTATCATCTTCTACCTAATGAACTTGCACATTAAGTCCCGCCAAACCTTCTTTGCCAGAGCTGGTACTTCAAGTCACGAGGACTCTTACAAGATGGATGCGCCTCTCTCTGAGGAGGGCAAGGAATACGCAAAGAAGATGACAGAGACCTTACTTGCTCATCGTGAAGCTGAGCGAGCCGCATCGGTCGTTAAAGGTGGAGCCGATGTCCCCCTCAAGCCTCTTACAGTCTGGACTTCTACGAGAAAGCGGACCATTGAGACTGCAGAATACCTCAAGGAGCTTGGATATCCTGTTCGTCAGCGATCTCAGATGAGTCAGCTTAACCCAGGCGTCTGTGAGAAGCTATCAGAGCGTGCAATTCGTCGTATTTACCCCGACGAAGTTCTGATGCACGAGAAGGATCCGTATCATCATCGCTACCCACGAGCGGAGGTACGTTGTTCAGATATTTCACCGCGTTTCTGAAGCTGATTTCTTCACAGTCATACCATGACCTTGCTGTTCGCCTTGAACCCATAATTCTAGAACTCGAGCGTGAGCAGAACGATCTTTTGATCATCGCCCATGAATCCGTTCTTCGTGTTCTCTACGGCTATCTCATGGCCTGTGACGCTATGGCTATCCCTACATTGAAGTTCCCGCGCGATGAGATCATTGAGGTTAGTTTGAGGTTTTTTATACCGATCTAATTAACTAACATTTTGTAAGATCATCCCCGCATCCTACCAGAATGAGGCCAAACGCATTCACATCCCCGGACTTGCGCCTGAGATGATCCCCGGCTCTCCTGAGGACATCAAAATCCCCGTCCCATTAAGCGGCGTCGCCAGCCCTATGTCCAGTATTGGAACTCCAGCTGAACCCGTCAACCCTCTTTCCGAAGACTAGTTGGCATCACTTCATCTGTGGATAGCCTCCAATAGTCGAGTTGTTAGACGATTTAGATGGCACAGCATGTGCATGGTATCACGACTCGCAATTCCCATCGAATTACCCGTGGTTCCCTTGCCTCATCAACGATTTGCATTGGGAGGAGTAAACAGGGAGATGTGGACCAGGCCGAGTACAAATCTCGATGCCTGCGACTCACTAATTCTATTGCGACGATTTCTTTCTTTTCCTGCATTGCCTCTCACTGTTTATGGATGGACATGGCATAGAGGCTACACTTCGGAATGAATGGTGAAATACATACGGCCTCACGGGTGTCATCCTTGCTCTGATGCACAACCCACCGCACGATTTTCTTTTGTAGATTAGATACCAGTACGCAATTTCAATGATGCCAATGAAGTCCTCCGCTCTTGGTGCAAGAGAACACTCGAGTCAAAGAGAAATATTCGCATTTCTTAGATGATCAAAATTGCGACGAATTGTCTCTCTTGACTACCTACCTCACTCTATTCAGTTTCCTCCTGTTGCATCGTGAATTTACTTACTTATCTGTATAAATACTAGCAATGCTGGTTCTGTAATCCTATAAATCCGCGTGGTTGGAGTGTGTCGGGTCTTAGGAGGTAAGGGGAAGAAAGAAGCTTGCTTGTTTTTGGGGGTTCGTCTTGTTTTGTGTTGTGTTGTGCTTTGGGGGGGGGGAGGGGCCTCCTAAATAGATAATCCCACCACCCTACGATCACCAAACGTCAAGCTCTAAATAAGTCTTCTAAATAGATAAATCTATGATCAAGAAGAACCCGTAGTTATTTTCTAGAACAAAGCGCCAAGGACTAGAAGCTAAAGGAATTTTCATCAAAACATCCGAAACGTATATTCATGATGCATAGTGCTAGCACTTTTTATGCCCTTCTCTATCACGGAACCCAGACCTTTGAGTATCTCCCCTACTCATTTTTATTTTCGCCATCGCCACCTTGTCCAGAATGCCATTCAAAAAAGGAAGAGAAGAATACCCCTAAACGCCGTGCTGATGGGCGGCCATCTATCGATCATGCCTGTGTTAAAAGAACCCGTTGTCAATCCCAGAAGAATATACCAAGCTGCGCCTCCCTTCCCTCGCCCCCCCAACCCCGAAGCTAACTCCGTCCGATCTACATAATTATACATTCTCTATCGGGGACATCTTTTCCCTTCCCCTTGTGCAATTGGTGGTGATGAACAACACCATCTGCTAGCCTCTCTAGCTTATCTGAGGGTTCCTTGCTCTTGTCTCTGTCTCGTCTTATCCCCAATTTACTCCGTGCTCGAATCGGAATCGGTTCCCTAGGCTTAAGCGTAGACTCCTCTTCCACCACAGTGACAATTGCATCGCGAGGTTCGCTTGTAAAATCAGTCGTAGGTATCGTGGGGGTATTTGTAGTGACGACGGTAGTACCCGCTAACTCCCTTCTTGCCTCCGCTTTGGGCTCACCTCTATTCAGTTGGTCTTTACTCCGCATAGCTATCCGAGAAATTGTCGAGCTGATTCGATTTTCACCGGAGGAACTCGCAGGCCTACTTCTGCTACCAGGCGCAAACTTTGAGGCTGCTCTGGAGATTCTTTGTACAGTAGTCTCCTCGACTGGAGTTGCTGGGGTAGATGTGGCTTCCGGTGCTCGAAAGCTGCTGGCTGTACTTCCGACGCTGGTGTCTGTGTATGCAATGCTCCCGCGCCGCTCATCCGGCAGGTTAATACTGTGCCTGGGCCTTTCTATCTCGGCTGAAAGCCTAAAGGTTGGCGTGGAATCATCTCTGATACTGGGGAAGTAGCTATGATCCGGTTTGGCGCTTCTTAATGGACTGGACTCGGAGACTCTTACGTCGATCCCGGAGTCGTATGAAGGTGGGTGGCAATCCGTACCCTGGGGTAGTGGTATTTCATACGTAGGCTGTACTTGATAGAACAGAAGGTATGGCATCTCATCCTTCAAAGCCTGCTCGATATCCACATACTGTACTCGATCAGGTTGGGCAAGATCATCATGTCTGATCCACCGGTCGGTTGGATATTGTGGAGGGCGACTGCTGCTGCTAAGTCTTCGGGTAGAGGTAGAATCTCCATCGGCTACCGTTGCGGCTCCGCGGACGAAAGAGACGTAATGCCCAGAATGAAGCGAGTTCCCCCGATGACAAATGACGGACTGTAGTGAAAGCTTGAAGTTACCCATCAAAGGCCCTTCTTCGGGAATCATGTCATCCTCAATGAAGTGTGGTAACCGAATATCCAAAGGTATGTCAATGAAAGTATTCTGTCTGGTAGCTCGGCCATCAGCTGACATTGCATACCGTTTCAGGCAGATCCCTAGAACCGGTCGAGTTTTTGAGAAGTGTGCCGCAACCTCCTCATCATTCGCGGGTGAGTTTTTGGTGTACCAAGCTATATCACTAATTAGTTCAAAAGTCCTAGGGGCTGGGAGAAAGGCATTGTCCCATATGCAAATGAAGTGATGACGAACGTATTAGATTAAAGAACTGCCAAGCAGGCATTAAAACTTCCTTCCGTATTGAGCCCTTTCGGACCAGGGTTTCGGCGCTCAAATCATCCGAGTCAGTTGAAGGCTCTCCATTCTCCTCTTCATGTATTAGTCGATGCCTTATGACACTAGCAGTACGACTGTGCGGGCTTGTCGGCGTAAGTGGCGTAAGTGGCGTGCCAGGTTCAGGAACTGATGTTGGCGTGCCAGGAGAAGGCCGGGGTATCTCTGACACTTCTACGTGCTGCGCAGCACCCTTTTCGATTGAGGGCGAGTGACCAGATCGCGCCGAGGACATTGTATTGGAGCGCTCGAGTCTTCGAACAACCTCGACACGGTTATTGAAGAAGTTCTCGAGGCAATCCTCTAGTTGTATTGGACGCCCATTGCCAGGATCTGGGGGTACAGCGACCTCAAGTAAGCGTTCATGAATGAACTTATGGTCATCTGTATCATCCTCCGTTCCAGTGTGATATATATCCATCTTCAAAGTGAGAAGCGGCAGTTCGAGTTTTTCGGTAATGAAGCTGAACGCTTCAGATGTGTCCTGTTGCTCAAGCTTTGCAGCATCTTGCCATCCACATGCCGCAAGAGCATCTTGTAAATACCCTGTCTGCGCCGGATGTTAGTCTCCGCTAGGTTTGGGGCAATTTGGGACAAACAATGTCGGTCTGAATCAACTTCCCGGTTCTCAGCATGTTGACCCAGAGTCGTATTAGCGTTGATAGACGTCTCCTTGGCTCGTCCTCGAACTTCGTATAAAGAATGGGCTCAAAACTTCCAAGCCGTGCGAACATTGCAAACAGAAGGGCGTCCAGATAACACGTAACACCTTGACGATTTTCTGCGCCTCTCATATTTATTGTTGGATCATACGGCTTGATCACCCCGTCCACAGATTCTTGAAATAATAGGATCATCTCCAGGGCTTTATCGACGTCCCCGTCGGCATGCTTTGACAGGAGAGCATAGCTTATTTGTCCGTCATCTATGCCGGTGAATCCACGATCCTGCAATGCCTGCCTGATCGTTTGTATCTTATATACTTGTTAGCAGAAAAGGACGACCAGGCCTGGAAATGAACCGACCTTGGCATCTTGCTCTTTGTTAAGCTTCTTCTGCGGATCGGACTTGAACAGTGTAATTATTCCTTCACTTGATAATGGTCGAGTCTGCAGGACAAAGCCAGGGCCAGAGTTAGTAGTTGTCGCATGTATTGTAGAGAACGTGGTTTGAAGCTGCGGTGAACCTTTCCCATGCAGATTCGAAAAGGCTGCAGAAACCAAGGAAATAGACTGAGAAATAAGGGTCTTCTTTGCCAATATAGGTGGTGGGAAGAGAGCTAAGAGAATCCTGGAAACCTTACCTTCTTCTCTGTTGATTTCTCTGGTGACTTGTCCCGGGATTTCTGCCGCCTGTGGGACTCTCCATCTTTCTCTCGGCGACTCAGCAGACGATTGATATTCATGTTGGCTTGGAATGACAGGGCAAAGCAGTGCTGTGCGAGATTTGTTCGAAGGAACGAGAGCCTGGAGCTCTATGGTGTAGACCTTGACTGACCCTTCTCGTCCAGTCGATTCCTCGAAACGCTGGTGGGGCTGCCAAAGCTTCTCGACGTTGTCTGGAATGTCTTAAACATGCCGCATTGTTTTCCCGGTCTTTCGTGGTCGTAGTGTAGGATTCGCAAAGGAGAGCAGCAGGGCTGGCAGATGTCACAGTCTCTGAAGGCGGTGGTAGAGTATTCGTAGGATGCGTAGGATGCGGAGGATGCTATGTTGGAAGCCCCTCCATGGGGAGCCTTGGGGATTGTTTGTAGCCTACGTAGATCTCAGAGGCGGTGTTCTCCTCGGCCAATGAAGAGCCGCGGATCCGCCCGGCCCCTAATTATTTTGGCCTTACGGATTTGAGGCTTCACTGGCGAACATCGCGAGAAATTTCAAGGACGAGCAATCGAAACACCATCAATCACTATGGCGTTGCGAGAGCTGCCTTCGGTTTTCTCCCGGTTGACGGTGAGGGGATCGCGGTCAACAACAGTGGCTGCAGCTCGGAATTGCCGCCGATATGCTTCTAGTCAAGCTACTTCTACAACACCAGATCTTGCAGCAGACCTACAAGATCTCGAGTCGCAATCTTCCTTCACTGCCTCCGAGTACCCAGAGGAGAAGATCAAGGCTTATGATCCGGTGAAGAGAGCTCAGGGGAGAAAAAGACAGCTTCCCCCCAGTCGGTAAGATGCCAATTGCTCGCATGCTGGTGCGTGAACTCTGCTAACATCTCTAGATTCCAATATCGACCTCCAAGATACTATCGAGGACCTCTTCATCCCCACCAACCCCCTCCAGCGTCCGATCCTTCATCCCGAGTCTTCGTTCCTGGCCCCTTTTCCCACACCCGCCTGGAACAAACGTACCAATCTACAATTGCTCCGGATCTTATGACCTTGACATATGTTCACAAGCCTCCCGGAACGGAAACCACACCAAAAGCAGATCGTCTACGGACCTGGGACGACTCATCGCCATATCACAAGGGCAGACCGAAGCGTGGACCTCGAGGTCCTGGAGAGGTGTTGCGTATTGTGGAGAAGGATATCAACTGGCGCAACATCCCTAAAATCAAGGAGGTGACGGTGCATACTATGATCAAGGGTGCAACTGAGGATTCGGCACATCTTCACGTGGGTGGGATCATGATCCAAGCAGTTACTGGGGTCAGGCCGACGGTTCACAGAGCAAAGCACAGTGTTGCACAATTCGGGATTCGAAAGAACACGCCTATCTCTTTGACTTCCACACTCCGTGGAGACCAAGCATATGAGTTTGTGGACAAGTGTATAAATCTTGTCTTCCCCAAAATAAAGGATTGGTCCGGTGTCAAGGGTAAGTCTCCAACATCCTATCTATCTGGTCCCCCGGATCAATCTAACATCAAACAGGCACTACCGGTGATGGAGCCGGGAATATAAGTTTCGGTTTTGACAGAGAGGGAGCGATCCTGTTCCCCGAAGTCGAAGTCAACTACGACGTAAGTAATCCCCTCCCCTTCCTCTCCTCATCCCCTTTTCTCACCAACCTCCCAGATGTACCCACCAAAGATGATCCCCGGTTTCCACGTAACCGTCAAAACAACCGCGACGTCCGACAGACAGGCCAGACTCCTGCTCACTGCCCTGGGCGTTCCATTCTACGGAAAACTCGTTGATTAGAGAGAGGAAGAGAGAGGAAAACCCGGAAAACAGGAGTCGAGGATTTTAGATCTGTACATCAGTGTATACTAGTTATAATACAGGAAGCATGTGCATACTCTCACCACCATCAAACTTGCGGATTCTTCATACAATCAATATTGGTATTCCTAAGTGACTCTATCCTTTAAAAGTCTGTGTTTTCGCCTAGAGATTAAGTTAGGTAGATATATACATGTATTCACTGTTGTAGACTTCATCTTTCTCAGGAATTTCCTTGATCTCAACACAACCTACAGAGTACATCCTGCCCATGCTTTTCTTCAACAAGAGAAATAGAAGCAGATTTGAGACAACTGGGATTTATTCTAGGTTTATATAAATCATAAAGATGAACTTTTTTGCAATTAAGGAATTGCGAGTCTCTCGTAGTAGCCCATATCGAAACCTTCCCAGACACAGTAGTACAATGTGTAGCTGCAGCTCATCATCCATATAGCTAGCAGCTCCATCTATGTATTCAAAGACGAGAACTCCGAAACTCCTTTTTCCAATGCAAATGCAAATGCAAGATCTTTTTAATCTTCATCTTTTTTTCATCATGATAAGAGAAGGACTTAGTTGGCTTTCTTAGCCTCTTCCCTCAGACCTCCCATCAGAGCATCGCAAGCATCCATATCGCTAGCATCGACTTTGTCCTGGTTCCGGCCGAGCTTGGCCAGTTCGGTGGTCAGGGCGTCCATGGCTGGTTGGTAATTCCTGCATGCTGAGCTCAAGGCGTAGATAGCCTTCCTTCGAACATTCTCCGCCTCGTCCTGCCCCAGAGCGAGCTTGACCAGCGGCGGGATGCCGTTCATGGCCAGCAGCCTCTCCTGGCTCTTCTCGTTATTCTGCACGGCAGTGCCGACGCACCAGGCGGCCATGCGGCGCATCTCGGCCTCGTCGTGCGCGAGGCAGGAGAGCAGCGGCGTCCAGAGGGACAGCGGGCCCAGGTTGTTCGCGTTGTCGAGGTTCTCAATCAGCTGCTCGAAGTTGTCAAAGGCGATCAGCTTGTCGTCTAGCGTGACTTCCGGGTCTGTGGATTGGATCGCCGACATCGAGGCCAGCATGAGGTCGGCATCGCTGGGCCCGCCGAAGAGCGCACCGAGGACTTCGGGGTCGAGAGAGCGGGTGGGGGGTGGTGCGGAGGGGTCGCTGGCCGCTGCGGAGGAGTTCTGAATGCCCCATTTTAGGAGCTCGTTGAGTTCGCGATTCATTTTGTGTGGATTGAAGATTGGGGTATTCGAAACTGAGTATGGTGGGGGCGAAGTGGGATGTTCTTTTTTTGTGTGCGGCGAGAAATTGACGTCCAGGTAGGTAGGCACTGTAAGAACCGATTCTTCTCGATTCTTCTGATTTTGGATAAAATAATGACTTTCGAGAAGGGATAATGGACTGCGTAAATCTTGATTTGGCTTTTCCTTTTTCCCCTCCTTTACCTGTCAAAGCCTCTTTCCTTTGATTTTGTTTTGAAATGATATAAATCCCAAGTATCAGTGTTCTGTATCAATTTTCAGCAAAAAGTGTATGCTTTCTGATATAATTCTCGATCATTCTAGTCGCTTCAGGAAAGATGCGGCCGCTTTGAGTCCTTCCTCAGGCATCAAGGGGGGTCAAGCTAGCTGGTTAGATACACGGGGGGTTGGGAGCGTTTATGCTGTTCAGCCTGGGGGAGGAAAAGTAGGACCGGGGGGTTTGGATCAACAGCCATGCAGGAACAGAGAAGAACAGGGAGAAAAGAGAATTGAAACTTAAATCATGATTCCCATGAGGGGAGGCCCAGAACTGAGGTGCTCTGCACAGGGCCGCACACGTGATCCGCCGAGAGATGCAGAAAAGGGGATGCCGCCAAAAGCTTAATCAAACTTCATTGCTGGCATAGACCTAAGCCGGCCTGACACGACAGGCTCCATGCAATGGGACAGCTCACATTTATCATTGTCGACGGGCGTTGGTGAAGATGATTTGGCCTGATCTCTACCCCACCAGGGGACTGCCCCTCTATGTCTGCGCCCAGCAGCCGTATGAGACGCCGTAGCGGTATTCCGACCTCAGGCCCCAGGTACCGTAGGTTCCACGTAACCTCGAAGGATCTAAAGAGTACGGTCCCGGTGTGCACAACTACTCCGGATTATTCGTTGCTGCCCGACCGACCGACCGATCTGTGGCTTTACTACTGGCTTACGGCTTCCACTGGCTCGCTGGCTGCCCTTGCATACGCAATCGCTTGGTTAAGTTTCTTAAGCTCTGCTCCCAGAATTATAGACGGACTGCAAAGCTAAGGAGACATGTGCCACGACAGGACAGAAGTCTATATAGTACAAGATTGGGGAAGCCTGCTTGGCGTCTGGAGAGTACGAGGATGAGACGGGATTGAAGATAGCTGGGCTGCAGACTGATTGCAGGCTACACGTGTGGGCCACGCACTATACAGTATCAGCCAGATGGTTGTGTCTCTTGGTGTTCTCTTGTCTCTCTTGTCTCTTTGAAAAGTCTGGTCTTGACGCGCGTTAGTGGCAAAAACACCGCAGAGACTTGCCACGGCTGTGCAATATGAGGCCCTTTGTACACGCACTGGGACAGGCAACTCTGGACAACTCTCCAGGCTTCAGGATAAAAGCAGAAATGGATTCAATTTGACGCAAAGCAGCGGTGTGACTTCTGGTTGGCTTGTGGCCGTGTACCTTGTACTTGACTTATTGGACTGAGAGCTTAGAACTGGCTTTGTTGAGCGGCTGTGGCTGGTGCTCTCATATCCTCTGCCGTCGCAGCCACCGGATTCCCAAGGACAGGCCGGAGATTTAATTAAATGGGGGCTTGACATCTCAAACCCCTTTAACACGATTTAACGCGGCCCGTCTTTGCTCTGGCATCGGGTTGTTTTTTATGAAAGGAAGAAAATCCGTCCTTCTCTGTGCCTCCCAGCCTCCCAGCCTTCTCTCCTCCACAGCAGTCAGCCCCCTCCCCCCCCCTCTAAAAGCGGCAAGATCTACCACGGTGGTCGCTTCGCCTAACCGGACCCGCAGGCGCGGCCCACAAGAAGTCAAATCCGTCGTGACATCGTCCTCTCTCAACTTCCTTCCCCCTTGAAATCCTCCCACCCTCACCCTCCTCCAACGAGTCTATCTCGACCACGAATCTCCTTTCTCCTCGTGATCTTTTGTATTCTCGTCTCTGTTCTCTCTGTCGCCCCGTCGTCGCGAGAACCTCTTCCCGCCATCTTCCACATCCCCCCATCCCTCATCCCTTTTATTTGACACCTCAGTCGTAAGCAGCAGCCATGGAAGGTAAGCACATCTTCCGAACACGACAGATATGCGCAGAGCCGCCAGCGCATCCATCCTGATCATCTTGGACACCTGCTGATTCACGTTGCCATCTACAGAAGAAGTCGCCGCCCTCGTCATTGACAATGGGTAAGCCCCCCTCCTCCCATCCGATCTGAGGGAGATGATGGCCTGGGCATTGGGCGTGGGGAAGCTGTTGGACGCCATTCCGACCTCAGACCACGACCGATAACCCCCAGGCTCAGAGATATCACTGCTCCTGAGAGACATGGCTGACACAGTGTAGTTCTGGAATGTGTAAGGCCGGTTTCGCCGGTGACGATGCTCCCAGAGCTGTCTTCCGTAAGTCTTGTCTTCCTGCGCACGTTCCAGCATCGCGATCTTGTCGCCTGCACTGGAATGCGATGCATTGATCTCGAGAATCTTGAGAGCTGATGACCTTTGTAGCTTCCATCGTTGGTCGTCCTCGTCACCATGGGTAAGGCTTTTCAACCCCGCTATTCACCCCTCGCTGGTGGTGGTATACGAGGGAACATCAGACTGATAAGGATTCCAGTATTATGATCGGTATGGGTCAGAAGGACTCCTATGTTGGTGATGAGGCACAGTCCAAGCGTGGTATCCTCACCCTGAGATACCCAATTGAGCACGGTGTTGTCACCAACTGGGATGACATGGAGAAGATCTGGCACCACACTTTCTACAACGAGCTTCGTGTGGCCCCCGAGGAGCACCCAGTCCTTTTGACTGAGGCCCCCATCAACCCCAAGTCCAACAGAGAGAAGATGACCCAGATCGTTTTCGAGACCTTCAACGCCCCCGCCTTCTACGTTTCCATCCAAGCCGTCCTCTCCCTGTATGCCTCTGGTCGTACCACTGGTATCGTTCTCGACTCTGGTGACGGAGTTACCCACGTTGTCCCCATCTACGAGGGTTTCTCTCTTCCTCACGCCATTGCTCGTGTTGACATGGCTGGTCGCGATTTGACCGACTACCTCATGAAGATCTTGGCTGAGCGAGGTTACTCTTTCTCCACCACTGCCGAGCGTGAAATCGTTCGTGACATCAAGGAGAAGCTCTGCTACGTTGCCCTTGACTTCGAGCAAGAGATCCAAACCGCCAGCCAGTCCTCCAGCTTGGAGAAGTCGTACGAACTTCCTGATGGACAGGTCATCACCATTGGTAACGAGCGTTTCCGTGCTCCTGAGGCTCTGTTCCAGCCATCTGTCTTGGGTCTTGAGAGCGGTGGTATCCACGTTACTACCTTCAACTCCATCATGAAGTGCGATGTCGATGTCCGTAAGGATCTGTACGGTAACATTGTCATGGTAAGTCTACAGATCTGGAAGTGGTAATTCGTTTCCATGCTAATTGATACAGTCTGGTGGAACCACCATGTACCCTGGTATCTCCGACCGTATGCAAAAGGAAATCACTGCTCTTGCACCATCATCCATGAAGGTCAAGATCATTGCACCACCCGAGCGAAAGTACTCCGTCTGGATCGGTGGTTCCATTTTGGCCTCCCTTTCAACCTTCCAGCAGATGTGGATCTCAAAGCAGGTGAGTATCCAAACTTCCCTTCCACAATTTCTATACCATACTAACCACTGCGTCACAGGAGTACGACGAAGCCGGCCCAAGCATAGTTCACCGCAAGTGCTTCTAAGGTATGCGCATCTCCCCTAGTCCATAATTGCAATTTGTATACTGACTTTGAATCCTCATAGTGTCTTCCAGACAATTTGTGCTTACATCACGAACTTCACGAATATGATCAATACGGAGATTCGAGCAAAATATCTGATCCCGATATTTTGTTGTCCCGCGACATGTTTGCATTCCAAAAAGTTCTGGTAGCGATCGAGCGATTTGGTAGTCTCTTTAAGAGAACGGGTAACTGGCTGTTCTTAGCTGGCGGTGTTGCTTGGAGGAGTGGTTAAACGCTGTCGTCTATCAATCGGTCAATCATACAAAGTTTTTTTTTTTCCTGATTAGGGTCCCATTCATCATGTGTCGTCTTATTTCCATTCATAGCGCGCGGATGTGTAGAGAATCAACGAAGCGGTCGTCCACTGCCCTGTGTGCCATGAAATCTTGAATCCCCACAAACGAAAAGACGCCCATGTTGATCAACTGGGAAAAGGAGGCACTTGCAGTAATCCAGTCATGCTTTCAAAGCAAGCATTGCTACCTAGTACGCTGAAAGTATTCTGATGCTTGACACCTTTAACCTTCCCCCGAACCAGACTTTACCACTCGATCAACAGAAATACAATTGCAAAGATGTTTAATCCGAATGCGGTCTCGAGGAGCAATAAGATATCTGAATTACAACACTACATGTTGAAATTGTATCAATCAAATAGTCTCCGTGCGTTTCTCTCTACCGTTCGGGCGCGGGGGATTCTGCACCCGTTCTTCGGCAATTTAATAACCGTTCTGTACCTTCTGCAATGTAATCTCATCTTTCTCCTCCATCCCTATCAAGTCGGATATATGCAGAGTCCGTTTCTCACCGCCCGTTGAGATCTTGTATCTGGTCCCCGGGAACAAGACAACTTGACGGAAATCTTCGTCCTTTCCGAAATCGTCATGCTTTCAAAGCATTCCCACTAAAGGATTCCCGATGTTTGATATCATGTAATCCAATTCCTATTGTGGCAGTAGGCTTTTTGTAAAAATGCACCAGTGATTGGACGCCATCACCCCAGATCGGTACGGTGGTTGCAGCATGCTGGGTTTGACGAGATGCGGCTCTTCCCGCGCGGTATCCAAAGCAGCTCATCTCAGTGACCTCACCTAAACAATCCGACCTACAACGCCTCTGAACCCTCAACAACACCCGCGAATGGCACAGGTTGATTGGGAACGCTGATGGTACCGCGATTAATAAATTATGTCCCGTAATCGATATGGGGGTCTTGGGGATGATCCTTATGCCAGTAGCAACGGAGCATATGGATCTCAAGCTTCAGAGAGAGACGATTACGATCCTTACGGGACGACGTACGGCGACCGATATGAAGCCGCTCCAGTATCGGCACTGACGACGCCTGCAGCGAAGCCGGCTCACCCTGCGGGCACACGCGCAAGGGGAGAAAGCGTCGCAGAACGGGCGATAGGTGATGTGTTAGGCCTGATCCAGGCAGAATGGCCGGTGATGTGCAAAAGCGACTGCGTACCTGTCCATGTTGCTCTACAGCTGCTCGACACGAGTTCTGTTGGACGGGCGCACGAGTATCAGCGGTGGGATCAATTGCACAAGTACCTGCAGGATTCCCTCAAGGCCGTCGTCCATGAGCACCACCAAGGCTTCAATAGCGCGATCGGTACATTCCACAAGATACAATCGAGTATACAAACTTCACAAAGGCGGGTTCGGATGTTGAAGGACTCGTTGACGCAGTCTAAATCGAGTCTGGGAACTACAGATCCGGAATTGCGCAAATTGGCGTCTGCGTCACAAAACTACGACGATTTACTACATGTCCTAGCGGAAATCGAGGATCTGCGGCTGGTCCCTGATCAATTGGAGGCGCGGATATCAGAGAAGATGTTTCTGACGGCTGTGGATATATTACAAAATGCGTTGCGGCGGATACGGGCTCCAGCACTAGACAACATAGGTGCGCTAAGTGAACTTCGGAGCTACCTTGCGAATCAAGAGGCCGCCTTGACGGATATCCTGATTGAGGAGCTTCACGATCACTTGTATCTCAAGTCGCCATATTGCCAAGAACGATGGCAGATGCTTGCCAAAGCTCAAAGTGGAGTGGCCAAAGATAATCTTGACCAAGCCAACCAAATCAGGCCATTTTATGAGGTTTTAGATGCGATTGAGCTCTCCGAAACTATGGTGGAAGACCCCTCGAGGAACCCTGAGGCAGATACATTCTACTACATCGGGCTGCTAGTGGAATCTCTGAATAAGCTTGATCGTCTCGAGATAGCGGTGAACACCATCAAACAGAGGCTACCGGTTGAGCTATTCGGCATTGTCAGTGAGACCAATGCTGAAGTTGATCAGAAGCATCCAAGCTCTTTACGAGGTGGTATCTCAGGCTCCCAAGGAAACCAAGCTTTTGGCAAGGAGAACGGGATCCGTGCCGATGTGATATATGACCTTCTCTGGACACTATACGCAAAATTCGAGGCTATTGCTGAAAGTCATCGTGTGTTCCATGACGTAGTAAAATCGATCCTAAAGCGGGAGGGTGCAAGAGATTCGTCCATGTTGCTTGGAAGTTTCAGAGAGCTCTGGAACCTATACCAGAATGAGATTCGATCCCTGCTGCACAATTATGTTACGACCGATGCCGATATCTACCAATTCACTTCTACCCCTCGACTGGGCCTTGCGAAACTGGACTCAAAGCGTGAACAGCTCTTCCATTTTTCAGATGCAGACTCAAAATCCACCCAGATGGCCAAAGAATATCAAGCTGTGGAGGAGATAATTACGTCCGCGGTTCCTGGTCTCATATCAGGTTCTCGGAAACAAGGAGCCGATGGCAAGAAGCCATCTGTCCAGAGGGGCGATAGCACAATTGGGTCACGACGTATGGCAAATACATCTTCTTCAGCTACCAGATCGGACTTTGTCGCTGCGCACAAGTCACTGGTAGAGCCGAGTGTTTTCAATATGAGTATATTACTACCCCCGACGTTGGGATTTCTGCAAAGGCTCAAGATGATTGTTCCTCCCGGATCAGATCTTGTCACTAGCACACTCACTTCTTTCCTTGATAACTTCTTGGTGAACGTTTTCCTGCCGCAGCTCGACGAGACGTTAGGGAAGCTCAGTGACTCAGTCTTCGAAGATACTGATGCTTTCCAACAAGATTCACAGTGGATCAGGGTTGCACGCCGGCCCGTTTTCAAGGGTACAACGGCCTTCTTCTCCTTGATTACCGCATTCTGTAAGATGCTTGATACGATTCCCCATGATCAAGCCCTCAGTCAGCTCATCATTACCCAAATGATGAGATATTATGATCGCTGCTGTGACTGGTTTAGGTCACTAGTCTCTCGCGTTGAAGATTCAGGCGCTCCCACACTCAAGCTCTCTGCATCACTTGCCACTGGTCCAGGCGAGATACATGATACCTTGCAGAAACTGTGGACTTCTGAAGGAGATGATCGTCTCCAACTTGAGAAGGAAACTGGTCTGTTAATTCTACAGACAAATGAGAACCCCCTGCGCTTCGATGATATTATTATGGATCGTGAAACGATCTCGTCTCTGTGTGTGCTCTACACCAGTATGAAATGGCTTGCGATCAAAATTGGTGAGCTCCGCCACATCACCCGCAATGATGTCGACTCTTCCCGGGCCTCGATGCCAAGACCGCAGACTAGACGGTGGACACTTTTCAATGATGTTTCGAGAGTGCAAGATGAGCAGCATCCGGTGTATCTCCCCATGACCCAAGAGACTGTAGTGTAAGTTTTCCAAAAGGATATTATTCCCTATCTCCACTGACACCATACTAGTGCCTTTGATTCAATAGTCTCCTCGTACCAAGAACTCGCTGGAACAGTTCTCCTTACACTGCACATGGAAGTGAGATGCCAAATTATCCACTCGCTATCAATTGCACTATCACCAGACTCATCCCGTTACGTCCTCGAACAAGCCGTTAGCGACCCAGATCCTGCGATACTCAGCCTGAACGCTGATCTTGTCTCTTACGATGAGACGATTGTTGGCTTTCTTCGTGACAAGGAGGTTTCCTTCATTCACACAGGTCTTGGACTTCTAATTGATAGCTTCCTCGTCACCAATGCAGGGATGGTGAAGGTCATGAATACAAACGGTTGTAGGAGAATGCAATTGAACATCCTCGTCTTGCAGCAGAATCTCAAGAATATCGAAGCAGATGTAAGCTTAGACCGAGCGGCTAAGTTCTTCGGCCTTTTCATCGAGGGCCCGGATGCTATTGTCAAGAGGGCTAAAGAAGAGAAGGAGAGTGGTAATGCAGGGAAGGAGATGTTTAGCTATGATGAGCTGAAGACCCTGGTGGAGCTCTGCTACAGCGAGCAGCTTTCTAGTCCGGAGAGGGGGATCAGTACGGTGGCTAGAAGAGGCATGGGAGATCATGTCCTCCAACTGAGCGAGTATATGTGGCAGAGCTAGACGCGTGGGGTGTGTTCATGTAGGATTTTGTGCATTTGGCGAGGAGTCTGGTGACATTGGATGTAAAGGACGACGACGGGCGCCTAGGTTCTGGAATTCTATGTACAAAGGCATCCCATCCATTGTCCTTGGCAGGAGGGGGATGGATCTATATGCGATATTCCCAATGAAGCAATATCCCTCCCAAATGCGCGCTTCCCCAGAGACACTGACATGCCAAAACACCAGCCTCCCACGTTCGGAGGATTTCCGACACGAATAGGAAATAGCCTCGGTCAATGTCTGGGGGCCTTATCTGCAGCGCTATATGGATCACCACCACCAAGGCGCTACCCCATTCTTCAAGCCCCCAGCTAAATATATCCGTATCGCGCAGCTCAACCTTTTGGTTCTGCTACTACTACTCCTTGGTTTTTTTCCTTGTTTTCTAAGCATTTGTTGTAGCCTGTGGATCTGTGGTAGTCCGGTAGAACAGCCCCCCTCCTCATTCGCAAACGACACGGGGCTATAGATCCCAGGGAGTCCCTGCAGAGAGCTGCCAAGACGCCTAACCTACCAACGGCCGTGTGCCTGGTGGCAGCCGGACTTTGGCTGATGGGGACTGGTCAAGAGCTAAGTGCGGTGCTGCGAATCAGAAGCCTGGAGTGTCACGATGCCGTCTGTTTGAAGGCGCAGAACTTCAGCTTCGAGGGAACTCCGAGGCGATGAGCGGCGGGAAGATCTGGCTTGCGGCCATGTTTTTTGGGTTTGTCCTTCTTACTTGAAACGCACTTACAGAGGTATGGGGGGGAAGGGTAAAAGGTTATGGGTATATATATGCGGAGTAATAGTCCTATCGGTGTCCGGAGATTTTTCTTTTGTTACTTCAGGTATAAGGAGGTAAGTAATTGTGGTGCTGCGCCTCGACTGAGATAACTCTTGTCCGCGGTGCTGTATATAGTAGCAATCGGTGGACCGCGGATTCTGTCCAGCTCCAGCCCTATCCGCGTGTCGTGTCGGGCCCATTCTCCGTAACACATGGAATCTTCCATCGATGGACGAAGTGTTCTGCGAGAGAGCAGCAGGATGGATGGATTCGAGAGAGTTGCATGGAATTTTGAGTTCGATAGATAGCAAGTCAGTGACGCGCCCCTCTCTTCGCGCCCCCTCCCTCCTTCAGCCTCCAGCAGAACCGGTTTCTCTCCTTGCGGTGTGTTAGCAAGTGAGCCAAGAGGGGAGAGAGACGACGTCAATCATCAATGCCAATGCTGGTGATTTGATGTTACATGTTCACCGCATGAATAGGGAGGCAGGTAAAATGGAACCGTGCATGTTGTCGTTTGTCCCGCGCGCCTTTGCTCCTGAACGGCGTCTTCTACTCCGGACTCCTAAACGCCCTCCTGTTCCCAACCCCCCCGTAATAGGGAAATCGGGTTAAACCTCAGATTAAAGACAATAAGGTAAGGCTCCCCCCATCAGTAAGTAAGTATCAGTAATATAATATATCAGTAATAATATATCGCGCCAGTAAATCCGTCTGTAAACCCCCCCCCCCCCCTTTCCCAGCCCGGCGTGTGTCTGGATCCTTCTCCCCTGCGCAGAAGTGCTCCGCCAATCCCTTCTCGGCTACCAAATTACTTTACTTTAACGAACTCCCGCCAGGGAACCACCGCGAGAAAACGCTCCCTTACCTGCCCTCCTACCAACAACACCATCCACTCCCCACGAACAATCGCGGCCCCTTTCCTTCGTCCTTCTTTTCTACGTTCTTTTTGTCCATCCTCCACCCCATTCCCCAATCTCTGTCACTCCTTCACCTACCCGGCCATCACGGCTGAGCGCGTTCCGCGTCGTCTGCGATACCTGTACCGCCAGCCATGGCGTCGTGAGTCCATCCCCTTTCTTGGCGCTTCATGCCGCTCCCCTCGACCGATCCTGTCTATCCATCGATCCAATTAGCCAGCAATCTCACTGACAATGACTGTTCGATCAGGATCGGCTCTGCTTTTCGATCGTTCTGGCATGCGATGACCAGCTATGACCGACGTACGTTTGCTTGCGTGCTTCCTTCCCAGCAAAGGATCCCGTGGCTGATCGCGTGAATAGATTCCTCCTACGACTCCCCCTACCGCTCAGGCCAACATGTCCCCCTCGCCCAAAGCCGGCACGAGCCTCTAACATCTGTCGCGACAGCTTCAGAATCCCGCGGCGATCTTAGCTCCCCATATTTTGAAGAGGTCGGAAGCCAGTCCACGGCCGCGTTGAATGGCAGCACGTACCCCGGATCCCCTATGTCACACCGCCAGAGCCAGAGCCCAGGACCAAACCCCCCTTATTCACCGGGTATGAGATCATCCTCCCTTTTACAAAGACGGAGCACAAGCGACAACTTCGAGAATGTCACCCCTGGCGAGATCCAATTACAACCCTTCACAGAGGGCCTTCCACCACCTCCCCCCGTGTCCCACTCCTGGACGAGGATTGATCGATGGGCAGAGGAGAACTACGAGGAGCTGTTTGATCAACTCGGTGAGGGCTGCACCAACAATGACTTGTTAGAGCTGGAGTATCAGTTGGACTGCTCTCTCCCAATGGATGTTCGCGAGTCATTGCAGATCCACGATGGACAAGAGCGAGGTGGTATGCCGACTGGTATCATCTTTGGCTGCATGCTACTGGACTGTGAGGAGATTGTGCAGGAGTGGACAAACTGGAAGAAGGTCAACGAGGAATACCTCAGAGAGCCAATCAACCCGAAGCCTTCTACGCCATCAAAAGTCCTGGGCGGAAGCTCATCCTCGTCTTCGAAACCCTCGGCACAGGCAGGAGGAAACCCTATGTGGAGACAGGATCTACTCGCCAAGCAAGACTCTCAACCCTCGGGTGCCATCCAGAGAGTTTATGCACACCCTGCTTGGATTCCGTTAGTTAGGGATTGGGGTGGAAACAACCTGGCTGTTGATCTGGCCCCGGGACCTACTGGTAAATGGGGTCAAGTAATTCTGTTTGGTCGGGACTACGACTGCAAATATGTGGTCGCACGATCCTGGGCCGCCTTCTTGGCCACCGTTGCAGATGATCTCAACAGCGGTAAGTGGTTTGTGGATGAGGAGACCAATGAGCTCAAGTTGCGGGAATTCAAGTCACGAACTGTTGAGCCTGGTTACTTGGACATCCTGAGATGGAGAATGGACCAGAAGTATGGTCGCAAGGGAGGGCGACGTAAGTCTACGCCACCAGTCAATGCCCACCCCGGTGGGTCTCCAACAACATCTCCGTACGCAAGCCCAACCGCCGAAACGGGAGAGCCTCGGGGACGATCGATGCAGCGATTCAGCGGAGCCTCACCCGTTGCAAGTCCAAACCGCCCCAACTACGTCAAACCAAGTCCTTTGGCTAGAGTGACTGAGGAGACTGCACCCATCAAAGTCAATACAGAGCCTGCTCCTGCGCCGAAACTCGTGGAGGTGGATAGTCCGAGACCCCCTGAGCCTGAGGAACCGAAACCGAAGCAGAACAAGGCTCTGGAGTCGTTACTCGAACCTGTTGCTGCGGATGACGACAAGGAGAATACAAAGACCGAAGATCCTCCCGCTGTTGAGGGATTGGGAATAATAGACGCCAGCGCCAAGAAGGCTACAGTTGAAGACGAAGAGACTACGATGAAGACGATTGAGATCTGAGTTCGTCCTTTTTCATTATCGCATTGCATGTGGCGTTGAAGGCGTGGGAGCTTCGTTTGAGAAAATCCTGTCATGATGACTGGCTGCATCTGGATGGTCTGTTTATCTGGTCGACTCTTCACTCTACAGAAGAAATATGGCCATCGTGCTTATGAGGTCTAATACAATCGCAATATACGAAGTGGACGTCCCTATTTTCACCGCTGGGCCAAGCAGAGCTGGTTCGATTTTGCAGGAGTCGCTGCAGGCCGGGACGATAAGCTTTGTTGTACAATTAGAAGGAGAGCGCCTGTAGTGCTTGGTTTTTTACTTTTCTTATTGGAGGGACTGAAATCGTAATGCTGACCTCATAGCTGATTGACGGCTGGGACAGATGGCAGATGCCTAAAACTCAAAACCTACATGTACAGACAGGATGGAAAGGAAAGAAGAAGCATTCTGCATTCCGCTGTGATAGAACATTGGTTTGGGTGTACAACAACATGGCATTGAAGGATTGCTACTGAATACAAAAAAATCATCATAATTGAGGCAACCTCGAGACTGTAAGATGTGGAGTGTGACCATGAATTGCTTAGTTGCTTGTGCCCTGGTTAACCTGCCTACCTTATTACATGAAGGGGTTGAGGACCATGTCCCCATCGAGACGGGAATGCTCATATCAGCACGTGACTTAGCGCGGGCCATCATCACGGGAGTCGAGCCGCGCAACCTGACAAGAGAGCAGCTCAAGCACGACACCCGAAGCGTCCAACATTCCGAACTCAAGACCGCGACCCCAAGTCATTACAGACAACACCTACGAAGATAATACATCTCCGCGACTTGATCCGTATTCAAAAGCCGCAGCCGAGAGCGACGCCGCCTTCGTCACAGAGCCGCGATCAAGATGCCCGAGGAGCGCCTATGGAAGTTCAGAAAGCCGGAATGGATGAATAGCTCCACGGCAAGGAGTGCGGGTGTATATGCAGCTGGTGCTCTGGTACGTTTTGTATCCTGTGTTTTGCGATTACGCCTGAGCCTTGTGCTCTTATTACATCTACTCCCAACCCTACCTCCAGCTCCATCCCGGACTCCCAAAGCGGCAATCCCCCAAGATAAGATAGGAGCCCAGACTGACAGCTATGTGTAGTCCTCACTCGCCTTCTTCATCATGCTCGATGCGGCCGTCTGGTCGAAATCCGCGCGGAACGGCAGCGATATCCACATTGCCTTCATCGACTGGCTGCCGCTGATCTTCTCGTTCCTGGGCATGCTGATCATCAACTCGATCGAGAAGACGCGATTGTCCGCGGACAGCTTCTCGTACTCGGGATCGGGGGTCGCGTGGAAGGCGCGGGTGGTGCTGTTCCTGGGGTTTGCGAGTCTGGCGGGGGGCATGGCGGGCGGCGTTACGGTCCTCGTGCTGAAGTATGTGGTGCCGCAGACGGTATGGCCTACGCTCTACATGGGTGTTTCGAACGTGTTGGCGAATGGGTTGGTTATGTTGAGGTAGGTTATTTCCCCATGTCTCTGCTGTGGGTGGGCAGAGGGATATGAGAACTAATGTGTGTATAGCTCGGTGGTGCTTTGGATCTCTCAGAACATGGAGGATGAGTACGCCTATAACTTGGCCCTGTGAACGGATCTGGGAGCGGCGACGTGAGGGGCGGGCCTGATGCGAGAATGGCCGTGGAGGGGAAACTGCATGCGACTATGATATTCAATGCTTTGATATGGAGCGCCTTTTAACATCTTTTGTAGCATAGGGCTGGGTTATGTATGAGCGGTCAAACTCATTGGTGGTCAAGCTATTATATACAGGTGTATCTTTACTCTATAACTTCCCCATCCGATAGTGATATGAGTATCTAGACGGGGCGCCCTGACTTCGCCAATCCCTGATTTAAGCAATGGAATTAAGTAATTCCAGTGCAAGATAACCAGACGTACGGAGATACGGAGCATGCAGAAGCAGCATCTTTGAGCCTTCATGGCCCTGAAGATTGGCCAATGAACTTAAGCCAGCATTATCCGCTTGAACCGAGGACCCTGAAATCGACAGCGCGTCAACCCAAAAAAAAGGTACGCGAAGACCAGCAACCTCTGAATACAATCCATAAGCACACACTCCTTTATCCACACACAAACCATAGCCGTCTATGGCTACCAACCCCTATCATTCAATTTCCTTCCGGTAACGCTTTCTTTTCTCCACCTCCAAGTTGCCTATCGCAACGTATAGATCGGTACAATGGTGGAAGCACCAGTACCTAAACCCGCACCGGGCAATCATGACTCCATAGCCGCACAATACGCCAGAGCGAAAGCGATCAGAGATGCCGAGGACTCGAATAAGGTCAAGAAGATCATGGCGGAGAGGGGCTTGGGTCCAAACGGGAAGCCAAAAACCACGATGGAGAGATTGAACGAGACGAAAGCCAGTAATTTCAAGAGGGAGTGGGGCTGGGTGGTGGGATTTTTTGCGTGGTTATTGTGAGTATATTCTTTGGATTGGGATACACGGTCTTGGCAACTTTGGGTGCTGATGGAGGCGAGTTCTGTAGGTTCGTTCATGCTGCAGGAATCTATTTCTTCACCAAGGGCTTCCTCCTGACCCGTCTTGTCCTGGACGAGAAATCTTCGTGCGCCCAACCGCCAATTGCACCGACGAGCTCTTTTAAAGGCATAGGCACCCCGGAGGCAGGATGCTGGCATCCGAAAACGTTTGAGAAGGCCGTGGTTGTCATCATTGATGCGCTGCGCTACGATTTTACTATCCCTTTCAAAAATACCAGCGACCTTGGCTCGGGTTCTGGCCCCCAGGCTTTCCACAATGCGCTGCCGTTCCTGTATGAGACTGCCGTCAATGAGCCGCAGAATGCGTTCCTCCGCCCCTTCATTGCGGATCCTCCTACTACGACACTGCAGCGATTGAAAGGTCTCACGACCGGTACGCTCCCTACATTTATAGACGCCGGATCGAACTTCGCCGGTGAAGCCATCGAAGAGGACAACCTCCTCATACAACTCCGGGATGCGGGGAAGAGAATCGCACACCTGGGAGACGACACATGGCTTGCTTTATTTCCAGGTTATTTCGAGCCAAATATCAGCCGAGCATACGACAGCTTCAACGTGTGGGATTTGCACACGGTGGACAACGGCGTCACCGAACATATTCTTCCTTTGCTTTCTCCGGAGAAGAAGGGGTTGTGGGATGTTGTGTTTGCGCACTATCTGGGGGTTGATCATGCGGGCCATAGATATGGACCGAATCATTTTGCTATGACTGCCAAGTTACAACAGATGGATGATGTCTTGCGGAAGATTGCTGCCGCCTTGGACGATAACACGTTACTGGTGGTTATGGGAGATCATGGCATGGACCAGAAAGGCGATCATGGAGGAGAGAGTGACGATGAGGTCGAGGCCGCCTTGTGGATGTATTCAAAGAAGGGCGTCTTCGGACGCACGGATCCTGCATTTGTCACTCCTCCTCAATCGGCAAAGATTAGACCAGTGGATCAGATTGATCTAGTGCCTACCTTGGCCCTGCTGCTGGGATTGCCGATTCCATTCAATAACCTAGGCAAGCCTATTGAGGAGGCATTTGTGGGAAAGAAGGGCAATAACTGGAATAATCTTGCGGGTGCTGTCAGAATGGCCGCAGCTGGGACTAAGAGATATCAGGCTGCCTACTATGCGGCCCGCGGTATCAACGAGAGCGAACTTGAGTCAATTGAGGGCTCGCCCCGTGGTTTGTGGGCGAAGGCTGAACGATCTCTCTCTTCCGGTGGCAAGGAGGTGTACAGCACATTCTCAAATTTTCAAGTGGAGACAGTACGAGTATTCAGGGACTTATGGGCTCGATTCGACGTCCCATGCATGTTTCTAGGTATTGCGATCCTTGCTGCTGGCCTGGTATCCTTGATCCTGTATATCAAGGACAATGCTGAATATGGTCCCGTGGTGGATGATGCAGAGGTGGAGAGAAAGGAGAGAGAAGAGGAACTCGAAAGATTTCAAAAGGGAGATCCGATGGACCAAGATGAAACTTCTAGCCGATCAGTTGTGATGGCTGCTTTGCTTGGCACTTCTGCTGGAGGCGTCTCGGGACTCGCTGCGGCTTTGATCTTCCAGGGCTTTACTCTTAACATGGCTGTGCTAAATTATGGCCTTGGAGGTGCTGCAATATGCGGCCTGGTTGGTGTTCTATATGTTCGATTCAAAGCACAAGAACAGCTCACCAATCTGGTGCCAACGACCGTCTGGGGTTGGCTCGCTCTGATCTTCACTGTCAGCCAGTCAGTAGGCTTTGCGTCGAATTCATATACTATCTGGGAGGACTCGATTCTGCTATTCTTCATCTCAACATTCGGGGTGGCGGCAGCAGTGTCATCATTGCGAATTGAGGATCCTGCTGATAGGGCGCTGGGCGTCTATCACTCGGTGCTCTTCACTGCTGTTGGCTGGTTCGCCTCTTTTTCGAAGCTCTGCAGGGAAGAGCAAATGCCATTCTGCCAATCCACTTATTATGCTTCGGCAACATCGTCGACATCTGCGCCATGGCAACTTATCATTCCATTGGTCCTGGTAATTTGCCTCCCATCAGTCATTAAGTCCTATTATATGGGCAGCCGCTCATACGAAGGTTTCGCTCCTATTTGGATCGGCTGGGCTTTCCGGTTTGGCCTTATTCTTAACGCTGCGTACTGGATTCTCGACGCTGCCGATGATGGCGAGTGGTTTCCCAGTCTTTCTCACAACACACTGAAAAACATAAGGACCCCGTTGGCTCAAACCGTCTTCGCTATGGCGATCGGAGCTGGATCCACGGCGTTTGGTTATGCACCTCCCTGCGTCTCCATCAGCACAACTACAAACCCTACCCCCAACAACGCTCATATGGTCAATAGCAAAGGCACGACAGTCACCATTCTCGGCTTTGCCAATACCCACGGTGCCCGGTACTTCTTCCTTGTTATCAACGTCCTGCTTTGCGTCCTCATGGTTCAGAAGGCCATGGGCGCCGGTGCGATAGCCCTCATGTCCTGGCAAATTCTCTCCCTCCTCGAAATACTAGACCTCAACGCCCTAGCCAATTCGCCCATCGGTCCCATAGTCCTGGCTCTCCTCGGCAGCTTCTACTTCTTCAAAACCGGGCATCAAGCTACACTCCCCTCCATCCAATGGGATTCTGCCTTCATTGCCCTCCAAGAGATTCGCTATCCATGGTCTCCTCTGCTGGTCGCCCTCAACACTTTCGGCGCTCACATCTTGGCCGTTGCTGCTGTACCGCTGGTCGCGCTGTGGAAGCAGAAGCCAAGGCAGAAGGGTCTTTTGAAGGGGGTGGCGGCGGCATTAGCGTGGCATATCGTGTATTATGCAGTGATTGGACTGGCAACTACGATGTGGGCGTGTCATCTGAGGAGGCATCTCATGCTGTATCGCATCTTCAGCCCGAAATTCATGACGGCAGCAGCGGCGCTGCTCGTGGTTGATGTTATTGGGTTCGTGATCGCGTTGACTGCCGTGCGGTACAACACATTAAGTGTTGGAGAGGTCTTCGGCTGGGGATAAAGATCGAAGAAAGGGGGGCGTTTCTAGAGGAAGGAAGATGGTCTTGTACAAACATGTTTGTTTGATCGCATAGCGAAAGGTATGTAAAAGGTCGAAATCTGTTGGGGGGGTGGCCTGGATACAATAAGGGAGATCTGGCGGCGTAGTCATCGGTAGATATCTATCTATCTACAATGTATATAGTCTCCTCGTTCAATCAATGATCGATTGACGAGGCAGTGCTTGAGGGACCTCAATCCCGATTCCCTTTGTAGTAATTTGTAGTATTATAAACTAGAAATCTAGACCTTTGAACCACGACTACTCTCTATTTCCAAGCTTCGACATAAAGCCAAGGCAGATCTTCAGCCCAAGTTTTAAATTCTCAAGATGTTTTGTTCTCGTAGACTGTCAGCAGCACAGCACAGTGGGTAGTAGCCTCGCTGGGAAGGCTACGTGTGGTTTCGGCAGGCGGCCGATCGAGCCTCTTATTTCCCTACGCCTAACGTCCCAACACCCGCAGACGAACAAACAACGACCAACGAACGCGCTGAAATCCCAAGAACACCCAGCTCTGATGCCCGTGGTGGCATCCGCACAGGTTCTTGCACCGAGAAAAATCCCATCGCGTCCTCGTCCGCCCGCGACACAATCGCAATTGCAGGAGCTGTAGCTAGCTAGCTAGCTGTATAGACGTGGCATGGCGGCCCCCAAGACGCTGGACTCAGCGAGCTGCGCGACGGCCGCGGATGCGTTCGTGCACCCGCTACCGCAGGTGCGGTTATTCCACCGGGGGCTAACGACGGAGCTGGAGGAGAAGAATGGACGGCTGCGAGCGCTGGTGGGGGGCAGCTACCGGCAGCTGCTAGGGACGGCGGAGATGATACTGGAGATGCGGGAGGAGATCGGGGGGGTGGAGGAGCGTCTGGGGAGGGTGGGGAGGGGGTGTGGGAGGGGCGTGGTGGCGGGCATGGCGAGCGGGTTGGGGAGATTGCAGGGTGAGGGGAGGGAGGGGAGGAGGGCGGAGGAGATGGCGTGGGTGGTGAGGGGGAAGGCGCTGGAGATGTGTGGGCTTGTTGTGGGGAGGTTGTTGAGGAGGGGGGAGGGGAGAGGGAGGAATCTGGTCACGGCGGCGAAAGTCCTGGTTCTGAGTCGGTTGCTGGCGAAGAGTTTGAGCGAGTCTCCTGCCGCTGGCGAGGCCGAGAGAGATAAAGAGTTGGTAGAAGAGTCGAAGAGGAAATTGGGTGGTTTGAGGAGGAGGTTGCTGAGGGCTATTGAGAGGACATTGGGGAGGAGTGAGAGCGGTGATGGGCGAGAAGACCTCGTGCAGGCGCTGTGTGCGTATAGCCTTGCCACGAGCTCTGGGGCCAGGGATGTGCTAAGGCATTTCTTGCATGTCAGGGGCGAGGCAATTACACTTGCTTTCGAAGCAGAAGACGACGTGGAGCCGGAGGTTCCAGGAATCCTGAGAGCTCTGGAGTTGTATACGCGGACACTACTGGACGTGCAAGCGCTCGTGCCCCGCCGTCTTACAGAAGCTCTGGCGGCTTTGAAGACCAAGCCTCTGTTGAAGGACGAGTCGATTCGAGAGCTGGAAGGGTTGAGATTGGATGTTTCTGAGAGGTGGTTTGGTGATCAGATCCTATTCTTCACGCCCTATGTCAGGCACGATGATCTTGAGGTGTCACAGGCCGTGGATACCCTAAGGGGTTGGGCAAAGAAGGCCTCCCAGGTCATCTTAGAGGGATTTGGCAAGACGCTGCAGCGAGTCAACGACTTCAAGACTGTGGTCGACTTGCGTACAAGATGTTTAGAGGTCTGGATCAAGGACGGTGGAAAGGCGAAAGGGTTCGATCCTTCGGTCATTCTTAACGGGTTGCGAAATGTAATCAATGATCGCATGGTGCAACTCCTAGAATCAAGGGTGGGCAGACTACACCTGGTAGGAACGGAGATAGAAGGAACATTAGGAACTTGGAGACCGGGCACAACGGATCAAAACGCCAGCCTTTGGGATGAAGATATGCTCGAAATGGAGATCAGCAATGGAGCGAGCCTCTTCAAACAAGGTGTTCTAGCTCGCACGCATGGGAGAAACGACGCCGTCTCCCGAGCAGTCAAAGGATACCAGAGCTGGCGACATCTTGTCGATGAGGTCGTCACAGTGCTTGATCTACTAAAGAAACAAAGATGGGACAATGACCTTGAAGACATCGAAGACGAAGCTAGCATTGAATCTCGAAATACCCTGCTCAGCAAAGACGACCCCCAGATGCTGCAAGATCACTTCGATACAAGCCTAGAGAAGGCATACACAAATCTGCACGAGAAGATATCTGCGCTCTTGGAAACATATAAGGATAGAGAGGATAGTGGCCAAATGTCTATCTATATTCTCCGCGTCCTTCGAGATATTCGCAGCGAGCTTCCCAAGAATGCTGCGTTGCAGTCTTTCGGGCTTTCACTCGTCCCTCAGCTCCACCGAAAACTAGCCACCATTGTCTCAGCAGATGCAGTTGAACGCTTTGCAGTATCCCTCAACAGAAAGAGCGTGCCAGGCAGGGCCTTGTGGGAAGGCAATCCCGAGCTTCCTGTTCAACCATCACCTGCAGCATTCAAATTTCTGCGTAGTCTGACCATGGCCATGGCCCAGCTGGGAAGTGATCTGTGGAGCCCAGCCGCTGTCCGTGTTCTGAAAGTCCACCTGCGTTCAGAACTGGGAAGCTGCTGTAATGCTGCTCTGAAAGCTCGAGAGGACAAAGATTCAAATAAAGCAAAGACCAACGGTGGAGTAGCCAACGGCGATTCCGGAACTGGAACTCCAGATGAAGATCAGCACGAGAACACCGAGGCCGTCGACCTGGAAAAGCGTAAAGATGTCTTGATACAGTTCCTATTCGATATACTCATCCTCAAGGAGGCCTTGGAGACAAAAGCTGAGGTCGGGGATGGACTGCAAAGTGTGGAAAAAACTATTGGGTCCCAGATAGAGCTGGAATCCTCTTCGCGGAAGAGGTTAGAACAAGGTGCAATGGAGTTCTGGAAAAAGACAAGCCTGTTGTTCGGGCTTTTAGCATAGTCCAAAAGTTCTAGTTCTAGATACCAATGAAGAAAGCTCCTTTGTATTATCATACTTTTGAATATCATGCCTCATCTTGCAGTGGAACGAACCCTATGAAGTGAAATTAGTGCCTCACAAATAAGGCGTCAATGTCAGGCTACAAGTGGGATATCGGGGCTCGGTGGTTCCACGTGCCGTGCCTTTCGTGCGGGCCGAAATCGAAATCGATAAGGTAAGCCGACAAGGAACGCTTTTCTTCCAACAATACACCGGAAATTCCACAGCACACGAGCCATGCAAACAACACGTCTCACCTTCCTCTACCCGCATCTTTTCCGGTCGATACGCGCCAGCGAGCCGGTACCAAAAACTGTGCGCGTACGGCCACGATCACCGCGACAATGCCAGCCCGCGAGAGGGTTTTCGGCGCTTGGGAGGAGAGAACGTCATAAGCACATGCAAAGGCATGGAAAAGCGGTAGAGCCACTTCCATTGAACGGGGAGGGCGCTGAGGGCGCAGACAATGTGAAATCTACTGCGGCCGAGAAGACAAAAGAAACCGAGAAGAGTAAAGAGCTCAACAAGAAGGCCCAAAAGGCTGAACCAGATGCGGAACAGGAAAAGGCGAAGGCAAAGGGGGGACAAGATGCTGCGACATTAGCTGGGGATAGCAATGCTCCTAAGCAGGAAAGCGGAACGAATACAGAGTCAACAGCCAGTCAAAAGGCCGCTGCGGGTTCGACCGATCCTTTACCACCCCTCGATACGATATTGCATATGCCGCCACCTGAGAGCCAAGAAGAGAGGAATTCGCAGAAACCACCACATTTACAGACGCCGCCCTACGTTCATCATTTCGATACCTACACATTGGTCCAGCAGGTCATGGCGGGGGATTTCACAGCGGCGCAGAGTATCACGGCTATGAAGGCTGTAAGGGCTTTGCTGGCACACAATTTGGAAGTAGCTAAAGCGGGGTTGGTCAGCAAGAGCGACGTGGAGAATGTGAGCTATGTATTCGCTGGCACCCAGTAAATGCTGACGAAATTCTGCCTTAAGGAAACCTATCTCTTCCGCGCGGCATGCTCTGAATTACGGACGGAAATCCAGAATCAACGCAAGGCGAACGACGAAGCGATGCGCAGGGAACGTACGCTCCTACAGCACGAAGTGGATATTTTGAGTCAAAAACTTACTCAGGAGCTGCTCACGCTAAAGGATGACTTGAAGGGTATGTTTGATGATCGAAAAATCGCTGTCAAGATGGAACAAAGAGCTATAGACAGTAAGGTATGCAGACTATTGTTGTTCCTTTGTGGATGGCTAGAGAGCTGATACTTCACAGATTCAAGAGTTGAACTACAAGATTGCCGTTGCTCTGAATAGCGATACCAAGTCCGAAGTCGAAGGCTTGCGATGGGTTCTGACAAGAAGATCGGTAATGGGGATCTTGTTCATGGCGATTATGGTTCTATCGTCGTTACGGTACGCGAGTTACAAGGCGCACGAGGAGGAAAACAGGAAGAAGAAGAAGAAGAAAGAAGCCGCCTCGAAGTCTAATGAAGAATCATTAGAACTTCCTGCTCAGGGGGCAGCGGAGATTCTGGCTGCCAACTGAGAGAGAGAGACTTTGGCAACAGTTTTTAAACAGCATTAGAGGGGGCCAGGCCAGACTGGCCCATGAATCATGAGGATTTCCGATAGGCACTGTTTCAAGACAAGTGCAATCGTGTCACATTGCCATAGATCGTTGGCGGGGATCTCGATCCTTATATTTATTATGTACATATACATACACTCAATAGAGTTTCTGGCGAGAAACGCTGGACGGATTTGAGCAAGCAACGAGGGGTTGCAAAAAAGGGGTTAGCCGATTCAGGGGCCTCGCGTGAATCCCTCCCTCCCTCAATCCTCGCATCCTCGGATCCTACCTACCTACCCTAAACCCAATAAGTCGGCAAGGTAAGTAAACTTGATTCCAGTAGCCACCTCCACGAGACAGACCTTTGCGATCCTCATACTCCCATGCCGTCCGTCATTGAAATAGAAGATGTCTTGACGACGACCTCTCCCTTCCTTCAAATGGTGGAAAACAAGAAATATGTGTACCTAGGTAAGCTCTAACTCCCGTCGGCTCTGGCAATCCGCTGTTGCAGCACGTGCTTATCCATCATCTATCTGGTCCAGTCCATCGTAGGTAGGCTTACCTTACCTATCGCGCGCCAGACCAACAAGCTGATAGATCACAGCACGATTATCTTTGGAATCAGGCTCCTGTGGGCGTGATGGCTAACGAAAGAAAGTACCGGACCTCCCTTGGGGAATGTTTTTGGTTGGCATTAGGGGAGAGGGGGGTTTCTTTTGAGAAGCTGTCTTCGATTTATACCTACCTAATATGACCAAACCCCCTTCTCATACCTAGGTAAGGTAATTAATTAATTAATTCATGATTCTATTTCAAATTTCCATTCCTTTAGAAGAAGAACCGCTACGTTCTCTCAACGTACCTATACATTTCCACCACTTCAATCTTCATCTAGCTTTAAGTATACGATTTAAGCCAGAAAGAAAAAAGTATTATTTGCATTTTTTACCCCCCTATAGCTGCCTGCCTGACTGACTGACTGACTAACACTCTTCTTCCTACCTATGGCAGGCAGGAGTAAAAAGAAGGAAGAACACCACTGATCTCCCAAGAGCTAGAGCGGAAACTAACCGTCCTATTCGCCCCCCCCTTTTTTTTTCCTTGTCTGTATTTTACTTTGTTAGGTAAGCTTTGGGTTTATTTGATGAGATCAAGGAACGGGTCAGAGGTGGCGAGGTCAGGCTATGCCGCTAGCTTGACCAGATCAGCTCGAACTGCTGGCTTCACGGATACTTTCTTGTCTATTCAGAGACGTCCTTTCTCTAGCTGGCAAGGGAGTTGGTTCGTTGCCTGCCTGCGGGCATTTGATAGGTAAGCGCTGTATACCAGATTAGAAAATGTCGCTGCCATTACGAATAGTAGAGGATAGGATTCCCCTGGTCCGGTGGTAGCAGTCAAGCATCTACCTTCGTTGAAGGCAACTCGACGAGATTTCTTGAGCCGGACCGTCACACATACGCTACCGTGCTTTCAATTCTGGCCAGAAAGATGCGCATTGTCTATCATAGGGTAGACCAATTGACTAAGGGTTGGATGTTCGTTGCCAACCCATTGCCTCCAGCCTATGAGGTCGGTCTGACATTCCCGTACTATCCTGCAGACAGACGAACAGTGATGAGGTTTTTGCTCTTGCTAGTCTTCTACTGCGAATGCGACTTCTTGCGCTTTTGTTAAAGTCTGGATCTGTATTTAAATCAGCCCTGAGCACTTTGAATAAGGTATAGAATTGCGTACCTTTTTAGATGTCAAATGGATCTTCTTTTACGCAGCCAGTCACTCGGAGTGAGACCGATATCAACAACCTTCTCTGTGATGATATATTGATACAGGCTTTCTTTCTTTCTATCCTATCTATGCTTGAACCCAGCAACGGAACTCGCACGAGGGATTTTGGATAGGATCTGGATATAATGACCCTGCGGCCTGCCTTATGAATCATAAATTTCAATCTCGAGGGCGCAGATAGCTCATGGATCCGTTACTCAGGTTTGGTAATTAGTCGTCAAGAATATGTGCAGTGTACAACAAAACTTTTAAGGGAACGCTTGAGTGTTTTATGTGTGTGTGATGAAAGTCTGTAGAATTCAGAGTGTCGTCGCTATAAGCTAAGGAAGGTATCATGAAGCGAGTAAGGAGGTCACATGCTCATGCTCTGACAAACAGTGTGCATCAAAACCTCTTCTTTTGATAGGTAGGTAGGTTTCACTTTGGTTGATATATCGTGGAGTCAGTCTCAGATATTCCCTGCAATAAATCTTCTATTCAGGCAGGATGAGAAGCTATGAGTCACATGAGGAGAGGGAAATATTAGCACCTTAAGGGAAGGTGTCCTTCTCGGAGTCTTCCTACTTGAGTGTATGCTGATCTTATTGAGACAGGTTTTAGATACCTTGTTGGTGGGTAGTTTCTATGAAGTTGTTTTATGGTGTTTTCTCCAGCTGATTTTTTCTTATTTTTTTTTTTCTGTTTATAGAGGCAGGGCCTATTCTCCGCCATTCTTAGCCTTCCGAGCAATCTCCAAGGCCTGAGAAAACGCGCTGGTGAACTCATAGACGTCTAAGAAAGTATTATATAGCGGTGCTGGAGCCACGCGTATAACATCCGGCTTCCTCTCATCAACGACAACGCCCCTCTCCTCCAACTCCCTCAGCACGACATCCAGCAATCCAGGTTGCAGCTTGAGACTCAACTGGCAACCTCGCTGCTCCTTGTCGCTCGGAGTGATGATCTCGAACAGCTCCTCGTAGAAGGGGGAGCGCACCAGCAGGATCTCGAGATACGCCGTGAGCTGGACGGATTTCTCGCGCAGTGGGCCCATGCCCCCGGCCATGCGGAAGACTTCCAGGGAGGCATTCAGACTGGTGATGTCGAGCACGGAGGGGTTCGAGAGCTGGAAGCCCGCGGCGCCGGGGACGGGCACGAAGCGGTTCTCCATGGCGAAGCGCGAGCTGCGGTCGTTGCCCCACCAGCCGCTCAGGCGGTTGAGGAAGCCGCCGTCGGCGGGCGAGGGGACGGTGCTGTGGCGCGAGTTGATGAAGAGCCCGGCGATGGCTCCTGGCCCGGCGTTCAGGTACTTGTAGCTGCACCAGGCGGCGGCGTCAATGTCCCAGTCGTGGAGCTGTAGCGGGACGTTCCCGACGGCGTGGGCGAGGTCCCAGATCACGAAGATGCCGGCTTTGCGGGCGGCGGCGTTGATAGTCTGCATGTCTAGGAACTGGCCGGTGTAGAACTGGATCCCGGGGAGGAGGAGGAGCGCTGCGGTGGAGGCATGGAGATCAATGATGGAGAGGATGTGGGAGGTGGTTAGGATTGGTTGCTTGGGATTAGGCGGCTCTATTTCTACAATTGAATCGCTAATGGAGAGATTATGGTGCCGTATCTGGGATTCTACTGCGTACTATCGTATGCTCTGTCAGAAGACCGGTGATGGCAATGGAAAGGGGAGCTCACGTGATCTGACGGGAAGGCTCTGCTTTCGAGAATGATTTTATGACGACCGTTAATGTCTGGTCTGTAGAAAGCAGACATGAGTAAGTGTAAATTGGCTGTCAAGGTTTCCATCACAGCTACCTCGGACACCTGAGCACCGACAATAGGGGCAATACTGTCCGCGGCACTGGAGTCGACGTCGAGCCATGGTGGTAATGGGGAGTTGGCAATAGGTTTGAAATGTCCAAAAACGCCCTGAGTCGACCACGTTGTAAGATACTGTTGGATGCGTGTAGATGTCCGACGTGGTTGCAAGCCAAGAGAGTTCCCGCAGAGATAGATGCTTGGGTCATGTGATTCAGAGTCACGAGACACTAGAGATAAACGAATTTTCTCAGCAGGGGCATTTGCAGAACAGAATGGATTTCCTACCTGGGTCAGGTAGAGCTTCGGCTTTCAATTGCGCCTTTGAAGGAATGAGGAATTCGCTCCTCAAGTGGCGAAGAGGATCTTGGGCATCGAGAGACGCGGCATATTCTCTGCTGTCCACGTGTGGGCTTGAGGGCTCGACCTTGGGCGAAGCCATTGCGAGTTGCACACTAATGCCTAACAATCAACGCAGTTAAAGGGCAAGCAGCAGCAGCAGCAGAGCTGAGTTGTTCAGTAGAGCGCAATTGGCTGTTGGCAGCGGTGAGGACCTGGACCTTGGAGTTGGGACGAAGAGATAAGCCGGAAGGCGGGTTGCGTGCCGAGTGTTGGGTCGTCTGGGACGGGTCCTTGGGAAGAAGCAGCTTAGTCCTCAAGTTGTCCCGGCACAGGGGGTAGCTCTGGATGGGCTCTGTATTTTGGGAAGCTCCCTCTTCAATGGCTTCACGACGGACAGACGCGGGCGGGCGATGTGTCAAGACAAATGCAGGGTTTGGTCATGGGATGGAGCTGATGATGAGGTGATTATGATATATTTCGCACCATGAGAGATCTGGATGCTTCGCCCGCACGCTCGATGTCAGGAAGAGCCAGACAAGAAGGTATTCGAGGTCTCGCGGGGGAGTTTCCTGGGGGTAATATGAATAATGGAAAAGGGCTTTTGCAGGTCAACTGGCCAAAGGGGACGAGGGAGATGGCGGGGTAGACGGCTGACGATTGGGTTCGTCGGCGCCTGCGGTCTAAAAGGGTCTAAGACTCGACTACTCCGTACAGTAAAGTAAGGTGAGTAAGTCACTTGTCCCTTGACCGTGGTCACGAAGTTATGCGGTTCCATGGGGGGGAATGAGAAAATAGCGGTTAAGTGATTGATTGATTGATTGCTTGATTGGGTTAACTGATAATTAAATATCTAATAATAAGGGGGCAACTCAACCTGAAAGGTCCCTAAAGAACTGGAAAGGTCCCATGATGAGGGTCACGTGCCACGTGATTCAACAAACGTCGCGGAAGCCGTGGTGGAAGATTCGTGCCGGAGGAGGCGTCGAGGTCGCCGTAGCCACTCCCAGGCAAGGGGCGCCTCTGGTGTGGCGCAGGAATTCAGAATAACCGCCGCTAAACTGCAAGAGGAAGCAGAATAAACGAATAAACCCCCCTAGTCCTCTTCGGGAGAGACAGGGGAAGCTCAACCCCCGCCAGCCATGACGCGACTAGCGAGCTATGAATCGGTGTACCTCGAATAGCCGTCTCGTTGACAAGCCAGAGCAAGGAAACTCCTGTCGTCGTCGATCAGGTACGAAGTCCAGAAGTCCAGGTCTCCTCGACGACCCATCGGCATGGAAATCCCTCTTCTGAAGACCTTCCCGGCCGGCCGCCTGATTCCCAATGAGAGCACTCCGCTCGCAATGCTGGGTCCTGGATCCCGTATTGCTATGAACTCATCGAGCAAAGCTGGAGAATAAATAGCACAGCTCTCTCTCTTCTTCTTCTCCTCCTCCTCCTCCTCCTCTTCCTCCCTCTTCCTCTTCAGACTTCTTCTCTCTATCTTCAGTCTCTAAACTAGACTGATCTACACTTTGTCAACACCTGAACCATCTGAACCATCAGCCTGCTGCATCTACTTCATCTTCTTCCTCTCCCACTCGTCAGATCCTGCACTCCATCAGACGCTACAGAAGCAAGTAGGTACCCGCTGCCTCGAGGCGTCTCCTTCATCTGTCTTCCCACTGGCGCACGCTTACTCGCATACCCAACCGGTACGTTCCCTTTGTCTTGTTAATTGCCGCATTCCATCTGTTGGTGTCTTATCGCTATACGACCCTCCCTGCCATCTACCATCTACCAGATCCAATCGACCAAAGGGCTCACGGCTGATGGCTATTAGGGTGCTGTGTCAATCCGACCCACCAGGTAGTTTTACACCGCATCCTGTGTTCACCGTGTTCACCGTCTCCGGGTCATTGCGTATCTTTATCTACGATCTACTGTAGGCACAGTAGATATCTACCCAGATACGAGTCCTGCAGAGATAACGCCTGAAAGAAGGTTCGTCCGAGATAATCAGGCCCGAGTCATGTCTACGGCTCCTCCCCTCCTTGGGAATAGTTGTTGTGATTACCGCCTTCCATTCACCCCTCTACTACCTTACCTTACTCAGATATCCTGTCTTCATTGCCTTGCTGCTCGTTATATATCTCTCAGTTTCTCTCGTCATGGCCAAAGTCTTGACCATCAACACCGCTGACACAATGGCCTCAACCCTAGACTTCCCTATCGAGCCCTTTCCTACATTCGAGGACCCTTTCCCGGTTATCGAACCCTTTCCCGGTTATCGAACCCTTTCCTACCTTCGAAGACTTCCCGGTACATGACTGTCCCATTGCGGTCATGGCGGACCCCGGAAGCAGCCCCAGCAACAAATTGCTGGAGAAGATCGTCAACCCCACACTCTCTGACCGGAAACCCTCACCTCAGCCCACGCACTTCAGTGTGCCCTACAAATATAGCAATGGAAATGGCCACCGGGTCTTGAGGTCGGCGACCGTTGGATACGTTGCCCCTGAGTTCAAGGGCAAGAAGGAGCAAATGCTGCAGGGTAGGCTTGTCCGTTGCAGGGTTGAGTATCTGATCTGATCTTCCATAGTGAAGGAAAAGATACGATGCAATGGTTGGATCCCCGAGAGTCTCATCGATGAGCAGATAGCCTGGTTCTATAACGACCTCGGCATCGATGATGTCTACTTCCAACTCGAGGGCGTGGACGCCATTGCGAGCAACATTACGTCCCTATATGCTGCCAAGGTTGCGGCTTCTGTCAGAAAGGACAAGAGACAAGAGATCCGTCTGGATATGGAAGCATCCGACCATGCGATCTACATCGACACCAGTGAGCCGGGCGTTAGTAACGTGGCCGGGCCACGCTATGAGCACAGGCTCGAAACAAAGTACCTGGATAGTTCCATCGGGAACAAGGTCTTCCGAGTGGAGACCTTCCGTTCGCCAGGCACCCTAGCTGATGCTGGGGTATCGAAGGCCACATTGCGGTGCTACTTCGTGTATCAGTGCCAATTCGTCGACCCGAACCCCTCACCTCAAGAGACCCGCCTCGAGGTCATCGGAGACCGGATGTTCCTCGCGAAAGCAACCCAAAACACAAAACAGATCTATGAAGATATTATTGCCCTTGCAGTCTCTCGGACCGGACCCGTCATTGAGGTCTTCGATATCGAGGGCTCAAAAGAGAAACGCCTTGTCGTTGCCTTCCGCAGACGAACTGCTATGGGGATGTTTAGCGCCCTCAGTGATCTGTACCATTACTATGGTGTGACCAGCTCCAGGAAGTACGTGGAACAATTCAGCAATGGCATTTGTGTGATTTGTCTCTACTTCAAGCCTGCTACGATGGAGTCCGTAGGCCGGTTCCCACCACTCGAGCAGTCCATCCATCAGATCACTAAGGAGATATCTTTGCTCTACTGCATCCCCCAGAACAAGTTTCAGACGCTTTTTGCCAGCGGCCGCTTGAGCTTGCAGGAGACTGTGTATGGGCACTGCCTCTACGTTTTTGTCCAGCACTTTCTCAACCGCCTTGGTACGTGCCAATTCCATGCCAGATTTCACGAAGGCTAACCCTGTATAGGCTCCGAATATGCTTCCCTGGTTTCTGCTTTAGATGCAAACAATAGCGCGCATGCAGAAATTCTCTCGAAGATCAAGCGCCGCCTGCGTACTGAGACCTTCACTGGAGACTATATCTTCGAGATCATCAATTCGTATCCCGAGCTTGTCCGAACGTTATATGCATCCTTTGCCAGTACCCATCTTACCTTCGGGCCCGGATTTGAAAGGGACATCGTTCCATTAACACCAGCTACTGCGGTTTTGTCTGACGATGAGCTCAAGGAGTTAATCTCTAAGACTGTGAATAATGAGCATGAAGAAATGGTCATGTCAGCTTTCCGCCTGTTCAACAAGGCTCTCCTCAAGACGAACTTCTACACCCCGACAAAAGTTGCACTCAGCTTCCGGCTCGATCCCTCATTCCTTCCAGCAATTGAGTATCCTCAACCATTGTATGGGATGTTTTTGGTGATCAGTTCAGAGGCTCGAGGATTCCATTTGCGCTTCCGCGATATCGCAAGAGGAGGCATCCGTATCGTCAAGTCACGAAATCGCGAGGCTTATTCTATCAACGCTCGATCCATGTTCGACGAGAATTACGGACTTGCAAATACTCAGCAGCGAAAGAACAAAGATATTCCAGAAGGCGGCTCCAAAGGTGTCATTCTTCTTGATGCACAGAAGCAAGACAAGGGCAGTGTTGCGTTTGAGAAATACATTGACAGTATCATGGATCTTCTTCTCCCAGCCGAAACCCCGGGGATTAAAAACCCCATTGTGGATCTTTATGGGAAGGAAGAGATCCTTTTCATGGGACCAGACGAGAATACTGCCGACCTCGTAGATTGGGCAACCGAACATGCTCGCAAGCGTGGTGCACCTTGGTGGAAGTCTTTCTTCACCGGCAAGTCTCCCAAGCTCGGTGGCATTCCGCACGATGTCTATGGCATGACAACTTTGTCTGTGCGTGAATACGTCAAAGGTATCTATCGTAAGATGGAGTTGGACCCAACCAAGGTTCGGAAGATGCAAACCGGAGGACCGGATGGCGATCTAGGAAGCAATGAGATCTTGCTGAGCAATGAAAAATATACCTCCATCGTTGATGGGAGCGGGGTTTTAGTGGACCCTAACGGTATCGACAGGGGCGAGCTCATTCGACTCGCCAAGGAACGGGCAATGATCTCCCAGTTTGATCTATCCAAGCTCTCGAGCGCCGGATATCGTGTCCTTGTTGATGAGACTAATGTCAAGCTTCCGAGTGGGGAGCTTATCAACAACGGCACTGCATTCCGTAACACCTTCCACCTCCGCGATACTGGACTAACTGACTCGTTCGTTCCGTGCGGTGGTCGTCCAGAGTCAATTGATCTCTCAAGCGTCAACAAACTTATCAAGAACGGCAAATCAACGATCCCATATATAGTTGAAGGGGCCAACCTGTTCATCACGCAAGATGCCAAGCTTCGCCTCGAGGCTGCGGGCTGCATTCTTTTCAAGGATGCCAGCGCTAATAAAGGTGGTGTGACATCCTCGTCACTGGAAGTTCTAGCAAGCTTGAGTTTCGACGACAAAGGTTTTGAAGAAAACATGTGCGTCGGTCAGGATGGTCAACCTCCAGAGTTCTACAAGGCATATGTCAAGGAGGTCCAAGCTAAGATCCAGGAAAACGCGAGGTTGGAGTTTGAGGCTATCTGGAGGGAACACGAGGAGACCAAGATCCCAAGGAGCACGCTCAGTGATACCCTTAGTATCGCTATCACGAAGCTCGACGAGGAATTGCAAAAATCAGATCTCTGGAAGGATGAGAAGCTTCGCAGATCAGTTTTGGAGGATGCGTTACCGAAGTTGTTGCTTGAGAAGATCGGCTTAGATTTGATTATTCAAAGGGTAAGTGCTTGCTGGCTTTTCTTTTCCATGTTGGACGATGATACTGACACCTCTAAAGGTCCCAGACAATTATCTCCGAGCTATCTTTGGCAGCTATCTTGCTAGTCGCTTCGTATACGAGTTTGGTAGCTCTCCGAGCCAATTCGCTTTCTTTGACTTGTAAGCCTCCCGTCCTCCTACTACATCTTCAGTAACTAACGAGACCGATTAGCATGTGCAAGAGAATTGAAAAAATATAGTGAACTTTTTAAGTTCTTGGGGTACAAACAAAAACACTTGGGATTCGGATATGGCGTGGTTAACTAATGTTTCTGGGTTTTTATGGCTTCCTTTGCTGATAATTAAGGGCTGATGTTTAGTGATTGGCTATTTAGGTAGAGAAAATGATCGATATCTGCCTTGTGTATATGGACATGGAGCCCATAGTGCCTGTCGTGTTATGGGTATTACGAATAGACGTTTGAATAGGGTTCAATTTGCCAAGCCTCGGATGACGACCCCATTTCTTGGCAACTCCTAATACGTGAGATTTAGGACGATTTAGAGTATTCCAAGTATGAATACCATCCTAAATTACTGGACAGGAATTTTCAGAGTAGCCTGAACCGAGAACCAATCCTACAGAGATAGATGTAATGGGGAAAGAGAGCGCCAATTTTCAAAAGCCTCAATATTTTGCAACTTGCAAGTGAGGACATAAACCATCCGTTTGAATCTACCATCATAATTCATCTTTAACTGGAGGAGTCATATCATCCAACTGTTTGCTCAAGTACTTTTCAACACCAGCTGTCAACGCCTGCAAATGAGTCCAACGAGGAGCATCCTCTCCCAGCCCCCACGCAAACACCCCACCAAGTCGCATCTTCTCCACAATCCTTGGGAATTTCCTCATAATAACATCCGGCGTATCCCAACTCCACCAAAGATTCTCCTCGCAGTCCCAGAAATAAGCAGCTCCCTGGTCATCGTCATATTCCGGATTCGCAAGAGCCTTCATGAACGAGCGTTCGAGTTCCGACGGGACGTCGTCATGCCATGAAAAAGCTCCTGCTTGGCCCAGATCCCTTCCCGTCGCGGGATCCTCCATGAGGACCGTGGGGCAGCCGATGGGGGGGTTCTTCTGGACAGCACCACTGCAGGTGGCGTGGGGATCGGTCCGGAACCATTTCACGTAGAAAGCGAAGCCGAGATTGACTTTCTCGGGGCTGCTCACGCCGCCGTGGTCGAGATAGGCGCGGATGGCGTCGAGGGAGGCCGCGATACCGGTGTGGTGCTTGGTGATGCGGTCGCGCCGGTTCATCAGGTCGTAGGTCATGATGTTGAGGAAATCGAGGGAGCCGCTGATCAGCGGGAGCGTGTCCCGGGTGAATGCTAGCATGTCCCGGCGGAGACCCGGGACGGCTGCGGAGAGGAGCTTGGTGGGCCCCAGGGCGGAGCGGATCGCGGAGAGGAGGTGCGGGTACGCTTGGATTTCCCAGGTCTTGTGGGCGTTGGGGACTTGTTTGTAATCTTCGCCGTTTCCTCTGGTGGGAATCAGTAGGTATATAAGATAGTATGGGTAGATAGATAGATGTATTGTGCGCTGGATCAGATATGTACTTACCCGGGATATTCCCAGTCAATGTCAACTCCTAGGGTTCGTCAGTAACGTGGTTAGAAAGGGGCTTGGATATGAATGAGAGTACCATCCGCTCCCGTATAATCAACCATTGCCTTCACGTTTCTTGCGAAGAGCTGGCGACTGCTCTCCGTGGCCGCCGCTTTCGAGAAGCCTTCCGTATCACCCCATCCGCCAATCGCTATCATGATCCTTGTGCCCTCAGCGAACTGTGAGCGGACAGCATCCACCGTTGTGAACAAGGGCCATGCTGATGGCTGATCTTCATTGAAGATTGAAGATTGCATAAAAGCAAGCACCACATGAGTGATATTTGAAACAAGTGCAGGCTCAGGAACCACATAGTGTTGTCTGTAAGAGTCATTAGTAAGTAGATTTCATATGATGGGCCGGGCTTTCTGGTACCCTGTTAAGTACATGATATATCTCCCACTTGCCAGCTGAGCCATGGCGAAGAACGGGATGAGGAACCACAGAATCATCTTCGAGGAATAGATACAGAATCCTCAAGCATAAGAGTCTACTTCCTCTCTTTTCGTGATCACTTGTCACTAGACCGGATGGTTTGGAACTGAAGATAAGGTAGCCAAGGTAAAGAAGACTCAAAAGTCAATGGAAGAGTAATAAAGCGTATCTTTCCGCTCTATGGAACTATTTACTATAATCCCAACTTTCACATAGTATTGCCACATTGGCATGAGAAAATGCAATTTGTATTCGTGATTAGCTGCTTCATTACTCAACCCCTGAGCGTGAGGGGATGTGAAGTGCGCGATCACGTGATCTACCCGTGTAAAGTGATCCGTCGCGTCGCGCGTCAACAGCTCGAAAAACATACCCTAGGCACTCACCATGGCAGTCACCAAGGGAGAAGAGAAGGGCGAGTCCTCGATGAGCGCGGCCAAGAAGGTGTTAAAAGCGAACGCTAATGGAGTTGCAAATTACGAATTACCATGGTGAGTGGGACAACTTCAGTTGTTCGATAGCCACTGACAGCTTTCAGGGTTGAGAAATACCGTCCCGTCTTCCTTGACGACATCGTGGGGAATACCGAGACTATTGAACGATTGAAGATTATTGCAAAGGATGGAAATATGCCTCATGTAATTATCTCTGGTATGCCGGGTATTGGGAAAACCACATCGGTCTTGTGTCTTGCAAGACAGCTCCTCGGAGACTCTTACAAGGAGGCGGTGCTGGAGCTCAATGCAAGTGACGAGCGAGGTATGTAGAATCCTACGGTACCTCAACCCTCTTCCTTAACTAAGTTTTTAGGTATCGACGTTGTTCGTAACCGTATCAAGGGCTTCGCGCAGAAAAAAGTCACTCTGCCACCAGGGCGACACAAATTGGTCATTCTCGATGAAGCCGATAGCATGACCTCTGGCGCACAGCAAGCACTCCGACGTACTATGGAAATCTACTCTTCGACTACGCGATTCGCTTTTGCATGCAATCAATCGAATAAAATCATCGAACCCCTCCAATCCCGGTGTGCCATCCTTCGATACGCCCGTTTGACAGACGCACAGGTGGTGAAGAGGCTATTACAGATAATCGAGGCTGAGAAGGTGGAATACAGTGAGGATGGATTAGCCGCGCTGGTGTTCAGTGCAGAGGGCGATATGCGGCAAGCCATCAACAACCTTCAGTCAACATGGGCTGGATTCGGGTTTGTGAGCGGAGACAATGTCTTCAAAGTGGTCGACTCGCCACATCCTATCAAGGTGCAAACGATGATCAAGGCTTGCTATGAGGGGAAGGTTGATGCTGCACTGGAGACTTTGAACGAACTTTGGGATTTGGGATATTCGAGCCACGACATAATCAGTACGATGTTCAGGGTCACCAAGACGATCCCCACCTTGAGCGAGCATTCGAAGTTGGAGTTTATAAAGGAGATTGGGTTTACGCATATGAAAATCCTGGAGGGCGTTCAGACATTGCTGCAATTGAGTGGGTGTATTGCACGGCTTGCAAAGTTGAATATGGATCCAAAAAAGTTTGTTGCGAAATAATGGAGATACGATGTCATGGTTAAGGCGTTTAAGGGGCATGTGAAGGGATTTCTGGTACGCGTAGCCAGATATGTTGCTTGCGTAAAAAGAGGCTTTATGCTTTTTATACCAATTGAGACTATTCTACATACATGTTCACGCAGGGCGTGCTCATGCGGTCTTCTCGGGCCGAGTGCCTGCTGTTCCTATTCTTCCTGCTCCCTCTCCCACATAGCTCTATCTCTCAATATGCGTTTTTGCATTCGCATCTTAGCTTCATATTCCCGGACTCTATGGTCAGCTTCCAGACAACCGCCCAAGATCATTCCTATAGAGTCAGTCTGAGAGAGTGCAAGGAGGAAGAGACATCATTACCGGACATTTGAATGAATCTAAGGATATTAGCCTCAGGATTACCCTATAGAGATTCAAAATTCAAAATGAATAACTCACGTTTTGAATTGAATTGTCAAACCACGATATACAGGTGACATATACCATCCTGCCGCTCCAAGGATAGCTGTACCTATTCCCCACTATGCTTGTCAATACAACTTTTTGACAAACCTGGAGGAAGCCATACCTTTGTAGCGCCAACTACAAACCCTCGACCCCCTTCCCAAGCCGCAGTATTGGCCTCCTCGCTTCTTAGACCACCTGAAGTATGCATTATTTCCGATGTCAAATCATCTGAGCCCGAAGCTTGGAGGGGCGGCGTTGGGAGAAGAAAGGGATCCCGGTTTATAGCGTCATGAGACTATGTTTGCTCGGTTTGCACAGCTCGGCCGCAAACCGTCCAAAATATATTTCTGAATCACCGCTCCCACCATCATTTCACCACGCCCTCCTGGATTTAGCCAACGCACGAGAGAATGAGCGGAAAAGCAGAACAGAGGGTCCGCTCAGCGGCTCTCGCGCGCGACACCAACGAAACCAAGATCCAGCTGGCGATCAATCTGGACGGTGGCGCATTCCCAGCCGACACGGATAGCAGGCTCCTGAACGGGGCCGACGGCCATGCGACGCAGGCTTCGAAGTCGCAGACCATCGCTATCAATTCCGGGATTGGCTTCTTGGATCACATGCTCCATGCTCTTGCGAAGCATGCGGGATGGAGTCTGGCACTCAATTGCAAGGGGGATTTACACAGTGGGTGTTTTGTGGCCAAGACTCGCGCGGCGCGCATGCTAATATCTGGGATTGCAGTTGACGACCACCACACCGCTGAAGATGTGTGCATTGCACTTGGAAGCGCCTTTAAAGAAGCCCTGGGTGTGCCAGCAGGGCTTGCGCGGTTTGGCTCCGCATATGCGCCTCTGGATGAAGCCTTATCGCGTGCTGTGGTCGACCTTTCGAATCGGCCGTTTAGCGTCATCGATTTGGGCTTGAAGAGGGAGAAGATTGGGGATCTGAGCTGTGAGATGATCCCGCATTGCTTTCAGAGCTTTGCGCAGGCTGCCAGAATTACAATTCATGTTGATTGTCTTAGAGGAGACAATGATCATCATAGGGCGGAGAGCGCTTTCAAAGCGCTTGCGGTGGCTATTAAACAGGCGACGAGCAGGGTCGCTGGAAAAGAGGGGGAGATACCTAGTACAAAGGGGACTTTAAGTACATAATCCAGGACTATAAAAAATCAATTCAGTGCAGTTTTAGACTTGAACTTGAGAATTGTGAAGCTTGTTCTAGGTGTCGTCTCGAATTTCGAGGGGTCCTCGCTAGCGTCAAGAAATATTTCCTCTATCTTTTATCGCCTCGATTATTTTCTTGCAACTCGACATCCACCTCGACAGAGATACAATGGCGCCCTCCAGAACGTCGACTGTAAAGTCGAAACATGCAACGAACAAGTCTGGTATCCGAAATAGCAAGACGAGCACAAAGCCCCAAAGCGATGGCGTGTCGAAGTCGAAAAAACCAAAGAGCAAGGGTGCTCCACCAAAGCCGCAGAAGGGTGCTAGCAGCCTCGCCGCGCTGAAGAAGAAGAGAAGGATATACACGGAGAAGGAACTGGGCATCCCGGCTCTGAACATGATTACGCCGGTCGGGGTGGAAAAACCGAAAGGGAAGAAGAAGGGCAAGGTTTTCGTGGACGATCGGGTTAGTACCTACCTATTTAGCTCTTCCTTACTTATTCCTCGTCTTGCGGAAGAATCTTGAAGTTGATATTTATGTGCATTATAGGAGAGCATGATGACTATTCTGGCGATGGTGAATGCGGACAAAGAAGGCCAGATCGAGTCCAAGATGATGAAGGCGCGGCAGATGGAGGAGATTCGAGAGGCGAGAAAGGCGGAGGCTGAGAAGAGGCAGGAGATGAGGAAGTCGAAATTAGATGAGACGAAGGAAGGGATAAGGAAGAAGCGCAAGAGGCACTCTTCTTCTGGAGACGAGGACAAGGAGAATACAAAACAGGAGGCGGCTGCTGGGACGAAGCCGCTTAAGCCTAAGAAGAAGAGCGTTTCTTTTGCTTGAGTGTTTGGCCAGTTGGGAAATCAATCACGGTATCTTGGCGTTTTGGCTATGGAGTTTGGGCAATGGCTTTCTGTGGTACATAAAAAGTCAACGATACCAAGTGTTTCATTGAGTTGTAGTCAAAATCAATCCACAATTGACAGGAGATGGGCCCATATATTTCTCCTAACGCTGAATTCGCAGTCTATGCTCTATGCTCTTATACTTCTAATTACCGCCAAACATTCTACTTGTGCCATTTGCGGCGCATAGGATCGAATCGAGTACTGTTATCATAGTGAGTACCACTTGGATCCAAGTTAGTAGAACTATTCGAAGAGGCGGATGCAGGAGAATCGATTTCGACTTCAAAAGCCATCTTATTAAGGAAATTGACCGCCTTGAAGTAATTAGTGACAACTCATATGAAGTGGGTAGGGATTGAATTACGGGTCTGGCATGCCATCTCTGGCCGTTGAAACTTTCGAACCACGAAAGATGGCCGCCTTGGCTGGTTGTGCACAAGACCGCGTATGGTGTCTGCTGGACTTCTAAATATGGCAACGCCTCCTTGACAGCAATCTGTGAAGGTCAGTGATGGCTTAAAGAGAGTGATGAGCAGTATATTTACAGGATCGTCTTCAGCATTGATGGCAAATATGGGTATCCGGCATGCCAGTAAGGAGTCAGTTGATGAAGCATCCCGATAATATGCCCCTTCAGTCGGATAGCCCCATGATGGGACTTGAATTACTCGGTCAAATTCATGCAGATACTTGACCTGGCGAATTTTGCCAAGGTCAATCTCGGGGTTTTTCGATACCGCATCATAGTGACGCTCAATAAGCCTCTTCAGGCCGTTTGCCATGGTCTTTGAGTAGATCTCCTTGCCAATCCATGATCGTTGCAGAGCTAAATTGGCAACATCGAGATTCCACGGATTCGAACAGACGACTGCCGCCTTGAGCTCACACGCAGATCCTTCTTCTCCAATGTACTAGCTGAAATCAACATCGAAGAACTACGGAATGTCTAGGTCCTTGACTTACATTTGTCAAGATATTCGCGCCCAAGGAGAAGCCTACACCAAATAGGGGGCGGTTAGGAAACGTCTTTCTTAGCCAAGCAACGGTCTGGCGACAATCCCATGTAGCTCTTGCATTGTACAAAATACTGCTTGAAACTTTATGCATAGCACAGCCTCTCGCGTTGATGACACACGCCTCCCATCGCCGCTCTCCATCTGCTCCTACTAAAGGAGCGAGCACTTGTTTCAAGTAATCCTCAAAAGCGCCGCCCGAGAGTCCGCCCAATGACACCAACATTGGGCGGCTGTCCAGAGACGCAATCCCTGCGAATTCTTCATCGCTAAAGTATGTTGTTCTTGGGGGAAGCGTACTTTCGGATTCTGAGAATGGCTGGCTAACGAAATCAACAGCAAAGGTGCCATGATATGCTGGATCCTCAGCTTCGAAGATCTTGCGCTTGTAATAAAGTGGAGGACCGTCACTCTTTATGGCCGTCCACATTGTTTGGAGGTGGCCATTAAAGAGAAGGGGGTTTAGGCGGCATGGGGGAGTCGAATCTTGACATATCGTGAGTAAGTCTGTCGAAGAGCCATCCTTCTTTTTCAAGGGAAGCAGTGTCGACGAATGTGTGAAAGACGTCTTAGCATGGCCGAGCCATTCCATTGCTACTAGGCAAGGTTGTTGACTTTCAAGCCACCGTCTCCTGAATATTTCACTTCCGCGTGATTGTAGAAATACGCCAGTCTCGAACTCCAGATATATCCTCTTAACAAGCCGACAACGAATAACCAAAAGAGCGCGCCGATAATATCATGAACAGGAACAAAGACAACGCGAAAATATACTTCGCCAGGAAATCTCCGAACATCCCTTGCCTACCTACTACCCTTCACGAAGCCTCGGCTGCCGTGTGATTCGACGGAGAGTCGAGACTCCTGAGGTTCTGCCCGGACCAGCTGCTTAGTCATCGTGACGACCTCTGTTCAGTTACGCGGCTCTCGTTTTCTGAATGCCTTCACGCGACGTGCTGGTAAAGCAAAGAGCCATGTCTTACCACGGTGCACCGATGCCTGGTAGTGGTGGCTACTGGAATGGGAACGGCCACGGTCCGCCGAATCCACCTCCATACGGCGTGCACGAGATGCGCTCTCAACCCGCCCAAAACGGTGCCCGATCACAATATCAAACGCCCTCGAGTAATGGCCAAATCGGACAGTACCAGAATCCTCTGCCGCAGTACGCTCAAGCTCAAGGCAACATGCCGGCAGTGCACTCTGCGAACAGAGTCCATACATCGGCTCCCACCCAACCTGCTTCCCAACAACCTCAATTCATAAACCCCGCCCACCTCTTCTCGCAACCGCCTGCACAGTCGATCCAGCCCTATCAGCCCATACAGCTGACTCCCCATAGCCACCAAGCTCTAAATACTCTGTCGAAGCCCTCCCCAGGAATGGCGCATATGCAACCCCCGAACATGGAGCTCGATCGCCCGAAGCTTCTGATGTCTCTTGCGGAAGAATTCTTCGATGCTGCACATCAGCTTGCGCCCTCGGCGTCCCTATCTATGACAAGCGCAAATGTGGAGACCTATGAGAAATTGATTTCTACGGGGCTTGGCTGCTTAGATACAGCGTTGAAAAATGTCCGATTGCCTCCAAGGGTGGAAGCGAATATTAGGTTGCGGTATGCAGGTGTACTTTACGAAGAGACGGAGAATTTTATGGAAGCCGAAATTTCTTTGAGCAAAGGCATTGCTTTGTGCGACAGGGTAGGTTCTTGGTCATTCCATGTTTGCATGCTTGAACCCTCTAACAGGAGCTCCAGAATCATTATTATGATCTTAAGTACGCAATGCAGTTTTTGCTCGCTCAATTCATGTTCAAGAAGAACCCAAAAGCATCGTTGAAGGCCCTGGATGGATATATCTCCGATGCTGAAGCGTAAGTAAGATTGCAAGTCTTTCTACGCCTATCTACTGATAGTTTGCATGCTTAGGTACCAGCACTTTTCTTGGGTCTATGCGCTACGATTTTTACGAGCAGCTCATTCGTTGCAATCTGGTAGCCTTGCCGACAATCACGCGGCCTTGCAGAATTTCCGAAGCATAGCGAAACTTGCGAGTGAACAAAATGATCGTGTTATATACATGATGGCGTCTCTTATGGAAGCCATGGCTCATCTGAAATTTACCGGTCCAGAGTCCATGGAGCATGCTCAGAGGGCCATTGCCGCTGTTTGGACATACCAGCTGGACGCCGGTACGAGGATACCGCAGCTTCTCGGCCTGGCACATATTCTAGATGTGGCATGTAGTCTTCGACAAGGCGACCCAAAGGTGATGGTCAGCAAGTTAAAGCTCATGCAAACAATGATGGATGAAGCTCTGCATGATCCTACTTGGAGCACTACGAGTGATGTTCTAGCACTTCCCATTAACCGTACACAGAATAGTTCACAAGTGGTTAGCCCTGATACTAGAATGGTTCTAGGCATTGGGGACGATGGTCGTGATAACCTGATACTGTCGTTCTTGAATAAGAAAGATGCATATAGTATTACGTCAGTTTTATCGTCCTTCTATGCAAAAGGGGGATGCTTACTAGAGATCCAGATATCTGCTTTCCGGAATGGTGTTGCTTCACAAGAATTCCCCAAATGATCGGAAGGGATTTAGATACCTAGAAACGGGAATATCTTCGTTGGAAGGTAAGAGCTCTTTTCCAAGTGTACTACAAGTGCTAAAATAAGCAATTTAGCGGAAATCCGTGCATCTAGGGCAACTTCAGGCATTCTGCCGGATTGTATCTCAAAACTTCAATGGCGTGGGCAAACGATATGCTACTTGAACTGCTACATGGCCTTTTGCGCAGCTGCAATCACCGATTGGCCTGCTGTTAAAAGCTATATCGACAAAGCGAGGGCAACGGCCAAGAACCTCGAAGTGTCACTGGCTGGTCCTTTAGGATTCCTTCTTATGTACCTCACAGGCGTATATCACCAGGGCATCGGCAATCTCGATGTAGCCTTACAGATCTTTCAGGACAAAAAGTTTGAATTGCTGCTTGAGGCCAATAGAGCTCACACTACGAGCTCAGCAGAACAAGTTGAACGCGATATCGCCTTGCTTGCGGCACTCAATACACTCTGGATACTACAAGACAGTCGCCGAAAAAATCTCACCAGTAATACAAATTTGATTGCGAGGCTAGAGCCACTTTGCAAGAACCATCCGAATCAAGATATTGAAACAGCTTTTAACCTCGTAGTAGCGACAGTTGAGACATATCCCACGGCGCCGCTTTTCAAAGTCAAGAACTGTTTGAGGGCTGCGCTGAATGGAGCTCAGGCTACTGCAAACACGCAATTTCTCAGCATTACATTGAACGTTATGTGCAGCAGATTCTTTTCAAATGTTGTCGGCGCTCAGGCCGAGAAGAGTGCTCAAGCGGCTTCCGTTCAAGCACAAAAGAGTGGCAACGTCCTCTGGAGGAGTGTGGCAGATGGAATGCTAGCACAATGCTATGAAGTGAATGGCAAAACCTCGGATGCTAAATCCACCATGGATCAAGCCATGAGGCTTGCACAAATAGCGATGCCGAGTTCTTAATATCTTGGTGTGTTTCGGGTGGGGAACTGGGGTAAAGGCGCAAGTAGTGGATGGGCTGGTGGCAGTAAGGAGTTGTGGACATTGCATTGCATTATGGTGTGAATTTCTGGCATGGTGCTCGGCGCAATCTTATACCCATTTGCTTTCTGCTTCTCGAGGATAGTAAGCTTTGCAAAAGAGAGTAGAGGAATTGTAAGACTAAAATCTGGCATAAAATTATTCGACCTCGTGAGTTCATTTGATCCATTGAAATCGCTCCTCTAGTATTCACTACCTTAGCTTTCTCAATATTGTATTTTAATTCTGATATCAACCCTCCAGTATCCGGCCTTCAATAAATGCTGCGCACTTACCTAGCCTGTGTACTCCATGTCTCGTCACGTGTTGATCCCCCTTGAAATTTTGCGAGGGCGGCAACTCCCGAGAACCCCTGTCTGATTTTCGACTGAAGCAAGATATCAAGGAAAAAAAATGTTGGAGCTTTAACCCCGTTGTTCAGCAACCAATCCAACACCGACCATTCTATGTTCGCCTCACTGTCTCTCGGCCGACCGAGGGCAAGGCCTTCATACGTTTGCACGGCATGTCTATCTAGACTTTGGGGACATCTAGATCCCCAGTGGTCACGTCAATTACCGGATCGCGAAACGTTCTCAACGACCGCCGCGAACCATGGCCGTGGAGGAAGACGCGCAATCAGCAGCAAAACGCATTGAAATCAAACTCGCTGGCAGGCATTATATTAGCTAAGTAAGGGTTAAAGTTGAATACTCGAGATCGAGGGTCTTGAAGATGATATACGCCGGGGTTAAACAGCACTCTTTCGAGTCCGTGAGCGAGATTTGGAACGGGAGGTTGGGGCTTGTCAATCGGAACCAAGGACAGTTCATCTGCGTCAACAGTCTTGATCTCAAAGCCGGGTTTGCCTTTCATGGGACCTGTTTTGACAGGCTTCGGTTGCGTTGATCCGTACCATACCATGCGCTTAGGAGGCCTTACCCCAGGTATAGGTCCTGGAGACTTTGGCGGCTGCTTCAGCATACCATCTTTGATGCTTGTACCGAGTTTAGGTTGCCGATGGCCAGGAGGTACAGTGGATGGTGTCTTTCTGACAAGACTAGCACGCAAGCTTCGCACTGCCTTCACCGTATCACTCGGGGACAAATTGCCCTCCTCAATGATCTTCACAAGCGTCCCCCTTGCTGCAATATCGTTGATATCAATAAAGGACGCATCAAACTTCTTGCCCGAAAGATGTTCTTTTGTAGATTTCGACACTGTCCTTCTTACTATCTGTGGCCCTTTCGATTGTCGACTGTATCGAGGTAATAACGAGGTGGTTTTGCTTTCATTGTCGCCATCTCTACCAGTGGTTTGCTCCGCTTCCAATGGTTTCGATGGTTTCGAAGACTTTGAGAGTTTCGAGGACTTTGTCTTCTTGGTTGACTTCCGAGTCGTGTCTGATCCCTTTGATGTAGCGGTTTGCGAGCCCTTTATGGATTCTGTGGATTTCTCTGAGCCATTTTCGGTCGCCTTCCCCGTTTCCTCAGGGTTCTCATTATTGATCCCAGAAGCCTCGCTGGCTTCCTTCTGAGACTCCGCCTTTGTAGTACCTTTCGCTTTTGATTTCTTGTGGCTTTTTTTCTTTGAAGCAGTGGATTTCTCAGGTGTCTTTTTTTGCTCCTCTGCAAGCAAAGATTCTCTCAAGGCTGAGAGAGCCTCCCTAGATTTAGAGATTGGACTGTCTGAAGCAATATATAACATCCTCGCGAGATGAAACCCTTTTAGCAACCGCAAAGGAACAGGGGAAGAAGTACACTGGATCAACATCCAGCACTACTGCCGCTCTTGGTCATTTTCATTTTCTTCTTTCGCAGTGGCGACCTATCAATACCGGGGCGCTCTCCCAGAGTTTCCCTGTCGAGTTCAATACCTTCACGACTTTACAGCGAGGACCTTCTGCAATCTTTTTGCGGTGGAGAGACGGAACCTATGCCATTGATGCCGATAAGGAATTTGATACTGCCAACATACTCAGTATGCTTGGTAAGTCCATGGAGAAGTTGCTCACTCTCCCACCAGAAGATTTCGAAAAGTATCGCAAGGAGAACTCCAATCAAATATCGGAGGAGGAACGCAATGAAGCTGAGGCATTCAACTATACCGCCATAGGTGATTTCCTTCTCAGGTCTCAGCTCGATGCACACGATCCTCGATTGCCAGGGACTGGTATGTTTGATCTTAAAACTAGGGCTGTGGTTTCAATTCGAATGGATACGAAGGAATACGAGCAAGGTATGGGCTATGAGATCAGGGGGCGTCACGGAGAGTATGAATCATTTGAACGCGAATATTACGACATGATCAGGGCTGCGTTCTTGAAGTATTCATTGCAAGTCAGAATGGGTCGCATGGATGGTATTTTCGTCGCTTTCCACAACACGCAGCGGATTTTTGGGTTCCAATATATTAGTCTTTCAGAGATGGATTATGCACTGCACGGAACAGAGGACACCACGATTGGGGATTCTGAATTCAAACTAAGCCTGGAATTGCTAAATCGAGTACTGGATAAGGCTACAGCCAAGTATCCGGAGAAATCTCTGCGTCTTCATTTTGAGACGAGGGGCGACGAGACTCCTTTCATGTACATCTTTGCAGAGCCGATGGAGGAGGAGCAGATTCAAGCGATTCAAGAATCAAACAAGGCTGCTGTTCTGGAGTTTGAGCAGAACGTCTTGGGCATGACCACTAAGACAGACGAAGAAATTTTAGAAGAAAAGAAGAACGCCGAATGGGATTCGCTGCGAACAAAGGTTGAAGAGAGTATGGAGAGGGATGAACTTGATATTCAGGAGGCCAGGGCCATTGCTGAAGCTATGCTGGAGGAGAGTGGATATCTAGGTGAGCTATCTGCAGAGGAGAAGGAGAGGCGCATGGATGAGTTGATGGCAAGCTTTGAAGTGGATCATCAGGAAATTGAAGGCACTGCAGCAGGTGTCATTGAGGAGGAGACCGAAGGGGACGATGAAGTCGAAGATGGGATGCAGGAAGATAGTGAAGAACAAGAGGAGGAACAAGAAGATGGCCTCGAGGATGGGGATGCCAAAGCAGCCGACTCGCGAGATATCGCAAGAAAAGAAGGCGACATCAAAGCATCTGAGACCGAGCCAGACAACGAGGCTCAGGATAAAGAAAGTGGATCTCTCGATACCGAAGCCAAGGGTGCCAAAACACAGGTGGTCGAGAACGAAGAGCTTCTCTCTGACGAGGCCGTCGAAAGTACGGATAGCGAGAAAACAGAAGACGAGAAGAGTGCGAACGGATCCCAAGAGGCTCTTTCAACGGAGCAAGCAGACGCCACAACAGAAACCAGCGAGGCTGCGTCACCAAAAGTCGACGTTCTCGCCATGACCCTGACTATTCGCAACAAAATCAATGGAGAATATATCGAAAGACCTGTCGACCTCCACAAAGACGACAAATGGACTGTTGAATACGCTCTAGCAGAAATTCCTCAAGCGGAGCGGGCATCTCTCCTTTATGAGGCTACCAAGAGACGGCGATTCCAGGCATTGAGCAATGCGAAGAAGGAAACTCCGTGGAACAATCATTTCATGGAGAATTTGAGGAAGCTTAGTATTAAGGGGCGCGAGTGGAGGGAAGGTCAGAACAAGATCGACGAGGCAGAGGGACCACCAAAGGTTCTGGAGGTCAACTATGCGCCACCCCCACCCGTGAAGAAGGATTAGGTTATGGTGGCTCTTTTGTAAAAGTATAAGAATTTCCTAATATTGTATTATATGATCTCGCCATGGGGAGAGTGATGAATATCTACAATGTACTAATAACTCCCGTCACTCTCAATAATTGGAAGACAACTTTTCTAAGTCGTACCCTCTGAGGATGTTATTCGTTTGTTTCTACTGACAGGAACAGTTAATAAACCATGTTGTTGCGAAAGCATTGTAGATACAGTCCTGATGAGGCCCTAGCCAAGGTTTTATTCAGCATGATTTGAAGGGGAAAGGAAGACTTCTTCTTTCCATGAGCAACAACATTTCAAATATCAGACTTAGGAGGCCAAATTTACGAAATCATTATATTCCTCTTCCACTAGTTATTTACTATTCAGTCTCATGAGAGCGTGGTATATTTCTTGGCTCCTTATTTTGAAGATGAGAGGGGGGAGGTGTTATTCTCGGCAAAAAGAAAAAAGGGCGAACCAATCAAACAATATCGGCAAACCATCCAAACCATCAAAAGATCTCACCTCGCGCTCAACAACCACCTTCTTCAACAAAACCGTAGGGATACAGAAAGAAAATGCAAAAATACATTCAATATTGCACCCTCCGGGAATCGAACCCGGGGCCAGCGCATGGGAAGCGCTGATTTTACCACTAAACCAAGAGTGCTTATATCACTGAACTAGGCGTGCTTATAACCGCTACGCCACAGCATTTCTGCTTGGATTGAAAGTTGTTATTGTCGCTTATGTCAATCGTTGACCTCGCTTAAGTGTGTCGACTTTTTCGTGTTGAGTCTTCAAGTCGACAGAAATCCGCGAAATAGTCTACTAGTGGGCCTCCCTCACCTACTACTACCTGACTTACCTACCTACCTTACCGTAGGTAGCTTTATAGCGTTGCTAGGTACATGAGGTAGGTGAGATTTAAGTTATTTAACCGAACAACTAGGTTAAACTTTAAGAGGCGGCGGTTAGGACTAACTACTTATGTCAAGCTTCAGAATGCTTACATACCTTAAGCAGATGCTAGACAACTCGCCCATGTACTCATCTTTTCAGAAGCTTCCGGTCATTGAGCGCCTTTTCTCCATTCCATGGATATATTGCCTTACCCCTATTCGTTATCTCTGGAGATCGCGTCTCGCCCACCTTTTTAGACGCGGCCCGCCCTCTCCATATAATCTCAGGCCTCTCACAGACCAGCAGCGCAAACTCAAGAGCGATGAATTCATCGAGTCAATTGACACGGATGCCATTCGTGCTCTAGCTTCCAAGTATACCGACGGCTTGCCATGCAGCATCAGATGCCGGCGCCAAGGCAGCTTCAATGTCTGTTTCATCCTTGACTTCTCCGATGGCACTACCCGGCTTGTCAGGCTTCCCATCGAACCAGCGGTCCATGATGTGTGGGACAAGGTACGCAGTGAGGTCTATACCATGCAGTAAGCGTCACCCGTATGTTTATTATCGGCCTGTTTAAGACTGATACGGTGTGCATAGATATGTGCGGGACCACACAAACATTCCCATCCCTCGAGTATACGCATACGGCCATAGTCGACTCCGACAAGATACCTCAGCGCATCAAGTATTCATGATCTTGGATTACATTGATGGGGAGCCCCTGACGAAAAGAATGCTTCGGGATAGTTCGAGCGACTGCCGGCGTCAGTTTTTCGGAGAAGTCGTCGATATGTTTGCCCAACTACGAAGGCTCGAATTCCCTCGAGGAGGCTCGTTGATGCCGAACGCGACGGTTGGAATCTGGGCCAGATTACGGACGTTCATGTTTCTCCGGGAAGAATCCTTCACGCCTCAATCAACCATTGGTCTCGAATTCGGACCGAAAATCGTCGGTGCCTTTTCAATGCGCAACAATGAACTCCAGGTCGATGGTTATACAGCTCCACGCTTCATAGCTACCACTGCAAAAGAGTTCTTCAGGGAGCAATATCGCTTGCTTCAATACATGTGGAAAATGCCTTCCCAAGAACTTGGTCGAGAGGAGGCTGAGCGCGAAGAGTTTGCGCTTCATGCCTTAAGCTTAGAGGAAGCTCAAAAGACTCTCGGGTTAAAGGCTGATTCGTCAGGGGACTCGTTCTGTCTATCACACCCTGATCTCCGCGTTGATAATATCATCGTGGACGACAAGCTTCATATCCGCGGCGTTATTGACTGGGAGTTCTCGGTTACAGTCCCACGGCACGCTTTTCTCCCCCCTTCATGGATAACTGGTCATGACACTGGATCAATTGTTTCTAAACTTGATTTCTTATCTGAGTTCATGAGCGTCCTGTCGTCGAGGAAACATCTATCGTCCAGTCACTCTCAGCTTGCGCAAGACTGGGATTTTCGAGACGATCTCAGGTTGCCGATGGCTTATATATTTCTAGATCCGTCTGACCTCGTCTTGCTCTTCTACAGATACATCTATCCCAGACTCTACAACGAACCTCGCGACAAGGTAATCCCTAGTTTCTTCCAAAGTCCTGAGAATAAGGAGCTGTTAGTGGGATTGGTACGGCGATTGCGTGCTTCTGAGCAGTACACTCAGTATCTTAAGGACAACAACCTCTTTGACGACAAAGAAGAACCAGAATGGCAACAAATCCGTGAATGGACCACGGAGACACAAAAGAAGCTACAGCAGTTACGTGAGTGGAGTAATAAGACACAAGATGAATTAACACGCTTAGATAGGGAACGAGCCGTGTAAGAAGGACGAGAGAAGCAAGTGTAAGGCATGTTCCACGCGATAAGCCTCTGTTCCTTGTACTAGGTAGAACGAAGATATGCTCGGTCCTCTTGATATCCCACAGTTACACTACGAAAGCGTTAGTGACGTCGGCGCTCTCAGGGTGGAGCTGATCACTGTAATGCTTGCTTACCTTAGCTGTACGCTCAACTAGAGTAATCAGACTTGCCACGAATTAATAAATATGCAGTCAAGGACGCCGTTTGATGGCCTTCGCACCCCCCACGGTCGCCTTACATAGAGCAACTTTGTAGCTGCGCTTGACTTTACAAAAAAGCGTGCCCGTTGTAGGGCTTTTCGATTAGGCTATAGTAGTAATAGCTTAGGTCTAAAGACGGGAATAGCAAATACTTATGTCGAGAATCGAGATTCTGATATCGAACTACGTGTTTCATACCTTGTAGATGTGGAAAGAAATATTACCCCGACAAGGCAAGAAGCGCGCTGCCGCTCGAGCCTCACGAATATGTACCAGGCCACTCAAGCTATAGGCCGTTGGATCGTAGTGAAGACAACCACTATTGACGACAGCCAGGTCAATACTGGCGGGGCCGAAGAGTCAATTCCCACACCCCAAAAGGGCGGGCCTTGGTCTATGGCACAAAGCGGATACACCCGAACTGATTCTGGGGAGTCTGAAAATCCGCTTGCGTGGAGTCCTGGGACATATCAGCAGCGTATCAGGTATACAGCAGGGCTTGTGGAGGATATGAGTAATACTCATATTGAAGATCCTGGCTCTGCGAGCACGAGCGCAGTAAAAGGAAATGACCGGGCCGATGCCTCGGGGTTAGGAGACTGGTGGGACTGGTACTGGAGCGCCGAGTACAAGTGCGAGGCCCGCCATCACAAACACATTGCGGTTACAGGTGGCTGGAAGTACGAGTATCGTTCTGCAGATACAGCTCCCAGTCACGCTGTGCTCGTACATCCCTTATGCCGTGCGTTGAATCCTCACGCAATCTCTCGTGCATCTGCAAGCCACGGATGTTGCCTGATTCCAGGGATCGCCACAGCTTCAATACTCCGTTCTCCTGATGCCATCTTTGAACCCCAATCCAAAATACGAAACGTTGCCTGTTTGGATGGCTCAAGCCTGACATCACAGTGAAATCCGCTAGGAATCACTACCGTTGAACTGGCAGAGTCCAACTCCTCAGCCACACTATCTGTGTGTTTGCCCTTATCATGTCTGAGGCCTCGTTCAATCACACTCTTGTTCTCTGCTAACCACCAAACCCAGTGTATGTATTTCCGTGGTTGCGGTTTGCATTCTAGTCTTGGCCAAAGTTCAGGTTCAATCTCCGTCTTCTTTACTGTGCCAAAAGGCTGCCATCCAAAGTGAATAATGTCGGCGCCATCTCCTAGTCGGAAGTTGAAACGATGGCGGAATAAATCGGCCCTCGGAACCTGTGCATTCTGACTTAGGTAGGGACCTGAGCCATCTTCATCGAAGAATGACTGACGCGAACCAGTCCAGACAGCAACATCGGGATCTGGACGCGCCCAAGAGCCATCATAAGGCTGTTCTTCTAGAGATTGCAGATATGATCTAATCATATCTATTACCTCAGGACAGCCACAAAGGAACATGCCAAGCCATAACGGGGCAAGTCGCGGCCGGCGAAGCGCGAAGATTTTTGCCAATCTTTCTATGTCGCCAGTCTCGAGGATCGGCGAGATCATTTGGTGTATTGAGCCAAGCCATGAGCTAGCAAGATTACACTGGACACCTGGCTCCCAAAAAATGCTCCAGATTGCAGAGCCTAAATATCGTGGGCTTATGCTTAAGGTCATGAAGTATGGAAGGTCGTTAACAAATTCTCGAATGCGTTCTGAAGCCGCAGCGCGTATTTTCGGATGTTCAGCGATTCTCGGCATAGGAAGTTGAGGCTGAAGATCCCGTTCGTTGTGAAATGGTAACATCAGTGCCGCTAAGAAGGCCGCTGTGGGCTGAGACCCAAAAGGATATAACCCGCAGAATTCGACAAGAAGGTCTGCGGCTTCACTAGAAGAAGGAGGCTTCTCGTTTCCGAATTCAGTAAATGGCAGAGCCGTGGCGATTATGAAGCGAATGTCTCCTTCATAGTGTGCGGTCCAAGGTGGCATACGGCCCTTTACAAACCATCCCGAACTTTGTGCAAGAACAGCGCGAAGCCATCTAACGAGCTCCTTTGAGGCATGGCCAAGATGAATAACAATTTCGCTAGATTGAGGTCTAACGTCTTCAGTGAAGAGAGGTGATGAGATCGTAGATGAATATTGAATGCGTCTCTTCTGCATTTCGAGAAGTCGTACAGATAAAATGTATGACCAGCATAATATGAGTATAGCAAGACCATTCGGAGAATTTCCTGAGGGTTGTTCACCACTAGTGCCGTGACGAAAGTCAGGTCGCGAGGATATCCCACACTTGGTAGGCTTGTCTGTCCAAAGATAGAAAGTCTTCTCGACGCCGTAAACATGCTCTGGATTCCAGATCTCATTATCATCGTGCTTCTGACCCCTACAAGACGTAGGGAGTTCGGGACATGGTACGTGCCACAATGCCCGTCCTTTGATGATCTTCTTCTTGTGCAGATCTTGAGGGAGGGGCGGTACATCTTGCATCAGGATGTAAGGATCTAAAGTCTCCGCTGGCATACAGCCAGATGCCAGAGAATCAGCGCCGGCGACATAGGCGCGCCAGATATTTTGACACCTTAAGAAAGTGCAATTGATCTGATCTGTGCTAGGTATCAGAAGATCGTCCTCACAACCAACAAGCAACTCAACGGGCTCGGGCTCGGAATTTTGCTCCGTTATAGACTCTCCTGTTAAATAACTACTGGCACTGCCTGGAGAAGGCTCGGCGATATCCTTGGATGGAACGCTGACTGCTTTTCCGATAGCATCATGGCCTATTGTCTCCGTCCAGATTGTGCTGCCGTTTGCTTTGCTTTCAACACTGCTTGTCACAAATTTATGTTCCCCCGTATGTATCCAGTGATGAATTCGATCAGTATTGCTGTCCGTCTTACGTTGAAACGTCTCTAGAGGGGTTGGGCGAGACATGCTTTTCGATTCGTGGTGGGCGGTCAAAGGATCTCTCCTGAAAAAGACGGCATTGTGTGGAAGATTTTCAAAGAGTTGCAATGCTGGGAAAGGAGTTGAGGTTGGGTATGGCTTATCCACACGGTTGGAACCCCGACCTTTGAATGTTGTGTCGGATAAGGAAGTGTTTGTTGTCGGAACACATGTAGATATGATCACGTGATAATTGGATTCAAGATAATCTTATGGCGACGTCGCATCAGTTGTAAGGTCTGCAGCATGAAGATCCAAAACCATCCTGTGAGGCCTTTGTCTTCAAGGGCAAAGCTTGGCTCCATTAGCAATGACTCTCGACGTTGACTTGATCCAAGAGCGACTTGCCCAAGTGCTGGAGGGATGATTCTGCTACCCCACCGTACCTACTTACCTATGCTTCCAAGAGCGCTGCTCTTGCCGCCCTATTTACAGAGGTACAGCACCTAATAAGTATCGTTACTTGAGCTATTTTTACGCTCAACAACGTCCCATAGCAGCAAAAGGAGAGAACACTGGGGAAAAGGGTTCCAAAAAAGAAAACAGCGGATATAATCAGTTGCACCCTCCGGGAATCGAACCCGGGGCCAGCGCAGCATGGGAACATGGGAAGCGCTGATTTTACCACTAAACCAAGAGTGCTTGTGACCGCTGGGCCATCCAGGACCCTATTTCAAGTTTATACATTGTCATTATTCACATAATTACATATATCAAACAATTTGTTGCGGCTCTCTCATGGTTGCTTTAGCGAGGCTCCTCTGACGTGCTGTACTGTATCCATATAAAAGCTTTGGCACCCGGACCTTGGAGTAAATAAGTGGTTTAAACAGCAGGTAGATTTCTATCCTTTTCTGGCACACGTCAACTCTATCATAACCTCACCGAAGCGGAGGAACCACTAATGGTTGGCTATCAATCAACTTCTGTGAAGCACTAGACTTTTAGAATGTTCTGCCAATCCCCCGCACTTGTGATGCTAAAATTTTAAACCTACACCTCGCAGTGTTCGGTCTACTCTTCCGCGGGACCTCCTTTGTACAGTAGAGCCTCTTGCATCTCGACTTCCACGGACTTCCCTCCCTATTCCACCTCCCCAACACCCGAAAAGATGAGTGCGAAAATAGAAAAGGTCATCGTGCGATTACAGGAAAGGTAATACTACAGTTTCCTTCCCTCTGCTGTTTGCTGACTTACCCCAGAATTGCTGAAGGACAATTCTACGAAGCCCAACAGCAGACACGAGTCGTCGCCGCGCGCTATGTGAAGCAGGAGAACTGGGAGGCCGCAGTCGATATTCTATTCAATGTGGCACAGTCGCTGCTGAAGGCAGGCCAGGGAGGGAGTGGTGGCGATCTTGGTATCTTTCTGATCGATGTCTACAAACAAGCGGCACTCAAGCCGGACTCGAGCAACAAAGGCAGGCTTCTAACGCTACTACGACAATTCGATAGCGAGGAGCCTACAAGGAAGAAGTTCATAAGTGAAATGATAATGTATGTCCGTTTTCTCAGGATGGCGTTCAAAACTGACAACTGGCAGATGGTCTGCAAAGTACGGCGAGTACCCCGCTGGCGAACCAGACTTGCACCATGTTGCGGGATCTTTATACGCAGAGGAGCATGACGCATATGAAGCTGAACGACATCTTACTCTTGGAACGAAGGACTCCCCGGAGATATTTGCGAGGTTGGAATACGAATGGTATACCCAGGATGATTCACATACGGCCGCACTCTATGCTGCTCGAGCGGTCTTTCCCTACCTCCTCACTGGCAACGTCCGTGATGCTTCGAGATCGCTCAGACTATTCACGAGCAGATTGACTGAGGCAAATAAGAATTTGACTGTTCAGGATGTCAGTAGTGGTAGTTCAGACATCAGGATATACCCAAGTCTGCCACTGCTGAACTTCCTTGGTTTGCTGCTACTGGCTGTGCAGAAGGGTGGTGCGGACTTATTCCAACGGCTCAAGACCAAATACGCGGCTCAAATTAGGGAGGCGGGCACATGGGACGAGGCATTGACTTCCGTAGGAGAGATGTACTTTGGCATACAGAGACCAAGACAGGGTAATCCTCTCTTCGATATGATGGGAAGCATGTTTGGTGGAGGAGCTGGGGCTGCGAAACCACAACCGAAGCGTGTAGGAGGGTCGGCCCCTGTGGCAGAAGGACTAGACTGAATTGCTATGTCATCCAATGCTTTATGCAATCTGTAAATGCCTGGGTATCTTCAACGCCGTGAAATGCAAATTTGACAGAGGGGCTGCTGTCATCGAACAACAGGCTCTTCCTCCGCTTCATACATCCAATTGTCCTCTGATAACATCGCAACCTTGGCTCGTAGACTCGCTCTTACAGCTTCGAGTAATTCTATCAACTATCAGTCTCGGTATCGTGATTCTTAAATCAAAACTCGCTCACCTGCAGGTTCACTAGGAGCTCGGTTTCTGTCTCTCTGGTGATGTTTAACAGCTTCTGCTAGCCTTTGTCTCTCCTCTGCGATTGAATCAGCCTTCATAATTCCTTTATCGTGTACGAATAACAGACTCTCATCCTCCTGCGCATCGACCTGTCCTCCCTCCTCCGGCTCATCTAAGGATTGCATAGGCGGATCCCCGATATCAAAGTCCCCATTTTTATCCCTTATGACAATATCCGAAGTCCCTAAGTCATGCTCATTATCTAGTCGCAACGTCTCGGCGGAGGTAGAGGTTGAGCTGGTTGTGGGGCGGCGGCTTAGATGCTGATGGAATAGATTGCGACGGACGCCCGTAGAGCGACTGTTTGTCGTGCTAGAGGATACTTGTCGTCTTTCTGGCATTATGTAGGTATGTGGTAAAGAAGTTAGGTATTTCTCTTAGGGTAGAAAACGAATGCTGAGTTACGATTGTAGGAAGATCGTTATTTGTTGTGGGGGTTGAGGTTCAGTCTGAGGACGAGGCTCGCTTGACCTGATGGCGAAGAGCCTCGCTCGGCCTTGCTGGTGGGGTAACGAAGCCTCCTCCTCAGTCCAAACTCCAATCCCTCTCCGTGATTCGCGGATATTCAAACCCTCAGCATGTTTCTACTTCGGGGTATGCATCATGAGTAGCAGCTTTGAGATACAGCCCATCGGCAGGTTCGCTGGGCCGTGCGCCCCAGTCAAGCGTCCAAGGGTACGTTCTTGAATAATTCCTCAATATTTGTGTCTCCTGATCAGAGCGCATTTGATACAAGTGACAATAATAAATTCACGACCTCATTTTCCCTTTGGTATTCTCCATAGCAGTGTGATGGAGACCCGTTGGGTTGATGACCAAGTGGTCTCTCCTCCAAATCTCAGATTTCTAATTCAAGGGGAGACTACGAGTTGCAGAAAACTCGAATTTTCTGAATCCATGCTAAGCCCATATCCAGGAAATAGCATGCTTCTCATACGATGATAAACACCAATTTTTGCTAGATGATTCGTCCATCAGATACTATTATCCACCTACCTTGGGGGCCGATCTCTCGAAGGGCTTTGATACCTTCGAGAAGTTAGATGACTCCGGGGATGATCATCTCGATAGCTTATTGAAGACTATCATGGCCCATGAGCAAAAGACGGGAAGCCGCGTAGAGGCAAATATCATTACTTGGAGAGGGATGATGACCAAGGTAAGTGAACGAGCCTAGCTATGTCTGTGGAGCCACGGAATAACTGACATTTACATAGTTGATGTCGGCAATCTTCAGTGATAGAGATGGGTAATGGAGCTTGATTCCCTCATTGAAATTGATTCATGGTCGCTGACCGGGACTTAAAAGCTTTGAAATGAACGCCACGCTTTTCCAGGTGGGACTCCCTTGATTTGATATTCTTCAAAGAGAGCTGACATGTATTGGTGAAGGGAACCATGTATGCAAACTTGGATGTCTTCGATTTATCTTACTAATTCAAGCAGCTTCATTGAAGAGAACCACGAGTACAAACTCAAATCTCAAGCAAAACAGTCGCAGCAAGTGCCACAACCTGGCAGGCCATCGCAGGATATGATGAGCTTTTGGGGTCAGCATACTAATCTGTCTAAATTTTGGGCAACGACTAACATCTAAAGGCTACAAATTCGAGACTTTATGTTTGTTACCAGACATATGGGCCAACACCTCTCGAGAATATATCGAGGGCCGAGAGAACCTTATTGTCAATAACCACGCCCAGTATTGTTCTGTTGTAAAGACCGGGATCGGCAACACAGCACTGATTCTAGGTGGAGAAGTGGATGCCGGTAAGTAAACTTACTAGACCCTTTACCTACGACTAATTTTCAAAAGTATGGGACGTCAAACCTTCAGACGGTAGCCCTGTGAACTGGGTTGAGCTAAAGACCAGCGCGGAGATTCGGAATGATAGGGATATGGTCACTTTCGAGCGTAAACTTATGAAGTTCTGGATACAGTCATTTCTCCTTGGCGTACCCAAGATTATCGTTGGATTCCGGACACAGGATGGGATTCTCAAGAGGATTGAGGAAATCGATACGGCTTCAATACCTGGGACTGTGAAAAGGGCTGGAAAGGGTACTTGGGATGGCAATATGTGCATCAATTTTGCTTCGACCTTACTTGAGTGTAGGTTCCCTCCTAGGCTCTCTAAACCTCCCTGTACATGCTGCTGACATGAGTATCAGTCTTGAGGTCTACGATAACTGAAGATGGAGTTTGGCGAATTCGAAGAAGAGAAAGGTCTCCTGTCATTGAGGTGTTCCAGATCGAGGAGGCTGGCCATGGCGAAATTCTCACCGACGAGTTCATCAATTGGCGGATAAAGCTAGCTCTGGATGGGAAGTGATCTTGTGAAAGGCCGTTGGCTCTTTATCGAAGATGCGAAAGAAAAGGTGGCAAGCTCATGGCCAGGGAGATATGCATCTGAGGCAGGAAATAAGTGAAAAGCGATTTGTTATTTCCGCAAAATGGCCGGAGTTGGCCGGGGTATCATGAAGCGAAAACGAAACCCCAGACTATATGGGTCCTGTAGCGCAGCCGATACCCCACGGACAAGAAGTTGACATTGCACGTTTCGTGGAGAATGGCCGGCCCTTTTCCCACAGTTGGGCCTGGAGCATCGCGGAGAGAGGGGGGCTAACTTGTCTTTCCCGTGTGTTAGATACATGCAGATTCAGATTCTTGAATGAATAGGACTCAGTAACGTCTTTGCGAACATTGTGACTTTTGTGCCCCAACGACATGCCCCAGTGCTCAATTGCTCCATCTCGTGAACCGGACTCCGACTCTCCGGGGCACCACATGTGGAGCTGATTAGCCTTTGAGCCATCCCATCTATTGTTCGATTTGCTGCACAGAGAGCTGCCGCAATCTCATCCCGACATTTTATATCCGGCTATTTCCGAGCATTTCTCAACTTGGCCGGGCCGAGTCACCTGCATCCCTTACCTTACATATCAACAAAAAATCAGCTCGAGATGCGGGGGGCGGCAACATACAAATTCTGGCATGTTTCCTGTGAATAAGATAGTAAACAATACAATTCTAACCTAACCTTCAAGCTCGCGGCATCCAGCAGTCAAAATGGTCCCAAACCCCGTTGCGCGTTGGTTCCAGGGACAGCCTCAACGCAAATTCTCGTGAGTCACGCATCGACTTCTTCCTATTTTCTCTATATCTGATATATTATTTTGAATAGCACTCATCCAGATACCTCATTCCCCATCGAAGTAAGGAAACAGCTTCAGACGCAAGGCCTCACACCTCCTAATGTCGAAAGCCATGCTCTCCAAGCGCAAAGATGTCAGTTCTTCCCCCTAAATCTCTTCGCCCCCACCTTTCATTCGCTCATAGCACCTAGGTCTCAAACAATTGGAATCGAAAACCAGTCCAATTGAGAAGTACATCTACTTGAGTAACTTGCGAAATACCAATGTTCATCTCTTCTACCGTCTTGTTATGAGTAATTTCACGGTAAGTTCGTGCAGATGCGAGGGCACGTGACCCATGCTGACGGCTGGCTCAGGCTCTTACGCCTTTAATATACACGCCCGTTGTTGGTGAAGCTTGTTTGAAGTGGTCCGATATATATCAGCATCCAGAAGGTAACCGACTTCGATGGCATGGGAGCTTGTGATTCGACGCAACGCTCTCGCAGTCATCACACTCCATGCCTAATAGAATCCAAGGGTTTTGCTAATGCGTATAGGTCTCTACCTTTCGTACAAGGATCGAGGATCTCTAGCAAAGATACTCCAGAACTGGCCCCAATCACAAGTTGAGATCACCGTGGTTACTGATGGCTCACGCATCCTGGGTCTTGGAGATCTAGGCATCAACGGCATGGGTATCCCAGTTGGAAAGCTTTCCTTATACACGGGATGTGCTGGTATCCGACCGGAAGTCACCTTGCCATTGACATTAGATTTGGGAACAAATAATGAGAAGCTCTTGAATGACCCGTTTTATATGGGTTCTCGAATGAAGAGAGTATCTCCCAAGGAGGAGGCCGAATTTATGGATGAGTTGATGGAAGCTTTGAACAAGACGTGGCCTGGGTAAGAAAATGTCCCCGAGGTTGTCTTTTGAAGAAACTAACGAAATCCAGGATCGTGGTTCAATTCGAAGATTTCAAGAACCCATGGCCAGCGTTGGAGAAATATCAACACAAATTTGCTTGTTTCAACGATGACATCCAGGGAACTGGGGCGGTGATCTTGGCCGGAGTCATGAATGCACTGAAGGTGACTGGTGTGCCGGTCAAAGATCAACGAGCGGTATTCATGGGAGCTGGCAGTGCAGGGACCGGTGTCGCAAAACTCATTGCGGAATTCTTCATGAAGGAAGGCCTGACTGAAGATGAGGCACGGAAATGCTTCTGGTTTGTAGACAGCAAGGTGAGTGACATGCACATTTGGCCCGGAAATTTCATTAACCCATGTGGAATTAGGGATTGATCACAAACGATAGAGGCGACAAGCTCGCCGAGCACAAGACTTACTTCTCTCGCGATGACAACCAAGGAAAGCAGTTCAAATCGCTCAGTGAAGTTGTCGAATATGTCAAGCCAACCATGATCATGGGAATGTCAACAATCCAAGGAGTCTTCGATGAGGCTATCCTCAGAAGGATGGCCGAGCTCAACGAACGTCCTATCATATTCCCGTTGTCAAACCCATCCAGCCAATCTGAATGTACCTTTGAAGAAGCCATCAATTTCACAGATGGACGAGCGGTCTTCGCCAGTGGGAGCCCGTTCCAACCGTATACCTACAATGGCAAAGTGCATATGCCAAGTCAGGGAAAGTAAGCTAAATCCGAAAATCTCGAATACAGCAGAATTTTATATACTAACCATATCAGCAACATGTACGTCTTCCCTGGAATCGGTCTCGGCTCTATCCTGTGCAAAGCCGTCCATATCACAGATGAAATGGTGAGTATCCTCAAACCTATCCCTTGCAAGATTCCTCTACTAACGGACATCAAGATATATGCATCGGCGGTTGCCCTCAACAAAACGACTAACGAGAAGGAGCTCGAGTCAGGCATGCTGTACCCAGAGATCACAAGAATTCGGGAGGTCAGCGTGACGGTAGCACGCGAAGTGATCCGTCAAGCCCAGAGACAAAACCTTGACCGGGAAAAGTCAATCATTGGTTTGAACGACGCCGAATTGGATGCGTGGATTAGGACGAAGATGTACGATCCCGCTGCTCACGTTGAGGGGCAAACATTTGCAAAATTTCCCGGAGGGAAGTCTCTTCTTTAGATGATAAGATTCGCTTCGATTTATTGTAAGATTAGAAGACAGTGGTTTCGGGGTATATTACCTAGATACTAGGTAGAAAAGTTTGGTCATCTGACCACATTCAGTAATGTGAGTTCAATGGATACGGAGTTTCGCTTGCTATAAAAAAAAAGTTCCCACGAGTGATAGGGACACCAAAAAACAAAGGTATCATTATTGGCACAACAATTTCCCAACCCAATTGACAGAACAAAAAAAAAGAGAGCTAGAAAAGGCGCAAAAAATAAAAATAAAACATTTGAATGTGACCAGGCTGGGGCTCGATCCCAGGACCTTTTGCGTGTTAAGCAAACGTGATAACCAACTACACCACCCGGCCAGATAGGAACCTGCGGATCCAAGTTCCTTGGACGCCGATTGTTAAAAAATCCTTTTCTTATTTTCTAGTCCTCAGTCTACTCAGCTCAGCATTCAACCAGGATTATGATATTGTAATGAAAACACGTAAAGTAAAGAGGGAAGTTAAAGGAATAATACTTCTGTTGAGGAGTGCTGGACTAAGGTGCTTTAAATGCTGAATCTAGGTATGTCCGGAAAAGAAGTGGTCGTCGAAGCAAATAAAGCACCTCACCAAGTTACGCGGCAGACTCACGAATTGCTGCTTTCCTGAGGTATATTGAGATATTATTTTCTATAATAACATAGCGGTAAAAATCATTACTGGTTAGTATACTTCCATATTAGTGAAAATCTGATTCTTGAATCAGTCTACATGTTCAATAGTTGGTGGTTCAGGTATTGCACAGTATCCAAACAGGAAATCATTAGGTCTAGCTGTTTTGATGCTTTTGTAAGTTCTAATTAGGATCACATGAGACAATAAATGCATACGCCAAAGCGCGAATATGTTGTGTACAGTATATCGCAACCGAATCGATAGCATTCCTATCTTCCTTTACGGCAGCTGAACCCAGATTAGTACATGGCTATACATAGCAAGAACATTCCCTTCATGGCTTCTCAGTCCTTGTCATTTAGACAGAACAGGTCTCCAGCTGTAAGCCCAATCCTCGTCTTTTCCACAGCAGATATATCGCAACCGCCAATCTCATGTCTGAAAATCCGACTATAGTTAGCCGCGCGCTCCTCCATCTCAGTCATATTTACTTTCTCTCCATCCCAGGTAAGTAGCGGCATCTCTACCATGCTAGGAAGATTACCAGAATTTGGGAGGGCGCTAAGTAACGATTTGGTAACAAGTGGTACTTCGGTGTGTTTGAGTGGATGAGCTGGGTCAGCAGTGAGATCGGCACTGAGATCGGGAATTCCCATATCAGACTCTTCGGAATATTCTTCCGGCAGTTGATAGAGATCGTTGTGGAGAGTGACCAGTGCATCTAAATTCTCAAGATTAGGATAGAGGGTCCAGTAACCCCGTGCACGTGATAACTGCAGGATATGCTCCAGCCAAGATGGGAGAGTTTTGCTGACAAGCTTCCCATTCAGCGTGGTTGGAGTCGGCAGTGTATGTTGAGAGGTGAGCGAGTGGGTCACGAAATCGTGTAGCTCAACCCATTTATCACCAAAATATAAGGCCGCATTGCTGTTTGGCGTCTGCCAAAGAAATGGAGTGATATCTGCACCACTTGGCCCATTTGTTGAAGGTGGTGTGAACCCGGTAGAGTCATTGATATACGTAGAGGGTAGATCAAGGCTGATACCTAGTAGATTCTGATGGGCATCTACCTTGCTCGCAGAATACTTGTACTCGAGCATGGTGTATTTGAGGTAATGAAAGAAAAGGGGTGATAGCTCTGCCTGGGGTGAAAGGACAAGAACATGTGACGATGGTGGATCCGCGGGCCAGAAAGATTCGAGGAATCTAATCGAATTCTCTTCTGCTGTAAGCCCATGTTGCGGGATCCGACGATGAAGCGTCAGCAGATTTCCAGCGTTGTGGGCGAGATTCGGTGGCCATTTGAAGTGCTCAAGATAGCGTCTTGTAGGTTCCTCCACATCATGAGGCAGTTCAATGGTCAGTCTGGGCGGGACAGAGGAGAAGAGATCAGCCCTCTTCAGAGACTCAAGTAATCTTATCAAAGACCCAGAGGAGGACGGCGGCGCATGCACAAGTATATCAATGCTAACTTTATTCCACGCTGCCAAAGGTATCAGTACTCGTGTTCTCGCCAAAGGACGCTGCTTACTTACCACTCAGCGATGCACTATCCAGCAGTGTAACCCACATCAAATTCTGTTCCGCGTTGTCAGGCATCTCAATAACCGTCCGTCCTAGAGCGTTTGCGCGTCCCATCAAGCCCCTCAGGAAAAAGGTATCTTCTTCCCCAGATCCATCGATGAAAGTTGCTTGCGGGTGCACAAACGTGTTTATGTGGTTGAAACCTGCTGAACAACTGACTTCCATGCGGAAGTCTGAACTTTCAGCAGAGAAATCCGGTCGCGCATCTATAAATGGTTAGATATACCTAGAGATATGTATGATTCAGCGTGTACCGTGATATATGATTTTGCACTCTTTCGCAACACCGTTTATCGATTTCAACATATCCATCGATATATCATCCCTTCCCATGAAAGCAAAATGTACATCATTTCTTTCTCTAATCGCCATCTCACAGGCTATAGGTAGGAGTGTCGAGGCACTCTTCAGACTGGCCGCCGCAAATAGCTGCAAATGATTAGCACGAAGTATAAACAGGAGCCGCCCAGAACTGACCACATTCCGATTGATCCTTTCCGGGCCCTTAGCCTTCGCAAACGCGTGCAACGATGAGGCAAGCTGGTAGAATTTGATTGGGCCATTGTAATCGTGCTGCGGCATCTCTGCGGTTTCCTCGTGCCCATGGCTGGGTGTGGCACCCTCACTGACTGAAGGCGGCCGCCTCGAACCAGCTATTGCAGAGGACTTTCCCGGCGGTTCGCCGTAGTAAGGTCTTGGCCGTGGGTTTCTGAGGTCTGTTGGCATATTCTTGAAGAAGTAGAAGAGTGCGACCAATGCGAGAACCACCAGCGCTGCCCGTTTCATACTTCTGCGAGGAGGGCCGTGAGGCAATCGGCGCTGTCTCCAAACATGGCCCAGTGTATTCTTCGTTCCCGGCTTATGATCATCATCTCTCTTGCCCAGCTCCTCGTCCCCAGGAAACAATCGTGGTGGGAGAGGCATTCTGGTGCGCTCTTCCCACGCTCCTCGAGAGCTTTATAGTACTGGAGCCATGCGGATCAGGTTATCGACATTCCAACGCAAAATACCCGAACAGAATGGTGTCGGGTGTAATGAAAGATGAGCCTGTAGGTTCCTGTAAGAGTTTCTAGAGTAGAATTTATCAGTATTATGGGCACCTAGGCTGTGATCAAGATAAATAAACAACAAAGACGTGACATCGAGCTTGATGAGCGCGCATCGACATAACGCGGAGCTAGCACCTTAAGGTAGGTAGGTTGGCCTACCGTACCTAGCCTCCATTCACTTGACTTGAACTCCATTCGGCCTCAGGCACAGCTTCAAGGGAACGTCTGCATTCATCAACCAAGGCTCATGTACCAAACCAGCCACATTCCTAGATGAGAACACATGGATGGATGCATATTTACACGTCCGACATGCTGTATGAAGACAACTTTGGTATTCCCACTGGAAACCCGGAATATGAATGTAGGCAGTAAGTATACTTACTACGCTGTGCATACAGCTCCAGTCCGACAACATCTTCGCCCGTACTAGGTCATTCTATGTTGTTCTTCTGCTATTGTCTGCATGCATGTCCACAAAAGTCGAAAGAAACTTCTATTGTTTTGCTTCTACTTATTGAAAGGGTATTCTCCATTCAGAACAAAGACCCTATCTCTGTACCAGTCTCGTGCGTTTCGATGAAAACAGTCAGCTTCTTTGTTTAACCCTAAGTGAACCCCTTTCCGCTCGTTTCTTGTAGGAGAATCAAGGGATTTTCTAGAATACCGCGTTTTTCGTTACATGCGGTCTTTGCCATTTAAGTATATTAACCCATGGAATGACTTTGGAATTTGACACACCCCAACACTTACATACGGTCAACGAGTTCCGATGTTCCCACCGAACCTGCCGTCAACAGCAAGCGTCCTCTCAGGGAAGAGAGACTCCCAGAAGATCCATTCTGCAAACTGGGCCTCCAAATCCAGAATGCAACATGTGGGCACAAGTGTTGCTGCATCTTGCGAAAGTCAAGTCCCTAGAATTCCGCCAAAGAAACCATTCGTCCACAACCTCGTGCATCGACCTATCAGGAAATCCACCTACGGCTTTGTCATTCCAGAACCGCAGCCACGTACTTTTGAAGAACTTCATACGGAACGTGTATATCTCCTAGCTTGTCTCCAACAGGAGAATGAAAAGGCAACGCAACTTCTCAAAAGAATCTTACCGTTGGAGGAAATTTTAGTGCTCGCACAGGTATCCCATGAACGCAAAGAAGCCAAGAAAACTCTGGGTTGGTTAAGATATCGTATCAAGGAGACGACTCTTCAAGAGAAGGCCATCCTGGCGCGGCTAGGCCAGTTGTCATACGAAATTCAATCTCGAGAAAGGTGGACCCAGGTTGAAAGCGAGCGACAGCAGCAATCCCAATACGCTAAGGATGGATTGTCTCAAGGGATGCAAAACTTGCAACTCAATACACGGTGGACCGAGTTTCAACCCCGAAAGTACGATTCTATGCCTCATGCTACATCGGTACCGCAGCAGTATCACAGATGCGAAGCAAACACTTCGCAGCCATCTATCCAGAGTTATGCCTCGGAGCCACCTGCTCACAACAACAGCTCACTCGATGGTCTCTCAGAGGGAGAGAATTCGGAACAGCGGATTATGGCAAAGGAAGATGAGACTGTGCAAAGGCCTCCCACGAGTCGTCGTTCTTCGTCTATGAACCGTGCTGAGCCTCCTATTTTGGTCACGGACCCTTTATGCGTATCAATCCCAGGGTCTAAGCGTCACAGTCTATGAAAAGTTCCCGAGAATCGGATTTCGACGACGAGATACGGATGAAGGGCTGAAAATAGATAGCAAGTTGGGTGGAGAGTAGGCTCCGAGCTCCGATCATCTCCTGAGGAACGTGGGAAGGCGAATAGACAAGAAGCTATAGTGGGGCTTTTGTATTTGGTCCAAATACAACACATCCTTTAGGTTAGGGGCAAAATGCTTCACTGTCCCGCTGAGGCGGCTTGGGGGTAAAGGTCAGAAATTGTTCGGGACAGCGAATTTAGGGTCGAGTCTTACATTGTTTATGCCCAGTTATTATTGAAACTCACCGAATTCCCCATCATCAAATCCAAGATCCTCTATCGATCCTGGTTCTTGCGTTTCCACATTCTGATTGAGTCCTTTCTGGGCTCTAACCTCATGTGCACTGGGCGGAGGGGGTAGGAGTGAACTGAAAGATCCGCCACTCGGAGGTGGTGGTAATGAGAATCCTCCAAGCCCCTTGGTCTCCTCGGCCTTCCCCTGGCTCCTCCTGCCTATCCCTTTGCCCCCAATATTGATCTTTATAGTCTCGCCTTCCTTCAAACTGAAATCGAGCTTCTCTGGCACCTTCTCTTTCCCTTTATCCGCCTTCTTTCCGCTGCTATTCCCAGCTTGCCCAATCCCAAGCGTCCTTCGAACCTCTTGCAGTGCAACGCTGAAGTCAAAAGCCTCGCTCCTTTCCTCAAATCCAATGCCCAGAACTGCTTTTCTCCCTCCTTCTCCTTCGACTCTTACAGCAAAAAATCTCGAAGAGTCTAACACTTGCTCGACCACCCCGGGTGTCGTGTACGGCGCAGCAGCAAACAGCTGCCCACTGCTCGGATCCTCGAGTAAAACATCTGTTTTTAGAGTCTCGTCGTTGTTTGCGGTGGGAATTGCAGTCTCTAAAATCCGGACACGGGCAGTAAATATGCGGCGTTTATTGTTGTCCGCAGTCCAAGATGCTGCAACGTAGCCTTTGGTGCTGGTAAGTGGCGGTATATTGTAGACGTGCACTGACGGCGCAACGAAGAGAACTCGTTGGATAGCGTCGGCGGGGAGAGGCCGTCCAGTTGCTGGGTCAATTGTCTCCATGACGTTGAGCAGCAGGAAGCGCGAAAGGGAGGCTTCAGTCGGGACGTTATCTGAACAAGGTCATGGTTATGTGCGCGCCGGTTGTGGTGGAGTGGGGAGGAGGATGAGGTCTAGGAGGGGTTGCTTGCTCCATGTACGGCACCCAGGTGTTTTGCGCGTAGTCGCAACTGTGCCTACCGTACCTATCTGCAATCAATGTGTACCTTGGGGTAGATACCTGAGGCGTAAGGTCATAAGATTACATAATCATCACGTCCGAGCATTTCAGCCTTTCCCGCCAATGGCTCTGGGGGCCGAGACAAAAAGTCGTTCAGCCTCGCTGACGAGCATCCATTACAACAACTGCGCGGTCTTTCGAGGGCAGCATAACACCCTCCCATATCAAGCAGAATGGCGACGGTCGGGGATGGCCCCCGAGCTGGCAAAGCCAAAGACTTCGAGTATGCATGCTTCTCTCGGTCTTTCCTGACAATCTTTTGACAATCGTCACTGACTCCCCCTCCAGCATAGTCGCAACTTACTACCGTCTCCTAGCTGAAGACCCCGATCTCACAATGCCAGTCGCTGCAATTGAGGCTCTCATTGAGCTACTCGTCCAGTCTCGCGCCGTTACCATCTACGAAACCCTCGACCTAGTTAAGACTCAGTCCGATTACCTCAAGTCGCGCGTCCCCAACTCCATCTCCCTATCTGCCGGAACAGACCTTTTTCAACGCTATATTATATCTTCGTTAAAACCCACCAGTACGGGCAGTTTTGAGGCCGTCAGACAGCATCTGTTAAGTAATGGTCGGCTGTTTGTCAGCCGGGCCAAGGCAGGGAGGGAGAGGATCGCGGCGTACGGCAGACACTTCGTAAGAGATGGGAGTGTGGTTCTTACCCATGGCGGCTCAAGGGTTGTGGGGGCGTTATTGGCAAAGGCAGCGGAAGCGAGTGCAAGCGGTGGAAACGTGCGATTCAAAGTTATTTATGTAATGAACGATGCGCGGAGCTCAGAAAGCAAGACGGTAGTCTCGGCCTTAAGGGCTAAGGGTGTACCTGTTGCTACCATATCAGAGGGGGCGGTGGGCTATGCTATGGGAAAGGTCAACCTCGTGATTGTCGGTGCTGAAGGTGTGGTTGAGAACGGCGGAGTTATTTCGAGATTGGGCACATATCAAATTGCTTTGCTAGCAAAGGCTGCGGGCAAGCCATTTTATGTCGCTGCAGAGAGCCACAAGTTCGTCAGACTTTATCCTCTCGGACAATACGACCTTGGCATCGATCAAGAAGTGATTGATTTCAGAACTGAGGATGAGAAGGATCCGGCACAAGAGGAGGGGAAATCGACGGGCACGGTCCCAAAGCCGGAGGAGAAATCAGAAGGCTCACCCAGCTCCCCCGCGCAGCCAAAACAGGCTGTGGATGCTGTTGACTTTACGGTAAGATAGATGGGCGAGAGGTATGAATATTGCTAATTCGTGAATAGCCACCCGCTCTTGTATCAGCATTGCTCACCGAAACTGGTGCGCTGACGCCTAGCGCCGTTAGTGAGGAACTTATCAGCGTCTGGTATTGAGCTGGGCAGCACAGCAGGCAAATCAAGTCTCGAGAGACTGATGGTCTTCTCATAAACAGAAAACTTACCCAGTCGCTGTTGCCGGTTCCTACCTAACGGAGTCAACTGTATTACCTAATCAGGTTTTCGACTCTAACGGCTCTGCGAATACTATGATAGATTGATGGAGGCGCCTATCTCCAAGAATTGTCTATTCGTGTTATATCTAGGATGTTATTGCGACATGGATGTGGGTATGATTTGACGAAGTAGCAAGACTTCATAGCTTTTGCTACTTTAAGTAGAGAATACAAATCCCTTCCTAGGGACCTATTCAAACCTCACTATTGTATCAAGTTTTATGCGTCTATCTTGACACAAGTGTTCAATTGTAGAGAAGCGTCGCAGGCACCTGTACTAAATTGCACGGAGTATTTCTCAAATGGATCTAAATTCAGTTCTCTGGAGTTTCTTTTGCACTGTATATACGTAATTGTAGCTTATAAGGTAGATGGAAATTAGAGAAGTGACCAATCGTCGTCGGCCTCGCTTAGGTCCTACCAAAGTTCAGCTGCAAGACGACGACGATCCTCTCCTATGCCACTGTTCCATTGCTATCAAGCCCCCCAATGAAGAATCAGAGTCAGCGGAGATCAACCTGATAAAGCTCGCAAGTGCTAGCGGATATCTTCAGGGCATCCATAAAATCACAATGCATGCATACGCCCAACATCAAAACCCAGTTCCTGTCACTGTATCGCTAAGGACAGAGGAGGATGACCCCAGAGACAAGACAGCGCGTGCGTTCTTCTATTTGTCGTCCAATTCTTGATCTTGATCTATGTCACTTGGGACCTATGCACGCTACAACAAGCTCCAAGGCAAACGCAGTGGCTAGCTCGCGCGCCTGTGCATTCGTGACGCGCGACCCCCAGTAATCAAGCTGTGCAGATATCTCATTATCGTCATCATCGTCGATACCAAGTAAGATATCATACTAGAAGAATGCGTATTTGTATTAGTTATGGTGGACTGACTGTATCTGCAGAAGTGGACTTACGGCAAAAGGATCAATGGTGGTTGTTACATTCAAACTCAATGGAGAATCGTTGGCCTCCTGTTTCGATGTCGAACGCGCAAACTTGCGGTGGTTGATTACCGTATTGAACAGTTCTTGTCCAGGAAGATGACCATGGAGGCGTTCGTAGTACTCAAGGTAGGAGAGACCTCGGTGGGGCAGACAGCTGATGAAGCTTTCGTGGCATTGCTTCAAGATGCTCACTGTGGACGCGCCCTCATCCACATGGAGACGGTGGGCGAGTATACCGAAAACGGGTCCGATGATCTTCTCTACGCCCTCCATCTCGATGTCTCGATTAGACACGACATACCCAAAAGTAACTTCATCGTTGCTCGTATATCGACGCACGGTGCTGGCCCAGGCGCTTTGAATAAGAATTGGGATAGTTACCCCGTGCTGAAGGCACAGTTGTCTTAGCAGCACCATGCTAGGGATGGGGATTGTCAGTGAGCGGAAATCGCTAAAACCAATCCCGGAACCTTTAGTTGGCACCAGACAAGGCATCAGACCTTCTAAGTGGTGAGACCAGAACTGCATAGAGTCGTCGATTGACCTGGTCTCAAGATGATACTGAAAGTCCCGATATTGTGGGCCTACAGACGCCGAAGGGATACCAGAATAGCACGATGCAATACACTCGAAGAGCTCATCGACACAACCACCATCCAAGAGCGCATGGCTAATGTGAAGCGTACAAGTGACGCTGTTTTCTCTAGTCTCTCCAATGAGGAGCTGACAGGCGGGCAGATGCCTACGAGAATTCTGCAATAGGTCGCCTACCTGCTGGTAAGCAGATTGGTCATTGCTGCTAATGTAATGCACCTCCGGCTGATGTTTCTCGAGGACGAATTGATACCACTGTTTGCCATTACTAGGAAATGGCACGAGAACGGTTCGCAAGATGGAGTGCTTGGCAACCGTCTGCTCCCAAGCTCGCACCAGACGGTCGACCTCAATTGCCCCATCAGTCATTCTAGCCTTGAACGACATGTATGGTTGGAACACTTCGTGGCCCAAACGATGTGCGGTCAGAATGAACTGTTGAGTAGGCGTGCACCTGCGCAAATCGGCACAATCGACCTCAGCGAATTGGGGAACTTCTTTGCAAATAGCAGCAAGCAAGTCTGAGTCAAGACATTTTGGAGCAGCGCGGTATGTAGCCACGGGCGACTGGGCGCCCGCCTGATTCGTCAACATATGTTGCATAACTGTTGCTAGGTCGCAAAGCCTGGGTTGCCGGAAGACATCAGCAACAGTGACATATAGGCCTTCTTCCCGCGCTGATGAGACGAAGGAGACGGCTCTGATAGAGTCACCACCAAGCTGGAGAAACTTGTCTTCAGAAGAAATATCATCCGCATTGACGTGCAAGATTGTCGACCACAAGCGTTGAACGGTCTTTTCCATTGGGCCCGAGGGCGGAACTCGTGTCTTCCTAGGCGTGCCCATGTGTTTGGCCAGTTCGCCCTTGGACATCGCTGAGGCAGTCAAGCGAAGTCCCTTTCGATCGAGCTTCTTTGATGGTGTCATTGGAATCTCTGGCAATGGTACTAACAAAGATGGCACCATATAAGGTGGCAGGTGGTCCTGTAGCCTCTCAATTACATAATTTCTCAGTCCATCCATCGCATTGGACGTTAAATCGAGTTTTATGGCAACGAAGATAGCGAGATATGTTGTTTCCTGGTCATCGGCAGGACTGAATACGTCAACAGCACTTTTGTAGACATCCGAGGCATTCAGCTTTGATTCTAGCACTTTGCTGACAAGGTGCTCAACTTCCTCGAGTTCGACACGTTGTCCACGGATCTTAACTTGTCCGTCTCTGCGCCCAAATATCTGCATGCTCCCATCAGAATTGTACCGTACCAGGTCGCCAGTCTTATAGAGCCGGCGCAGAGGCTTGACTGGATCGTCTGACAGCCAGTCCTGTATTTCTACAAATGCACTGGCTGTTTGGTGCGGCTGATTGAGGTACTCTCGGGCTAAGACTGGCCCTTCTACAAGCAACTCACCAATTACTCCGACTGGAGCGAGCCTTGTGTGATCTGTGATTTCGGCAATCCAGCTTAGGCCTCCAATCATATTACCGATGTAAGGCAATCCATGAGGACCCAAAAGCGTACCGGCTGTACTCAGTGAGGTCTCAGCTGGCCCCGATATGGTCATCAGCTCGCTGACATGTGGCGACCATAAATCCACATCACCCTGCGTGATAGCTTCGCCGCCCAGGCAAAGCGTCTGGAGGCCTGAGAGTTTTGCTGGCTTTAGATGCCGAGCAAACGAAGGCGTGAAAAATGCCCAGTTACATTTGAAACGCGAGAAGGAACCCTCTACCTCGTTCAACCGCTCTTCTTCTGATGGGATACATACAGTACCACCTGACACTAGCGTTGCTAGGGTTTCGATGACACACATATCGAAAGTAAAAGCAGAAAACTGGTACACCCGAGATTTGTCACTGAGGTTGATTGCACTTCCAAGAGCTGCATAGCTGGTGCTTAACGACTGGTGCTCATGGACAATTCCTTTCGGCGTCCCTGTTGACCCACTCGTAAAAATGATGAAAGCCGCATCTCTGGGGCAGACGTTGCTTAGCAAGGGTCTATTTGCATCTGCTACCGATGCAGCTGAAGACTTCGGGCCCACCGGAAAAGCTCGAGGGGCCAGTGACAAGGCGGTGTCATAGTGTGCAGGTCCGCAGACAATTACTTTCGCTTTCGCCTCTTCGCAGATCTTCTGCATTCGAGTAAGGGGGTGATTGACCAAATCCAAAAATACACAGGTAGCCCCCGCCCGGAGAACAGCCAGCATAGAGACCACGGCCCATAACGACTTGTCGAATAGTAGCGGGACGATATCCCCGCATATCAGATTCTCTTCCTGCTGCAGATGCAAGCCAACGAGACGAGAATGCTCCTCGAGCTGAGCGTATGTGAGGTCACCATCCCATGCGCACACAGCCTGAGCTGCTGGCGTGTATATGCATTTCTCCAAGACCAAGTCATGCACGCAGGCTTCGACAGACTGAGGAAGATCGCGGTTCCAGGACGCAATTTGAGCTATATCTTGCGGACTTGTCGTTGTGATCTCTTTGACAGTGCATTCATTCAGTGAGCAAAGCTGCCTCATGACATGACAGAATTGAGAAAGAAGATGAGAGACATTGAACTCTGATATGACTTGTGTGTCGAAGCCGGCCTTCATTACGAGGCCGCTTGCTGTCAGCTGACACTCAATATTCAGCGGGTGCGTGTTGATATCAGGCTGATCTAGTGAGATGTCACGCAATATGGAATTTTCTTGGTCGTCGTTGCTGGACTCCACTGGCTGCACTACAACCAGCGTTTGAAATGCACAAGCATCTTTAGCTTCAGGGCTAGCATCTCTGATGTGTTCGAGACCATATTGTTCATACTCGGTCTGCTCGATTGATTGATCCAAGATCTTGTGCAAGAGCACATCTTTAGTATTGGAAGGATCTAGTCGCACAACCACAGGCACTGTTGCGAAGGTTGGGCCGGAGATAGTTTCGATGCCCAGGAGATCTGCTTTCCGGCCAGAAGTTGTTATGCCAAGGCTCACATGGTCGCACTCCGTATAACGTGATATGACAATCGCCAAAGCTGCATATATTACATTCGATATCCCTACGTGAGGGGCGTACTCCTGCCGAATCTCCAGAGAGCGCTCCAGCCTCCGGTTAGGTTGTGGGAGATAGTTCGATCCAGGAAGTCTTGGAAAGTGAACTGGGGCAGCACCGGTGAATGTTTGTCTCCAAAACATACAACACGCCTGCCCCGATTTCTCCTTCACGTGGTGTATGAACAGACTGTACGGCGCGGTTGGCGTAGGAGGACGGCCCCGGAGCAAATCATCTAGCTGTTTGTGCAATAGATTCATGGACCAACCGTCGTATAGCGCGTGGTGTATTGTCCATAACAGCAAGCGCCTACCTGTCCGAGTATCGTACGTAGATCCGAAGCGACATAAGCTTGCTCCAAGTCCCATGCTATTTGACAGAATAGCGTGCGAGTTGGGTTCAAAACCCTCTTCAGCCCTCCATTGGAAGTCATCCTTTAGTACCACTTGGTAGAAAGCTGAATTTGTGTGCACTATACGAGTGCGCAGAATTGGGTTGTTTTGTACAAGCTTGTGGCAGGCAATTGAGAGCCTATGGACATCCAAGTCAGGGGGGAGTTCAAAGACATTGTTGGAAATGTAAGACCCAGGGTGTTTCAAAGACAAAGCCATTAATCCCCCTTGTAGATGCGAGCATGGGTAAATGTCCTCGATTGATGAGTCCTCGACTCCACAGCATTTCGCTGCTTCACTTATCAGGATGGTTTCATCCTGTTCGTCGGGTATCAAAGAAAAAGATGATGGGGCTTGTGCAGCGATTCCCAGACGTATCATGCGCTGCGACATACGCTCTAACGAGTAATATCTCGTGATATCAGCCACGGTGAGGCTCCACCCTTTGTTTCGAGCCAATGTTGTCAGTCTAATTGCTTGTATAGAGTCGCCGCCCATACGGAAGAACTCATCGTCCAATCCTGTTATCACCGTTAGAATTCTCCACTTAGAATTGGACTCTGCGTATACCTATGTTGCCTTTCTCTATTCTGAGTACCTCGGACCAGAGAATCTGTAGTTCTAGTTCGATTTCCGTCTCCGGTGGACGCTTTTGCCTGCTCGTGCCTGCTGCTGCCAGGAATTCCGCCTCTGTTAGGTTAAATACCGACTGTTTGAGCTGTCTCCGGTCAACTTTGTCAGAGCTTGTAAGCGGCAGCTTCTGAAGCTCCAGATACAAAGATGGAAGCATGTATGAGGGAATCCGCCCCGCTAGAGCTTGGCGAAGGTTAACAATACGTGGATCAGCCTGAGCTGGGCTACTACCCGTGTCTTCTATTCCCGTGTCGCCTCTAGAAAAGACGATGAAAGCCACCAACATTTGCTGATGAGATTCTGGATTGCGGGTAGCGACCTCAACAATGACTTCTGCTGGCTCCAACAAACAAGACTGGATATGATGTTCGATCTCAGACAGCTCAATGCGCTGGCCATAGAGCTTGACCTGCTGATCCTTGCGGCCAATGTATTCTATTGTGCCGTTGGAGCAGTACCGTACGAGGTCACCCGTCTTATACATTCTGCGTGGGTACTGATGGTCATCATTCCCAGCATTAGAGGGCTCCATTGCACGGAGCCAAGATGGCGGATCAATGAAAGCTGCACGAGTCTTCTCATCGTCGTTCAGGTATCCGCGACCTACGTTCGGGCCGTCAAGAATTAGCTCGCCAATGCACCCTACAGGTACCAGGCGCTCATGATTGATAGGGTCGACGATCCACGTCCGGCATGCCACACCTCGGCCAATATGACCGCCATAGAGCTCAGGTGTCGAGGACACACAGCCCGTGGGGCAACACTCACTTGGGCCGTACGTATTCGTCAGCCTTACGCAGCTTCCATATGTCTGCACCAAGGCGTCTGTCATCTGCTCACCACCAATGTATAGGTCTGTGAGGGTCTTTAGTTGCCTGGGGTCTATAAGCCGTGCAAGGGAAGGCGTGAAGACGCCCCAATGTACCCCCATTCTGTTCATCGCACCAGTCAGGTCGTTTGAAATCTCGTGTTGCGACGGCATACAGACTGTTCCTCCAATCATCAACGGCATCAGCATCTCTTCGAGACTTGAGTCAAAGCTATAAGCCGAAGAGACCAAACCACGCCAAGTGCTTTGTGCATTGGTCTTTCTAGCTAAAGCGTCGATGTAGGTGCAAAACGAACGGTTTTCAATCATTATCCCTTTTGGCGCACCGCTCGTTCCACTTGTGAACACCACGTAAAGGAGGTCCGATGGCGCATATCTAGGATGCATTGCATGTGTCCCATTTGTTGTCACCTGAACTTGTTGGACCGGCTTGGGCGAGTTTCTCCTTGCTTTCAAGAAATCCTCGACAACGATTGCAGCCGGAAGGAGCTTTTGGGATAGCTTTAAACACTCTCTGGAACTCAATATTATGGGTGAGTTTGTTTGGGATACAACGCTTTGCAGTCTTTCAATAGGATGTGTGGGGTTCAAGAGTACAAAGGCTCCACCGGCTTTGTTGACCGCGAGTACTGTGACTACAACCCATTTGCTTCGTTCGAAAGAGACCGGGACAATGACTTCTGGCCCAATACCGAGTTGCGCCAGATGCTGGCTGAGATGAGAAGAAAGAGTGTCCAGTTCTTTGTAGGTGAAGTTGCCGTCCCACGAGCATACAGCCTCTTTGCTTGGGGATAGAGCGCACCTCTCTTCTATCACTTCACATACGCGTCGATCAATAGCGCTCGGATAGCTGGCATTCCATTCCCAAATGAGAGATTTGTCTGCAGTACCCGCCAAATCAATTTCTCCAAGATGTTGGTCCCACGGTGCATTACGAAGTTGTTGAATGATGCTGTCTAATTGCAGGAGTACCCGTTCTGCTGAGGAGGAATCCAGGACTCCTGAATCGAAGAATGCCTTCAATAGAGCCGTGCCTGATTCAAATTTACAGTCAATGGTCAATGGGTATGTTCCTGCGTCGGATAGCTCTTCATAAGTGATCTTAATGCCACCTAGGTCTACCTGCTCTTCAAGTGGCTGAGTGATAAGGAGGCATTGGAAGTCGCAAGCGATTTGTGTGTCCTCGCTGAGCTTTCGTATATTTTGCAAGCCCAGGGCCTCATACGGCATCATTTCAAGCGCCCGTTTCTGTACTTGTTCAAGAAAATCCGAGACGCTGCGATTCTCGTCAATCTGGATCCTAATGGGCACTGTTGAGAACGTTGGCCCAATGATTGTTTCTATCCCTTCTATCGCAGCGTTACGTCCTGAAACAACCGTGCCGAATACTGTATCATCAGTGTTGCTGTACTTGGAGATGAGAATTGCAAGCGCAGCACGAACGAGAGTAGAGCTCGTAAAAACATCTCTGGGGGCCATTGATATCCTTTGCTGCACGCTCTGGACAGTTCCGGGTCCTTGTAAAGACCTGGAACGAGTGGGAAATACAGGTGCCTCGACCTCTCGCAGCTGCTCTTTCCAGTACGTCTCGGACTTTTCCACGTCCTGCTCCTGCAGATAGCTTATGAAATGATTGAAGCCTGTATGGGTGTTGCTCTGTTGTCCTGCGGCTATACGACTAACTTCTTGGACAATCAGCGCTGCTGACCAGCCATCGTAGGTGCAATGATGCGCAGTCCATGAGAGGCTGCAAGAGCTTTCACTATCGCGGTCGAGGATTATTGCGAATCTGTTAAGCCTAGAACCCACGTTCATTGGTAGGGATTTGTCTTCATGCAAATACCGGTCATAATTATCCGCATGATTCCAGATCAGGTCCTCGTCAATTACAACTTGAACGAGCCCCTCATCCGTTTCGATGATCCTGGTGCGCAATATTGCGTACTCTCGATAGGCTTGCTCCCAGGCTTTCATGTAAAGAGCAGGAGACATCGTACGGGGTATCTCGATTACTGTCTGTGCTACGTATGCTCCTTCATGGCGGAGTGACAGAGCGAGCAGACCCTCTTGAAGTGGTGTGCAGGGATACGCGTCTTGGATTAACTCTTCCGTCAATCCGCACTGCTTAGCTGCTATTTGGCGTACCTCTGCCGGGGCCTTGAGAAGAGCAAATGGCGGTATAATATCCTGAGACTTACTTACAAGAGGCTTGGATACATTCGCCATTTCGGAGAGCTGCTGATGCTGAAGAATGTCTGCAACGGTCAAGTGCAGACCGCTCTTACGAGCGAGAGTGACGAGCTTCATGGCCTGCGCAGAGTCACCGCCCAGTCGGACAAATTCGTGATCTGCACTGATGGCTTGATAGTTCACACCAAGGATGGTTGACCACAGGGTTGCGAGTTGCTTCTCAGCCTTCGTCGAAGGTGGTCTTCGGATATGACCATTACCTAGAATGCTCGACTCAAGTGGGTATGAGCTTAGATATTCTGTGACTATTTGTTGTAGCATCCGGCGGTCCAGCTTTCCAGACACTGTAAGTGGCATGCGTTGTACTGGTATAAATCTTGTTGGAACAAGTAACGATGGTAGGGACTGCATCAAGGCTGGGCGCAACTTCTGTACGACCGCTTCAAAGTCCGCATTGAGATCCTGAACTGCATGCATTTTTCCATTAGAGAAGCCATTCGACTCCAAGTGAAAGTCGTCCTGCAACTCTCTGGACGAGGAGTCCGTGCTTAAACATATCGAGGCAACAAGCGTTGTCCGAGTGGGAGGGAAATCAGGGAGAACGTGTGCCGCAACTTGCGCGCTCAATGGTAACAATTTCTTCATGTGATACTCAATCTCTCCGAGCTCTACACGTTGTCCGTTTAACTTGACCTGCGTATCTTTCCGCCCTAGAAACTCAATCGTCCCATCCTCAGCATATCGGACCAAATCTCCGGTGCGATAAAGCCTCTCCGGCGGTGGATGTAATGCTCGCATATCCTGTAGCCACTGAGGAGGGCTGATAAAGGCCTCGGCAGTCTTTATTGGGTCATTCAGGTACTCTCGAGCCAAGTTGGGACCCTCAATGAGAAGTTCTCCAATAGCACCAACTGGGAGGAGCTGAGATGGATCCTCCACATCGGTAATCCAAGCTCTTCCACAAGCCGGACGACCAATGCTGCGCGAGAATTGGCCAGGTCGTATCGGTTTGGTTGTAAAAGTCCAGACCAGGCATTCAGTAATGCCGTAGACATTTATCAAATCAAGCCTTTCCGCCCATTTATCAACAAGAGTAGCTGTCAATGCCTCACCACCTACGCAAAGAGTTCGTAACGATGGAACTTCTTGAGGCTCAAGCTGTTCAGCAACTGTAGGTGTTAGGCAAACATAATTCGCGTTCAGAGATCTGATACTCCTGGCGAGATCGTTCAGCCGGTCCCAATCAGAACACACGCAGAGCACAGCGCCCTGCATGAAGGTGCCATATATGTCGCTCATGCTCGTGTCAAATGTATAAGCGGCAAACTGCAGGGTTCGCGACTGCGCGGTGATGCCCATGGCTCTGCTGTGCTCGCGAATACTGAAGCAGAGCCGACCATGTTGCTGAATGATGCCTTTGGGCCGCCCCGTGCTCCCAGAAGAGTACATGAGGAAAGCCGCGTCCTCTGGCTTTGCTCGAGCGACATCTTTGTATGAGTTCTGGATCAATCCAAGCTTTGAAATGAGAAGTGTATCGGCGACGACGGTCCTGACGTTCGCCCCAGTTGCGAAGATCCCGGAATATATGCTGGATGCCACAGCAAAATGTGCCTGCGTGTCTTCCAGCACTGTCTCAAGGCGCTTGCTGGCATTGCTTGGATCCAGAGGGACGCAGATGGCGCCAGCTTTGAGAATTGCTGTGATAGCAACAATGGCCAATCTGCATTTTTCGAACACCATCAAAACGAATTCTTGAGGCTGTACGCCCATAGTGATTAGATGGGTGGCGAGGCTGGAAGATAGTTGGGAAAGCTCGGCATAGGTGAGAGAGCCATCCCAAGCTTGGACCGCAATGGAATTGGGAACCAGCTGGGCTTGTCTATCAACGATCTCATGAACACAGCATTCCATTGGAATATCCACTGAATTGTTCATTGAGGCGATCAACTCCCGATCAGCGACGTTCACTGCTTCAATCATTGCAGAATAGATGATTCTCGGACGACCAAGAATCCCTCCAACCTTCAAGTTCCAGATTTGACGACTTGGTCTCTAAACTTGGAGCCGTCTCTATCGTTGGTCTTGAGCAGATGAGTCGATGGATAGGAAGAGTATGGAGATTTTACTGATACAGAGATAGACCAATGTTGTCCATCTAGATTTCCCTTTCTCGTTGTGAATATCCAGTTCAGCAGTCACTTCAGCTTCTTGCTCATGCAGACCACTTACAAGCACGATACGGTTAGTGGTTCCCATCCCTCTTTGATTCTCCTTGCAGGCCTTATTACGAGATAGACTAACATTGCACGTATTGTCTGTGCAACGTCCCCTCCCCTGATGGTCGTGTAACGACCCAAGACATTTCTATCGAGGATACAGCTGAGGTAAGTCAACTTAACCGGGGTGATCTTGACTCTTCCGAGTACACCTATTAATCTTACGTGATAGTACCTACGGTAGGCAGTAAGTAACATGTATATTTGTATGCTAACTTCAAGGCATGTGAGTATCAAATAACAGGTTAAGGAAAATTGAGATCATAGTAACTACTACTATTCCCAACCACCTCAGGTACTGCATGTCGCTGGAGTCGTATACAACGAAGTTTGTTTGATAGGTGTACTCCCAAAGCCCGAAAGGGCTGATCTAGATGGTGGGGCCGGGCCGGAACGCAAGCCTGGGCAACGCCACTGCCGGCACTTCCACTACTTTGGGCAAGGCTATGCGGGGAATATGCGGGGCGTAATTCACCCGATCAATATGATGTTACGGTACAGAGATACATACAGGTACACAGGTGGTTGACGGTGATGGCGCCACCATCCCTGGGCGTGGAATCATGGAGAGACCCCTGGATCGTGCATTGCAGAGTATTATGTTCTGGAGCAAATACGGTAAGCCGAGTATTACTATTTTACCATGGCGTTCCAAGGATCGATAGCCAATCAACAGTCAACTACGGAGGGCATGCCGAATCTCTGGGGTACCGCTGATCCTCGGGGCGTCAGGTCCGCACTGAACAAGGATTAATTGACTCGAAATCGGAGGCCTGATCTGCGTGGATCATCAACGATTTGACTCTTGCCCTATAGGAAGCAGCGAGAGACACCGAGCAATTCATGATCACAAGAAGCAATGGGAGAAAACAGTGAGATTGAGACCAGGTTGAATTGGATGATTGGCTTTTACTAGGTCTGAGTGCATCACAAAGGCGCAAAGCGCGCCCAGAGTTTGTCTTCGAGCGAACCAGCTGGATGCTGACCGAAAGAAGCCTGATCAACGACTGTCGATCTGAAGTTGGTGAAGATGACGACTAGGATGTAGCGCATGACTGGGGAAGCCAATGCAGTCAGCATTTAAGTATTTCAGACGGCCAGAAACAAACCAATGCCTCCTTCATTGGATGCGAAGACCACGAAGAAGTTTTACGGGAGTCAGACTTACCATACTGAGTGAAATGCTCGCCGATGCACATCCTCGGTCCGCTTCCAAAAGCCCAGAGGCGGCTTTCGTTACCCCCCTTCTCACGCTTGCTCTCATCTAGCCACCTCTCCGGTCTCCATTCGTCCACTGCCTGCCACTTGGATGGATCGCGGTGTACAAGCCATTGAAAAGCGTTTACGCGTGTTGCTGGGGGAATATCGTGATATCCTGCAAGCGACACAGAACGGTCGTGTGGCGTCACTCGTGGCAATGGTGTGCTATTTGGGCGCATCCGCAAGGACTCCTTGAGCACTGCCGAGAGATACGGAAGCTTGTCCAACGAGGAAGGTGACGGCATTGGTGCTTGCTCTGCATCCTCGCCGCCAGATGGCACTCTCATGGAAATCCCCGCCGAGACGAGCTCTGCCCGGATCCGATCTTGCGCATGTGGATGTTTGGAGATATAGTAGATCGTATATGCAAGGACAAGACCCAGCACCTCTCGTGCGCCGGACATATGGTCGAAGAGCTCACTCGCCACTGCTAGACGATCCTGCTGCGCACTGGTTTCTGATGTCAGCTTGGCTTGCGCTGCTTTGACCTGACGGTAGACAAGCGGCGTATCTTCTGGATTCCTGGGAGCGCTGTCCAAAACCACGTCAGCCTGATCACACATTTCCATCATCCAATGTTCCAACCACTGCGTCGATTCTGCGTGGCCCTTGGGCATTAGGTCGATGCCAAGCATGTTAAGGCATTTGGTCGTATTTGGCAATTCCTGGCTCCAGAACGACTCTGAGCAATATCTCTTCTCGTAGTGCTCGAGCCACTCGCGGGTTTCACCTTCCGGACTCTCCAGGAACTTGGAGCCACTTGCATAGCCGAAGATAAATCGAGTAACAAGATCGAGGCTGAGGGAATAGCTCAGCTCGAGTAAGTCCGTCGGCTGTGGTTCCTTTGACTTTGCCAGGAGGTGCGGGACGAATACACCGTACAGCGTCTTTCGAGTCATGATCGTAAGCTCTGCAGATTCGAAAAGTGCAGATTTCGTATAGACGCCGGAGAGTCGCTTTCGGTGGTACGTGTGGTCATGCTTGCTTAGACTGCTGAACGAATTCGTCTTCCTATCCGACCATAAGCCTTCTCGTCTCGATCCCACCAAGAACTGGCCGAACAGTAGAGGGGGGCATACCCATAGTATCTGAAGAAATCGTAGTACCCGGGTTTGTCGAAGCCGCCTCCATAGATCTTACGGATACCTTCGTCGTAGCAGGCCACACTGAGGTCTTTGGGACCCAACCTGACCAGCGGGCCGAGACGCTGGTGAGCTTCATATACAGCACTCAGTTCTTTACCGCGCCACCGAGTCCACAGGATCCAGATGGGAGAGTACCCTGACGACCAGTGGGCGGCGGGGACTTTGGAGAGAGGTGAAAGCAGAGGCGAGATAACGAAGTAGAGAATGATGCTCAGTGCTGCTCCAACACCTGCAATAGCAGGTGATAACAGTGCTTCAATTGCCATGCTTGCCGGCATATAGTGAGATATAATGAATGGGCAGACAGATGAATTTCTGGCCATGAACAGAGATAAGTCCAGCGCAGTCACCAAGATGAAGGGTCCGTTAGCATCTGTCTGAAGTACATTCGAATGCCTCCCTCATTCCTGGCCAAGCAATTTGCGTGTCTCTTGTTTGTCACCGGCGGAGAACAACGAGTCTCTTACTCGACCAGAAGGGTTAGACTCCACCACTACCGGCGGCATCCTGTCTGGATCATCAGTATGATCCTGGCTTCCTCTCTGCCTGGCGGTCTCTCTTTCAGCTCTCATCGTATCCTGCATGCACAGGGACCTCTGGACCCCTTCAGAAATCAGGCTCTTCATCGGTCCCACCGAATGAGGGGAAACAAGGTGATCACGGCCGAATAGCAAGTAACGATAGAATGCGTCAGAAGTGGAACAGCTCCGGCTTCCTCACCTGCATATGTACCTCTATGGATGTCAGTGCCATTCGGTCAGAGGATACATCCCCAGCTAGGTGGCGGCTGATTGGCACAACATCCTGAAAAGCGTCCCCCGCATTCCGTGGTATTTATTTCCCTTAATGTCACCTAAAGGCAAGTAAACCCCACAAAGCTCTGCGATACTGCACCATTGAAATCCTTCCTCAGCAATTCCAATTTGACCTCAGGGAAATTATCCTTCAGTCGCCTCAACCAAGTTCCAACATGAGTTTGACCTGTAGCATTTCTGACCACAAGATCGAGGCAAACGGCCACGCTCCTAAAGCATCGCTGGACCTTGGCTCCAAGTCCCAGCCTGCCTCGAAATGGAAGACCACCGCCCCCGTCAAGGCAACGCCGGAATCCTTCCTCGACTTACTGGAAGGCCGCACTCCTCTAATCCACGAACCTGGCTTTCTCTCTGAGGAACTCTGCGCGAAGCTTGAAGCTGCGCTCGAGCCGGAATTCACCCCGTATCTGCATGCCATCGGCCCCCAGCTAGACAAAGTGGGCGTGGCGCAGTTTGAGTTTCAGGCGCAGAGCGAGGACGACGTGAAGAATAGATCTGGTGATGGTAAGTAGCCGGCCCTCTTCTGTTCTCCATGCTCACTCACGCTCGGATGGATCGACCGTCCATCGCTCGACGAGAAGACGCTTGAGAGGCACAATACCAATACTGCGGTGCTTGAGCTAATCAGAAGGCAGAGAAACAGCAATACTTCCAGGCGGTCCGCGAGCTGGGCGACCTGCACGGCAAACTGGGGGAGAAGGTCGGCGTCAACGTCTTCGCCATGGTCATGAGCCTGATCCGCTCCCTCGTGCCCGCCGACTGGGAAGTGTGCCTAGCACGCGAGGACAGCGAGGACGAGCAGTACTTTGCCGGGATCGTGCGGGGCATCAACAACGGTACGCCAATTCACTGCGACTGGGCGCCGTACGACACCCGAACGGAGCCGTGGGCCATCAGCCGCGTCACTCACCAGGCCGTCTTCAACCTGTGCCTAGCGCCCATGGAGGGCGGCGGGACGCTGGTCCACGATGTGCAGTGGACGCCGGACGCGCTGGCGTACCGGGACCCCGACGGCTACGGCTACTTTGAGGGCCTCGTCGAGGGCCGCAAGAAGGCACCGCTGCAGCCGCAGCCAGGCGATCTGTACTTCTTCAACTCGCGCAACATGCATCAGGTCTTGCCCGTGGCGCCAGGGTGGGAGAGGCGGCGGATGGCGATGGCGAGCTTCTTTGGCGTTCTGCCGCCGTTGAAGGAGGGCGAGAAGACAAAGCTGGTTTTCTGGTCTTAGACTTGGAGGAGATGATCAATATAAGCTTTATGGGACCTCTGTAGACAGACGCCTTATATAGTACAGTACTGTACGGTACCGTAATAGATCGTTTATCGGCCTTAAGATAAGATAAGCAAGAGTCCGGGGTTCTCCTGACTAATCGTCTAGCCAATGCGCCATTAGTAAGTAACACGGGGGATCGGGCCTAGCGTCCGCCGGAAGGATAGTATTTCCATCGCCGATGGTTGGTTCTCAACTTCAGCTGAATCGCTCACTTTTTGACTGATCCTCCGCTCCACAAATCCTGCACAGTCGATCAGTCAAGATGTGAGCAGCGTTCTGATTCGGCGACTATTGCATGTATTACTTGACCCGTTAGTACTGCATATACATGTAAGTACATCGCCCGGGCACGTTCCGGGGCGAATCCTGGAGTAAGCCCTTGTCGCTTTTCCTCATGTACGGTACCTAAGTACCTTTCTCTTGCGCCATGGCGTGGGGCTGCTGTTATAGGCTTATACGGGGTAGTACAGGCAAAAATCGCCTTCCCCTCGCTTTACATCGGCCGACGCTCTTGATTCCTGCTTCATTTTTCTTGATTCCCACGCTCTTCCAACATATATTCTCATTTGCGGCGGCCACTTGAGAAACCTCATGTTCATGTGAAGCTCAAGCGTCAGTCAATATTCAGATGCTGAACATGCCCGCCGTCGCCCCTGAGAGCATCTTGTCGCTCGCGTGTGCCTTCCTGACTGCTGCGCGAGCCTACTATGAAGCCTCGGGGTCACTGTCACTGCAGAGCCTGCGGGCGCGGCGCTTTGGCTACAGATACAGCCATCTCTCTCATCCTGAAGGATACAGTGACAAGGATGGGGATGCGGACTCGGACACATTGGCACGGTATTCTGATAGACTGCCCAAGACGCTTGCCGCAGTCTTTGTTACGGTGGACTTCATCTTTGTGACTGTACGGATGGTGGCTACTACACTGCCTTCACTGTCTTTGTTGGAGGTCGTAGCACGCGTGAGTTGCGCCATATCCGGTTCTGGACAACAAGTTTATGCAGTACTGACGTGTATGTTAGCTGCTAATAGCAGGTGAGATAGCATTGCTCTTTGTTGTCTCGAGTCCGGTCAAGAGGTTCAACATTGGATACTGCGCCGGCATTGCTTCCGGTATCAGTTCATCCGTCTCGCTTTATCGGGTATATCAGATATATCGGTCGGCAGAAAATGGGCAGCGAAGCATCAGTGTCGTTCTTCTGGGCGAAGTCTTATGCCTTTTGTTAGCCGGAGCATGTGCATTTTCTCTCCCTCGGAGACCTGACGTTTTTTATCGCGGACGACCCGTAGACCAGCAATACACTGTCTCGGCGATCCAAAGGTACCCGGCTCTAGGCGTATCGGTGTATCACTATTTTGAATACTGACCGCGACCCACTAGGTACTCCTTTTCTTGGGCGCGATCACTTCTCTCCAGAGCCAAGACTGAGGGAAGACTCGAATATGAACATCTACCGACACTAGATGAAGCCGGTCGGTCGGAGAACTTGTTAGTTCGTCTGTTTGAGCTAACCAAGCAGAGGAAATCCAGATCGCTCTGGCTCACAATATTCTTAGCGCACCGAGGAAGGTTTCTCCAACAATGGGGCCTGACCGTGGCTTCGGGCTTTGCCTTGTACGCCCCTCAAATGTGCATGCTCAAAATCCTGAGACTGCTTGAGCAACGAAATGCCCCCGACTTCAATTCTTCTGAAGTCTGGTTCTGGGTCATGAGCTTGGGTCTGGCGAAGGTAGCACAAGTGGTGGTCGAATCATGGTAGGTCGATGAGGAAACCTAATTTCGAATGGCAGTTGATTTCTTGCGCAGGCTAGAGTGGGTCAACTGGGCGATCCTATCGGTTCCAGTGCGGTCACAACTGGCTGCTCTGATATTTCAGAAGTCCTTACGTACGAAAGACATCAAGGGTGCCAAGGTCAGCAATGAAAAGGAGGCACAACCGAATCCGACGGATTTGGAAATGGACGATGAGTTGGGTGAGAACCAGGTGTTGTTAGATCACCTGTCAACAGGTCCAAGGACGTCTGAGGATCAAGGGCCCACCGTGACTGGGGTTGAAGACGACGATGCTTCATCTAGCATACACCAAGGATTTATCAATTTGGTCGGTGTCGATACTGTCCGCATATCTAACTTCGCAGCGGAAAACAATCTATTCCTTAGCACCCTCGTCAACCTGATATTGGCGCTTGTGATACTCTTCAGACTCCTTGGTTGGCTCGGCGTGTGTGCGGGCATGATCATGCCAATACTTCTGACGCCGTTAAATCTCCGGGCGACTCGCAAGTATTCAGATGCTCAGGCCTCCGTCATGTCAATTCGTGATCAAAGAATGGCACTTATCGGAGAGGCACTGCAGGGGATCCGCCAGATCAAGTTTGCCGCTGTAGAAGATCGCTGGCAAGGTATGATTATGGATATCAGGACCAGAGAGCTGAAGCAGCAGTGGCTCGTGTACATCCTTACCAGCGGTCTGCTTTGTATCTGGATGTCTGCGCCGCTCTTGTTCAGCACTGTGGCACTCGCGGTACATGGTTGGCAGAATGGTGGGATGTCTCCAGCTGTCGCTTTTACTGCTCTATCGATCTTTGGTACTCTTGAATATGCCTTAAGTGTTGTTCCTAACCTCATTACAGAGGCTGTTGATGCCAATGTGAGTGTTACGAGGATAGAGCAGCACCTCGAGAGAGAAGAAAAGACGATGCCACAGATGACGGGGGAGGTTGTCAGTTTTGACGGAGCCACAGTCAGATGGCCTTCTGACGCTGAGCGTCGCGGCACTTTCTCAATCCGAGATCTTAATCTACAATTTCCCAAGGCCGAGCTGAGGTGTGTCCCGCCCAACCCACCAGACGTTGGCTCCTAGATTCGATTGTATTGTTGACTGTTTACAGCATCATTTGCGGAAAGACAGGATGCGGGAAAAGTCTGCTACTAGCCTCCATTCTAGGTGAATCGGACGTTATTGCAGGCAGTATCAAGCTGCCAGCGAAGCAGTCTTCTGTAGAAGAAGACTGGATCGATCACTCATTAGTCGCATATGTAGCTCAAATTCCATGGACAGAGAACGCGACTATCCGCGACAATATCTTATTCGGTCTTCCATATCTGCAAGAGCGTTACGAGCAGGTTATCTGGGCGTGCGCGCTTGAGAAAGATATCGAAATCATGCCAGATGGTGAACTAACGGAGGTAGGAGCCAATGGGATCAACCTAAGCGGTGGTCAGAGGTGGAGAATAACATATGCGAGGGCTTTATATTCGCGGGCAGGTACGCTGGTGCTAGATGACATTTTCAGCGCTGTTGATGCGCATGTTGGCCGCCATATCCTCGAGCATGGGCTTCTAGGACCGCTTGCAGAGGGCCGCACTCGTATACTGGCGACCCACCATGAGGGACTTGTCTTGTCTAGCGCATCATATGTCGTCCGTCTGCTCGGGGCTGACGACGGATCCAGTATTGCTCAAGCGACTACCCAAGTGCCTCGGCGTAGGTCCAGAGGCGTGTCTGGGACTTCAAGTACGCAGACAAGCCCAACCCGGAAAGTTAGCGACAGCTCAGACTTCTCCTTGGAAGAGTTGGGGATCGAGCCGCCACAGCCGGCAAAGTTTGTCGAGGAAGAAGTGCGAGAGCGTGGGCACATCAAATGGCTTGTGTACAGATCTTACATGAGTGCTGCTGGAGGGTTTCCTTTCTGGTTTACGGCTTTGGGCGTATTCGGTTTGGCTCAAGCCGCGCTATTGGGACGCGCATGGCTTGTGAAGGTGTGGACTGAAGATGATGGACATGGCAGTCATGTTACGGTTGCGAGTGAGGACTCCTCTGCGACATTTGATTCGAGCAGCGGCCACTTATACTTTTACCTTGGCTCGTATCTATTTATCTCACTTTTGGCTGCCGTGCTCGCTGGGATCAAGTTCGTCTTCTTTTGCCGCGGCTGCATAGAGGCATCACGAAAGCTGTTTGACGCATTTACTTTCACTGTATTGCGCGCTCCTCTAAGATGGCTTGATAAAGTGCCGCAGGGAAGGATCCTCAACCGATTTGCCGCAGACTTCAGCGCGATCGACGCGAAGCTGGCTCGAGATATAAGCCATTTTTGGGAAGAGGGTCTCTCATTTCTTGCAATTGTCATTGCTGGAATGTTCGTATCAACATACATGCTGGTTCCATCCCTAGTTTTAAGCGCCATTTCTATCTACTACGCAGCTGAATACTTGCCAGGTGCAAGGGAGATCAAGCGACTCGAAGCAACTGCACAATCACCTGTCTTTGAGCATTATGGCTCTACGTTAACAGGAATCGTTTCGATCCGCGCTTTCCGGAAAGCCGATGAGTATCTATCCCGCATGCACGACCGGCTTGATGAGTACGCGCGTTCGACTTGGAACCTCTGGCTTACACAACGATGGATGTCGATTCGGATGGGGGCTATAGGGGCAGGATTTGCGTTTGCTGTAGCATCAGTCATCGCCGCACGTCCGCAAATCGATGCTGCGCTTGCCGGGTTCGCATTGAGCTTCTCCCTGAAATATAGTGAGGCTATTGTCGAGATGATCCGGCGATACTCGGCCATGGAATTAGACATGAACTCGACCGAGCGTGTGGTCGAATACACGAACATGCCGATGGAAGACCAATCTGGGATCACGCCACAGCAGAGTTGGCCAACCCACGGAAATATCGATATTGAAGGGCTGGAAGCAGGCTATGCACCGGAATTGCAACCTGTGCTCAAAGGTCTGACACTTACGATCGAAGGAGGTCAGAGGATAGGTGTGATAGGAAGGACAGGTAGCGGCAAATCATCTCTCACTCTAGCCCTTTTCCGCTTCATCGCAGCCAGATCTGGTCGTATCGTCATCGACGGCATAGATATTGCGGAGGTCGGACTTCACGCGCTTCGCAGCCGGCTTGCTATTATCCCACAGGACCCGGTCTTATTCTCAGGAACTCTCAGAGCGAACCTTGATCTTTTTAGCACATACGACGATGCGGCCCTCTTGCAGGCGCTGAGACATGTGCATCTACTACAGGACTCGTCGGCATCCTCAGAATCATCTCGCCATCCGAGAGATGACCAGACAGTGTTTGAAAGTCTCAGCTCCCCTATATCAGAGGGCGGGCTGAGCTTGTCACAGGGTCAAAGACAGCTCGTATGTCTAGCACGTGCTATCGTCTCCCGGCCGAAGATCATGGTACTTGACGAAGCCACCAGCGCAGTGGACATGGCCACCGACGCGTTGATCCAACGCAGCATCCGCGAACAATTCCAAGGCAGCACCCTGATCGTCATCGCACACCGCCTGAGCACCATCGTGGATTTTGACAAGATCCTTGTCATGGATAATGGGCGGGTGGTCGAGTACGACGAGCCGAAGAAACTACTGCAGAAATCGAATGGCGAATTTCGCCGGATGCTGAACGAGAGCGGAGAGAAGGAAAAGCTGGAGCAGCTTGTATTTGGAGATCAAAGCTAAGTGCAGTATGTTATTTAAGGTACCACAGACTAGGTCTATTCTTGGAGATGCGTTTGGTTGGTCCTTGAGTCCTATAGATAGATTTATCAATCAGCTTGAATATATGCCTGCTCCCTGGACCGCTCAGTAATTTGAAGTAGATGAATCTGCCGTGTTAGATTAGATGCGATGACTATCCAGCCAAGAACTAGACACGCATGCTGTGACTGAGGAGAAGAAGTAGATAGACAACTGCGCATATATGTGCGTAGCTAGGTACATTCATATATTGAAACAAAACACGATCGTGGAATATGGACGAAAATTTGCGGAACCAGTGTTACTTACACACACACACATTGCACCAACAAACGCCACGCCTCCTCTAGTATACCTACCTAACATATCAAGATTCGACCATCTTTTCATTCTTCACCTGATCTGAGGGGTCAAAAAACCCTGGGGGTGTCAGCGGCAAGCATTCGGTACTTACATCATCCCCCCCCCCCCCCCAGTATTTCAGTTATATATAACCTGTAATAACAGACTTTGCCCCGTACTGTATATTATTCTGGAAGTACCTACCTACCTTAGTAGCTACCCTCTAGGTAGGCAATGGGGTCGAGCCCTGTATATATAAATGGGAGCATCAAGTTATCTGATTGACCTACTGCCAGACTTCCCCCCCCCCCCCCTCCTCCCCCAAAAAGAAAAAACTCCAAAACCACCTCGATCAGGAACATTAAATCCTTACCATGAGGTTAGAGTAGTGGCACAGTCTTAGGTTAGGGACCTCCTGAGGCTCTGAGCCTCCTTTGCCCTATTTTCCCTTCTCCTGAGCTCAGATTAGCGTGGATTAGAGATCCTACCTCATGTATCACTCTTCGGCCCGTACATCATTGGTATATAAGGTGAATACGTGTCATTCACATCAGCTACTAATAAAAAGAGAAGAAAGGTCAAATAAATACAGTAATAACTTTTGTGGTATTTCCCCCTTATTCTCAACGCCCAGACCCGTTTACGCCCACCTGGAAAAGTCAAGATCATCGACAATACTTTCATCTGCTCCACTGCCAGGAGCAACTTCAGTCTCTGTACTGGTACTGGAAAGGACAGAAGACCGTTGGGAGCTCGGCTCGCTAGTATCTGCCAAGAAATTTGCAACGGAAGCTCGACGGAGATTGTTGAGACTGTCTCGTATGTTTCTGGTATCATAAGATGAACCATTTGAAGTACTTGGCGGCGAAGTCGTCTGCTTCGGTCCATGCTTCTCCCGAAGTCGATTGATCTCTCGGAGTCGATTTCGCCAGGATGAGACGTATTCGCCACCTTCTCTATTTGCCCATACCAGGGAGAAGACCGAGGCGTTCAGAGCGACCAAGCGGATGAAACCAGGCAAAGCCATCAAGCTGACAATCTTGGTCTCCGATGCAGGAGATATTTCTGGAAACCCCGGCTTGCTCATGACCTGAACTTTATAGAATGCGTCCTTGGAATGAGATTCAGACCGCTGGCGCGTAGCGACAAAGGTTGCCCGCGATTCTGGTGTAATTACAATGTTGACATAATTGAACTCCGAAGGAAATGTGTCAAATCGGAATGGAAGCCCCGAGTTATTAAAGATAATGTTCACGAAATCGTTGCCAATGTGTCTTTTCTTACCGATACACTGGGGGTCGTGATCCAGATTCGTGGGCATCTGTGTCGTGACGTGGAACACTATCTCTGTAACGCGATCCCGCCAGCAGAATGCATACTCGCCATCAGAGTCGTATTCACGATCTAATCCCTGCGTATTGAACTTGGCACCCTTCAGCTTGGTGAGAGTCCCGAGGCCTGATAGGAAGGTCGTATAATCGCTGCTGCCCATGATATTTGCAAGGATCTCAACTTCCTGGGTTTGATTCTCTCCAATGTAGATAACGCCAACTTTGTGGCCGTCAACCGTGAAATTGCGATCAAAAGACGAGATAGCCCTTTGTGTTCTCTCGTCATCAGGGAGTGGAATGGGGCGCAATGTGTCGTTTGATTGAGGAATCGACGCCGTTAACTGAAGGAGAAGATGACTTGGAAGGACGACATTCGCATCTGAATGTCGAGTATCTCGTATTGTCTCCTGAGGATAATGGCTCTGGTGAGGTGGGGGTCTTGTGAACTTTTCACGTATGGTGTAGCAAGAAGTCCCCGATGGCTGGCGCTTGGTGATCTGAGCCCATCCTCCCCGTGTTGCTTGCTCAACGGTTACGATGCTTTGACCAACTATCCACCGTTTCTTCAAGATTTCTCCAAATTGATCGCGAGTGAAAGTAGGGTCGGCAGCCGACTCGTCAACATCTGCATATGCTACTCGCTGCATGAAATCTAGTGTGACCTGCGCCTGCTCGTCAATCCTTTCCTTGCCGTTAACATCGGTCGACACAAGATTCTTGGTAATCCAGCCGACTTGACCAGCACGATCTGTGAGCTTCAAGGACAGGAACCAAAATATTATGACATGATAAGCCAGGGCGTACACATATTGTGGCAGGTCATCAGAGGCGGTTGGCTGGAAATTGCTATCCGCGAGATTACTATCAGTGGTACTCCGGGAACCATCCGACGAGACGCCGGAATTCCGGCTGGGTTGGTGACTGTTTCGACTGGAGTATTCCTTGGTTGGCTTGTCTCGCACGTATTGCAGATATCGAAAACACATCATAAAGACCGTCCGATACTGCTCCTCTCGGAAGTTGACGTACAGATTCGGTAATCTAGCAAGACAAGCTAGAAACTCCAGAATGTGCACTGCCACATGAGATTGCGTGATGATTTGCGACATCTTTTGAAGGATGGTCACAAGTGCCTTGCTTGTTGATGCAGGGAGCTCGTGGCAACATATAGAGAGGGCGTGGATGCAACACTTGGATGCCCGATCCAGCGTCCCTACGCCTTGGGCAAATGTCCTTACAATGTCGTCTTCTTCACCCTTGGAGAAATATCTATGGTAACTCACGATCATCGCTAATGTCTGAAAGAGGCAGATCGCGACATCAGCCTTGCGCAGTCCCGAAGATACCGGAGGTTCATAAAAGGTATTGTTTTTGATCTGCTCACATAAGAGATCTCTCAATAATTTGATCTGTGGAACAGCACCCTTGAATAAAGCATGATTCGTCAACTGAGAGGCCAAGTGTACGAGAATGTAGCTGTAGACCTCCCAATCACAACCATGCGTTAGGAGATTAACGATAGTTTCAAGATACAGACCGATGTTTAATGCGACTTGACTCGATGGAGTTGGTACGCCGTGATCATCTTCTTCGAATTCGATGAAAGAAGCCAGCAACGAACTGGCTTTGTTGGATGCTGTCTCGGGAAGCGCATCAGGGTCAGGATACATCCACAACTGAGGACTTTTCTGAAGCGTCCTATTCACACCACTGCTTGTCCGAAGCGGAAGTCTGCCTTGAGAATGACCCTGGCCGAAGGAAGGGCTTCTTGCGATACGAACAGTACTTGCGTCTTCAGCTCGGAAAGATCGACCGTAGTGAGATGCCTCATCCGTGGCTTGTTTTCTTGCCAACGAGGTCGCTGTACGGAAGAGAGAGGCTGCTAATGCATCTGATTCGGTGAAAGGAGTCAAGAAAATCCTGTTTGCCCAGTCGGCTCTCAATCTAAACAGCATCTTCATCGCTGAAATGCGTGCATCGGTTTCGCAATCGTGAGATTTCGTAACCCAGAGTAACTCATCAAACACCCGAAGAGATTTTGGACCTGAACTGTCCATGGTCCTCATGAATATTTGGACCAAACCTTTGGTGGCCACATTGGATGGTGTTTGTACCAAGGGGTTTGGCACAACGGAGGATGTAGGCCGATTCGTTCCAACCAAGCTATGTCGAGACCCAGTAGGAGATCCGGGCTGCGGCTGGAGTCGATCACTCGCAATAATCCCGTGTATGGAGTCGATGATCCAACTGAACAGAGATTCATCCGCAGTCACAGCAACAGCCACAGAAAAGGCAACCACCTCTTGTAGAATTGCAATATCCTTCTCGTTTGCAACATCCTCGAGGATAGCGGTGACAAAAGTCCATACACAATCAGGATCCACATGCTCATCCATCATTTCGACTACCTCAAAGACATCAGTGACAGCTTTGAGAGCATGCAATCGGATATGTGCTGGTTGCGACCGGTCTGCAAAAAAGGCACCCAGAATCATCTTAATATTCTCTTGCCACTGCACATCTGAAGGATAGCAACATCGATACTCTATATAGTAATCGATAACGAGTTTGGCACATGATTCCGGGAGGTGAGGATGGACATCGATGAAGAACTTGATGCAGTCGGCTCTCTGAAAAAAATCACCTGTAGAGGATCTGATAAGAAGCTCCTCAATTCGGATAATAAGACTATACAGAGTTTGGCCCACAGTGGTAGCAGGCACCTGTTCAGACACCTGTTCAGGCACCTGTTCTTTGCCCACAGGACTTGCTCCGCGAGATCGGGTGGTGAGTGGACGGCCGTCGGGGGTTTCTAATGCTCGGCGAGAGCATTTGCGGACCACGTCAAACAATACTGACCAATCCTCTTCCATGACATTCTCCAATACTCCTTGCTCCCCATCATCGAAAAGGGAGAGGATCAGCCGCATTATGTCGGTTTCGACCTTTCCGTGTTCGATGCTCACGACTCTCATGAGTGCATCCATTAGGAGAGACATGGGCACAAGCGGATAGCCATCTTTACCATCCTTCGCAAATAGCTTTTCCAACACAGATAAAGCCCCTCGTATTTCACGGACTGTCTGTTTCTCATTGGCGCCATCGGAAGGGGGGTTCCGAAGGATATCTAGTAGGATCCTGACCGTTGTCTGGCCATTATGAGACCTGCAGAGATTGCTGATGGAGCGCCATGCTTCTGGCTGTATAGTGTCGACGAGGCAATGTATAGAACAGAGCACCTTGATACAATCCGCAAGTTTGTTGCTGGGGATCTCTCCATATGTGATGGTCGCATCGATAACATTAATGCAGGCTTTCAAATCATTCGGCTGGGGGGTATGAACGCAGATGTATAGGATAACGTCCATAAGATCACTAACAGTCTCTTCATTCGAAACATTGAAGCTGAACTTAATCACGTCAACGATGAATTCGAAGAGCAATGCTAGATTCGTTTCTTCGCCGAGGGGAGCTTTGCCCTTTTGGGCCCGATTGTGTCGGCCTGCGTGCTTACGTGCGGCCGAAATCACATTAAACGTTTGACGCAACCAGGAAGTCAGCAAGGGAAAAACATTGTAGTGGAATCCAGAGAGATCCCTGCCATGTTTCGCCAACTCGATTACAGATGCAAGTTGCAGATGGAAATCATCGGGGTTGGCAGGAGCAGTAAGGACGCGGAAATATGCTAAACGTTCCGGATCAGTCGAAGAAGCATGCTGGACACAAGCAGTTAAAAGCTCGAATCCTACAACTCTGGCTTCTACGGGTTTGGACGATTCGATAAGATCTTTTCCTTCCTTGAAGATGCTCGTCACCTAAGTGCCTTATTTAGTTGATTGCTCCCAAGCTCATCTAGGTTGACTTACACTACTAAGTGGATAGTCTTGCACAGAATGGCGGAGGGACTCTGCCGCAGCAAGTCTATCTGCAAGAGGATTCCCAACCTTCAATTGTTCGAATAATTGTTCGTAATTCGGCGGGCCTCCATAGATTGCCTTCTTCGGGGAACTGGTTCCATTGAATTTCTGCGATATCGAGGCTGGCGCCTGGGTCCTGAGAGGCTTGCTCCCAGTCAAGCTCTTGAAGACACTGGCAAGGCCGCCTGCGCTTTTGTGTTCCGGGGTTTCAGCTACGTCCCCAGGGGGAGACATGGAGCCTCGAGTGGGGCTACAAACAGTCCAAATGCTACTACGCCCAAGGGTTGTTAGCTGGGAGTTCTTGGTGCGGGCATTCAGGGGTTGGGGGACGTACAAGGAGAGTGGAGGGACTATGCGGCAGCAGAACTTTTCTTATTGTATCGAGTTTGCGGACCACAGACACGAGGGAGGGTTTGAGATGCACATCAAGCTCAGGATACGCAAGAGTGCGTGGACAGGAGCGGGGAATTCTCGATGCTCATAGCATATTCCGGGTATGTAGAGGGGAGCAGCAAGCTGAAGCTGATAGTAAGACCAGCGGCCGGGGCGAAGGTTACAGAACAAGAGGGATTCTCAGTTCCATGAAAGCGCGAGCTGGCGTTGATCTATCGTATCGTATCTCTGTAGAGGCGGCAAGAAGAGTAAAGAGAAGAAGAGCATCTGACGGAGGGAGGCATGGAGCAAAGGCAAGCCATTGTCATGCGGGAGAGAACAAGACAAGAGCAGGGTCCTGGGGCCAAGGATAGCTAGACTTTTATTAGTCACGGGAAGACGTATCAGGTATCAGGTATCAGGTATCACCAGCCACGCATCAGCCACTTATCAGCCCCTCCTCACCAGCCACACCTCTCGGTCAAAGTTCCGCCGTTCACGCACGGCTGACAAGCCACACTTACCCCACTAGCCACAACGCGCTCAAGCCACTTTGATTTTCTAGAAGCTCTACCGTGGGACACTGCACAACAACTGAACCCCCATCTCCGCCTCATAGAAACACTCTTCTTCCCTTAGTTAATACTGTGCCGCCCCGCCCGCTATCTCGAGATCGGACTTCCCTTCAGTTCAATATGGCTTCACAGTTGGAGACTGTTGCCCAACTGCTGCAGGCTACTTTGGATCCTAGGCAACACAAGTTGGGTAAGTAAACATCTTCGTTTGTTGTGTTTACGGTGGTGGACTGGCCGACTGACTTTCCAATTTTTACAGCTGAAGCCGCGCTCAAGACCGAAGAGGCAAAACCTGGATTTTCTCTCCTTCTACTCAACCTTATCGCATCCGAAGCTCTGCCTCTTACCACGCGCCTCTCCGGAGCGCTGTGCTTCAAAAACTTCATTAAGTTCAACTGGGTGGTGTGTAGCTCTCTCACAGGCAACCTTGCTGCGACAACTTCTGATACAGCTTTCAGGACGAGGAGGGGAACTATAAATTGCCACAGGATGAAGTTGTGACCATCAAAAAGGAACTGATAGGTCTCATGATCTCAGTTCCTGCCAGCATTCAATCACAACTAGGGGAAACAATCAGCGTCATCGCCGACTCTGACTTTTGGACTCGCTGGGATACGCTGGTAGATGTGAGTGGTTCTTGTGCCTCTGATAATGTTGCGACCTCTTGCTGATATCTTCTAGGATTTGGTGTCACGTCTGAGTCCAGACAATGCCAAGGTCAACATCGGGGTATTGGAAGTCGCACATTCTATCTTCAAGCGTTGGAGACCACTCTTTGCCTCTGATGATCTATACATAGAGATCAACCACGTCTTGGGGAAATTCGGACAAGCATACGTGCAGTTACTTGGAGTATGACCCTTTTGCACTCCTTCTCGTCATCGCGCACTAACCTGTGTTCCGGTAGAGCACTGATCAACAGATCGAAGCGAACAAGAGCAATAAAGAGGTCTTGAAGCAACATGTTGAGGTGATGAACCTTCTCGTCAAGATATTTTACGATCTGTCGTGTCAGGATCTCCCTCCTATTTTCGAAGATAATCTTGCCGAAGTCACATCGTTGCTGCACAAATACCTCACATACGAAAATCCTCTGTTAGCCACTGACGATGACTCGGAATCTGGACCTCTGGAATTTGTTAAGGCTGGAATTTGCGAGGTCATAACACTTTACATGCAGAAATACGAAGACGCTTTCGGAGAGCTTTGCAAGCCATTCATCACTAGCACGTGGAATTTACTTACGACAATTGGACCAGAGACGAAATACGACATATTGGTCAGCAAGGCTTTGCATTTCTTGACTGCTGTTGCAAGTCAGGATAAGCACGCCGTGACTTTCAATGATGATAGCGTCCTGGGACAGGTGGTTGAGAAGGTTATACTGCCAAATGTTAGCTTGAGAGAATCGGACATTGAGCAATTCGAGGATGAACCTATTGAGTACATCCGCCGAGATCTGGAAGGATCAGACGCAGACACTCGACGGAGAGCAGCAACGGATTTCCTACGGAGACTCCTGGAAAAGTTCGAGCAGCTGGTGACGGATGTCGTTGGCCGGTACATCACGCACTACCTTGCAACATTTACACAGAACCCTGGTTCGGAATGGAAGTCGAAAGATACTGCAGTATACTTGTTTTCAGCAATTGCGGCCAAGGGGGTCATCACAGCCACTCACGGTGTAAAGACAACCAACCCGTTGGTCAGTGTAGTCGATTTCTTCCAGAACAATATTGCAAGTGACTTGCTTGCGGATACAGGAGTGGAGCCTATTTTGAAGGTGGACGCTATCAAGTTCCTCTATACCTTCCGAAGTCTGTTGACTAAAGAACAATGGAGTGCTGCTTTCCCGCCCCTGGTAAAGAATTTGGCATCATCAAACTATGTGGTTTACACTTATGCTGCAATTGCTGTGGAGCGAGTCTTATTCCTCACCAACGATTCCGGCGTACACATTCTTGGAAAGGAGGATGTCGAACCCTTTGCAAAGGATCTCCTGGAACACCTGTTCCAATTGATTGAAAAGGATTCGGCGCCAGAAAAGATCCAAGAGAACGAGTTCCTTATGCGCTGTGTCATGAGAGTGTTGCTTGTCATCAAAGAAGGCGTTGTTCCGTTGACAGATAGCGTTCTCCAACACTTGATCAAGATCACTGCCATCATCGGCCAAAATCCAAGCAACCCACGATTTTACTACTATCACTTTGAAGCCATGGGTGCGCTCATCAGGTAAGTTTAACAACGAGTCCTCGAGAATTTGTTATACTGATGATGATAGATACTCCGCTCCCTCCCAACCAGAAAAGCTCGAGAATGACTTATATCCCCCATTCGCTGCAATTCTTCATAATGATGTGCAGGGTGAGATAGCACTGCTTTCACTGCTTTGAGAGGTTTACTGATCAACTTTTTTTTAAATAGAATTCATGCCTTACGTCTTCCAGTTGTTTGCAGCACTTCTCGAGGCTCGGCCTCATGGCCCATTATCCGACTTCTACAAAGCCCTGATTGCCCCAATCCTCATGCCGGCGCTTTGGGAATCAAGAGGAAATGTACCAGCGCTCTCTAGGCTGCTGTCGTCTATCATACCGAGAAGCGCAGCAGATATTGTTGCGAACAATCAAGTAGAGCCAGTTCTAGGAATCTTCCAGAAGCTTATGTCCGGCAAAGCGAAGACGGAGCTCTATTCCTTCGATATCTTGGAAGCAGTTATTACATCATGTGAAGTGTGAGTCTTGCGATTCCCCAGTCACTTGTAACAACACACTAACAATTCTCAGCTCTGCTATTCAGCAATATTTCCCTACCATCCTCACCATCATATTTACTCGCCTGAATAATAACCCACCCGAGAGGTTTAAGCAGCGCTTTGTACGCTTTTACCACCTCATCTCTTCTCGCGACCAGTCAGGTCTAGGTGCTGATTTCTTCATCCGAAATTCTGATACCGTTCAAGATGCCGTCTTTGTCCCAATCTACCTCACGATTATTCTCCCGACAACACAGCAACTGGCTCGACCTCTGGAACGTAAGCTGGCCGTCATATCTTTGACCAAAACCCTCACCGACTCGCAAGCCTTTGCGGTGAAGTATGTCAAAGGTTGGGGAAAGACCTGCGAAGCTTTGCTGAAGCTGCTGGAAAACCCGCCAATGCCAGTTGCTGCGGATGACGTGGTTGCCGAGGCCGATGTGGACGACTTGAGCTTCGGAGTAGGCTTCACCCAGCTAAGCACATGCAAGAAAGCACCGCGAGACGACTGGCCCGAGGTGACAGATGTGAAATCCTGGGTGGGTTCCTATCTCAAAACCGCAGACGCACGCCACGGAGGGGCAATTGGAGGATACGTTAATGAGCGATTGTCGCCCGAGGCGAAGAGCGTCTTGGTATCATACATGCAATAAAGGAAAGGAAAGGAAATCAGGAAATCAGGAAATCATGAGGTCACAAATGATAGATATGAGGCGATGGAATGAATGGTCGGAAAAACAAAAAGAATCCTATGTGTGTGTGTGTTGTTGTATAATTTTAGCGTCAGTTACTACTAGTAGGTCAGTGAGATGAGCGAAAAATAGTCGTTCTTCTATGATAGATCTGTTTTGCACTACTGTCCCCGAACATACATAGCCAGCGTGTGAATTTGCAAGAATGATGGTGCTGGATTTAGTAGATTCATGAGATAGATGACTGACTTATATCCATTCATTCGTCCGTTCCCAATGCTCCATCGCGTCCTAGAATCACGAATGCTAGGTACCCACCTTGTTATAGAAAGAAGCAAGAGGATCAAATGCTCTGAAGAAGGCTATGTATGCCTCATTATTATTGCGTTCCTTGGATGATATCGGTCTACAGAATTTGTAGATATGTCGCCCGCATATCTACTGTAAATGCTCCAGACGCCGCCGCTGTTTTCAATTGTAAAAATCCCACATATCGCATATCATCCTCATAATGCAGCAGTCCCTGATTCACCATGCATGCATGGCCACTCTCTTGCCTTGACTAGGTAATGCCAACGGCGTTATCTAAGGTAGGGTACCCGTGAACTAGGTAGGTACCTACTTGAACTCTTCCTTCAATACCCATCGGCCCCTCATTCGACCAGTCGTGCCTTTCTCGAGCGTGGAAATTTCACCTAGCATGTGCTTGAACTCGGCGGTTTGTTGCGGCGTCTTGCACATACGGTTGAAATGGTTCACCAACGCCTGACTAGGCACTGATCCGCCCTGTCTTTTTATAAAATCTCTGATTAATTTCATAAAGTCCTTGCCCCGGGGCACTCGCTCCGCGGCGCCTGGAGTTCCAGACCTTGAGCTGCTGGCACTTTCACCATTTGACAAGCCTTGCCTGTCGGCTAGTCCAGCGAGGATTCCTGCTGAGCTAGGTCCTGCTCCTCGTCGAATGTTTACCGGCCTTCCGGCTGAACCAAACTCCCCGGTCCAGGTTACTGTGCCAGGCTGGATACTACTTGCAGCTTCACCGGCTTTACGCAACTCGGCAGCAGCTTCAGCGGCAATTCTTTTGGCCTCACGCTCGAGCATGCTTCGGTCAGCTGCGACCTTCTTCTTGCCGTTAATGATCTGGTCGTGCTCAAGGGCACTATGTACCCCAGATCGTGCGAAGATGCCTTCCATTAGTCTGGTTTCGTTAGAGGACGATTTATCTTCAGCAGGATCGCCACGGAAAGCTTCAAGGCTTGCAACGCCGGTCAAATTGCGAACGTCGGTATCGCTGTCTCCTTGCTCCTGCTTTACCGCAGAATCGGCGTGAACGATACCCTGGCTCACAACATCATTTTGTACTGCAGATGCTGCATTGGTTCCAACCAAAGTAGTGTAATCTTCAGGGGCGGGAGGCTCAGGGTCCTCCTTAAATTTAACCTCAGTCCCTTGAAACATCTGGCCAGTCTCTGTAGTACCATCATCTGTTCCGCCTAATGTGAAAAGGTCATAGAGATCCTTCATTTGGAAGGTCTGACGCTGTTTTGGATCTTTGAGGATCTTGTTTGTGAGGAACTGTTTAAAGATTTGTCGATGATAAATCTTCTCTTCAATGGTGCCTGCAGTCATTAAGCGATAAATGGTGACCTCCTTCTTCTGACCAAGACGCCAAGCACGCTCACGAGCTTGGACATCCGTAGAAGGGTTCCAATCTGGGTCGAATATGATGACCCGATTTGCACCTGTCAGATTGACACCAAGACCTCCAACTTTTGTTGTGAGCAGGAACACGTGCAGGTCAGGGTCGTTGTTGAACCGATCAACGAGACCTTGTCTTTCCTTGATATTGGTACCGCCATCCATTCGAAGATAGTTGAAACCATCGAGTCCTTTCACAAACTCTTCAATGATGTTGAGCATCTGAACACCCTGGCTAAATAGTAATGTCTTGTGGCCAAATCGCTTCCACATTTCTAGCAAGGCCTTTACCACTTGCATCTTCCCAGACTTGTTCGGATTTCCCCATTTATAGCCCGGCTTGCCCCTTAATCGCGGGTCAAGGAGATCTGGATGGTTGCATATTTTGCGCAAAATATCAATTCCGTACAGCGATTGACGCGAGCCTTTCAAGATCGATTGCATCTCATTGGAAGCAAGGAAAACCTCATAGGCCTCTCGTTGAGGCTTGGTGAGCTTACAAAATAGGACCTGCTCACTCTTCTTGGGCAAATCTGAAGCAACGTCTACCTTCAATCTTTGAAGGAGATATGGACTTATGGCAGCCTTCAAAGTCTCTGCACACTTGGTGGCCGTTAGGACCTGTAGATTGGTGGCATTGGCATAACCGCCAAGCTTGATGGGCACCTCAAATGCCTGTCGGAAGTTAACAAGAGTGCCAAGTCTCATAGGAAAGACAAAGTCGAATAGAGACCAAAGCTCAATCAGGTTGTTCTGCATCGGAGTACCCGAAAGGATTACTCTATTCGCAGTTCGTAGCTCCTTACAGTAAATGGTGATGGCAGTATTTGGATTTCGGATCTTATGGCCTTCATCGAGTACAGCGTAGTCCCAGTCGACGGAAATAAGAATATCGGAATAGGTCTGGAGCCCAGCGTAAGTTGTAACCAGCACATGACCATGATTCACAACCCGATCCACAATCTTCTGTGCTGCTTTCTGCGATCTCGCAGGCTTCTTGTCTCCCCGACCATACATCTCCTCTACCTCCTCTATACGACCTTCGCTACCAATATTGAGCATACCGCTACCTGAACTGTGCAAAATCGACACGCGTAGAGGTGGCCACCATCTGTGAAATTCGTTGACCCATTGACGTAGGACCGTAGCAGGGGCGACCACAATGATAGGCTTAGTGAGTTTCTTGCTGTAGTGCAGTCCCGCGAGGAAAGATATAATTTGGATTGTCTTCCCAAGACCCATTTCATCTCCAATGATGCCACCAACTTGCTGGCTATACAATTCTCCAAGCCATTGGACACCAGTCTTCTGGTAATCGAATAAGGCAGGATAGATATCGCCTGGAAGCTTGATGCCATTTTCGAATTGATGATCAGGTGCATCTGGACATGGCTTAAACCATTCCTCTTGTTCCGCATCCTCAGCTACCAGTTCGTCATCCCTAGCTTGGCCTTGCTCTAGTTTGCGACGCCGCGCCGCGCTTCTCTTCTCTACCCAGTTCTTGAGTCTCTTCTGGTACATCTGCTCATTGCCATCATCAATACCAGTGAGATCTATCTTTTCGGCCTTTGTCTTTCCAGAAACTTTCCTTTTAGAAGTTCTCTCAGTCATGAGATGATCATCATCTTCATCATCTTCAGATTCATCGAGCTGTTCGTCTGAGAGCTCGGGAGTAAACGTATCCGCGGCGTCTTCGTCAGTGGTAGCTATCGGAGTTTGAGGACCAGACAGACCACCCTCTAATCGTCTCTTCTTGCGGGGGCGCAATGAGAACTCACTCTCGGGAGTAGTGATAGCGCTGTCCGGTATATCTGCGAAGCCAGGTAGACGAAGATTTTGGTGAGACTGAGGCTCTACATCAGCGACCTGAGTTGCATCCGCCTCAGCTTCCTCCTCCGCATCCATCAGCGCCTCTGTGAGATCTCCGTTAAGACCACCCGTGTCTCTCCCTGGCATTCGAGAGAACGGCGTGATCTTGCCCGTACGAATAAGGAAGTCTCGCTGACTCTCATTTGGTAGCCTCTTGTTGCCAGCAGCAGCGTCTTGCTCGTCGTTTTCGACTCCGTCATACTGGTGTCGTTCATCTATGCGCTTCTGTATGTCCACGATGTCTCTCTTCAAAGCCGCGATTTCAGCATCGATACGCTCGAGTTCTGTCACGCATCGTGCGCGCATCAGGGGATTATTCGCAAGCGTGTCCAGCCGTCGGCGTTGTACGCTTTTCTGGCGTTCAAGTTTCTCGATACTGCCGTTGACCTTGACAATCCTCTTCTGGTCCCTCTCGTCCTCTTGCTCGATCATTACCAGGTTCGCTTGGTTCGTGATGTCTCGCTCGAGATCGTCCTGGTCGCGAACATTCTCTGTCAAGTCCTTCAACGCACTGGCTTCATCGGTTGGCAGGGGGTCGTGGTGGTTAGGGTCATCTCGAAGAGATTCATCTGCGACGGCAGCAGCAGCTTCTGCAATGGTGTCTGCCTTCTCCCGATGCAAGTTAACATCTCCCGTCGGCGAGGGGGAATGCGAAGCATTCTTGGACCCGGCCGGGGCCGAGGACCCAGCGGGGGAAGACATCTCAGCTGGCGTTCGTTCGATGTAGGATCGGGATTATGAAGCCATCAAAAGCATAGATGGAAAAAGGGCTCATCAAGTCGTGGTGAGCTGAGATAAGCCAGAGAGAGAAAATAACATCCAAAGATAGCGAAATGGGATGTAGGAGTGAAGGTGGCGAGGCGCAAGAGATGCTGCAGAGAAGAAGAAGAGGAGAGGAAGGAAAGAAAGAGACAGAGAGATCTCCTCCGATGTGTTCTATTCTTTTGTCCCGAGTGCCTTTGGGTAAGGTAAATGTAGGTTGTAGGCAACACGGGGAGTCGTGCAAATGGACGTCATATTTCGAGGGTCCAGGACAGTGAATATATTTATGGCCTTATAAATAGGGCATGAATTGTGGCTGGTGGCGGGAGCGGGCAGAGTGAACGCTGATTGGTGTCAGCCACTTTGGATGATGGTACTCGTATAGCCAATCTATTGAAAGGTTAAGAAGATACAAAGGACAAAGGTAAAAGGTAAAAGGTAAAAGATAAAATGTAAAATGTAAAAGAAGGCTCAGAACAAGCATACAAGGTAAAGGCAGTTGGCTCCGCATGTCTGCCACCTTAGCTCTGGGATTCCTTCCCTTACCTACGCTGTATAATAGCAGAGCCATGGACTGCACCGTAGTGCCATTTCAATGACCCCGAGACATACACTACCTCAGTAAAGCAATTCCAATTGCTGAATTGCAATAGAGAGTATCCATGGACCCATTCCCTTATAGAAGACGTTGTTGCATTCTGTACAGTCGTTTGCCGTCCGTGCTGCGCCCCTCCGGACGGCCAGAGGCGGGCGGGTAAAGGTAAACATGATTGATGTACGTAGAGGAGAGGAAAAGAGGACTGCTTTGCTCTTTGCCTGCTGGCCCGCTGGTCTTGTTTGGAATCTTGGATTGATATATTTCGTCCGTGTCCGGGTTGTTGGTTATTTATCATTCGATAATCTGGAGCCAATAGATCCCAATAAATATAGTAGTAGTTGTTGTCTACCTACCTATTTATTAACCTGTATTAACCTGTCGCAGTTTCACGCGCTAGCCGTTACTGTTCGTTGGACCTCACAAAGTCAGTTGTACTGGCACGTCGCCCTCTCGCCCTTCCTCTCCCCCAACCATCATGCATCGTTGACATCCAAACTGCACTCTCTCGGGCTGACTTTGCCCTCTCTGCGAGGCTTCTTCCTTTCTTCTCTTGCTGCGACACGCCCCGAACCCTTCGGCCCCTCTCGAGTCACCGGTGGCTCCTGTATGTAGCTGCGTCAACAACCCCAAGGCACGACGACAGCCCTTTTGTGCCTCCCTTGGGTCGCAGACGACCACCAGTCCGTCCTCTTTGCTTTGGAGAAAGATATCGATTATATCACCGTCCCTCCAGTTTTTTGCCCCGCGCGCCCCACGTCACCATGGATCAATGGGGCCACTATCCCGACTCTGCTTCCTCCTCGAGGAGATACAACAACGGTAATCCTCCACCGAACCAGCCGCCCACCTCGCGAGACTACAACGGCAATACGCAAGCCCAGCCCCCAGCCGGCTTCACCTACGAGCAATATCAGGGCGGCATGGGCGCGCACTCTCAAGCCATGTCGGCTTCCCCGCTAGCTACTCCACAAATGAGGGATGGAAATGGGGACGTGGCCATGCAGGACGCGGGAGATCCGTACAGTGGAATGAAGTATGCGATGAGGCCTCATCATCAGCAGCACCTGTCGAGCAGTCGAGCACCTCATCATCCCTCCCAAGAAACATCGGCTGCCGCTCAGCGTTACTCTCCCATGGAGACGCTATCGCCAAGCTCTCCATATGGCGCGCCGCAGCAAGCCCACAATCCATACGCGTCCCAAGGAGCGCCTCAGCGTCAGTCACCAACGAGGCCAGGAAACTACTCGTCCTCCAACTCTTATTATTCCAATCGTCCGCAGAACCAGCAGCTGCCTCCCATCACGCCTTACCCCTCCAACAACGAGTCTTATCCCCACTCTGCGACGGCCCAAGTGAATCCAGTATTTGGGAGTGATCCCAAGTCGCCTCGTAGGCCCGCTCCGCAGACGCCTCAAGGAAATCCAGGAAGAGGGCCGGTTCCAGAGTTCACTAAGGTGCGGTCGATTGCAGACTTAAAGCCCAAAGTCAACGCCCAACCCGCATTTCGACGCGCAAATCCCGAAGGTGGATTCATAAGTGTAAGTACTGTCCAAGGAGTAATCAAGATTCGCGTGCTAACTTTCAGGACCCAGCCTCTACAAGCTCTTACGAGTCATCTTCCATCTACCTATCGCATCTGCAATCCCAGCTTCAAATACGAATCGTCCCGAAATCCCCGCCGAGTTCTCACAAAACCGAGCAAAGGTGTCAAGAATGACGGCTTCGATAACGAGGACAGTGATTATATACTCTACGTGAATGACATTCTCGGGTCTGAAGAGACTGGTCATAAGTACGTTTCGAGGTTAAAACGCTGGTGTCTCGGTGATGGTGAATGCTGACACGCGCTTTTCAGGAACCGTTACCTTATCCTCGATGTTCTCGGCCAGGGGACTTTTGGTCAGGTCGTCAAATGCCAGAACTTAAAAACGCAAGAGGTCGTCGCTGTCAAGGTGGTGAAGAACAGGACTGCATACTTCAATCAAAGTATGATGGAGGTTTCGGTCCTTGACCTGGTAAGAGTTTCCTGAGGCTTGCCCGGACGCCAGGCTGGCTAACTAATTTCTCTGTAGCTCAACACAAAGCTCGATAAGAATGACGACCACCATCTTCTCCGACTGAAGGATACCTTTATCCACCGGCAACACCTTTGCTTAGTCTTTGAGTTGTTGAGTGTGAATCTGTACGAGTTGATCAAGCAAAACCAATTCAGGGGACTAAGCACTACACTTGTCCGAGTCTTCGCACAACAGCTGTTGAATGGCTTGAGCCTTTTAAACAAAGCCCGCCTTATACACTGTGACTTGAAACCGGAGAATATCTTGCTCAAGAACCTCGAGAGTCCAATTATCAAAATTATCGATTTTGGATCTGCCTGCGATGAACGGCAGACGGTATACACATACATCCAGTCCCGATTCTACCGGTCTCCTGAGGTTTTACTTGGCCTGCCGTACTCCTCGGCGATCGACATGTGGTCATTAGGCTGTATTGTCGTCGAATTATTCTTAGGTTTACCACTATTCCCAGGATCCTCGGAGTATAATCAGGTAGCACGGATAGTTGAAATGCTCGGCAACCCTCCAAATTGGATGCTTGAGATGGGGAAGCAGGCGGGAGAGTTTTTCGAGAAGAGGCACGACGTGGACGACTACGGAAGACGGACATATCATCTCAAGAGCATGGAGCAGTACTCCCGAGAGCATGGCACCAAGGAGCAACCAAGCAAAAAATATTTTCAAGCAACGACACTGCCAGAGATCATTCGTTCATACTCAATGCCGAGGAAAAATATGAAGCCGAGCGAGATTGAGCGAGGTAAGTAGCATTCGTGCTTTAGATGTCCAACAGCTAATCTAGTTACCAGAAATGAATAATCGGGTTGCATTCATCGACTTCGTCCGTGGTTTACTAAACATCAACCCATTGGAGCGTTGGTCCCCTCAGCAAGCGAAGTTGCATCCTTTCATCACGCAACAGAAGTATACCGGTCCATTTGTGCCTCCAATGAATCTCAAATCGAGTTCAATCAACCGATCTCCAGCCCCCGGTACCCAGCAACAACAGCAAGCTGAAGCTTTGAGCAAGCAACGTGCGCAGGCTGCACAAGCTCAAGCGCACTCGGCTCAAGCGCATTCAGCAACCCAAGCACCGTATGGCACTGGCGTGCCCCTCGGCCAATATCCCCCGGCCCCTCAGACTCAGGCACCCCCGATATACAATAACAATAACAACATGTACTCACCAAACACAAATCACCAAGCTGCGCCACCGCCGTACCCATCACAGCAACCCGGGCCATATAATCAGATGGGTATGATGCCACAACCCCCTTCCCAGCTTCCCCCGGCGCAATACGGACCAGGCCCTCCACAGCAGCAGAGCCTCTACGCACAGGCGACGATACGATCAGGGCGCCAAAGAGCTTCTACAATGGAGGTGCAGCAAGGTGGTATACCTGTAGCTATCCAGAGGGTAGCGAGTCACCTTGATCCCAATCAACCTATCCGCCTTCAACCAAGCCCAGCATACTACCCACCTCCACCTGATGGAGCTCCTGATGGGAACCCCGGTAGCGCACGGAGGAGGGGCAGCAGAGCTGCGCAAGGCGGTCAAGGCGGAGCGAGAAACAATCGGGATTTCATTCGCAACCTCGAGGACCGCACTCTCGAGGAAGGGTTTATGGGACAAAGCCAGTGGCACTGATCCATTAGCAGCTCTTCTGCTGCCTGGCATAAATAGCAATATAGCGTCGACTCGGGCCAGCTGCCGTATATGACCGTACTATCTGGCATCTTGGACTTGCGCTCGATTTGATAGCATACTTGGGCTTCGGTGCAAACAAATTGTGGGAATGGGTTCGTCCGGGACAGGGCCACTTCAAGATACCTGCGTGAGGATAGAAAGGAGGAGATACTCACATATACTTCACCGTGGCAGCGGCAGAACGCTTTTCATGCGGCTTCGCCTAAGAACAGGGTCAAAAGGGTCGGCCGTCTGGCCTGGTATCGCTGTCTAGGAGCTAACATCATTCATGTCATTTGAACCCATTGCATGGAGAAGTGAAAGAAAGCCAAGCATTGGGCTTTCTATTCCCGCCAATTTCTTGACCCGCGTCTGAGATGCTCTTAAGGTTGGACTGGCTGTGAAACTGCGTTGGAACATAAACGATGATCAAGGCTTTCCTTTTTTGATGGAAGACATAGCAGATTTCTATCTTGCCATCTTAGATCATATTGAATAGAATGATAGTCAAGACCTCTAGCGACAGAATGCGACGAAGATGAAGAATCAAGTTGAGATTGCGAGGCCGATTCGATTCTATTTCTCCTGTAGCTCTGCTTTTCGATATAAGCACGTGACCTATATCGAGGCCGAAAACCTTAAAGCACTTTACCTACTTCATCCTATCTTGATTCTTGAGTTCAGACGAGCATCGGTGTTCAACATACAATTCCTGTGAATCCCTCCGGAGGCTACAACCTCAATGGCCGGGAGTCCATAACTTCTCTACAGCATGTCTTCCCGATTAGCGTTCCGACGCCATACACGGCCACTATGGGCCAGGGCGTATTCCTCGGCGTCCAGAGTTCGACTCGCCTTTGATCTTCACGAACCCGCGAAAGGGTCCAATCCGCAGCATGCTCCGATCATCTTCATGCACGGTCTATTTGGATCTAAGAAGAACAACAGGAGCATCAGTAAGTGAGCATATCTCGGGCAAGCTGCGAATCAAGAAGCTCTCTACTGACTCGTTTGTGAATTAGAGCTCTAGCTCGGGACCTGGGTAGAGCGGTCTATGCAGTGGTGAGTGATGATATGCTGGGGATTGGCAATTTGATGATTGTGCTGAATTTGTTCATAGGACCTTCGAAATCATGGGGATTCCCCGCACAACCCGCGACACGATTACTTGGCTATGGCAGATGATGTGGAGGGGTTTATCGACGAACATAAACTGACAGATCCAACACTGATCGGCCACTCCATGTGAGAACCTAGATTGGGGTGTCTTCGAACGCTGAACTAATGCTTTTGGAAGGGGATCAAAAACCGCCATGACCTTGGCCCTTCGATCACCGAATCGGATCCGCGACATTGTTTCCGTGGACAATGCCCCTTGGGATGCTGTGCTCCAGAGCAACTTTGGCAAATACATTGAAGGGATGAAGAAGGTTGAAGCTGCGGGAGTTACGCGGCTGTCCGAGGCCGACAAGATACTCCAGGATTACGAGGAAGTAAGAGAGAGGGTCGAATTGAATGCTGGAGACTTGAAATACTGACAATTTATAGTCCCAAGCCGTAAGGCAATTCCTCCTAGGGAATCTACACCACAAACCGGGCGAGCAGACAAAACACTTTAAACCTCCATTGCAAATACTGGCCAGATCGCTGGGTAATATGGGAGATTTCCCCTATAAGGATCCAGAAGAAGTGCGATTCGAGAAGCCTGCGCTGTTCGTACGGGGTACAAAGAGTACTTATGTCCCGGACGAGGCGCTTCCGATAATAGGGAGATTCTTCCCAAGGTTCGAGCTGGCGGATATAGATGCTGGACACTGGGTCATATCCGAGCAGCCGGAAGCATTCAGGAGAGGTATGTGAATTGGGTCATATCACACTAGGGAACAATTACTAACTCTTCCCAACAGCCGTCGTGGATTTTCTGAAACCCAAGGAATAGAAATGTACATTATAGAATATAGAATATAGAATCATAGGTATTATAGGTCCTGGTCCCATCATAGGCGGGAACAATTGCTAACTCCTTCCAACAGTTGCTGTAGATTTTCTGAAACCCAAAGAATAGACTTGAGTAATATATAATATAGAGGTATCATGCCATGCCCATGCCCATACCCATACCCAAGCCCTCAACCCCCAACTCCCATCTATCCCAAAGAACCATCAAGTACCTAGTAAACCATTCAACAAGCACAAATCGACCCCGTCCCCTCCGGTTCCACCAGAGCCACAGTCCCACTCCTTCTCGACGACGCCTTCAACAGCTCCGGTTTCCTCACTATCTGATCCACGATATCCACAAACGGTTTCTTAACATTATCCCTCGTCTTCGCACTGACCTCACAAAACCCACATCCATGCCTCCGCGCCAGCTCCTCCCCCTCCTCATATCTCACCACTCTCGACGACGACGCCTTATCCATCTTATTCCCCACCAAATACAGGATCGCACCAGGCATCGCGTTCGTCTCCGCTTCTTCGAACCAGCGCTCCATGGCTTGGAAACTCGGTCGGTTCGAAATGTCGTAGACTAGGATCACGCCATGCGCGCCGCGGTAATAACTATTCGAGAGCGTGCGGAACCGCTCTTGACCGGCTGTGTCGAGCAGGTTTAGGCGGTATGCTGTGCCGTGGACGGAGAGTTTCTTGACCTGTGCGGACGGGCGTCGGTCAGTACATATAAGGTAGGGTTGCGAGCGAGCGAGCTGGCTGGCCTGGAGTAAGAGAGAGGAGGGGAGGGAAGACGCACTTTGAAATCTACGCCTATCGTAGCGGTGGAGGACTCCGAGTCAAACTGGTCGTCGCAGTACCGTATCAGCACTGGAGGGGTTGTTAGCACCAGGGACCGAGATGCGATGGGAGATGGGGTTTATATCCCGTACGTGCGGATTTCCCGGCTCCAGAGGGTCCGATCATTAGGATCTTGAGCGCCGGTAGAGACTCGTCGGATGCCATCGGGATATGTGCTCTTGACTGGTGCGGGTGTCCGAGTTGTTGCATGCTACTCGGGTCCTGAAGTAAATACTGCAAATGCAAGAGCCACAACGACGTCAGTCTCGCTAAACAGGGCTGCTGCTTTGGGTTTTGAGCACCACGAGGAAGACGGGATCCATCTCATATGTGCAACAGTCAGAACCTCATCATTCCATTTTGTTAATTTTGGAATTTATTTTCCATTTGCTAGCCCTATGCCACACGGCATAGAAGTCACGCCATAAGCCCAAAGCAAGACCTGACTACATGCAAATGACCAGTAGAAAATCCCAGCGCACACGACCAACCGTTTATACTTGATCCAACACCTTCTCCTTGAACTCCCGCTCAACCTTCTGTCCCTGCTCATCTGTGTTCGACTCGCCGTGGAGGGTAAGCAGAGCGCCGAGGTCGAACTTGGGTGCCTTGAGGAGCTTGACCTTGCGGATGTGGACCTGAGAAATGTTAGCAAAGTTGATTATTCGTGGCGACCCAAGAATCAAAACACACATTTTGTAATGGGTAGATGCCTTGTGTGGCCTTCTCGATCTCGCGACCAATGACCTCGGGGATGAGCTTGGCGGTGAGTTGTGTAAGGGTGCAGCTGGAAGCTTCACGCTGGATGATCTCGGTCATCTTCTTTCGGATAGCCCGAATTTGAGAAGAGGCAGCGTATGTGGTCTTCTTGATCTGGTTTGGTCGGCGCTTGGTGAACGCAATGGCGAACAGGCGGAGGAGGTAGTCATCAGTGGTCTTGACAGTGACATTGGCCTCGATCAAGCTTTGCCACTTTCGGACAAGGGATCTGAGCTTGTCGGATGTGAAGTCGAGACCGTGGAAGTTGGTCAAGCAGTTCTTTCCTTGGACCTCGTCGACACGGAGCTTAACCTTTCGGAAAGCGTGGTCCTCATCCTTCTGCAAGTCGGCCAGGGACACCTCGAAGATTCTGCCCTTCAATGCGTCGTTTGCGTTCTTGAGACCGGTGGTTCTGTTGACAAGGGTCTTTCCAACACTGCGAGAAAGGTTAGATGTTTGTCTGTAGTATAGTGATGGCAGTGATATCGTACTCCCGAACGTTGAACGAGGACGGCGCCTGGGAAATTTGTTAGCGCTGCTGCGAATGGCATTCGAGTAGCTCAATGCACATACCTTGACCTGGTACCAGTCCTTACGGGCGAAGGGGTCCTGCGTTCTCTTCTTGAGACCCTTCTTACCCTTCGAAAGGCGCTTGTTCCTGTGTTGTCATGTCAGAATATATTCGATCCGACTTTTCACGCCTCCATTCGATCCAACCGCGAATCCGCTGTGTATGGTGCAGCGCCGTGCCACAAAGACCGCAAGGAGTAACTTACTTTCCGACAGCCATGATTGCGAGAAGTTACCTAGTCGCGGGGCTGTTGTGATGGAACTTTGTTGTCGAGATATTCTTGGAAAGGGTGAGGGGAGTCGAGGTAAGGAAGATTTAATCGTGAATTCTGTGTGCGCGGCTAGGGTGGACTAGTGCCGAGCTAAGCGAGGACAACAGTGGAGCGAAGTCTCCTCGCTCTCTGTCCCTTGGCATAGATCGACCGATCATTCGCATCAATCAACCAACCAACAAGCGAAGAACTCAAGAACTCCTACACAGGAAAACCAGAAGAAGGCAAAACGTGACTTGCTCATGAAGATGTTCTACGGAGTATGCTCTTAAGGTGTGAGTCCTGAGTTTCTGCACAGGCCGGCCGCCGCCTGTTCCATCCAGAGCTTAAGGTCAGCGTGGGTAAATCTCCTTCCAACTTTCAGATCCAAGTCCGTTATGAACTCCAGCCTCTATCTTACTACCAGCTCTATCCATCGAGTTGAATCACTTTGTTTGGTTCTTTACAAAGGGGTATATTGAACTCTCGAGAAAAAGGTAAATACAGCTCATTGTCCTCCCACCATAGAAGATGCCGCAACTCCATATGCAGAGGTACCTTGGGGAAGGCCCTTGACCAGTCAGTCACCCACAACTCCAAAACGCCATTCTCCCTTATCCGATGGCCATCGCCCACCAGATCGGAAATCCATCCTAGACGCCGAAAACCAGCCTGACACCTATCTGGACGTACTTCTCGTCACGCACGAGTTATCGCGTCCTGGAATTGAGCCCACCACAGTTCATTATTGAGACCGTGCTTACGGCACGTCTTTCTCATCCCGCTCATCTATGCTGCTCTTATTCTCGAGGAAGCCTTGGAAGCCTTCAAAGCTTGGGAAGCTGTAATAGTTTCCACCTATACGCCCATTTTGTTAGCGTTCTCACTTCTGGGCAAGGGGACTCCCGGAACGTACACTGCTGGATCGCTACTTCAAACGGTTCCTTCCTCCCTCCCAAGCCTGCACTTCCTGGACTCCTCTGCTCGGGGCTGGAGCAAGTGCTATGGGGCGACGAGCTCATCGCATATTCATGTTGAGCCGTCGAATAACTCGCAACTCTGGTGAGGATCGTCGTCGCTCCGCAGGACTGTCGGCTGGCAAGGTCTTTCCTGGACGCGTTGGATGTGGCCAGCTGGGGACAGGTAGCGCTTGCCCTCATGAGCTTCGGTCTTCTCGAAGGGGTCTTTGGAGAAGAGCCTCTAGATTGGGTCTTGGATGCCATGACGGTGGAGTACTAACAGCCGCGCTTGAATAAATCGATCGCTTGGATATGTCAAAGGCAATGTGATTTGGAGAGGGAGAGTAAATTAACATTGATCAAGCAAGAAGTTGAAGTTTGTAGCCGGGGAGCAGGAACTCAGCGATTTCCACTCATATAAGTGTTTGGGGCCTGGCCACATGTCGGCCTCTGAGTGACTTGGTCGTGTTCGCTTGCATTCGATGTGGTTGCCTTTCACTGGGTGTACGCTTGCTGCAAGGTGAACGCAGCGGCCCTTCCCCCCACCCCTCACGGGCCTCACCTCCTCCAACCTCTGCCGGAAAACCGAGGAGCAGCATGGGTTGGTTCAGCGGTGAGGTTACACACCGCAATTAATAACAAGTATCCGTGAGATTTCCAATTCTACTTTTCTTCCTATTTATTTCTTTTAAATTCATTTTCATTTTCAAGTTCAAATTTTCACATTCAACATGCGCGCGCGGGAACGACGAATCAACTAAAACAATTTTGAATTAAGTTATTCAAGCGGAAAGCCAACTTTTTGAAGGCCTTGGTTCTAAGTAAGCTAAGACGGGTTTCGGGCACGGATGCAGGTACAGCGGGCCAGTAGTGTGGCTCCAGCGGGCATTGTCTCGTCAGGGTTCTAGGCGCGTGATCAATGATCGATGCTGGATCTTGGTCAGTTGCGGAGGTCTAGATCGGCTGCAACGGGCAAACTTACTCCTCCCAGCTTCTCCCTTGGACGGCGGCCAGCTCTTCTTCTGTCATTCGGTGGCCGGTGGTGAAATAACCTGGGGATTTATGTTCAGCCCTATCATATATCGGTGGGGTTTTCTGAGCAGCTTACCAGATGTAATCTTCGCATCTATCTCAACTCTCGAATCTGCAGGAATCAATTCCTCAGGAAGCTCAACTCGTTCATGGATCGGGATTCTAATTGCGGTCAGTACCGCCTCCCCGAAGATCCTGAGAGGACCACTTACCCCTGCCCAACAATTGCATCGTGTTTCATACTGTTGGAGACATCAAGTCAGTATATTGGAATGGTTTTACCCGGGTGGCGGGGAACCCACTTGCTCATGCTAAGCATTCTGTCAATCTTGGTTATTCCAAGCCAGTGAAGGATATCGGGCATCAACGCCTGGAAACGCATGTCCTTCACGCCTGCAATGTTCTCGGTTCGTTTGAAATACTCCGAAGCGCGATCCAGACCACGTTTTCGAGCATTATACACAAGATACTGCATCAAGGAATCAGAAAATTGTCTAGAGACTTGGGGACGGGTAGGCGGGTAGGAGCGGAAGTGGATGCGGGGGAGCGGGACTTCGGGAGTGGGGTTTAAGGAGAGGTGGGGAGGAGAGGTTTGTGATTGGGATATGCGTATGCAAGGGTAAATCGGAGCGGGAAGCTCGACAGTAGTATATGGGGGGGTGGTAGGTCCATAGATGCTCTCCCAGAGTTATTTACCTTTGTTACTTCACCCAGCGCTCGGCCTTCCTTTCGGAAATAGATGACAACTCCGCTTCCGCCTTTCTGCGCTTCTTTCACGGCCTCCTCTATCCCGAAAATGAGGTATGGACGACACGTGCAGATATCAGAGCCGAACACGTCACTGCCGTTACACTATTGCTCACGTCAGATGAAGAGTCCTGCGAGTCTCAAATCTAGAGATGATATCTGAGGGGTACTAACCTCATCGTGGATTCTCAGCGCCAGACGAACTTTCTCGTCTGACATCTTTGCTGGGTCACCGAAGCAATAGACAGTAAGTCCACCTTCAATCTGTCAGATCGCTTCTATGGGTTGGAAGGAATATAATATCGGTACCTATCGGTGGCAAGAAGATCTTGATATCAGGTCGGGTGATTAACTCGGGGTAGGATCCTCCCGTGTGTTCGAACAAGGATCTTCTGAGAGTTCCCTCATCTAGACAAATAATTAACCCAGACTCCTTCGAAAGGGCCAAGAATACAAACCAATGCCAAATCTCTCTGCGACCCCCGGGAGATACCAGACCTAAAATGACCTTAGAGACTTGAGCTGGTATTGATTGGAAAGGAGGACTTACTGGCTCAACAGCGAATTTTGTCACAGCCAGCTCACCTGACTCGTTCAAGCAAACCTTACCATCTGGTACTCTAGCAGTAATAATCAGCTGGATGTTCTTCTCTTTTTACCCCCTTTTTGCAAGGACTCCAAAACTTACAGTCGGCCCTCCCTAACGCTTTGTTCTAACTCTGGAAGCTTGTGCCATTGTTAGCTACACGGTAATAGAAAGTGTAAGATGGTTGGTACCTTCATATGGGCTCTTGTGATCGCTTTACCGAAGGTCAGTTAGTTTATCCTCACCAAGGGGTTCTGAATTTCCGTACCAATTGTTGGTCTAATATCAACTGGAGCGAGTCAGTATGCTTTCCTGTGCTCAAAACATGAAGTACTCACTATTCTCCTTCTCCATAAGGTCTTTGAAAAGCCATGGTGAAAGATGGCCCAGGGGATCCATGGAAACAATCTTCTTCTTATCAGCCCATTGGGGGTGCGGGCCAATGTTGGCCGCTGGCTCGGTATTGGTGAAATCAGGTCTAGATCAGGAGTCAGTCTTTCCTTGTAGCATTGGATTCTCCGTGTGCATTCGGTACAACAATCGGAGGGGGGAGTTGTGGGAGAGACGAACTTGTGGTCTACTTTGATCTCATTGCTGGCAACTGCCAGAGCATAATAGATTGAATACGAGCCGCCGTGCGCTAGATATGATATTAATACACTGAAAAAGCCTTCCGGAGGCTTGGTGCTCGAACTAACCTCCAATAGCTTGGAGAATGGTCAGCATGAGTTACAAAGGGAGAAAGATTGAGGAGAAATCTCACCATTCCGTCTACGGATCGTGGATGAATTTCTGGAGACAACTACAGGACCTCTTTGCTGGGGATCTTTGTTACCCCAGTCCATTGGTAAGGGGTCGATGCCAGATTGACCCGGGTATGTGCTATGCCCGTGTTAGTATCCCCAAGGAATTGTCGAACAGAGGTGGAAGACTCACGTGAGGATGATTCTGGAAGTACCACCAGTACTTGATTTCCGGGAGTGGGAGTCGCCATTGACGTGAGTAGCTGGGAGGGAGGGAGATTCGGGGATTTTGGTGTCATCGTGAGAATGTGATTCATCGTGGCTTGGAACGGGTTTAGACTCCTTGGTGCTTGATGAATCGGCTTTGGCAACATCATTGACCTCCTTCATGCCTGAGAGGACATTGACACGGCCTGAGATGGCGTCGACGCTGGAGCTCAGATGAGCCTGGTTGATTTGTATGGTTTTCAAAGCCTCGAGAACCTCCTTCATCACGGGGGTCTGGTCAGCTGGCGGTGAAGACATGGTGTTGCGCGGGGTCTCCTGAGAGGCGAGTGTGGAAGTGGGAGAGGTACGCAGGAGATGAGGTGAAGTAACGGTGTGACGAGAAAGCCAACAGTCTTATGGAATTCTAGACAAGACGGATGGAGAGACAACTGAAGTTGAAAGTCTCAGATGTGTAAGGGGAACGCCTTTTATATCTACTCGGTACGTGTGTGTCTATCCTTATATAAATGTCCGTTGAAGCTAAGGTAACTATTACCTCTGGGCCGGAAGGGGGGTGAACCAGGAATACGGTAAACAGACCTTAGGTAATCCGGAGCCAGCGCTAATCGCTTATCACTCTGATCACTTATCGCTATCGCCCCGCAGTGGGAATCAGCCCGGACACCGGCGTCTGGTGCCGAGCTAGGATCAGTTCGGCCTAGGTTTGTACGGAGACCTGGACGCCTCCGGTGGGCTTTGTGTCCGTATCGGCAACTATGGCGTGCCGTATTCTGGACGAGCTTGGGCCTGGAGGCTGACGTCCAACTTCCACGGAAACATCAACTCCAAGTCCAAGTCCTCTTCCAAACATCCCAACCACATAGTCATGGTGAGAACACCCCATTCTCGATCAGCCCAATTCAATCAGCCCCACCCAATCTAACCACCGCAATGTAGGGCAAACGCAAGAAGGCCGCCAAGAAGCCCCAGGGCCCCAAAAAGGTATGTTGAGCATGCGCTTCCTTTTCACACTTTAAAATCTTCTAACACGGTTCCGCAGAACGAGCCTCTAACCACAGTCTTTCCCTGCCTCTTCTGTAACCACGAGAAGTCTGTCACCGTCAAGCTTGACAAGAAATCCGGCGTCGGCCATCTCTCGTGCAAGGTTTGCAACCAGCAGTTCCAATGCGCCGTTAACTGTCAGTACCCGTACCCCCCTCCCTGCCCCGCACCCAACACACAACCGCGTTCTTAGCTGATACCTCTTTTCTCATTGAAGATCTTTCTGCTGCTGTCGATGTCTATGCCGACTGGGTTGATGCCTGCGATGCTGTAGCCAAGCAGGATACTGAAGAAGGTGGTGGTGGTGGTTTTGCCTCCTCCCGCGCCCCCGCCACGGCGGGTAGACCGAGTGCTGGTAGGGCCAGGGATGAGGAAGAGGAAGATAATGACGATGATATTCTTGACGATGAAGATGGGTTGGGAGGGTATCGAGGGGAGGGCATTGTTGGGGATGATGAATACTAGGCCTTTTTTCCTATAGTCGGCACCTGGCTTGGGAGAGCCTGGGAAATTCTTGTACAGTATGCAGGACGGCGTTTGGCGGAACGTGAGACTGGGAATTGCGCATGGGATGGAATCGCCTCGTACATAGCTGCAGGCGTGTTCTAATAAAATTTATTTACTATATCACACTGGTACGAGATGAGCCTGCCACTGGAACATGTCTTGTGTCACTGGAATACGTTTTTGTCACTAGGATTAGTCTTTTGTTACTGCAATAAGTCTCTTGTCACTACAATAATTCTCTTGTCACTGGAATAAGTCTCTTGTCACTACAATAATTCTCTTGTCACTGCAATAAGTCTCATGCGCATGGGAATTGGTATTTATATTTCTTAAGCAATCGTCGAGCTAACACATAAGACATGTCTCCAAGCATTTCCTTTTGAGCCACCCAACGCCCTACATCGTATAGAACCTGTCGCCAAAATCACCCAGCCCCGGTACAATATAGCTGCAGAATGTTAGATATCATGTTAATGTTTCTACAAGGCAATAAGACTTACTTCTTCTCATCGAGACCCTAGTATAGAAGTTAGCATTTTGATAGTTTCAAGTAAACATAAGTTGCAAAATTCTACTGACCGCATCTATGAAAGCCGTGACCACCCTCAGCTTGGGGAATCGTTTGGCAAATGTATGGATGCCTTCCGGACTGGCAATAAGATTCAAGAACAGGATCCGGTTCTCTGGAACCCCTCGACTTATGAGCACATCAACAGCCATTGTCGCAGAACCGCCTGCAATACCGTTAGCCCTGCATTCTTGAGACCTCCGCAACCCAAGTAAATCTCACCCGTAGCAAACATCGGATCCAGCAGCAGCACCCAGCGGTCCGCGATATCTTCTGGGAGTTTGTCATAGAACAACTTCGGCTGCGAAGTCTCCTCATCGCGCTGGATCAAGATCTTCCCAATCCTGACAGACCGACAGCAGTCTCGCAGACCCTGCTCCATGGCCTCGCCAGCTCGCATAATCGACACGCCACAGATCTTCCCTTGGAACATGACGCCTGCATATGTTCGACCTACCGGGGTGGTAATCGCATGTTCGACAACTGGCAGATGGTTCAGGCCCTCTTCGACGAGTAATCGAATGATTCGGTTCGAGTAGAATATGAAGTCGGCTCGCTGGGTGTTCTTGTCTCGGATCATGCTACAGGAGGGGAAAATCAGCAAGCTGGGAACCACAAAACAGCACCATCGTTGCTGGGAACCTACGTCAAGAGAGCAATGAGCTGCGGCGTTTGCTTCAGCGTGTGCACATTATCGTAGGGCACCTCCGTCGAGACGGTTGCTATAGGCTTCTCTGGCCGGTAATCTGGGCCCACGCATTTGGTGTAGGTCTTGTGGTTCTCCGTTGGGGACGCCATTTCTGCGGATAGAAGAAGGGTATATGCCTTTTGGCTGCGAGGTTCTGAGCGTGAGAGGGAGAGCGCGGAGGCTGCTGGGTGTGTAGGAGTCTCTGGTGCGTAGAAGTCAAGATATGTTGTGCGGTCAGAGCTCGCTGTGCATGATCTGTGCTCGTGTGCCCTTGCGCCTGTATATATCCCAAGGGTGGGCTGTAATCAATTAGGTACTGACTGACGGTGACGGAAAAGGACGAGGCTGCTGGAAATGACTGGGGGAGGGCTCTGCGAGGCGCGAGCAAGACTACAGTGGTATCGATGGTGCGGGCCGAGGTCTCGCGATACAAATGTGAAGGAAGAGAGATATCCGCCAAAGGATGGGATCAATGAAGGTGGCCCCTCCACTCACTCGGGGTAGACTTGATTAAGTAGGTAAACAGCAATAGGGCAACATGTAGCTGAGCGGCCTGGTCGCGAGTGCGGGGCTGGTATAGGTAATAGTGAAGCCTGGCGAGATTGGGGGAGATAAGGGCGAAGGACTCTTGGTTAAGGTTACTAGTCAATGGTCACGCTTGGGGTCTTGGGGGGAGCATGGGCAAAAGGGGGAAAGGGTCAAGTAAACGGCGGGATAGTTGATGTTTAAGTTTATCAGAGCGTTGACTAAGTTCAAGGTCAAGATACTGTACCTGAAAGAGATGGAGTGAGGAGGAGGAGTAGGAGGTAGAGCAAGAGAACCCTTGGAAGCTAAGGTAAGGTAAGGTAAGGATATAAAAATAATACCGTGATGAAACAGAAACAGATGGAGAATAGTAATACGGGGAAATAAGGGTACAATGCAGTTACCTAACAATACCTCAAGTCCCTCTAGAGTTCTGCTGGCCAATGAGGTACTTCCAAGTCCTGAAAAGGCACATTGTGTCGTTAATGTCTTTGTGAGCCTCCGTCGTCCCTTTCTGCAGCTTTTTCCGTCGCCGGCCGCCCGTCGCGCCGTCGCCCTTCCGCCCTGTCGCCCTCTCGCCCTCTCTCCTACCGCCCTCTCTCTCCTGTCGCCCTGTCACCGCACAAGGCTGGCTACGGCGTACGACATCGTCCATCTGGGCCAATACAATCATCCAGACCAAGCCGAACTTGAGCCTCAAAGAGCTCAAAGGAGATGCTCGCCGCAGGGCTGGTGGCTAGAAGGTGAAAGGTGAGAGATGCTTTGAGCCCCTTCGCTGTGTTGATCCTCTTTGCGCTGAAGTCGTGCTTGCTCATCACTCTCTACCTACGTCCTATGCTCTCTCTCCCTCCCTTGGCATTGTTGCCCTCACTAATAAACATGAAAACAGCAAGCATCGTGCGCTTCCGATCTCCCTTCTTTACATCTTTCCATTCACTTACCGCACACGTCTCGAGCGCCAATCTCTTCCGAACCCCCGACAAAGCGAGCGCTTTCTTTCATGAAGAGTTCTTACGGCATGACACTGGTCTGAGAATGCCCAATGATTTCTACGTGCTGGCACCGAACATAGCATTTGCATTTCCAGAATTGCGGACTCGCTGAGATCCGTCTGAGAGTGCTCCCGCTCAATCGATAATATCCGCCGGTTTTCAAAATGGCGACCTTCGCAGATACTGCAGCTCCTCGAAAGCGCGTGGCAACTTATGGCAAAGCAGGGCGCAGGCGCATCCCCAATTACAGCTTCGCATCACTCGCGCGAAAATCACAGACACCCGATCTAGGAGAGAGTGAACCATTGTCATCTGAGTCGCCTAGTACCGCTCCAGTGGGATCTGAAAAGTTGAGGCGTGTAGCAAGGAGATCTACGTCGGGGAGTCCTCCGTCTACATCTCCTGTCGGCGCCAATGTCTTCGATGTACCTTCCAGCGACGAGGAGGAAGCTCTGCCCATACCGAGGTCTGTTCACAAAAGTGCGCCAAAGCCGCCCAAGAAAACGAAGATCACAAGCCCAAAGAAAACGTTGCCAGTGACAACAGGGAATGATGAGAGGAGGAAAAAGATGAAATTCTCTCCTGCTTACCCGCCGTCTGAGAGGCCCCTTCCAGCCAAAGCACCTACGAAGCAACCAATGATGAGCGCGACAAAGCAGGCTTCAAAACAACTCCACAAATCATTGGGGATGGGACAGACAAGCACGCTGGCAGCGCGACTAAAGCCACCAGCACTTCGAAGAAAGCCAGAGCCAGAGGCACCCAGAGCCCCTCCAAAGTCTTCCACACCGCCGAGCAAAATAACGCCCAGTACACCGTCTCCCGCTCGGAGCGATCCGGACGGGATGGATGCTGATCCTCCCGCAACGTATATTTCGCCTAAGGGTCTACAGATGTGGAAAGAGTTACTGGAACCGGTGGAGAATGACGGAGTAACTGGCTTTACTTTAGAAGCTGAGGACGAGGGTGCCGATGCAACGGAAGCTGGACCATCAACAACACTGGTGTCCATTAAAACGCTGTCTAAACCAGCAGGAGTCTCTAAGAGCTCGCGAAAAAGCCCCGAAAAGCTACGTCGACGACGGTTGATCGACTCGCTGGTTGAGCAAACCATCCAGCAGAGTGATAATGACGAAGATATGCTAGATTCCGATGAGTCGGATAGTGTCCCATCGCTGGCCTTGCCGTTGGGGCTTCCTGGTACAACAGATATACCAAGCAGCCAGGGTCTAGCGCCGGAACTTCCAGGATCAACCGCTCTATCAACAAGTCAGGGCTCCCAAAATGTGGGACTGAAGTTCACATATAGTCGGCAGCGGTCGATGCTTGCGGAGCAGGATCTCATGCAAGAATTGGCTCTTGATATGCCGTCGCAACCAGCCCAAGCCCCGAATGGTAGAAGACCGCGTAGAGGCTCCATCCCTACTCTTCAACCTCTACAAAGCTTTCACGAGGAAGAGGAAGATGATGAGGGCGCAGTAGGTATTCGAAGTGTTCACGAACTAAGACAAGCGGGCGCAAATAACCGGTTCATGGATGAGATCGAGGACTTCCTTGATCGAATTGGTACCCCATCTACTCCTGCTTCTTCAATGAGGCGCTCTGGCCTTCTGGAACTTGCAAGTAAGATGAAAGACAAGGATTTTGTGCGAAAATTCCGTGCCAATGGCGTGGAGCAACGGCTGTTTGTCCATCTAGGCCAGGAGACAGATTTGATAGCAGGATTTGTCATGGTATCAATCCTCATTGCTGTGCTGGTCGATACTAGCATGCCACACGTTGTAGCCCAACTGCGTCGTCATGGAATTACCAGACTGCTCATTCGGCTTCTCGAATGCGAAAGGGGTATCGTTCCCCTAAGCAAGGATCGTAAGAGCAACATGTCGAAGATTGCTCAATCATCTATTTCAGAACATCAGGAGTTCCTACTTAAATTGCCTGTTTGGGAGGAGTTACAACCACGTATCACCACGCCACGCACGACGGCATTGAAATGCCTTGAGCTCATGATTCGACAGACGAGGGAGGCTGGAAATTCCGGAGACATTATCTCCAAGGAGTTGACCACCAACTTGTTTTCAATCTTGAAGTCTGCATCAGAAGAGAGCTCATGGGAGCTACCGAACGGACAACAAGCCATTGACTTCTGCCTTGCATTATCTGCCCTCGAGTCACACTCCATCGCTGCAAGGACTGCCCATGATGAATCAATTTGGATTGGCGACTACCTTCCCGTAATCGCAGATACGCTCGAGACTGCATTATCCAGACCAGCTGACGAGTTTGGCTTACTGCAAGTGTTGATCTTACGGCTTACCCTGAATGTTACCAATAACAATCCGAAAGCGTCAGATGTTTTCGCAAGAGAGGCACTAATGGCCGTCATGGGTCAAGCTATTGTGACAAAATTCAGGATGATCTCGCGCTTCTTGACGGAGGAGGAATTTTCGATCGCCATGGACCACCTCATCCTCGTACTAGGGGTGATGATCAACTTTGCTGAGTGGAGTTCTCTTGCTCGAGCAAGTCTACAGATCTTGCGGGGCAAGGACAATGATCCATTGGGAGACATGATACAACTTTTCGTAGAGAACCAGGCTAGGACATCAGAGGTGAGAGTCTCAATTTTCTATGGTTGTCCACAGCTAATATATGTTCAGGCCGAATCCGTCGAAGAAAGTCAGAAGAATGTTGCTTTTGGCTACCTCTCTGTTCTCCTGGGATACCTTTCTCTATCACCTGACATCGCAGAGCGAATTCGGGTGCAACAACCTCAAAGGACTATTCGGCCTCTCGTATCTTCCATCGAGGAATTTATTGGACATCATAAGACTGTCGATGATCTCATTGGGACTGATGAAGATGGCCACAGTGCACGTACTGGCCTAACAGAGCGACTGGAGAGCCTCGTTGCCAAATTGAAAGAGATCAAATTGGCCGGCAAAAAGTGATTATTTGAATGAAAACATTGTAGTATTACGGAAGGGCACTGGGTCTAGGTGTGATGGATTTTCAAAGTATGGGAATGGTTGAGATATTGGCAATCTGGACAAGGACCTGGGGCACGGTCATGCTCATGACCTCTTCACAGTTTATGGTGGGATGTTTATGGTGGGATGGATAGGAATCGGAGTTATCAGGGACTTCTTTCCAGCTACTGAGGATGCGACTCGGTATTGCCATATACCCCAATGAATGACGAGTCTTCAATGGTCTAGATAGAGGTAGACGGATAGGTACCTACCTAGTTATCAGCGATGTGAAAATATTATATCTGCGTTCATGGCTTACCGTAATCGAGACGTCTCTTTGGTAATAAGCACATAGCAGCTCTAGAACGAACAGCCAGTCAAGAGAGACAGTATTGTCTATGCTCAATTTCTCATTGGCAACAAAGCTGCAGCGACCCTAAACTCTGTATAGTATAATAAGTGTGACGTTAAATACAGTATTTGATAGTTAGCGGCGCTCGTGCGCTCAGCCTCGCCTCGCCGCCTATTATGAATCGATGATTACGGTATTTCGTGCCCAACGAACGACGAATAACAATTAACAACCTCCCTCCATACCTCGACGACGACGAGGAATCTTATAGACATGCCTGCACCACCGAAACAAAGAAAGATCGCAATCGTCGGGAGTCGATCAGTCGGTAAGCATTGATACAGCCCCCCACTACAGCAGGACCTTGGTCGCGTCCCCAGAACCCCAACTCACCAGACGACGCAGGGAAATCTTCTCTCACGGTGCGCTTCGTGGATGGGCACTTTGTAGAGAGTTATTATCCCACAATCGAGAATACTTTTAGCAAAGTCATTAAGTACAAGGGGCAAGAATACGCCACTGAGATCATCGACACAGCCGGCCAGGTAAGACATATAGCCCTGTATGGAATGCGAGATCTGATGACCTATAGGATGAGTACAGCATTCTCAACTCGAAGCACTTCATTGGGATCCATGGATACATGCTCGTATACTCCGTAGCATCCACGCAATCCTTTGAAATGGTTCAGGTTATTCGAGACAAGATCTTAAATCATTTGGTGCGTCCTCTCTCAACTAACTTCTACCTTGCCACGCCAGCTTGCTCATATTGCGAAGGGCACGGAATGGGTCCCCATAGTCGTCGTTGGCAACAAGAGCGACTTGAGACCCGAGCAGCGTCAAGTCACAGCCGAAGAGGGCAAGAAGCTCGCGGACAAGTTCCAGTGCGCCTACACTGAAGCAAGTGCTCGCTACGATGAGAACGTCACCAAGGCCTTTGAGCTTATGATTGGGCAAATCGAGAAATCAACGAACCCCAATGAGCCCACGGGAGACGGAAAGTCGTGCGAGATCATGTGAGGGCACGAAAGGGAGAGGGGAGAAAGAAGAGAGAGATTGGATGGAAGTTTTTACCGAAGTTCTTTTGCTCCTGTTATTTCTGTTGGGAGGTGGCATCTTTCTGTGCGGCGTTGGCAGAGGAGCCGTTTCGAACTATAAGGCGTTTGGCATGGTTTTACTATACATACACGGGCCAGCTACATAGGTACTGCTCTTCCGCGGACAGCGACTTTTGAATGCCCAGCCCGGGAGATTATACATCTTCACCAAGTACCTTTACCTACCTACATTCAGTATTGCCTTGCACGCCATCACGTGATGCCCCCCATTTCCATTTGCCCTCGCGATCTTTCAAAGGCGCTAAACCGTAATTGGTCACCCCACCAAGAGGGCACCAAGCAATAAGGCTGAGCGTCCAAGTCACTGAAAACCCGCCCGACCACCCCTCCCTCGCTGTTGCTGATCAGAGTCAACGCCGACATTCGAGATGCTTGACATTGCCGACTTCATTGTTGAGAAGGGGGGCAACCCCCAGAAGATCAAGGAGTCCCAAAGACGCCGTTATGCTCCCGAAGAGGCGGTCGACGAAGTAATTGCGCTCTACGAAGACCACCGCAAAAGTGAGCCGGAGAGCGCCCCAATCCTCCTCAGCGGATGTGTCTGCTAACGCTGTCTGCAGCTCAGTACGCGGCGACGCAAATCAACTCCAAAATCAACGAGATCCAAAAGCAAATCGGGATCAAGAAGAAGGCGAAGGAAAATGCCGACGACCTGATGAAGCAGAAGGTGGATTTGGAGAAGGAGAAGAAGGCTCTGATCGACTCGGCGGCGGAAAAGGATCTCGCGTTGAAGAAGAAAATCGGCACGATTGGCAACATCGTCCATGATTCAGTGCCTGTTAACGACAACGAGGTATGGCTGCTGTTTGCGACGTCTGCAAATATCAATATCATAATCTAATATCTGTCTAGGATTTCAACACTCTGCAGCGGACATGGGCACCTGAGGGGGTCAAGGTTGAGAAGAGAGACGTGCTCTCACATCATGAGGTTCTGACTAGACTGGACGGTTATGATCCGGAACGAGGAGTCAAGGTTGTCGGACACCGTGGCTACTTCCTGAGGAAATGGGGTGTCTTCTTGAACCAAGCCTTGATCAACTACGGATTGGAGTTTCTTGATCAGCGAGGATACACGCCGTTGCAGACCCCTCAGTTCATGTTGAAGGACTACATGGCGAAGACGGCTCAACTGGAGCAGTTTGACGAAGAGCTCTACAAGGTTGTTGATGGCGACGCCCAGAACGACAAATACCTCATTGCTACCTCTGAGCAACCTATCTCGGCTTTCCACGCGGATGAGTGGTTGGTTACTAAGGACTTGCCAATCAGGCATGTTTGCGGTCTCCCTGTCTCGTGATATCTGCTAATTCGTTTTTAAGGTATGCGGGATTCAGTTCATGCTATAGAAGAGAGGCTGGATCACACGGAAGAGATGCTTGGGGAATCTTCCGTGTCCATCAATTCGAGAAGGTATGCTAGAGGATGCGCTCTAACTCATCAGACACTCTGCTGACCTCATATCCAAATAGATAGAACAGTTCGTCCTGGCAGAGCCAGAGAAATCATGGGATGAGTTCGATAGGATGATCAGCATTTCAGAAGAATTTTACAAGTCTCTAGGCGTCCCTTACCGCGTGGTCGCTATTGTGTCTGGAGCGTTGAACAATGCTGCGTCGAAGAAATACGATCTCGAGGCCTGGTTCCCATTCCAAGGAGAATACAAGGAGCTCGTCTCTTGCTCAAACTGCACGGATTACCAGTCGCGTGCTCTTGAGATTCGATATGGCGCCAAACTGCAGACCGAGATTCGGAAGAAGTATGTTCACGCGTTGAACTCAACCCTGTGTGCAACAGAAAGAGCTCTGTGCTGCTTATTAGAGAACTTCCAGACAGAGGATGTAAGTATTTAAGTCCACTGTTGTATATCTAGTCAGTACTAACCGCATTCTAGGGCTTTAATGTCCCTGAGCCACTCCGAAAGTATCTCCCAGGAGCCCCTGAATTCATTCCTTTCACGAAGGAACTGCCAAAGGATTCCACCTCACAAAAGGTCAAGGGGAAGGTTGACAAGGCCCCAAAGCCGAAGGTCGCACCCGCTACCGGAGAAGTAACGCAAGCAGCAGAAACCCTCAAGGATCTCAAGGTTTAAGGTTTATGGGGGCTGGATAATGAGAGATATGGCATTTCTGGGGCCTGGGCGGGAGTGGGCCTTGGTAGGAGGCGGTTATCGCAGCGTTTGACCGTATGGCGAATAGCTGTAAATTGGGTCCTACAGAGAAGGTAGAGCAAATAGAACTCCAAGGGTCTCTTGGCACTGCCTTATCGTAATTCGTGGACAATGTTATGATTACATATGTGATGTTGATGCTTTCGGACGTCCTGTATAGTCCGGTCTACCTATTATAATGCCCACTTTAAGCGAAAATAGCTACAAACATTCCTACCCAAGACTCATGAGGCCGTCAATTCCCCAATTCCATGACAACACAGCCCTGTGGAAACTACAGCGGCATACGACGATACGATGATGATGATGATCTTTCTTTAATAATAACCTCGCCGCATCGTACTTCTGTGGCCCAGGATACATCCAGTCTTCTGGAATGAAAGTGCTCCACACAACCTAACCCCCTGGATCTCTGGCAAATCGAGGCGAGGCTGAGCCGCCATGGAGGAAGAACATATCTCATGCCCCTTTTGTGGGTTTCAAACTGACGGTGAATACCAGATCATGGTAAGTTTCTATCGGGCTACCGCGTTCATTATGCATACTATACCTTACCTTATATACCATCCGGTCACCTGCTGAAACCGTCACAGCTCCATATGGAGACCCAGCATCCGGAAGGAGGCGAATCACCATTCATTGTCAAGGACGATGCCAGTATTGCAGCCGTGCTGTCTTTGAATGCGGAAGATGACGGCAGTGTCCAATATGCCAGCTGTCCCGTCGATGGCTGTGGAGAAGCAATCCTGATCACGGAGCTCGATTCCCATATCGAAATGCACGGCGAAGAAGAGGACCAGGACACGGATCAGGAAATCATTTCTGGATCCAGGGAACCTGAGGTCAAAGACGGGGTCAAGGCCTCGTTTGATACCAAGCTTTCGCATCCCCTTCGGAACTTGGATGATCGTGGGAAGGCGTCTTCTTCGGGAAGCCCTTCTGAGGACCCCCAAGCAAGCGCAAGAGCGGCATGGAAGAACCTCTTAAAGATGCCGGAACCTACCTCGAAACCTGTCTCCGCACCTACGGTAAAAGGTGCTCGTCGGCGTCTAGGGGTAAAATCCCCTCTCCATCTGGCCGTTCCATATCACGTGATGACTAACCCCTCCTCTTCCAGAAAGCAGAGCTTGGTCCTCACGCCAACGAGAATCGCATGCCATCTTGGCTTGTGAAATTACTTGAGACGGATGGTGAGATAAGGAGTGTTAATAGGCTTGGTCCGGAGGGCAAACTGAAGAAAGTCAAAGTGTCTGTGAACCACGCAGCGGGCATCCTTCCCGTCCTCGAACAACTTCTCAATCAGGATCCTTCGACGGAATTCGCGTATCTGTGTCATCCTGCTGTTAAGCACGTCTCAAAACTTAGGAGAGAAGGTAAGTCATGCTGTACGTTCTAGTACTTGGATTCAGCAGCTGATGGGATCTCGAGGTGGCTTCTGCGGCTATCGTAATATACAAATGATGACCTCCTACATCATTGGTGTCGAGTCCCAGGGATACGAACATTTCAATGGAAAAATCCCAACTATCTTTGATATTCAGGACTATATTGAAAATGCCTGGGATATGGGCATCAATTCACAGGGCCGCATTGAGACGGGTGGTATTCGTGGGACGAGGAAGTATATTGGGACTCCGGATGTAAGTATGATTCAACTTTTCAGCTTTTTTTCTAATCCCATCAAAACAATTAAAAAACAATTAAACGGATCTAATGAGATTTGAATCAGGCACAAGCAATGTTCTGTGGTCTCGGTATATCGTAAGTCAAACACCCACCATCTCAATCCTTTCCCTCCCTTCTGTTCCACACCTCCCACCACTGACGACCTCCAGATGCGACGCCCAAGCATTCAAAACTAAGAAATCCGGGACTCCGGCAGACCATCTCCTCTTCCAAGCCGTCGAACGCTACTTCGTAGATGGGTGTACCTCTTTCTCCGCCAAAGTCCGCCTCACCTCCCTTCCACCCCTCTACTTCCAACATCCAGGTACTTAACCCCACCACCCCTCCTCCAACCCCCCCTTTTCCTATACACAACAATCACAGTACGATATATAATATATATGTGTGTGTGTATATGTGTGCGTGTGTGTATAAAATAACACGAAATTCCAGGCCATTCAATGACGATAATCGGCATCGAGCAAAAACGCGACGGCTCCAAAATCCTCCTCGTTTTCGACCCCATGTTCCACGATGCCTCCAACGTTACGAAATTGGTGAATCGCACTTTTACGCATAAGGCACCCGAAGATGTATTGAAGGCTTATCGACGGGGTGTAAAGTATTTGGGGAAGTATAGTGAATTTGAGCTTTTGAGGTAGGTCCCCCCCCTCTATTCTCCCAATCCAGGGGTTATGTATGTATGTGTGGAGTAAGTAATGTGCTGACTTGGGGTTCGCTGTTTGGAGATTAACGCCCCCGGATAGTCAGAAGGGGAATATTGTGAAGGGGGCATGGGATATGGATTAGATATCGTTACAGCGAGCATCCATCACATGGTGTCAAAAAAAAAAGGGAAAGGAGACGTTTTCCTTTCCGACTGGTTGGCTCATTATGAATTCTGAGTGCTATTTACTTGGCTACTCGAACGCTGCAAGGTGAAGGATTCGAGACAGGAGCAATTTATGTCCCGGCTTTTTTTTTCATAAATCCCCAACTTCCTTCATCATCGAGGCATGCGTGACCGTTCCCATGCTATGCATCGGTTTTTTTCATGGGGGAATGCCGCTTGCAACGCCATGCATAAATAGATATCATACGCCGATGCCTTTCCCAATACCTACCTACCCTTAAACATTTGTAGTGCCATCCCTTTGTTAACCTCTTCGAGGAAGATAGCCGGCTCACCTGCGATAAATTTCCCGCTCCCTATCCCTATCCAACGGCTCTCGTTCGCGAGCCCTCTCCCTATCGCGCTCTCGCGTTGGACTTCGACTGCGACTACGAGTTCGCCCGCTCCTACTGCGGTCATCATAGTCCAGCCTATCTCTATCTCTATCATCTCGTCGCCGACGGTCATCCCTCGAGCGATCTTCTCTTGGCGGTCGGCTACTGTCGGGTCCATAACTTGGTATGTATGTGTCGACATTGGGTGCGCCACCTCTGCTTCTTGGGAGAGCACGTTCACGATCTAGATCCCGAGATCGAGATCGGTACCCATCACGCCCGTCAGATCTGCCCCCATCGTAAGCAAGCTGGTCGCCAGCAACCGGGGGCGGTCTTGGAGGCAGCCTAGTATCTGGTCTATCATCTCGTTGCCATGCTGGTCTACGTCCTTCAGAAGGTGGTATGCCTCGGTGGCCGGCGTGAGGATAGCGGCTGCCGTTCTGATGAGGTCGGTATCCGCCGTAGTTGTCGTTTCCATATCCCGGGTTTCCACCTCCACCAGCTTCGCCTCCCCAACCGCCTTGGCCACCGTTCGGGCCCATGCCCACGGTCCCCCCTTTAGGTGCTGGAGGAGGAGCAGCTTTCTGGCCTCTAAACTTTCGGCGGTCTAATTCATGGGACTCTTCGAATGTTGGTAAATCGCCGGCCTTTGCCGGTAATGGGCTGTCGCGGAAGTACGGATGTTGTAAGGCATCGATAGCATTGATGCGTTTTCTCCAATCGAGCTTGAGTAACTCACTCAGTAAAGAGATAGCCCCTGAACCGAACCTGAATGGGATTAGATTTACGAACAATACCGGAAGAAGATTCTTACTGTCGAAAGCGCTGTGATAAGCTGGGTGGTCGTGGCGGTATATTCAGACCCTCCGCACCAGGCAATGATCTCCAACCTGGCATATTTTCTTCTGTCGGGGTTCCAACCAAATCAAAAATAATCTTGAGCTGGTTTTGATCACTCTCTCCTGCCAGGATGGGTTTGCCGATGAGCATTTCTCCGAAAACACAGCTGCGGTAAAAGTTAGTAGATATACGCTTTTGAAGTGATGATTTGAGGACTTACCCAACACCCCATAAATCAATCGCAGTTGTATACTTTCTCAAATGCAAGAGCAGCTCGGGGGGCCTATACCACCGAGTGACTACAAGCGTGGTGTAATCTCTACGAGCCTCTCCTCCCCCATGTCCAGCTACTGGAACAGGTTCATCATAGTGTCGTGCCAAACCAAAATCAGCGATCTGTAGAATTCCCTTATTGTTGATCAAGAGGTTGGCAGCCTTCATATCCCGATGTAGTATTCGGTTGTCGTGCAAATATCGAAGACCTTCCAATAACTGCAACATATAGCATTTGATTTGAGGTTCTGTGAACTTGATCGCAGGGTTCTCGAGGAGGCCCGAAAGATCATGATCCATATATGGGGTGACCATATACATGATTGCGCGCTTCCTCTTATCCGTGCTCTTCTGATGACTCTCTACAGCCATCTCTTCCAGCTTCAGAATATTCGGATGCGACAGCAATTTGAGAAGCTTGATCTCTCTTAAAGCCGTGATTGGAAACCCATCCTTCTCGTTGTGCATCAATATCTTCTTCAAGGCGACTATTGCACCCGTCTTCTTCGACCTGGCTCGATGAACTTCTCCAAATGTACCCTCGCCTAGTTTTCCCAGCACTTCATAATCGGTGATTCGCGAGCAGCCGCGGAAGGTGTTCTGCGGCCGGGTATTCTGAGCAGCGTAGGCTCGGGGAGAGACTCCGTTCGCGTGTGGACTCACTTGTCGTGATGGAGTCGCCATAATCGCAGACGGCGAGGTATTCGATGTCAAGAAATCTGCGTGTTTAGGATAGGCTGTGGACCTTTGTCTCGAGGATGCGGTGTCGTTGAGGGAGGAATGGAGAGAGAGAGAGAGCGCGCCTCGGCGGTTTCGTTGCTGGCTCCCAATCAAAGTCTTGGGCATTGTATTCAAGAACAATAGATAGAAAGCCCTGGCAATAGGATATAAACCGGCTCTGCAATCTATACACCCATTTGCGCAAGACTATTCAATACATTACAACCAGAGACAATACGATACGGTATCTAGCTCACACATCTAGCTTAGCGTCGCGTAAGAAATGCGCTTGCGGAATCACGGCGATTCTTTAATCCGCCCTGATCTTCCAACGTCGTCTCGTCTTCCGGATCACAAGTCAGTTCCTATCCGACGAAAGACCAATTGAACCGCACTTCGAGTCCATCAACTGTGAGTGTATCTGCGGAGCAATCTAATACTGATGCTGACCCAGCATTCGTGCAGCATAATGTCGGGCAAACACCCAATCCATATCCACCCCGTACGACCCCTCTACCGCTTTGCCGCGACCGGATTGGGAGCGAGCATGTGGTTCTTCGTAAGTATCTCCTTGTTCCTGTGAAGATGGACCTCAAAGATTAACCAATTCTATAGTTAATGTATCGCGCGAAGAAAGACGGTACCGACTACCCCCTCTGGCTCTAACGTTACGGACGCCTCTAACGTGAACATAGGACCTGCGTTACTGGGCTGGAAGCATCCTTGGGAACACTGAACGGAGCAAGAGCTGGGCGGATGATATAGGAATCCGAGGGAATGGTAGCCGGCCCATGTCAATTGTAACGGACGATTTGGATGCCCCACCTTGGCCGGTTGTCGTCGGATTCTCTACTGGTACCTGGGACATTGTAAATATTGGAGGGACAGCAGAACTCTGGAAGATATAAAATCGATATTCAGTTTCCCGAAACTCCAGGTCCACAACTTACGCTTTAGGCGTATCGGGCTTTTCGAGAAGATAGTGGGACAAACCACAAGTATCTCCCCCCTGATACGAAAACAGCTCTGCGCATGCCATGTAGAAGATCTGCCACCTACGACATTGTCGCGTCTTTCTCATAGCATGTGTCTTTTGAATGAGGCCAAATTTTTGTTTGCTGGTGACCGTCTTGAAAGCCGATCCCATACGTCATCGGCAATCGAAGGAGATGGGGACGTGAATGGCGAACATCGCAAGCCTTCGCACAATGCTTCCCTGAAACCCACCACCACAACTCAAAGAACATATAGGGAGGGGTGGTTAAATCTACATTGCTATCAGATTGCTATCAGATACCTATAAGCGCGAAATGAAACGGTACCCCCCCCCCCCCCCCCCCTTCGCCATTGATACCACTACCGCCAATGAACAGCACTATGAAATTAGAGGTGTCCTAATCTTGGATCTTAAGGGATTTGACACTTGAAACGCCGTCCGGTTCCTATATGGATTAGGACGTTTGGGAGATGTCCACCGTCGAGTACCTAGTCTGTGGGGTGTTAGCAATACATTTTCCTGAATGACATTGGAAGCTCGTCACCATAGTTCATCATCCAAGGGTTTCGAGGGCTATCCATGTCAGTCCTGGGGAAGAGAAGCTGGAACTACTGTAAGCTACAAGAGTTATTATCAAAGTATATGTTCCAATTGTCTCATGTTTGAGAAGCCAGAATCAAGCGCAAGCACGGGTATCGTGATACTGTGTAAGGTAGGTAATAAATATCATCAACTCCTAGCAATGTAGGTTGGCGTAGAATGCAACAATGGAGTGTATGTCATTGCTAATCCGAACCCTCTATTCTATATTCTGATCTCTCATATCTTCATATCCCATTACATAATATAAATCATTGCAGTGTTCGCATCTGCTCCAGTACAATTTTGTATGCCTTGCGCTCTTTTGGTTTCCCCGTGACCCGAATCTTTAACGCTCCTAAATATTTGGCAAGCCCAGGAAACAGATAATGCTCCGAGATCCAAGCCAATGCGATATACCCAATACCCAGTACTAGTATAAAGGTTCTAAATCCCCAACTCATCTTGGTCAGCTGCATAAATTTTGCCAGCCAATCTGATGGGTCAAACAACATATAAGAGGAGAATAGTAAGGTGACCACAATGGTGACGACGAAAGGTACTGTACACGCAGTCAGCAAGATTCGAAAGACTGATGCGCGAGGGCCCAGAAAACTTACGATTGTGTGACATCGGTCGACGGAACGGACGCCCGACGCTCAGGACGATACCAGAGAGGATGTACTCATAGCAGGATACCAAAAACAAAGTGGTATTCTCGGAATTTTCAATGTTGGATTTTTCTCTATCAAGATGAGGTGGTATGAACCTATGGAATTTGTAAGCAATAGACAAGAATCAAGATTCGTCGGACTGACCAGGGCTGTCTACGAACAGCTTGGAAAGCCACAGCTTGGATCAGGATAGAAATGGCAACTTGACCCAGTAATGGAGTCAAGACCTTTCGTGATACTAGATTTGCTGTTGGGCGCTTTTTAGATAAGACTGGAAAAGGCCCGGTCCATCCCACTAAACTGTGTCAGCGATGGCTCCAAGACAGTTGGGACTGGACTCACTGAAGATGGCAATCGGCAAGATCAATAACAGATCGATGAAGAGAAACTTTAGAACCATCAGCGGTAGAAAATCATGGGAATTGCTATGCATCATCGTACCTGGAAGTCTCCCAAGTTTGACGCGGACGCATACAGAAAGCTGACAGATGTAAACTGAATCGCGGAGTACAAACTCATATACTTGAAGCAACTGAAGCTCGTGACTAGCGCTGCTCGACCTTCCCTGTGTGGCTGTCAGTGAGAGGGCTCTGTCATTGGTAAGGAGAGAAACATTACCTAATAACCTCTGGAACACACGTTATATCAAACACCCGGCTTGTAAACGGAGCAGCAACCGACGCTTCAGCCTCAGAGAGGGATATACCAACATCCGCGGCCTTCAAAGCCCCACAATCATTGGCACCGTCACCACAAAATCCGCAACAGTAGCCAATACTCTGAAGCTTCTCTACTAGTTCGTGTTTCTCATCTGGAGACATTCGAGCAAAGACTTGTCCACAGACAAGCATCTGACACTCGTTAGCAGCAATTCGGGAGAGCGGGGGAGATATATCAACCCTTTGCAACACTTCAGGAGGAGCGAAGTCAACAATCCAACGAAATACTTCTCCGCTCACTGCTAGAGAATAGTTTCGAAGGTTAGAAATGTCATAGGGAAGAGATGCATCTCCCTCAGCGGGCGGAGGGAGGGGCTAATTCCAGTCAGTAAAACAATCAAAACATCTGTTTGCGGATACTGACTGTAAGAGTTCGCTCATCAAGCCTGTAGATATTGTTGTCTATACTTTCCCAAGACAGGCAAGCCTTAGGATCTTGAGAGTCACCTTGAAGACATATCAGCAATAGACAACCTATGACTTATTCAAAAACGCACCTTCGACAAAGCGAGGAACAAAGCAGTGAGCAGTCCTGTCGATAAGGTTGCATTCCCTAGCAACGCTTATTGCAGTCAAGATGTTGTCTCCAGTGCACATGACTTTCCTTATCCCGGCTTTAGAGAGTTCGTCCAGAACACCAGTTGTACTAGGCTTCAACTTATTTTCAAATATAATGAATCCAATGAAGTCTAGCCCCGATTCAGCTTCATCGCGCTTCATCTTCTGGACTTTCACCCAATTAAGTTTGGCAATGTGTTTAGTAGCACAGGCAATAACTCGAAAGCCCCTGTGCGTATAGTAGGCGAGAAGATCTTCATAGTCGCTAGGAACTTTAAGAAGATTAGCATTAGATACCCCAGACTACCAGTATCTAGCATAGCGAATAACTCACAACTCTCGGCTTTGCATATGTCTTTCATGCATTCTGGCGCGCCTTTCACATAAATATCGCAGCCTGGTGACCCAAAGTTGCGCACAATTACGCTTGCCCTCCGAAGCTGGGACACGAATTCGAATGACTTTAACACACCGAGCTCGATTGGGGATCTCTGCATCAAGGGTTGGTTCCAGAAGTTATAAATTTGAAGAATAATCACTTACAGGTGAATTTTGTCCATCTTCATTGTCGTCCAAGTCATATTCCATCCCAGCAGGTGGTCGGGCAATGGACGGCGAGAGACCACCTTGATCCTCGTCCTCGGTATTCCCGGCTCTTTGTTCCCCTTCCTCGAATGTCCAGCCAGTAAAGTCAAACATTTTTAAATCGAGTGGGTCGCCTACAAGCTCGCCGTCAACCATCCGGAGCGAGTGACAGGTAGCCATTGTATAGAGCGCGGCCTTGTGGTGGTCATATTCGACCGTAGGATCTCTTTCATAGGCTGCACCAGGTAGCAAAGACTGGGCATCTGGAAGAATGTCGCTGAATCGATTCGATGGTTTCTGTGCCACTCGAATCCCAAGAACATCAAGGCCATCCTCCGTGAGTGTCCCAGTTTTGTCAAAACAGATGATGTCCAGCTTGCCACCAACATTCACCCTTTGGGGACTAATGCAGAAAATCTGCTTTTTGCGCAGGCGAGAAAGGGCGAAGTTGGTTCCAATTGTCAAGGTTGCTGGCAAAGCTGGTGGCACCACAATCGTAATCAGGTCTAGCGCTCTGATGATTATCAAGTGCCAAGCCAATCTCAGGCGGACGAAATTCACGAATGAGGCAATGAACCCAAGCATCGCAACCCCACCCATAACAGAGATATATCTGAAAGAATCTCTGTAGAATTTGAAACCAGAAGGCTTGGGAAAGAGCATCGATCTGACCAGAGCTCCCTTCGTAGTGTTAAAGCCTGTTCGAACCGTCATAGCAAGAGCAACAGCCTCATCGTCTTTATCGTCTTGTGGACGTCGTGCACGGATAATTTTGGTACCACAGAACAAGAAATGCCTTGCCAATTCGGGCGCAATAGACGAAGCTGCGAGGTTAAGACGATGAAGAGATTCATCACTCGCTGGAACTTTTGAAACGGGAACAGATTCGCCTGCAAGAATGAGAATATACTTGTCACTATCGGTGAGGGGACTTACCCGTGAGCATGCTTTCATTGACAATGCAATCACCGGCTAATAGTATACTATCGCAGGGGAATTGAGTCAAGGCTGGGTCTGTTACTTCATAGACGTCACCTGGAACGAGTTCGCTGGATGGAATGTAACGCCCTATGCTTGTTAGTCCTGAAAGTCAGACCTACGTAGCTAGGTAAGAACCCACAAAATGAGTTGCGAAGAACGCGAACATCGCATTCAAATCTTGATATTTCTCTAAGGCGTCGCATGGTCTTATGGATCATTAGCCAGCAGTTCAGGCCTAATCACCAAGTTGGGGAGGGGCGCACCGAGCGAGTTTCAATAAGGGTTGTAGTAATGCTCACGACAGATATGAGGAAAATACAAGCAGCATAATAATAGTACTCGTCAAGTGACCAGAGTATCAGACTAGCAACCTGGAAGACGTAGAAGGGATGAAAGGCCTATATAGTTAGTTATAAATTCAGGGAACAAGGCACGAAGAGCGGTACCTCGTCGACCAGAAGCTGAGGAATGGTTTTCTGCTTGATATCAATCAAGTTCTTGCCGAAAACAAGCTCTCGGTTCTCTTTCTCGTCACCATCTATCCCAGCACGGATAGATTTGACATCCGTCCAGGCAGGGTCCTTCCAGCTATTACACAGAATGAACCTGTCCTTTAGAGGATTATAGCAAAATCGCATATATCTGTAATCGAGGATTCGAAGTTCGTCAAGGATAGGGTCATCATCCTCATATGAAACGACAAACTTCTTCTCTGAAGAGCCGAAAACCGTGGATACAAAGCGACCGTATTCGTGAGATTCTACATCTTGAATGACGAACTCTCCCCATTGGTTCTATGAAAGTGAGCATAATGCACTACAACAAGTCTCTTTGACACATGGTTTCGACCTCCGCTGGAGTCTGACAGTTCAGGAGTTCCCCAAAATGGAGAATAATAGATACATAAGAAGTAAGTGTAAACTGAAAGAGAGACTGACCTCAATGACAACCCAGCTGCAATGGCCCAAGGGGGATGGTCTTCCAACTATGCGTACTTTCCACCGAGGCAGCCAACGCAGGAGCAGGTAGCCAATCCCCAGTGTGAGTACGCAAATCGTCACGTACAAAGCATACCCAAACGTGCTTGTTTGGAATCCAGCCACAGCAATGGTCAAATCCTCTGTGACTATGTATATCTTCTGACTGGTCCGATGTCCTCGATCGAAGTTGCTTCCATCTGTCCTCGTACTGTCACTCCGGAGGAGACGATCGTGCACTGAAGCTTTCGAGCGAGTGGAGGAGGGCCTCCTAATTGTGGAGAGCCCGCCTGCCTCGAGATCGGCGGAATCGTTTTCCTCATCCTGTATATCCTCCTCCTCGTCCAAGATTGCACTATCGTCCTCCAATAGTGGTAGCACCGCGCCCGCGTCCTCGTCCTCATCCTCCTGGTAGTAAGTGAAGCTGGCAGACGAGTCTGCTCTCCCCCGGCGATGTGCAAACGATGAGACACTTGTAGGGACGCTCTCTGCCATCGGGCCGCCGAAGACCTCCTCATGGGCCATTTCCACATCATCTAGGAAGCTCGAAGTGCTCATATTCGAGTCCCTCCTGTGCATTGGACTGTGTTGCCCGCTTGCACGACCATGATCAGTGCGACTGCGTCGTCGCCCATTGTGGATGGGGACGCCATCGAGTCCGCCCATCGTTGCTAACGGAATAACCACGCCTTGGACGTGTGCCGGTCACTAGGAGACAATGCTCATGGCGAGCCTTCAGCTGACGGAAAGAGTTGGCATCTCCGTCCTGACTTGTGAAGTGCTACATAGTACTTGATAGCGGCAGTCCAGATGTCCTAGTGCGGCTAGACGGATTCGGTAATCGATACAGATTCTGCCAACCGTGGGCGAGGTCAGTAGGTAGGACTTCGCCTCCAGGACTGCAAAGGGTTAAACACGCACTGAGCCTTTTTCTGTCTTGCAATCTGGACCCGGTCACGAAGGTAGACCTGGATCTGCCTGGCCTGCGTAGTTCGTATTCATCCTTCTGTGTTTTTTCCCGCGCAATTCGGTCCGCGCAGAGTCTTCTACCGGGTCGAGATCCCTTGGAGTGACAAGCAAAAAGGGTCCCCAAGAAAATTAGGCGGTGAACCGTGCTAGCCTCGACTCCGTCCCACCAAACTCGTCCTCAACTTCGCCCTCACTCAACTCAACTTCAATAATTCCTTAATCTTTCCGACGACAGCCACGCACGAGGCGTCAGATCCCCATTTGAGATCCCTCTTTAATCTTCTGTCAAGGTCAAGCCCTTCTTTCAAGGCTCCCTCAACATGTCGGAAATCCCAAAGAAACAAAATCTCCAAACCGCTCCGTAAGTCACCCTGGGTACCCACACCGACGAGCACGTCCTTGAAAGAAAAAATGAACTTTTCACGCTGACTTCACGGCCAGAACCCCTCAAAATACTCCTGCCAACAATGCTCCTATCTCCTCCCACGCCCAGCAACCCGGTGTAGGCACCATCAAAGAAGGTCCGTTGGGCCCTTTTGCCCCTCACCGTGATTTATGTGCAACCCGCTAATATCAACCGCAGAGGAGTTCGACCGCGCCGCAGCAGCGTCCATCTTCGCGCAAAACCCGAAGCTTGTCCAGATGATTCAGGGCAAGCTTGGCTCACTTGTTGGCCGGTCGTCCGGTTACGTTGAGTCTCTCCCTGCACCAGTTCGCCGACGTGTTGCCGGCTTGAAGGGAGTGCAGAAGGAACACTCGAAGTTGGAGGCCCAGTTTCAGGAGGAGGTCTTGGAATTGGAGAAGAAATACTTTGCCAAGTTCACCCCATTATACCAAAAGCGAGCCCAGATCGTCAACGGTGCCGCGGAGCCTACTGCCGAGGAGATCAAGGCTGGCGAAGAGGATGAGGAGCAGCAAGATGCGACAGAATCCGCCGAGAAGGAGGAGGCAACTTCTGATGTCAAGGGCATTCCAGAATTCTGGCTGTCCGCGATGAAGAACCAAATCTCCCTCGCTGAGATGATCACCGATAGAGATGAGGCAGCCCTCAAAGACCTCGTCGACATCCAAATGGAGTACCTCGACAAGCCCGGTTTCCGTTTGATCTTCCACTTTGCCGAAAATGAATTCTTCACCAACAAGACCATCAGCAAGACATATTTCTACCAAAATGAGAGCGGCTATGGCGGAGACTTCATCTACGATCACGCTGAAGGCGAGAAGATTGACTGGAAGGAAGGCAAAGACTTGACTGTGCGAGTTGAGAGCAAGAAGCAGCGGAACAAGAGTAAGTCATGTTGCGGCATCTACTGAGCCCTGGCTAATACATGTGAAGACACCAAGCAAACCAGAGTTGTCAAGAAGACCGTGCCAACAGAGTCCTTCTTCAACTTCTTCAACCCTCCTAAGGTGCCAACCGATGAGGATGATGACGATGCTGCGTCCGACATTGAGGAACGCCTTGAGCTTGACTACCAATTGGGAGAAGATATCAAGGAGAAGCTCATTCCCCGCGCTATTGACTGGTTTACTGGCGAGGCTCTCCAGTTCGAGGAGATTGAGGACGACATGGAGGAAGGCGACTTCGAGGATGAGGACGATGAGGAAGACGATGACCTGAGTGAAGACCATGACGATGAGGAAGAATCAGACGATGATGTAAGTCGCTCCTCAACTTTTATTCAAGACCTTAGCTGATGTGAGAAGGACGATGCTGCGAAACCAAAGCAGGAGGCTGCTGAGTGCAAGCAGAGTTAAACCTTCCGAGTTGAATCCGGCCTCTGAACCGCCCGACCTCTCCCCTTAGCCCAAAACTCAAACCCCGCCTATCACTCTTTTGGCCTCTCGATGGCCCTCTCAGCCAAGATTGCCCCCCGCATTTGACACACCAAATGCTTGGCGTAGATTCTTGGGGAGGGACCTCTCTAATTGCATAGGTGTTTTTACATGGCACGATGGAACTACTTCGTCGTTGCCTCTAGACTAGTCTAATCAGCTTCCGAAGCTTGCTCTGATTTTTTTTGTTGGTTGTACTGCATCTATCTCTTCATGCATTTTCGATTAATGCAAATGCAAATATTGCAAGGGCGCACTCCGTAGAAAACATATAAGAAAAGTTCACCGAATTCAGCCAAGTCAGCAAACGTGATATGATGATGGCCTGCTGTCGACCAATTGCCTGCGTGAACGTTTGAACGTTTGATCGGGCGGTAAGGCTGACAGGTGGCTAAGTAAGAAATCCCTGTAAGAAATTTTCAGAGGCCGAGCCTCGCGGGGCAAAATGACGCGAGGGATCAACCAAGGGAGGGAAAAGCAGATCTGACTCACGGTTCGCGCACATTTTGTGTATTGTCAACGTCCTCTTCTCCTTCATTATCCTCCTCTTCAAAACAACCAATCGGCCTCATAGTACACGGAGCAAGCATGGCGGAAGCACAAGATATCCCAACCAGACTTGCGAAACCGGTCTCCCACAGCGTATCGACTTCGCCCAGTGCGGCATTCCATTCCCCCTCGAGCAGCTTTGGCGGGGCAAACCTGGCAAGAAGTGCTACTTTGTCCAACCAGAGAGAGCTGAAGCCCTTTGACACGACGGATATCAAGATTCTGCTACTCGAAAATGTCAACCAGAGTGGTCGCGACATCCTATCTGGCCAAGGCTATCAAGTGGAAGCTTTGAAGACCTCTCTGCCAGAGGATGAATTGATTGAGAAGATTCGGTGGGACAGATTTACTCTACTCGGAGATCTCTAGCTAATTGGCCTCTCATAGCAATGTCCACGTTATCGGGATCAGATCAAAGACCAAGCTCAGTGAGAAGGTCCTCCGCGAGGCCAAGAACTTGATCGTAATCGGGTGTTTCTGTATCGGAACCAACCAGGTTGATCTCGAATATGCAGCAAAACATGGAATTGCTGTCTTCAACTCGCCATTCGCAAACTCCCGAAGTGTCGCAGAGCTTGTCATCGCAGAGATCATTATGCTTGCCCGCCAACTGGGCGACCGCTCAATGGAATTGCATAATGGAACCTGGAACAAAGTCAGCGCGAAATGCTGGGAGATTCGAGGCAAAACTCTCGGTTTGTTATTGCATCCTTGCTATGAGGTCTGCTGAGGCTGATATTCGGCTCAAGGTATCATCGGCTACGGTCATATCGGTTCACAATTGTCTGTCCTCGCAGAGGCAATGGGCATGTCAGTAATCTACTACGATGTTGTCAACCTGATGGCTATGGGAACAGCGAAGCAGGTCCCTACTCTTGAAGCACTACTTAGCAACTCGGACTTCGTAACATGTCATGTCCCTGAGCTTCCCGAAACGAAGAACATGATCGGGCGAGTTCAATTTGAACAAATGAAGGAAGGAAGCTATCTGATCAATGCCAGTCGAGGCAGTGTGATCGACATCCCCGCTCTTATCAATGCTTCCCGTAGCGGTAAGATTGCTGGGGCGGCCTTGGATGTCTACCCAAGTGAACCGGCTGGTAACGGTGACTACTTCACGAATAGTCTGAATCCATGGGCAGAGGATCTCCGCAGCCTCAAGAATGTCATCCTCTCACCCCACATTGGTGGTAGCACAGAAGAGGCCCAGCGTGCTATTGGTGTCGAAGGCAAGTTTTCTGCAATTAATGGTATCTAATTATGCTGACCATTGATCAGTCGGTGAGGCCTTGGTCCGATACGTCAACTCTGGCGTGACTCTTGGTGCTGTGAACCTACCAGAAGTTAACCTTCGTTCTTTGACACTGGATGAGCGTGACCATGCTAGGGTAAGGCATTAGTTCCTCTTCTCCAAGGTCTTAAAAACGCGACTGACAATAGCAGGTCATCTACATCCATCGCAACGTTCCCGGTGTGCTCAGAAGAGGTAACAAAGTCTCATCAATGCTCTATTAGCAATGCTAACTGCGAACTAGTCAATGAGATCCTGGGCAACCACAATGTTGACAAGCAAATCACTGATAACAAAGGAGATGTAAGAATCATCACGTTCCAGCCAACCGGCCTTGACCACTCAGCTGACCATTCACAGGTGGCCTACCTAATGGCTGATATCAGCAACGTGCAGAGGACAGAAGTCAAGGAGATTTTTGATAGCCTGGAAGCATTGAGCTGTAAGTTTCACGAAGCTTTGAGCAGGCGCTCTCTTTCTTTACGATCTATTCTATTCTCTTATTTCGATGGGTTTCCAGAGCCTTGGCTAATATGAGCAGCACGTATCTTGACCCGTGTACTCTATTAAATAGAGCGGAATTGAGGGGGGGGAAATGTTTTGCATTCAACAGGAGCCTAAGGCGTCATTCGGATTGCTCGGTTTTTTTCAACACCATAGAGCATAGAGAGAACGAAGGGAAGGGCATTTCTGGAGGCGGTCAATAGAAAGAAACTCATCTCTTGGATAAGCATGCGCAGGTAGCTGGTATCTACGGTGGAGGTACGCGCCGTTTCGCATCTGGTACCTGCGTAGAGAAAAGAAATCAAACAAGGTACCAAAAAGAAAAAAAGAGGAAAACACTGTAGCAAAACTGAGTCCGTGACTATGCCGGGATTCGTCCTGCCGTGCCGTGCCCTGAGGAGGCTGGGAGAACAGCATTGGGTGGGAGGCGGTGAAGAAAAGGAACAAGCAGGAGGCCTTGTCACGCACAAACATGAGGCCGCGGTAGAAGACAACCGCGCGTGCGTGCTATTACTATGGGCCATAGCACACCAGAAAGTGAACACCGCAGTGCCCCTGAGGAGGGGCGATCGTAGTAAAAGGACATGATGAGACTCGGACACCGCCAGGTAAGGAGAAGAATAAGAGCTGTTCATGACCCCGTAGATGGGTCTGTATCGTCCTATCCTATCCTATCTTACTGTATCCCGTGTGCAGTCAAGGAAACGCGGAACACGCCAACTGGAAACACCCGCGCGGGATTTTTATTTTACCTAAGCATCCACCCCTGTGTCGACCGACTCCGTAATCCACTACCACAGTGCCTACTAGCTACTTGCATCGAAGCAAGCCCCTAGGTACGCGACATCTTCAAAGCTTCAAGCAGCATCATCCCAACTGCTTTCACCATCTTTCTACTTGATCTTTCTCCCAAGTACTGACCCGGCACTCTCCCTTCTCCTCCTCCTCTTCTCTCACTAGTCACTTGGGATGTGTAGCTGATGACCTGGCAAGATAGCGAGCTTCGTGTAGTAGCAGCATACCCCCTTTGACACTTGTCCTTCACTACAGCCTCTGCACCTCCCCCTCGTTCATCCCAGTCTTGTTCATGCAGGCTGGATCTGCTACCTCTCTCGCTTCCCGCTTTGCTTGTTGAAGGATTGACGGACGTTGAGAACGGGGTAGGACTGGACGTGTCTGTCCACCGAGATCCCTTCGATGGCGCACAACTACGATGTCGGCACGAAGGCATGGCAGCCTGATGCAAAGGAGGGATGGGTGGCATCAGAAGTTATCTCCAAGACTGCCGATGGGGACAAGTTGACCCTGGTTTTCAGCCTTGCAAATGGCGAGGTGCGTCTGGTGCAGCTCTAACGGCATCACTTTTCTCCCCGGAATGTTCTATTGGTACTGACCCTCCATCTCTACTACTAGACCAAGACGATCGAAACGACCGCAGAGGCTCTTGCCATTGACAACAACCCGGATCTTCCACCCTTGATGAATCCGACAATGCTCGAAGCTAGTGACGACTTGACGAATTTATCACATCTGAACGAGCCGGCCGGTAGGGTATCTGCGAAGCATTTGTAGACCTCTACTAATCGACCTGCATAGTTCTCCAAGCCATCCGGTTACGGTATTCACAGAAGGAGATATATACATATAGTGGTATTGTCCTGATAGCCACGAATCCCTTCGCTCGAGTCGATTCTTTATATGTCCCTGGTATGGTACAAGTGTATGCAGGGAAGCATAGGGCAACACAAGCCCCGCATCTATTTGCAATTGCTGAGGAGGCCTTTGCGTAAGTGGCATATACCAAGCCCAAGGAAAGCTTGCTGACAAGCGTAGCGATATGTTACGGAGCGGAAAGAACCAAACGATCGTTGTATCAGGAGAATCCGGAGCTGGGAAGACAGTCAGCGCGAAGTACATCATGAGATACTTTGCGACAAGAGAATCTCCAGACCAGCCCGGGTCAAAGATGAAAAGAGGGACAGAAACAATGAGTGAAACGGAAGAGCAAATCCTTGCTACGAACCCCATCATGGAAGCATTTGGTAATGCAAAGACGACCCGAAACGATAACTCATCTCGTTTTGGAAAGTATATCGAGATCATGTTCGACGACAAGACAAGCATCATTGGGGCTAAGATCCGCACATATCTGCTGGAACGTTCAAGACTTGTCTTCCAGCCGCTCAAGGAGCGCAACTATCATGTCTTCTACCAGTTGGTTGCAGGTGCCTCGGAGAGTGAGCGACAAGAGCTGCAGCTGTTACCCGCGGACCAATTCGACTATCTGAATCAAGGGAGCTCCCCAACCATCGATGGTGTGGATGACAAGGCGGAATTCGAAGCTTTGAAGAAGTCCTTGACAACTATTGGTGTGGACAATAGTAAGCAAGCCGAGATATTCAAGCTGCTTGCCGCTTTACTTCATCTTGGAAATGTCAAAATCACAGCCTCGAGAACGGATTCCGTTTTATCACCGACAGAACCCTCCCTGGAAAAAGCTGCGGCAATACTAGGTGTTGACCCGGTAGAATTTGCAAAATGGATTGTCAAGAAACAGTTGATCACCAGAGGGGAAAAGATCACTTCAAATTTGACCCAGCAGCAAGCAATTGTCGTGCGAGACTCCGTCGCGAAATTCATCTACTCGAGCCTCTTTGATTGGTTGGTCGAGAGCATCAATCATGCACTTGCCACAGACGAAGTCCTCAGCCGTGTGAAATCCTTCATTGGGGTCCTGGATATCTACGGATTTGAGCACTTTGCTAAAAACTCCTTCGAACAATTTTGCATTAACTATGCCAATGAAAAACTCCAACAGGAGTTTAATGCGCACGTCTTTAAACTAGAGCAGGAGGAATATCTCAAAGAGCAGATCGACTGGACATTCATCGACTTCTCAGATAACCAGCCTTGTATAGATCTGATAGAAGGGAAGCTCGGTATATTGTCTTTGCTGGATGAAGAATCGAGGCTGCCCATGGGTTCTGATGAGCAATTCGTCACGAAGTTACATCACAACTACGCCGCCGACAAGAATAAGTTTTACAAGAAGCCGCGCTTTGGCAAGTCGGCTTTTACAGTTTGTCATTACGCCATTGACGTTACCTACGAATCTGATGGATTTATCGACAAGAACCGTGACACGGTTCCCGACGAGCACATGGCGGTTTTGAGAGCTTCGACGAACAAGTTCTTAGGACAAGTCCTGGACGCTGCGTCCGCTGTTAGAGAGAAGGACAGTGCATCCGCTTCGTCGGCTTCGGTGAAGCCTGCCGCCGGCCGTCGAATCGGCGTTGCTGTGAACCGCAAACCTACCCTTGGCGGCATCTTCAAGTCTTCTCTTATTGAACTCATGAACACCATTAACAACACAGACGTCCATTACATTAGATGCATCAAGCCCAACGAAGGCAAGGAAGCTTGGGTATTTGAAGGCCCTATGGTCCTGAGCCAGCTGCGGGCTTGTGGTGTGCTTGAGACGGTGAGAATCAGTTGTGCTGGATACCCAACAAGATGGACATATGAGGAATTTGCACTGCGATACTACATGCTGGTACCTTCGTCGACATGGACTTCCGAAATTCGGGCTATGGCGAACCAGATACTCACAAGGGCCCTTGGAACCAGTACCGGTCAGGGTCTTGACAAGTACCAACTCGGACTGACCAAGATCTTCTTCCGTGCTGGTATGTTGGCATTCTTGGAGAATCTTCGAACAAATCGCCTCAATGACTGCGCGATAATGATCCAGAAGAACCTAAAAGCCAAGTATTACCGGCGCAAGTACCTCGAGGCACGAAACTCCATATTAGTCTTCCAATCCTTGATAAGGGGTCACCTGTCTAGAAAGTTTGCTCAAGAGACCCGGAAAGTCAAAGCTGCAACCACAATCCAAAGAGTATGGCGTGGCCAGAAGCAGCGCAAGAGCTATAATGCCATCCGCAACAACGTTATACAAGCCCAAGCTGCGGCTAAAGGTTTCCTGCGCAGACGGCAGATCTTAGACACCCGTCTTGGAAACGCTGCAGTAATAATCCAGCGAGCATGGCGCTCAAGACGACAGATGCGGAGTTGGAGACAGTATAGGAGAAAGGTTGTCATCATCCAGAGCTTGTGGAGAGGCAAGCGTGCCCGCCGCGGATACAAAAAGGTTCGGGAGGAAGCACGTGATCTCAAACAAATCTCCTACAAGTTGGAGAACAAGGTGGTCGAGCTCACCCAATCTCTTGGTACGATAAAGAGAGAAAACAAGACTCTGGTCAGTCAAGTGGAGAACTACGAGAACCAGATCAAATCGTGGAAGAATAGACATAACGCATTGGAAACTCGGTCTAAGGAGCTGCAGAGTGAGGCAAACCAGGCCGGTATCACTGCAGCGCGTCTCTCAGCAATGGAGGACGAAATGAAGAAACTGCAGCAGAACTTTGAAGAAGCAGCGGCCAATATCAAGCGTATGCAAGAAGAGGAGAAAGAGCTACGGGAGTCCCTAAGAATATCCAAACTTGAGCTCGAGAACACCCAGCGGGCTAGTGTTGTCCACGAGTCGGAGAAGATGACTCTCAAGCAGCAGCTTGCGGAATTGCAAGATCAGCTTGAGCTGGCCAAGCGAGTTGCACCTGCTATGCCGACTAATGGCGAGCTGACGAATGGAGCTGCTGCCCAGCCGCCATCGAATGGCCTGATCAATTTGGTCTCCTCAAAGAAGCCAAAAAGGCGCAGTGCCGGGATTGAGGCCCGCGATCTTGATCGATTCAGTGGGGCTTATAACCCTCGCCCTGTCTCCATGGCTGTTACTTCGAGTACTCTCCATCGCCAAAACCTTTCGGGCTCGCCCTTGATGCCGGGTGTCGATAATATCGAATTTGAGCTTGAGAATCTTCTTGCCGATGAGGACGGTCTGAATGATGAGGTTACCATGGGTTTGATTCGCAACCTTAAGATCCCAATTCCAACGACAACCCCACCGCCAACCGATAAAGAAGTTCTCTTCCCATCATATCTGATCAACCTGGTCACCTCGGAAATGTGGAACAATGGGTTTGTGAAGGAATCGGAGAGATTCCTAGCCAACGTCATGCAATCAATTCAACAGGAAGTCATGCAGCATGATGGTGATGAGGCCGTCAACCCAGGCGCTTTCTGGTTGTCTAATGTGCACGAAATGCTCTCCTTTGTGTTCCTTGCCGAAGACTGGTATGAGGCACAAAAGACTGATAACTACGAATACGATCGTCTTCTCGAGATTGTCAAACATGATCTTGAGAGCCTGGAGTTCAACATCTATCACACCTGGATGAAGGTTCTCAAGAGAAAACTCCACAAGATGATTATCCCTGCCATTATCGAGTCTCAATCCCTGCCTGGTTTCGTCACGAACGAGAGCAACCGTTTCCTGGGCAAATTACTTCAGTCCAACTCTGCACCAGCTTACAGCATGGACAATTTGTTGAGTCTCCTCAACAGTGTCTTCAAGGCAATGAAAGCCTACTACCTTGAGGATTCGATCATCACCCAGACGGTGACTGAGCTGCTGAGATTGGTTGGTGTTACTGCTTTCAACGATCTTCTGATGCGAAGGAACTTCCTCTCCTGGAAACGTGGACTTCAAATCAACTACAACATCACCCGTATCGAGGAGTGGTGCAAGAGCCACGATATGCCAGAAGGGACCCTTCAGCTTGAACATCTAATGGTGAGTGATTTCAGTGACTTGGTATCAAATAACACACTGACACTATAACAGCAAGCAACCAAGCTACTGCAGCTGAAGAAGGCAACACTGAATGATATTGAGATAATCCAAGATATCTGCTGGATGTAAGTACCTACCACGTCACTCTATATGGGATGTTCTGACAATATGAAGGCTGTCTCCGAACCAAATCCAGAAGCTGTTGAACCAGTATCTTGTTGCCGATTATGAGCAGCCGATCAACGGCGAAATTATGAAAGCCGTCGCTTCTCGAGTCACCGAGAAGAGCGATGTCCTCCTTCTTGCCGCTGTGGACATGGATGATAGCGGACCTTATGAGATCGCCGAGCCCCGTGTAATCACGGCCCTTGAAACTTATACCCCATCTTGTAAGTCATTTCATCTAGTTGTGCAATGCAGTCTTGGCCGGCGGCTGATTGTTACAGGGCTTCAAACCCCCCGCTTAAAACGACTCGCGGAGATTGTATCAGCGCAGGCTATAGCGCAGCAAGAGAAGCTTGAATATCCGCAAGACGATTCGAACGACCTTACCGATAGCGAGCTGAATGGCGCATGAGCTACGATTCTGATATAATCTGGCGGGCCTTATCCAGAAAGCACATATGTGCTCATGCCACTTCACTTCTCTTGTACTATTTCTCCACGAGCTGTTACCCAAGATCTTCTGCCATTGGCCCTCGCGGCCTTTTGTATAGGGCAGGATTATGTTAGTCCCACCATTTTAACTGTTATTGTATGTTGTGTGATTTGTTGGAATGGTTGCCCAATAGGACATTTGGTGCATCTTGTAGACATTTGCAATGGGCGTTGAAGCTTTTAAGGATATCGGTAAAGAACGAGCATTTTTCACTTCGTTCGGAGGCGAGGAACTCAGGAGCGTGGATCAGACAAAACAGACGCCAAGACCCTGACGACCTAATGAATCAGAATTTCTGCTGTTAAAGCTACGCTGCACCGTGAGCATAAAACTTAAGTGAAGTAAAAAAGGTACTTTGTCTATCTACCTGCCTTGCACCTACAAAGAAACGGTCAGGGTCACGTGGATTCTGACCGCCTTGTTGCTCCTTATCGGCAAGCCTTGGCAGACTCGGCAGAATTTGAAAAGAAAAAAAATGTATGTGAAGTAGAAATACATCTGCGAACGTTCCTCAAAATACAGAGACATCATGAGAACTCAACCAAACATCATCGTGACTGGCACCCCAGGGGTAGGCAAGACCACCCACTGCGAGACTCTTGCGCAAAATACCGGACTGAAACACCTCTCTATAAACGATATCGTGAAGGAGCGGGGCTGCCACGATGGATACGATGAGGAATTCAAGAGCTGGATTGTAGACGAAGACAAGGTTCAATATGAAATCCATAAATGTGGAGGCAGGGACTAATTGCGCAACAAAAGTTACTTGACTCCATCGAAGACGAAGTGAAGCAGGGCGGATACATAATAGACTGGCACGCGTGCGACTTGTTCCCGAAGAGCTGGATCGACCTGGTGGTTGTTCTGCGAGTGGATTCAACGCTTCTATATGACCGACTGAAGGCCAGGTGGGTGTAGCATGTGAGATATTGCGGGCAGGGGCCTTTACTGACGACGGCATAGAGATTACCCCGAAGTCAAGCTCCAGGAGAATCTTGATTCTGAAATCATGGAGGTGCTGCTCCAAGAAGCCAGGGATTCCTACGATGAAGAGATAGTTGTCGAACTGACGAGCAATACTTCGGATGATATGGAGAGCAACATAGAGCGGATTGAGACTTGGATCGCGCATTGGAAGGAGAACAACGCGGGGAATGCTTGATAGGAGGTCTAATTGCTGCTCTATGGTATATCTACGATTCTTCCAGCCACTTCTTGAGCTTCTCCAAAGCCTTGAAACGATGCGAGATCTTGTTCTTCTCGGCCTTATCCATCTCGGCGTACCTGTTGCAGCCAGTCAGCCTTTACCCATCTCAAAAGGGGTGGTGTGCATGGCGTACGTCTTGCCCTCGTACTCGAATATTGGATCCCAGCCTAGGTTATGGAGAATGAGCACTGCTGGAAAGATAAATCGCACCATCATGTATGTATAACGACTTACCAAAGTTTGTGGGGCCTCTTGCGGGGACTATCTTGCCCTGGTTCTGGTCAGATGGAGGGGTGCGAGGGGGAAAGGGAGGATGGCTTGCATCTGTGCGGCCTTGGAAAATGATGGGCTCGTGACCGGGACCTTCAGAATATGCAAATGTACATACTGCTTGGGCAGACTTGTCGGGGTAGGCAGCGAGGAGATTGTTAAGCCCTTCGTGACCAAGTTCTTGTAGGAACCACTTGCTGTAAGAAATATTAAATTCGAGCCCATATTCCAAGTTGCCAGGAAGCGAACATACATGTAAGGACCAGGAAGCTCTTTCAGCGCATTGAAGCATAAGCACGTATCTTCGACGAGGACTGGACCCTGGACCTGTAAGGAATCAGCTAGATGTTTCGCAAGATTGCCCAAGGAGGAAGCGCACAGCTTCAGCAGCTCTGCGGCATTTGTCTGCAGAGATCTGCTCGATTGTGCCTTGGATCTCAACCAGATCTAAAGCCTGGCTCTGCAGGTCAACGGTGTCGCCCAGGATGGCCTTCACCTCCGTGAGCTTGTTCTTGTTTCCGGTAATGAAGTTGAGTTGCTTGGGAGCCATGTTGGTGGTGGGCTGGTTGATCTGGTGCGATTGCAGGCTGGTCAGTAGGTATATCAGATCTCTTATATCGCTTTTTTCACTTGAAATTTCTAGTGATGCCTTACTACCGAATCACAAACCTCTCTTGCTTCGCGACCTCTTGCTTTACAAATCCTGTTTCAAGATGAAAAATACACAACGTGCCTTGGATGCTTGCTGTTTTAGTCTTGATACTGAATCTTGAAAGATACAATTCTCATTAGGTAATATTCGTGTCTGTAGGATATAACATACGGAGTACGGAGTAACAGGGCGCGTAACATCTGGGAACACGTTGTCTTATATATTCGTACATTTACTTATTAAGTACTGTGCCTTGCCTCACTCATAGTGCTATCTGCCTGCCTTGAAACATAGAGCATCTGTTGGCCTGTCGTTGTTGTAGTCGTCGTTCCCTCAGGTCGTGCTGAAGTGTAGAACATAAGCGAATCAACGACTACCTATTTAAACTTCACTTGAGACAGAGAGAGTTACCCCTTTACATGATAAAATCTAACATCTCCCCCGTCCTCCATGCAATAATCGTCGTGACCATATCTTTCCTCCCTTCACCCGACCATGGTGGGAAAGTTTCCACTGTGTCTTCAATAACCAGATCCTGTTTTCTTGAACCTGGCTTTGAGCCATACGGTCCATACCTCAATGGCCATGGAGGATGACTTCTACGCACCCCTATCCAATGTCACTTCGGAAGCCCAAGACTCAGCATTGATTTCCAACCTGTGGAAGCTTATCCTTTCAGAGCCTTTGAGCATAGGTGCGACGGTGCTTCTAGCTCTACTTCTCATCATCTTTGCGACACGGCTCCTTAGCGAACGCCCTTCAAAGAAGTACAATGATCGAGATGCAAGGACCGTGTGGATGATGCCATATTGGGTACCCATCATTGGACATGCATTCCAATTGTAAGTGACACATAGCAGTTGCTGTTAGCATTGCTAAGAACCACCAGCATTTATGATCCGGTCAAATTGATGAGAGAGGGGAGGTCTGCAAGCTCAAACTTAAATATTTGGATCGAGTTAACCCCATTCCAGAGATCGAAGTGCCCATGGAATTTTTGCGGTGAACCTAGGCACGACTACTCATAATATCGGTGAGTCTGTCTCCATTTCCCCCGTTTCCTGATTTGCTTGAAGAATCAACCATTTTTACTCACACCTAATAAAGTATCCGACCCAGCGCTGGTTAAGTCGTACGTTGAACTGGCAAAATGTATTGGCAAATGCTGAATCACTTTTAGAGTCATGCAGCAAAAGGAGTCCGCAGTCCAATTTCAACCCATTGCCTGGGCTACAGTACAGAGGGTACGGATTCGATAACTTGTCTGGGGTCTGATTATGACGTTAACTGGAATCAGTTCTTTGGAGTTCCAAAGCGCAGTAAAGCCAAGTACTCTCTCATATGGGATGTAAGTAGCTTTTAATTGAGGCAAGGGTTTATTTAACCGCCAATAGGAATTCAACTCTTCATTAGGATATCTCATGAAAGAGCCACATCTGAGCAATTTACTCAGATCCACGATACGCAATCTTGAGGAAAACATCCCTAAGATGATCTCTTTCACGGATAGCGATATTGACCTGCAACCTTGGGAGCGTTGGGCAGCAGCATCCTGGATTTCGGATTCAGAGACTGAAATCAATCTCATGATCTTGATGCGAGATATGCTGGGCACTGCTTCTGTTCCAGCACTTTTTGGGCGGGCGTTGCTGGATAAATATCCAAATATCTTACATGATATCTATGATATGGATGCTGGCATGATGTATCTTCTGATGGGTCTCCCACCATGGACTCCTTGGCCCCCTGTGATCAAAGCTCATCGAGCCAGACAGAGGGCATGGGAGGGTCTAGATGCTCTCCAAGTGGCTTTAGATGCGATGGTGGACGGCAAGTATGTCGACCCCACGTGGGGTGACTTGGACGATGTGAGCGAGTTCATCAGGAAGAGACATACACTGTACAAAGGTAGGAATAACCATTCAAGCTGCTGCTTGGCCTAACACTGATGCACTACGTCTCTAGAAAATGGTTTCGGGATTACAGAAAGGGGGGATATTTCGGTAAGTAAAGCTGTTCTGAGCCTCAGCTTCTCTAGCTAAGTGTGTATAGTTACTATGGGCTGTCGTTGTCAACGCCAACCTGGTAGTATATTGGCAACTTCTGCATATTCTTGCCAACCCTGGACTGGTGGAGCGCCTCCGCGCAGAAGTTGCTCCATATGCGCAAGTGTCCAAACCGGCATCTATCGGCAACTTTTCCGAAGCCCCTAAACTTACCATCTCGCATGAGGGTCTTTCTACGAAGTGCCCCTTGCTGAAAGCAACGTACTTCGAAGCCATGAGACTAAGCTCCCAACCTTGGTCTATTCGGCAAATCGCCAGAGACGTTGTCATCTCTGGGGATAAACGCGCCACGGATTCAGCTTCGTTCGCGCTACATAAGGGGGAATACATAACAGTGCCACATGATCTACATATGAAAGATCCAAAGTACTTCAAGGATCCCGAAAAGTTCATCCCGGAGCGATTCCTCGTGGAAAAGGAAGACGGCACGGTCTCTGCTGAGATAGGAACGGTAAGACCGTATGGGGGAGGTCCATCGATGTGCAAGGGGAGGATCTTCGCCGAGAGGGAATGCCTATCGCTCGTCGCTGGCATCTTGGTGTTTTGGGACATTGAACCAGCTAACAAGAAGGCTGGCTGGGTGATCCCGAAGCAGAAGAAAACCAGTGCGGTTTCTCTGCCGGTGCATGAGACGAGGGTGAGGATCAAGCGGAGGAAGTTCGATTGGGAAAGTTAGACAACCTGTCGAAGTGTAGAATATTTTGATTTAATGGACTAGAGCTTGTTGGGTACTGCATTTTCCAATCCAGTCAGTTATTCTTGTAGGCTTACTCCTTCCTGCTTTAATCCAAGCTTGAAGTGACAGGCAAACCTAGGAAGTATATCGCCAGTTACTAGGACCCGTTGACTGATTGGGAATATATCCAGGAGCAGAAAATTAACCTTAATCACAGACTTGAAATAATATTGATAGATTAATTGATTTATAAATTCAAGGGTTGACAAGTTTAACCAGGCTTGTTCCTTTGACTTGACTTTTTGTTTATTTGCTATTGAATCGGGGGACTATGAGAGAGAGCCGGGGAGGGGTTTTGCACTGGGAGGGTGATAGTTGTGAGTTGTGGCTTTCTTTTTGTTGTTTTTGGTTGGGTTGGGTTGGGTTGGATTTGTTTTTTTGGGGGGGGTGTTGGGGGGAGGGGGGGGAAGGGGGGGACCATTCAACAATAATTCTTATACAAAATCAAGCAAAACACATTCAATACAGGCAAATTCGAAGAATACGAGTGGGATGAGCTTTGAATTCTTCTAGTATATTTTTTCCCCAACTCCGGCATGCAGCCATCGATCCCACGTCATCCGATCCGGTAGAAAAGAGCAAGCAAACTGATAGCAGCAATGCACAGTGAGTATCGTCTGATCATGGGGCTTTGCGTCGTTTATCATGTCCCCATCTGCAAATGGTTGGTAGGTAGGGGCTTGGGGTAATAACCCTTGTTATTTCTTCCATCTGGCTCAATCGTCTCCAGTTGGTTTGTACATGATGGTTGTGACGTACTGTATCTTTGAGTTAGAAAGGATTCCGAGTGTGTGGAGGGGTTGGCTGCTTACCTTTCGCTTGTATCTGGTTGTAGCGGAGACGGCGAGGACATTGTTCTTGATGCTGCTTGTTGCTAAGTGGTTGAGCACCGTATGGTTAGGCATGGTCAGAACGCTGTTATCATCCTTCATGGGCGTAGCGGCGTTCAAGATCGGCTTGCCCAAGAATCCAGGTAGACTCGGGGGTGCCGGTAGCTTCTCAATTGCTGCGGCGGCATATTGATATTCAGGGGAGTCCTCAGGCTTGTCCAGGTCGACGAGATACTGTGGGACCTGGGAGGTGTAACGATTCTGCGGTAACACAGGCTTTGTCTTTGGGGGAGGTTTTGCTGCTTTGGACTTCTCGGTTGTTTTGGTTTCAGTTGGAGGTTCAGTCAGCGTCTTGCTCTCCTCGGTTGCGACGGGGGTACCAGTTGCTTCGGCCGTGACGGGAGTGTCGCGAGGCAAATCATCAGCACTGACTTCGATGTAGTTGACGAGATTGTTGCCAAAATCCACAGTGGTTGGCAAGTCTGGGGAACATTGCATGATTGAGTCTACGATAAATCGAATATGATGAGTCCCAGGCCGGACGTGGATAACGGCCCTCAAGAGACCCGGATGACCCTCGCTGTAGGATCAATGTCAGCACTGTGTACTGGCTCCTGGAACACGAGGCAATGTACTTACACTGGATGCAACCTGTGCTTCCTATTCCATTGGAAGATGGTCCCAGTAACGTAGACCTTGTCTCCACCCTTCCGCCATTCGAAGACTGTAGGAACCGTAGCCTTTGTTTTATCGACGTGAAGCTCTTCTGCATCTTCCTCGTCTATTGTGGTATTGCTCAGAGCAGACGAGCGGCGTGGGAGAGAGTCGCTATCAAGGACCTCTGAATCTATTACAGGAGCATTGGCGTCTGCAGGGGCGATGATAGGGGAGCCCGGTGTGTGAACTTCCTCTTCGATGGGAAGGGGGAGTCTGGGAGGCCGCGTGATATGATACGACATGTCTTGTGTAGCAGGAGGCCCCGATGGCTCGATCGACCGTGAGTGCGATCTTGAACCTACGGCTTCGTTGTTTGATGATGGAGGGATAGGGACATTGACTGGCTTGCTTGGCCGATCTCGATGTGGGATTTGCGCTTCTGGCTTGGTCTGTAGGGTCCTGGCTGTTGGTGAATAACTGCCCTGAGAATAGCTGCCCTGAGATGAGGGGCCGCTGAGGCTTTGACTCTGACTTGGTGGATGACTGAGGTGTGCGGTAGGAGATGGTTGGGTTCGTATGCGCTGGGCAGCGGTGGTTCCGCGAGCTTGGGCCAAAGAAGCTTCAGCGGCAGCTCCTGTCCTCTGGGACTGAATCAAATTCCTTGGGTGATCCCTCCGAGTAGATGGTGCTCTCGCGGGGCCATGGCTTGCGTTGGAGGGTGAGGGTGAGGGCGAGGAGGAAGCCGAGCTGGGCTGCTTGGTGGTTGTGGAGGGTTGGTTTCCCATGCTTGCGGCTGGAAAGTGAAGACAAAAATAGCGGTGTGGTTCAGCAGGGTGGAAAATACGAAGATGGAGATGGAGATGGAGACGTCAGACGCTGGACCATCCTGCGGCCTTCTTTTGCTGCGCGCCGAAGGGGAGGGGGAGGAGGGGGGCAGGCAGGCAGGTAACGGGTAATGGGCAGGGCTATTGTACAACAATTATAGCATATAAGAGGACATAACGTTGCGAGACAGGGAGCGGAGGGGATGGGAGAGGCCAAGTTCGCTGGGCACCAAAAATGAGGCCGTTGATGTTCGATGGCCCGATGCGAGGAATGCCCATGCTACGGCTCTGCGATACCCCACAGTCAAACAAGACAAACAATCCACCGTCCGTGGTCCGTGCACAGCACCATATTTACTTGCTCCTTCATCACATACATCAGTCTGGACGAGCATCATATCGCTGCTTGATGAATGCGCCCTAGCAAGACATCTTTGGCTCCATCCTGGAGCAGCCTCCGAAGATGGCCTGGCTCGCCGTCGTTGGCAGTGTCTTCTACTACATCCTCCTGCCTTTCACTGTTCTCTCGCGCTGGTTGCTCGTCGCCCTTGCACCCGCATTCTACCTAGGGAGCTTCATTTTGTCTGCCATGCTATTTCCTTTAAGGTCGCTAGCTAAACTTGAGGTACAATAACTAACACGTCGAACATTAAATGAAGCGCCGCTAACATCTACCAGACCCTCTACATCTACCTTGGAGTCGCAGCATTGATTGGCCTTGTCACAGGCTCTTTACTGCATCTATCCTCAACCGTCCTCGCATCACTTTTCAACTTAACCCCCACACTGGAAGAAAAAGGCCGATCAGCGGTTTCCGTGCGTCGTGTAAAAGAGCAGAGGAAGCTTGAGGAAGTGTGGCAGAGCTCGTCTTCCGCAGGAGATCGGGCCAGGTTGCGCTCTGATCCTTCACTGGAGAGGAAATATGCAGAATGGCTGGAGAAGGATGTCGGCAAACGCAAAGAGGATCAAGGTTTGCTTGGACAGACGATAATTGAGGAGGATGACGATTCCGAGGCTGGATTTTGAGCATCATACACCAGGCCTTTGCGTGATTAGATCACTTCCCATACATGCTTCGACAATGCTGAGTATTGTCAGGGGATGCTTCAGTCTCTCCATTTGACAAAGACCTCGTCGGTCCTAAATCGTTGCGTACAGGTACTCTCTTCCAGCGGAGTCCTGAAGCCTGTCTCGTACGCCAACAATCCTGCGTGCGCAATCATAATACCATTATCAATGCAGAAGCGCTCGTCTGTAGCGAATACGCTGCCCCCTCTATCTTTTGCCATGAGACCCATCATCTCTTGTAGCCTCTCATTACAGCCCACGCCCCCAACGATTAGTACTTGGTTGCTTCCGACGTGTGCCATTGCTCTCTCCGTAATCTCTACTAGCATCGCAAATACAGTTTCCTGTAAACTGAAGCATAGGTCAGCTGTTGTGATGACTTCCCCTGTGATGGGATCCCGCTGCTCTGGGTTCGCCTTGAGCTCTGCCGCCAGGATATCAATGCTTGCCAAAATCCCAGAAAAGGAGCAATCCATCCCTTTGACGGCATATGGTAGATCAAGCAGGACCTTCCCCTTCTTCGCCAGTTGCTCGATATTATATCCCGGTGCGGGATCGTTGCTAATCTCCAGGGTACGCGCAAATCGGTCGAGACAGTTGCCAACAGCGATATCCAGTGCCTCTCCAAATATTCGATATCTTTGCTCCGCGTACGCGATGACTTGAGTATTTCCGCCACTGACATATAGAACCACGGGATTCTGAGCCCCAGTTATCTCTCGACCCATCTCTATATGCCCTACACAGTGATTGACCCCGACGAGTTCCTTCTGCCATAACAACGACAGCATCCGTGCTGCCACGGCCACACTTTGGAGGGGGGCCCCCATACCGGGGCCTTTTGTATAGCATATGCAGTCGACATCAGCTATGCTGACGCCAGCTTGTGCCATGGCCTGCTTCACAAGCTTGATAACCCATGATCGGTGGTGCTTTGCGGTGTCTTTAGGAAGGAAACCCTCTCCTGGGGGGGATACAAAAGTGTGCCGGATATTGGAGAGGATTTGTGCGGGCTTGCCGTGAGGCGAGTGGGATATGACCCCGACACCGAGTTTGTTTGCACTACCTTCGAGACCTATGGCGATCATGTTGCTATCCTTTGGGTTTTGTGGTTTCGAGACTTCCGGGACGCGGTGGGGAGGACGGTGTGCTGAGGGTTGGCTGACTGTCGAGAGCGCAAAAGTTCATGAACGGAAGAGTAGTCCCCGCTTCAGACAAGGCTGCGTACCTATCGATAAGGCAGGGGTAAATCCTCGGGAATCGTAATCAAGTCGGCGAAGGAGAAGGGGGAACGGAAGGGGATCCTACGCTGAACGAGGCGTCTAGCACCAACACTGCACTTCTTCTGTTACGAGAGGAATCTAAAATGACCTACCTCCTTGCTCCAAAGGTCCTCTCTTTCTATGAATAAGAGGAATTTCCTAGGGCCCTGGTAGTGGGTAGACTCCGTTCTGCGCAAGGACTCGCTAAAGGCACTTAGCGCGCCTCTGAAGAAGTGGTGCACAGAAGTCTTCCCAAGCTCTGCTATCCTGCTTCTCTTTCAAACCACCAACCTTTTCCTATAATCTTTTCCCTCGCCCCTCGAAAACTCCCGTAGTCATGGAGGTGGACGATTTTCAATCCAGCACAGAAGCCTTCCTTTCATGGCAATCGGCAATCGGCGTCTGGATGAGCCCCAAGATGGCACTGAAAGACTTACGGTCAGAATCTCGAGGACGTGGAGTTGGTAAGTCCTCGTCCTTTGTTTTTAATACCCTCCCCTCTCACAATGATCATGGTGTATTCTCCACGTCGATCGAGGAAGCCATTACTTGCGCTTTTGAGTGTTATGGATGGCATGCCCTTCCCCTGGTTCTTGCTGACTGCGACCTCCAGTGGCCATTGCCGATTTTGAACAGGACGAGGTTGTCTTCAGCATCCCACGCTCTGCAGTCCTAAACATAGCTACAGCGCTTCCTGATATCGGCACTGAATCTTCGCAAAGTGCCATTCGCGCGATGCCCAGTTGGCTGGTACGTTGGCTCTCTTCCGATGTTTCAGGGGACGAACACTGACAGACCCTCCAGGCGCTCACCGCCCTTATGCTATCTGAGAGTCTTCGGAAAGATTCGAAATGGGCCCCGTACTTTGCGGTTCTCCCTCGAGAACTCGACAGTCTCGTTTTCTGGTCCGAGCCGGAAATTAAGGAATTGCAAGCCAGCGCAGTTGTGACAAAAATCGGGAAAGGAACTGCCGAGGAGATGTTCACCCAGCATATCGCACCTCTAGGCCTCGACAACTATAGTATTGAAATGTGCCACCGAGTAGCATCCGTCATTATGGCTTATGCATTTGACATTCCGGAGGAGAAAACAACAGGCACCATGGACGACAACGAGGGCAGCGAAGGGGGAGACGACCTTGTCTCCGATGATGAGGAAGAGGAAAAGACAGTGCTATCTATGGTTCCTCTGGCAGATATGCTCAACGCAGATGCGGACAGAAACAATGCTCGACTTTGCTGTGACAACGAAGAATTGGAAATGCGAACCATCAAACCTATTGCCGCCGGTGAGGAAATTTTCAACGACTATGGGCCACTTCCTAGGTCCGACCTCTTGCGCCGGTATGGATACATCACCGATCAGTACGCGGTCTATGATGTGGTCGAGATATCCACAGAGTCGATGTTATCTGCGTTTCGAACCGGCGGTCGAGTCAGTCCAAACCTTCAACTCAATAGCGAAGATCTAGAGAAGCGAGTTGAACTTACTCAACGGGAGGATGTCTACGATCAGTCATATGATATAAGACATGCCGGGCCTGAAGGCCCAAGTATCCCTGATGAACTGTTAGCTTTTCTCTATATCCTTCTGCTTGATGAAGAGAACTTAGCCGCAATATCAAGCTCGCAAAGCTATCTGCCGAGTCGGTCGAAGATGGCTACGGAAACACTGGGCCAGGTTTTGGTGACCCTACTGCGGCTGAGAGAGGAGGAATATGCGACAACACTTGAGGAAGACGAGGCATTGCTTAAATCAGAGAACCTTCCCAATCGGACGCGAATGGCAATTGAAGTCCGACTCGGCGAGAAGAAGGTGATCAGAGAAGCTATTCAGGAGGCAAGCTCCTTTTCAGGGAGCAATAAGCGGATGCGAGGGGGACAGAATCCAGAGGGCCAGATTCCGGGTGAGAAGGGCAAGAGGAGGTCAGAAGAATCATCGCATCCAAAGAAAAAGAGACGTTTCGGGTAAATGGTTTACCCAATGAATAAATGGTATGTTCACAGTGTTGTCTCTTCGAGCAGAAAGAGGATAATTGATCTTGTCCATGTTTGCAACCATCTAGAGAAGTTGTTGTTTCATTTATTTCTGTTGCTCAATTGGAGCGCTAATCCTACACATCACAGGCGGGTAGAACATCTAATCCAGCAGATCCGCCTCGCCGACCCAAATCCGAGGGCAACGCCTAAACCGGGAGGACTCCTTTAAGTGATGTCATGCAAAGTATGATATACATGGGGCGTGTGTGCGGTGGGTACCGTTGAAGGGTACCTGGTTGAAGGGAGTTGATAGGCTTTCTTCCTTTTGCTATCAGGTAGGTGCTTGGGGTTGCGGTGCTTGGGGTTGCGCCGCAGCGGGTCTAGCCATGATGGCAGGCCTCTCGTCTTGACGAGTGCGCTGGGGCAATAAATGCGAAGGGAAGGGTATTGTGGCCCGGAACCGCAAGGCTTTGGTGTCGTACGGATCCATCTCATAGACCGGTTGCTCTTCATCATCGTCCTGGTCATATTTCCATCGGTCCGAAACGGTTTCGTCCACAACTCTTGCTGCAGATGGCATGCCTCTACGATCAATCCACAGGCGACCGCATCGTCCAATCCGTCTACGATAAGCCGGCTGGCTAGGAGGCACCTCTTCCTCCGCCGGTTTGTTGTAGCGAAAAATGAAGGGATCAGCTTTCTCTGGAGTAGGAGAAGATTGATCAAAGGACTCGGAAGTTACAGAGGAAGGCGGTGTCATCAAGTATTGATACTGGGCTATTGCGGGGCGGAAGCCCGTCTCTGGGCCATGCTCGTTGACTGGTGAGAGTGGCTCGCGTGTCAGATCAACATGGCCCAAGTTCCATTTCCGATGTTGCTGGGCCTTCTCCTCAATTTCTGACTGGAGAAGGTTCTCCTTCTGAGCAATCACATCACTCAGCAATACGAGATCCGCATCAAGTGGGCGACCATCAGACCGGCCTGGAAGGCGCAATTGCGTTGCAGGTGGCCGTTGCAATTGAGGAAACTCGGAGACCTTTCTCTTTTGCGGCTGTTCCGGATCAGTCATGAACACATTTCCTGCTGGGGATTTGCATACCTTCTGGTTGATCAGGTCCTCGTCATCGGTCTTGATACCCAGTTTGACCTTCACATCCTTGACCTTGGCACGCTGCTCAAAGATGGACCGGTCCACCTGCAAAAGATCACGTTTGGTCAATTCTCTGCTATACGCCAGTGCTATGAGGTTTCGGCCTTCTTCAAGTTCCTTCCTTAATTTTTTAAGCTTGTCTGTGCTCTGCACATCCCGGGCTCGAGTCTTCCGAGTTTGCCGCACCTCGCGACGGCGGAAACAGACGTATGGGTCGCCATCATCGTTGTCTTGGTGTGTCTCAAACTTAAGACTCGGCTGGAGTGGGTTATTACCCGTGCCCTGCCTTCGGATTTTCCAGAATTCGTAGATATCTTTGGCAAATCCCTGCAATTTCTCTTCCACTTGTTCCTTGAGCGACAACTTCATCGTCTCGAAAGGTATCACGGTATTGTCAACTGCTGCAAATGGAGCTTGGAGATCAGCAGTCTCCTCGAAGACTTCCATGATCCTTTCAAAGTCATCTTCCGAGCACTTAGCGCTCAGCGGTCTCTTTTGGTTATATGCTTTCAGGAAGGCGTCATCCTCGGTTGTCATATTATATTGGCAACCGGTACATTCTTCGACAGTTTGGGAGAAGCGGATGTAAGTGGCAGGTTTGTCAAATACTAATGGGTACAGAGAGTCATAGTCGATCTCGGGGCTTTCCTCGGCAGGCGGTGCTGGAATCTCGCCTTCCTTTTCCCCTCCGCCTGTGCTTGCAGCTAATGCTGCCTGGAGATGATATTCCTGCTTGATGTCAATGGCGGCCCTCGACCAAACGTATCTACACACGTGACTGAGATCACGTGTATGCTGTAGGGTCACGTGTTACATACCGATTCCTCTGACTTCTCGACCCCGGTTTCTACCTTGTATTGATCTTGTAGGGACTCATATTCGTTAGAATCGATCTGGTCTTCACGTAGAATCTGTTGTCCGGCGCTCCGGGACAACTTCTTGATCCTCACGATGCGGCCATTAGCCTGGGGCCGCATGATGACAGATTGATGTGCGACGGCGAGATCTCGACGTGTTTTCGCAAGATCGGCGCGAAAAAAATTGGGCGCAGTAAAATGTTGACCATGGTTAGATGGAATGCAACATTTCGAGCGGGAAAGGTGATGTTATGATGGTGCTTTTGATGAATGAATATCGGGTGGCCCAACGTGTGTCGTTGCGATAATCGCCTGAAAATTTGCGTGTTCTGACTGTTGCGAGGTGGCACTTACCCAAAGTGACCTCAGTGGCCCGATTGGGAAGCGGTAGCCGGGCGCCGTATATAAAAAAGGCCCGTGCACGGCTCGCGAACCGTGAATAGGGGCAGGTCGGCAGGTAAGTTTGCGGGTTGGCACCGTATTCAGGACACGATTTACGGGAGATATTGAGAGATAATACGTTGGAGAAGAATTGACAGTGACGGCTCAAGAGAGTTGAGTTGAATTGTTCTTTGTTCATGGGCCTTTCTCTACCAAGCGGTTTGGTGTGGCGAATCGTCATTTGTCGCTAGGCCAATAGGTATGAATGGGCTATGGGCTATGGGCTACGAGCTATGCTATGGGCTATTGTCGCTAGGTGTACCCGGACGCCATTGTCATGATGAATAGACTCTTTATAGAGCCTCTTCTCTTTAAACAACAGAGGAACAGATACCTTAGAGACGAGAGATTAAGAGACGTCTTCCATTCTCTTAAGTGAATGTCTGGTGAGTTTCCACACAGCAAAATTAATTCAATAAATACCTACGCCAGGCAATCTAATTGCTGTGGCTCAGAATTTTGACATATTATTGACTCCTTCAATAGCAGAGTACCTTACTCAGGTACCTTTGATAACTGGATTCGTTGCCAAGCCAAATGCCCAATGCTCTACTTATCTGGCGTGTTCCTTTTCTAAAATCTCCAATTGAGTAGTATTTAAACTAGCAAAAGAATAATAACAATAGTTAAAGAAGAGCAAGAGAATAATAACAATAGTAAAATACAATACAAACACAAAAGGTTCCTCTGATTGCATTGTCTTGTACGTACAGTACCTACCTAAGTCCAAGATTCTCCAGACTCCAACGCTCCAGAACCTCGTTTAGCTCGAGGCCCGTGCACTGGGCAAGGCGAGCTGAGGCTGTCAACGTTCGATCGCCCATATCGCAGAACCCCTCACTACCCCATCCCCCACGCCCCGCGCTACACCTTTTCACCATGGGAAACACGAGCAGCGCCGTGCTGGAGAACATCGTCCAGGGATCGAACTGTACGGCGAGCGCGACCTCCCCCCTCTGTCCTTTCCTGCGACCGGGAGTTAGTTGCTGACGGGCGCGGCAGTCGATCGAGATGAAGTGGACCGTCTACGCAAGCGCTTTATGAAGCTGGACAAGGTAGGCAGCGAGCGACGCCCCCGCGGCAAGAAGGGGATGGCTCTTGAGATTTTCGCAGGCTGAGCTGGTTGTTCAAACCCTCTAGGATAATTCCGGCACGATCGAGCGCGAGGAGTTTCTCAGCCTCCCCCAGATCTCATCCAACCCTCTGGCCACGAGGTATGCGAAGCCTGCCTTGCTTACCTGCTGCGCCCCCTTCTTTTCTTTCTCTCGGGAGATCTCCTGCTGACCCCGACGTTGCAGGATGATAGCGATCTTCGACGAGGACGGCGGCGGCGACGTGGACTTCCAGGAATTCGTGTCGGGACTCAGCGCGTTCTCCAGCAAGGGGAACAAGGAGCAGAAGCTGCGGTTCGCGTTCAAGGTCTACGATATCGATCGGGATGGGTACATCAGCAATGGCGAGCTGTTCATCGTGCTCAAGATGATGGTGGGGAGTAACCTGAAGGATCAGCAGCTGCAGCAGATCGTGGACAAGACGATCATGGAGGCGGATCTGGACCGCGATGGCAAGATCAGCTTCGAGGAGTTTACCAAGATGGTGGAGAATACGGATGTCAGCATGAGCATGACATTAGGTACGTTTGTGTCACTGGCTGGGGGGAAGAGGCTCGATTGGGGGATGTTGCGGAGGGATTACGAGAGCTGACTGACACTCGACAGATCAATTCTAGCCTGGCTTCTCACGATGACCGGAGCAGCATAGACGATATCACGACCACTCAATGTTTTGTAGTTCCGCCGCCGAGCTTGGGAAGGAGCAGTGCTCAGGGCGCCTGGGCGCCGGGGAGGGGCATGATCTATAGAGTATTAATGGAGCTGGTGGAAGAACCCCCCTATGCCAGCTATTATCACGCAGAAAAATACCACGATGTTTCTCTCTCTCGCATGATCTCTGTCTACTTGCGCATTGACTTCTCCGAGACATCTATGTGTTGCTACTCTTCTACGCAGCTTGGCTCCAGGTCCGGCCATCGCCGAGTTTGAAGATGCACAGCTGGGTATGGATGCTACAGATAAAGTGGCTATAAAGCATATAGCATATTTCCCGGTTGAGGAAGGTAGGCTGTAACGATGTCGTATTGCCCATCCGTTCCCTCCCCCCAAGGCAGCTGGTCGGTGCCCAATATCCGGCCGTGCGAGGAGGCGTGCATGTGCATGGCATGTTCTAGGTAAGGTACGGTTCATTTGCTTGTACGCTCACGTGGTTTAGACATGTAGGTAAGTTGGTAAGTTGGTAAGTTGGTAGGTGATGATGGTGGTGGTGGTGGTGGGAAGGGAGACTCTAGATAGGTAGAATAAACATCCCCTCCCCCCCTTTTTTTCCCAAAGAAACCCTGAAATCCTTCCATCCTGCCACCCCAAAACAGGAAGATAGAAAGAAAGCAGCATAACATCTCTCCAAGAAAGAGAGGAAAAAATCGAGGAGAGGGAAGAAAAAGAAGAAGCAACAGGGGAATCCAAGCCGTCCATCCACATCCACACGGTCTCTAAGCGCGGCCCGAGATGCCTCTCCTCCTTGCATGCATGCATGCATCATCGATCTCTCTCTTCTCTCTCTCTCTGGCGCGCGTGTGGGTGAGGCTGCACTAGGTCAGTCAGGTAAGGTAAGGTAAGGTCTTGTGCATTGCATGCAATCGTGCATATTGCGCATCGTGGCACATGGTTGCCCCCCGACCGGGATGAGGCGGGTCGGCCGAGCGGGATGGTAAGGTATGGATATGGGTATGGATGTGGGATATGGAGATGGGAAATTCCAAGATGGATAATGGCTAACAGATATCCAGACGCCGATCTTGGACTCGAGAAGAGAAGAATTCAAGTTCTGGATGCGGATTGATGTGAACCCTTGAGAAGAAAAAGAGAAGAGTGAGGTCGGGGGGTCATTCGTATAGACAGATTATTTGTATAACTGCGACATTGTTGGGCGATTGGGCAGTTATATTGATACTGGGGCATTTTCCTCCCTCCTTGAATTCTTCCTTGATTTCGACCCTCTCTATTGGTAGACAAGGTAAATTATTATTAGGATTGTATTTTGACGGATTGGGAGTATTTGAAAAAACCCCCCGTTCATCTCGAAATTTGTGCCTAGGGTACGCCTATCTATCATTCGATAGTGGGCGGGAAGGACCCCCCCGGGGATCCCTTTTTTTTCCCAGAGGGGTCTGATCGTCTGCGAGCCTGCCTCATCTGAAGGGTTGTCGCTCGCGGAATAGAGAGGAGATATGATTATAATATATTTGCAGATGATCGTTAGGGTTTGAGAAGGGCAGAGGGAGGGATTCTGGAGATGCCATTCGTGTATATACGGAGGAGAGGCAGTTGGGCAAGGCGAGGGAAAGGTAGATCTCTGCTTTCGATCTGGCTGGGCCAGGGGGGGAGGGGAAGAGGAGATTGAGGGAAAATGCCGGATGAGTAAGGGAAGGAGTTTTTGCGATGGAAAGGCGAAATGTCAGTGCCAATGATCGAGTATTGGTTTATCGGTTATGGATGTGGTTATGATGATGATGATGATGATGAATCTGATACTGATATTGAGGTACAGTAGTTGGACATTGACAGTTGACAGCACTACTGCATGTTCTACGCGTGGGGAGCACCATCTCCGTGTGATTACTATTATTATGATTGTTACTTCTATTATTATCCTCATCACCATTACCATCAGCATCTATGACTGCTACGGTACAGTTGATTATGAATTTATATGACCATCATCACAAGAGTAGTCCTCCTAGCTGGCCGTCGAAGAACAGACGAGATCATCCGTCGAGCGTGCTAACCGGCGCTGGAAGGGCGAGGATGTGAGCCATGCGCCGTCTCTTCATGGATCCAGCATTCACGCGGGCGATCATGGAGCCCTCGCAGCCTACCAGAGGGAAAAGCTGGAAAGCCTCCCCCCTTCCACGCCTCTCCAATGTTCTCCATCCATGCGCATCCTCGCCCCTCGTCCCTCTCGCCCCTGTCCGGCGATCGCCCTCAAGTCGAGCGTCGATCTGCTTCGTTTCGCCTCGCTCGCTCGCTCTAGCCAGGCCAGAGGCCCTTGTTCACGGTTGGCCTGCTGCAGCTCCCCCCCCTTGCGCATCTCCGATCCTCCCCTGCCCGCCCTTACCCACGACCGGCATCTCGGACCTCACCAGCTGGACCGCGCCTGGCTTGACGCGGCCGGTTGTCTCAAGCGGCGCATACAATTGGACGGCGGAAGAGTAGTGGAGAGAGAGAGAGAGAGAGAGAGAGAGAGACAGCGCGCCCGGCAAAGGGGGCCAAGACAAAAGAATCATCAAGAGCCCGAGAGAGAGAGCCCCCCCAGAGCCCAAGAGCCCAAGCCCAAGAGGCAAAGACTCAAGACGGCCACAGAACCCGACAAGCCCCGTGGGCCCCAGGGGTGGGCTCGAGTAGTCAGCCCCCGTGGTCCCGTACCTGGCAGTAGTGGCAGGCCGCGAGACAAAGTGTCAAAGAGACAATATTTCGGGAGCCTTCCTGGCCGTGTCATTGGCCCGCGGGGGCTGGGGCCTCGTCCTTCGCGGTGGATCGTCGGGTTAGGATGGGCACGATAGTATGGGTACAGGGACGATAGCGCTGTAGCATCATGTACGGGGGCTACAGCTAGAGTAGTGCATGTCAGGATTGTTTATACGCGGCGGCATGTGAGGATGTGAGGATGATGCTGGGGGGAAGGATGTTAGGATGCATGATGATGGGATGGGATGGGATGGGATAGCATGGGATGGGATCATGGGATGGATGTTCTTTTCTGTATGTACTGATCCTCACCTGGGTCCCTGGGGGAGAGGGGACATCGTAATTCTCCATCGCATTTCCCTATCCTCACGACAAGGGGACTACTTCAACTAGGGTCTTTTCTTAACTCGCTTTGCTCTTCCCCCGTCAAGACCTAGAAAGAGAGACTTGCGAGATTTACGAGAACTTCGAGACTTTCGAGACTTCGCCATGGACTGTCTCAAGAAGTTTTAAGAAGTCTTAAGCCGTCTTAGAGTCCTGGGTAGCTAGAGCCGGATTATACTTTATGGGTCTTACCCTCCCAGCTACTTGGGTTCTAAGCTCTTTGGTCTTGGATCCTTTGCTTTGGGCCCTGTTCCATCGCATCACATCACCTCAGATCGTCTCTCTCCCATCCCACCGCCCAGGCAAAAAAGCCCTTTTCCTGCCGGCGCCACCTCTCAGCTCCGAGGTTCTCCAGCGTGGACGAGGCGAAACACCGATATATCGAATATATTTCCATATCCATCTTTGCTCATGAGAGATGCCTGCGGGGGGGATCCGGTATATATCTCCATAGCTGTCTGTCATCCGATCCTCTTGCACAACCGTCTCTCTCTCTCTCTCTCTCTCCCTCCAGCTTCCAGCTCCAGTTCCAGCAGCAGCACCATCAATCAACCAGTCATCAATCAGCCCGCCAGCAATCAATCATCCCTCTCTTCTACTCGCCGTTGGGTCTATCTGTCGGCGTCGGTCTCCCGCCCGCTCCCGCTTTGCAGTCCGGCCGGCCTCTCCGAGTCAGTTGTTCAGCAGCTCTGGACCTGGAAGGTGGAAGAAGGCCTCTGAACGTCTCGGCGTCTCCCTCTCTGTCCGTCCCTCTGCCCCTCAGTCCCTCTTGTCTCTCTCCAGCACCGCCCCTCGCACCACCACTTCTCGGTCGACCCGTCACTGGCCAAGGCCCCGCCGGGACTTGCACGCTGCACGAAGGTCGGCGGGCTCTGGCTAGAACCTTAGCAGCGTTAGCAAGACTTTGACTTGGGCAGAGCGAGAGACGGTCTCCAGCAGCGTTTGAACTTTGCCCTACCTGACTGAGCTTCTGGGCGCCCACCACTCGGAGCCGAGGCGGAGCCCGGAGTTACGGTTACGGTGACGGTGCACGCCTTACCAGAGATCGATCGCCTCTAGAGATCTCGTACATCCAACGGCGCCCTTTCCCCCCGTCTGGCGCTCCCCCCCCCTCGTTCACAGGGCGCTGGACCTGCATCTGTGCGAGATTCCCACTGCCACTATCCACTACCACTACCACTACCCACTGCCCACTACTCCTCCTCCAGCAATCTTCTTCGCAGCTGGCCTGGGACACCTCTGATGCACTGATGCTCTGATGCTCTGATACAACTGATACCACTGATACTCCGATTACCGATCCACCGTTGCATCCCCCCCCCACAGAGCCAGATCTCGCATCTTCTTCCACCAAGGGCCCGGCCAAGTGCGCCATTCCCCCCCCCCATCCCCAGGAGAGTCAAGGACCCTCTGCCCACGCAATCAAGGATAGACCCAGCAGCGGATGACGACGGGTTCTGGAGTCTGGACACAACAACTCCTGTGAGCCAATCCATCCGTCGTGCCCTTTTTCACGCATATTTCTTTCTCTCCGTCAGTGCAGTGCGGCCCCTACATCCCTCGTCTCGACTGCCGAGAGCGCACTATTATCCCCCCTTCACCCCTTCACACCCTTCACTCTTTGCCCTTTACCCTCTACCCTTCCCTTCTCCCTTCCACCCCACGCCCCACCAAGTCCCTCCTTTTACCCCCCCAAATTCTGCGCACAGTGTTAGCCTTCCTATTCTCCCCTCCCCCAAAAGCAAAAAGGTTCCCCTTGAACTCTCTTGTCGTGGTCTGCAGGCCTCGCCTTCTTGTGCATCATAGAAATTTCCCCCAGAGCCTAGTCTTGTCCACCCCTCCCTCCCTCACCCCTCCCCCGCCTTGTCCGTCCTCCTTGGGTTTTGGAGCAGCGCACTGCTACCCACACAAGAATAAAGAACAAGACAAACCCCACCCTTGTCACAAAGGCTTCCCCTCCTCCTCTTCTTGTTTTAAGAAAACTTTCTTCTCAGGTATATCCCTCCTCTTCCCGCATGCGCGAGCCTCGTTGACCGGGATAGGAGTGAACATACATACAGGACAGCCTCGGGCGCTGGGCCGAACGATTTGTGCGCGGACGCTTTCCAGCCTTGCCTCCTCTGAGGGGTCTGGGGACTTGCGGCGTGGACCAAGAGGAAGCAAGTCAACAAGCTGGCACTCCTACAATCGATACCCGCCTCATTGCCGGCGGCGTATCGACTCGACTCCTTGTCGGCTGGCTCTGCCACCGCCTTCAAGTGGGGTATGGACGACAATAATCGACGCAGGAGGCAGAACGAACCGCCTTATCCCGCGCCGGATCCACGATACAACGAGGACCAAGGGCAGGGTCGCGGCTTCCCAAATCCCCCCGCACCTCTCGCATCCTCCCCCGCGGCGAGCAGAGGGGCTGGAGGCGCGCCTGCATATTCGGGGTACTACCAAGAGCAAGCAGCCTCTTCCTATCCGGCGGGGCTCCCCCCAAACCCTCTCCAATATCAACCCGGCTACCCGCAAGACCAACGGCAGCAGCAAGGTTTCGCCAGCTATAGCCCCGATCTGATGTACAATGTCTCACAACAGGCACCACAGAACCCAGTCTACGACTCGGCCCAGCAATTTCAAGGGCGGCAGCCCGCAGGCATGCAGATGTTGTCGGACGTTGCGGGACCTTACTTCTCCAACGAGCCACCCAGCGCGCCGGCGCCTGCGGGACTACAGCATCACGCATCCTCGAGCTCGTCCACCGTCTACCAACAACATCAACAGACTCCCGCAGACCGCACCCCTCTTCTCCAACAACCCTACCCCAACAATCTCGCTGTGGGAGGAGTGGCCCAGCCGGCGCCGGAAATCATAGGAGAGGAGGGCTTCCAGGCCCAAGGTCTTGGGATGGAGGCCGCGTACACGGCATATCAGACTGCGCTGAAGGAGATCTTTCAAAATGTCATCCATGGTCGCCTGGCTGAGGCGAGCCAATCCCTCTTGGAAGTGTCGGAGTGGCTCTTGGGTCATGTTGGAGAGCTCGGTACGTGTCGATTTCTTCTGTTGGATCTCCCACACTAATTGTTTTCTGATGAAGGCCTTACTGTAGACGAGGTCTCTCTCTATCAGGACCGGATACGGCTCTGGGGCGAGTTCAATACGGCTTGGCTTAGCATCTTTCAGAGGCAGAAGGATATGTTGGAGTCTGGCCAGCGGATACAGCCGCCGCAAAGCTTAATGAGTCAAGATTTCATCAACAAGATGGCTAAGGATCTGATCCGGATGTGCGATGCGATTGAGAAGCATGGCCTAGTTGACTACCAGTATGGTGTTGCGGAAGAGCAGATAATCATGAGTAGGTCCCCTTTCCCCCCTACTCCGCTTCGACGTCCAATTGATCCAATGTGCAGTTCTCACCGAGTGTCTCGACCTCCAAGAATCGATAGAAGGAGAGGGTGGGGGCAGCGGGCTTGCCAACCCAGCTCTCGGAAGAGCCCCTCCATGACGCTCGCTCGCGTCACCCCTTGTTTAACGTTGTCTGATTAGAATATACCTTGTAAAGGAGGCTCTGTCGTCGTCGCCTATTTAGCGTTTCCTCTTCCATGTCGGATTGTCATGATATCGGCCCACTGGTGGGATGGGCTGTGTTCAGGTGTTGGGGGGAGGCGTTTTGCATCTGTGGGGAACGGGACGGGCATGACCTCCCCACGCGGCGGCCCGTTGGGGAACGACCGCACTGTAATGATGGATGGTACGGGCTGGTTGGGGATTGGTTATACAGGGATCGGCCTTCACAGGCACAGCACGGCAAGTCCTTGACGCCTGCTGGAACCCGCGGATGAGCAGGGCCGTGCCCGGGAAGAGTGCAGGCGCTGGAAACTGTACATATATTGTGAGAGAAGAGAGAAGAAGAGGAAGGAAGAAAGAGAAGGAAGAGAAGAAAGAGAAGAAGAGGAAGACAGAAAGAGAGAAAGAAGTGGGGAAGATGAACATATATATACACATATACATATATCTTATACAAAAGGATATCATCACCCCAGGTCCCCAACCCCCAACCGAAGCTCCAATCAGCAAAGCCCCCCCCCCACCGTCCACGGTCCATCAAACGTCCATCCAGCTCGCCGCCGCAACCCTGCAGACCCCACGACCTCGGTACGCGCGCCAAACGCGGCTCAAGCAGGCAGGCAGGCAGAAAGAAACGAAGCGCGCGCGCGCGGCAGGCTTTGCTGTACGATACGATACAATCAATGCTGACGCGGGCATGCGGCAGTTCGCGTGTAGAGGCCGCAGGAGGGGGGCGCCAGGATCCTCCCTGTGAGATATAGCCTATGATGTGTGTAAGGGACCTGACAGCAGTAGTTAACTGTTTTCTCAGGTCTGCATCGGGGTTTGGCGTGCGCCCCGCTTCAGGAAAGGTGTCGTGCACAGGCCAACTCACGCGCGTTTTCGAGGCTTCTTTATATAAAAAACACCCCCGCTGCTGATCGAGCGGGTTGTATATAGGGGAACATCGCTGAAGGAACGTCTGAAGGAAGTTATGGCGTGGAAGCGCGTTTCTGAATTATGTCTACGAGAGATGCGCTGCTGTTGTGCTCAGCAGTTATAAAGAGTCCATTCTCAACAAGGTGTTCGCCGTACATGATCGCCAAAAGTCCAATTCCAGATGCTTGGTTGGTATCCGTGCCATTCCTGACTGACTGACCATCTCTAGCTTTTACCAGCTTGCTAAACACTCCGTCCCTGCACATGTGTTTTTTTTTCAGGAACTTTGTTGGCTGGCTGGCTCTTCTGCTGTAGTCCCAATCTGTTACTTTGGACACTACTAGTATCCCGAGTGTGGATTGCTATTCGACATTTTGATTAAGGTAGGTAGGATAAAGAGAGAATAGAATGAATGCACTCCAGCCAGCCAGCAAGCCAGCCAGCAAATGTGCATTAAGAAAAAGGAGCAAGCAAGCACAGTTACACACGAAAAAAAAGAAAGAATCATCGTAGTCACCTCGTGTACTGTAAGCCAGCATATGCACCCGTTGACATGGACCTGAACTTCGACAGCTTCAATACGTCAGAAATTCCAGACAAATTCTGGTATATGTTCGCCTCTTATATGCAAATTCCTGAGTTGTCTTGCATTGGCTTGGCTTGGGTATCATGTGTAAGTAAGCAGCATAGACCAATATGTCTCGTCGCTAGGTAGGTATCGTTGTTAGGATGGCCATTCAATTTGGACTGTGCTTGCAATAGGTAGTTGCTGATGATGATGATGATTCTGTAAGGGAATGAAATTATTGTAGTAAGGATTGATTGAGTCCATAACTGCTATCTTGAAGCTTCATTGTACCACGAATACTTTGTAAAAAAAGAATTCAGCCTGGTCAGGGCTGGTACCCATGACTTTAGGAGAAGAGCGTATCTCAGGTATTGCATGACGTGGAAATTTTTCTTCGGTTTCAATTTGATATCTAGATGTAGTAATGTAGGTATAAAAGTCTAGGTACATGGCTCTTCTGTTTTGTATTACCCATCTTTCTATGGACTTCCATATGTACAGTAGCAGTTCAGAGACCTCGAATACATATGTGAAGAAGTTTCCGGAGGCATCAATAGAACGGCTAGCAGTTGTCTGGTCGATATCGATCAGGGGTGGAGTGGTTGGCAATCTGGTCTGCTCCTCCAATGGTCTTGAGAAGAGGCACGGAGATGTTGGTGCGCGATAGGCTGGGCGATGAATGCTAAACTTCTAGACAACCTCGCAATACTGAAGCAGGAACACATAGATAGATTGTTTGATGCATGCGGGGGTCCGCTCCCTCTTGACGCCGATCTTCATACATAATTATACATACATGAAAAGAGTGCCTATCTCTTGACCCAGGCTGGCATCTTGCGAGCCTTGCGTTTTCCGGGCTTCTTCCTCTCCACCTTCCTTGGATCCCGAGTTATACATCCCGCTGTAGTTCAGACACGTCAGTAATCTTCTTTCCGTACAGGTCCATGGCATGATTATTAGGGACGGGACTGGCTTACCTCTCCGTAATGCGGGCTTCAAGTCTGGCTCGTGAGCGAGCAGTGCCTTTGCAACCGCCAGTGTCATAGCCTCCGCTTGACCTGTCGTCCCTCCCCCAGAGACAAGAGCCCACACATTATATTTGTCGATCCTCCCCGTGGCTTTCAGCGCCCAGACGGCGCTCTCTCTATCATGGACCCGGCCAAATGTTTGGGCAAGCGTCTTGCCGTTGATCAGGATCTCTCCCGTGCCCTCCACTACCCACGCCCTGGCCGTCGAAGTTTTCCTCCGGCCCACCCCCAATGCCTTGCCCCATTCATCAATGAAGGGGGACTTGGCGGTGTTCTTGAACGGGTTGACCTCCCGCTTGTACTGGTTCAATGTGGAGGTCACCTCGGCAGGCATGAGAGATGGGTGGATGTGGTTGAGCCGGTGCAGGATTTCGAGGATCCTCTGATACTTCGTCGCCTTGACCGGCTCACCAACAATGTTTCGATACTCGGCCAGCGTTTGCCATGCCACTCGGGGCGCCTCGCCGGGCTTCACGACGGGGAGGCTGGCATACCTCTGGAGGAGATTCTGGAGAGAGAGGAGGTCGTCGGTGAACACCGGCTGCGCGGTGAAATATGAGGGTGAGTCGGGCACCAGCCGAGCATAGAAGAGCGGCGCCTCGCCGTCACTCCCTCCCGCCTCGGTCGGGTTCTTGAAATTGATCTCGGGGGCAGCGATGCCTGCCCGTGAGCGGGTGGATGTTGAGAATTGTTTGGAGGATATATTCAGGACTCGTCGTCGTAAGGCGGGTTTTGCAGCCATTGGCAGGGGGGAACATGCGCATCGCAGCCCCTCCCTGAGGCTGACGGGGAGCCATGCCATCTTCATGTTGAAGACGTGGCCGGGCCAGTGGTAGTGCTGGTGAAGTCTTGCAATTCGACGTCGTTCAAGGCTCGCGGAAGCTTGCTCGCCAACTTTCTTTCGCGGATCACGTGGGGAAATGTGCTAGCCTGGAATAGGCTAGTGCATGGGAATTAAAACCACACAAATTTCCGTTCTCTGCATTCCCCTCCTCCCTCTCCCACTTCCAAACAAAAAGACACAAACCACAACCATGGCACCATTCGGAAAGCTCTACACCTACGAGGTATGTTATGTCCAGCTGCAGACAGCCAGCCTCTTCTCAAATCATCTCTCTGAACTGACCAGCAATCACGCACAGGGCAACCCCCGCTCCACTGCCATTCGTGCAGTTGCGAAGGCAAACAACATCGATCTCGAGATCGTTGACACCAAGATCGGCAAGGATATCTCTCCAGAGTACCTCAAGATCAACAAGCTCGGCAAGGTCCCAACCTTCGTCGGTGCTGATGGCTACGTCCTCCACGAGTGCATCGCCATCGCCATCTACAGTACGTGGCCGCTAGCACATTGACTTTTTCCTTCGTCTGTTGCTATGATGAAAAGATCTTTTCAGTTATCCCTGTCTTAATCATCCGTGTTGATTTATTAATTAGACTCTGAGCACTTACTTCTATCTTCTGTTATTCTGTCTATCATGTTACTACTATGATGCACTACTGACATTGGACTAGTTACCTCCCAAAATGAGAAGACCACCCTCCTCGGCAAGACCAAGCAAGAGTAAGTGCTGCGGTGGCCAGTCAGTCCCAACCCCGCTAACTGTATTGTAGTTACGCTACCATCCTGAAGTGGCTGTCATACTTCAACACCGAGGTCCTCCCTGCTCTTGGTGGCTGGTTCCGTCCCCTCATTGGCCGTGACGCCTACAACAAGAAGAACGTTGAGGAATCTCAGAAGACTGCTCTCAAGGCAATCGACGTTGTCGAGCAGCACCTTCTTCACAACACATACCTGGCTGGCGAGCGTATCACCCTTGCTGATTTATTCGCTGCTGGCATCATCTCGCGTGGTTTCCAATACTTCTTCGACAAGAAGTGGCGCGCTGAGAACCCCAACGTTACCCGTTGGTACGAGACCGTCTACAACCAGCCCATCTACTCTGCTGTTGCTGGTGGCGACCTCAACTTCATTGATGAGGCTATCAAGAACCAGCCACCCAAGAAGCCTGAGCAGCCCAAGGAGGCCGCACCCAAGGCACCCAAGGCCGCACCCAAGGCCGCCCCTAAGCCAAAGGCCAAGGAGGAAGAGGAGGAAGAGGAGGCCCCAGCGGCACCAAAGCCCAAGCATCCTCTTGAGGCTCTGCCCAAGGCAACTCTGCCCCTTGATGAGTGGAAGCGTCAATACTCCAACAACGACACTCCAGATGCGCTCAAGTGGTTCTGGGAGAACTACAACCCTGAGGAGTACTCGCTCTGGAAGGTTGACTACAAGTACAACGACGAGCTGACCCAGGTCTTCATGTCCTCTAACCTTGTCGGCGGTTTCTTCGCCCGTCTTGAGGCCTCCCGCAAGTACCTCTTCGGCTGTGCTTCGGTCTATGGTACCGCCAATGACTCCGTCATCCAAGGTGCCTTCGTCGTCCGTGGCCAAGAGGCTCTTCCGGCTTTCGATGTCGCCCCCGACTACGAGAGCTACGAATTCACCAAGCTTGACCCAACCAAGGCCGAGGACAAGGAGTTTGTCAACGAGCAGTGGACCTGGGAGAAGCCAATCACCGTCAACGGCAAGGAATACCCATGGGCTGACGGCAAGGTCTTCAAGTAGATTATGATATTCACTGGGACAGTTTTTCTTTGCAATGGTTTAGCGCTGGGTAATGATCATGACATGACGGTAGGATGGAAGCGTTAAAAGGGCTTCTAGGGCTAGTAGGGCTAGTTTATTTGCGAAGCAAACAGTAGAGAATTCTTAAAAGTCATCCTCATTGGATGCAATTCTCTCTGACCAATGCTCCACACTATATTCAAATGATCCCGGGGTATCTGAGAGGTAGGAAATTTCTGAACGCAGTAAGCCACCCTTGGTAGTGCCATTGGCAGAGAATGTCATTCATCTGCCGGTATATTGTCAGTTGCCGATATGATACACAAAGTGAGAATCCCGTTACTTACGGCTAGCCCGGATACGGAAGATTCTAGCCCGACAAGGCACTCTGAAATGCAGAGGCATGCTCAGCAGAGCATACGTGCAGATTTTGGAAGTGTGAAGACGGATAATCATCTGGATGCTGCGGCCGTTGCACGCCTATAGCCAATCCGTGGCTTGAAAGGGTTGGCACGCAGGCAGGCACTCACGTTCGAATGCATGCTCAAGTAATTCAAGTGATCGTGGACCTGAGGCAAGATCTCGTCGGCCTCGTTGAGGTCGCCGAGCCATTCCGGCACTTCGATGAGGTTGTGCGGCTCTGAGCGTGCCTTCTCCAGCGAGTCGTCGATGAGGACGGTGTTGGTCTGGTCCCACCGCCCACCAGATAGGTAGGCAGGGTGCGAAGCGGCGATTACTGGATCGCTCCAGATCTTGTCCAATCTCTTGTAGCATTGGACCCGGAGGTTATAGTCCTCCGGTGTCAGGTTGAACTTGTCTCGACCCCAGATGGCGACGACCCTGCGGCGCAGGGCGGGAGGCAGGATCGCCTCGCACATGGCCTTGACGTTCTCGGGCCGCGCGGACGACCAGATGACCACGGTGAAGGTATCCAGGCAATACTTGAGGAAGAGCGGCGCGTGTGGGCGCGTGAGGAACTTCCGGGGAGCGGTCCGCGACGGGCGATAGACCAGCGTGCCATTCAGGTCGATGACCACGAGGAGATTCTGCGGCTCGCCCAGGGGCTGTGAGACGACATTGCTGGCTTGGAGATATGCCTCGGATACGCTGGGTATCCCTCCTGATCCTTTCGAGGGCGGGACTTTCTCGTCCTTGCCATTCCCTCTCTTGGGCCGAGGCCGGGGCGACCCAATCGAGGTTCCCGTTCCTGGGCCAGGTTGGAGAGATGGCGTCGCCGACGCGGATGGCTCTCTGGCGATGGAGACCTGTTCCAGCGACTGAGCTATGACTTCTATGCGCTGCATGGTAGCGTCAGCATTGGGCGATAGAGGCGCGGAGGTTGGTGAAGTATCAGAAACAGGCTCGCTCTCCCGCTGCTGGCCCCTGTTGCGCCGTCTCCTGTCGCGTCTGGGCTGAGGTTGAAGAGATTGCGCCGCGGAGCGGAGCTCCATTTTCTTTGCGGGAGAGGGATTCCGATTCATAGTTGTAGAATAGGCGGCCACGAAACTCGCGGCTCTCAACGCACCGTCAGGAGCCCAGCGGTAGCGACAGAATCGTGCGACGTACATAAGAAAGTGAGAGGCTCCATGAAGCAGTAAAGAATGAAAATTGCACCAAATTCCAAGTATGCTGTACCTAGTCTGTAGAGAGAAACTAGAGTTTTGATATTTTTGGATTTCGCTCCGGCTCACCGCCCGCATTTCACCAAATCCGATCTAGCTTAGCTTTATTTTATGTTCCCTTGGTGCAGATCAGGTTTTGGGGAAACGCATGATTTTTCCCAGATTATACCCCCAAGCCCAGCAAATATGTCTTCGCTAAAGCGGAAGAGTCTAGAGGAAGATATCCTACAGAGACGTGTTAGGGCACGGCGGGAATCCAGCGAGGAACTGGAATATGAAGATTCTGCGCCGTCTTTGAATGGGGACGAAGCGGAGGAGGGGGCAAGCTCAGACGAGTCCCAATCCGACGACGACGACGAAGAAGAAGAAGCAGTGCGTCCCGACACCCAAGATCCGAAACGATTAACTAACAACATCTGTAGTCAGAATCTTCGGAATCAGAATCTCCCGATGCTGCAGCTTCAATTTCATTTGGCGCATTGGCGAAAGCGCAGGCTGCCATGTCCCGGTCTGACAAGGCTACGAAGTCGAAGAATGCTGACGATACGTGGGATGGCAAGGAGGCTGTGGAGCGGAAAGCTGGCAAGAAAGACCATCGAGACTTCAACCGCACGAGCAAACATGCGCCCACGGAAATGTCAAGCAAGAAGGCAGTATCCCGAAAGCGGGAGGTCGTGCCCGTCATAAAACGCAATTATCGAGACCCGAGATTCGAGCCCTTGTCGGGCCCCATAGATGAGTCGAAGATCAGGAAGGCATATTCTTTCCTCGACGATTACCGCGAGGATGAGATGAAGGAGCTGAAAAATGCCATCAGGACGACTAAGGATGAGGAGGCCAAGGAAAAGCTGAAACGGGCCCTGATGTCGATGGAGTCGAGGAAGAAGGCACAGATGCGCAAGGATAAGGAGAAGGAGATTCTGGACAGACATAGGAAGGAGGAGAAAGAGCTTGTCAAGCAGGGCAAGAAGCCTTTCTACCTGAAGAAATCCGAACAGAAGAAGCGTGTGCTGCTAGAGCAGTACGGGAATCTCAAGGGCAAGCAGCTCGACCGTGTTATTGAGCGAAGAAGGAAGAAGGTGGAAGCGAAGGAAAAGAAGAAGTTGCCATTCTCCAGGCGAGGCATCGAATGATAATGCTACACACAATTGCAACATGATCAATCCTGCTGCTTAAGGCTTTGGGCTGTGAATCGCAAGGCGCAAATCGCCTCACTGACGTAACGTTTGGTTCCGTTTGGTTCCAACCCGTGATTCATGATACATTCTGTTCTCATTCGAACAGGTGAAGCGGTTAATATACATATGAAGTACAGTTGTTTTACATCTAGAGCAAACCAGCCTTTGCCATGCTATTCTGAAATAGCTCCCGACATCTTACACGACTTCCGAGCCTTGCACAGAGCAAGAATGCTCCACTCAATTTCCTATGCAAGCTATATGTCTCCTCTGGCGGCGGCGACAATCTCTCCCTGATCATCACCGGAATCAATGCCTTGACCCTCTCGGTAATAGTCTGATCGCTGAAATCATACACCTCCGGCGACGAATCCAAGAAGGGCTCCGCGAGAGTAAGCACTGACGAAATATGTGCATCAAGCATCGTTTTGGACTCGAGCCCTGTCAGATACCCGAGTTCAAGAGATAAATCTTTGACAGTCTCCCTGTCAGACCTGGAAGCCGCTACTAGTAGCTTGGAGTATGTTGCCATAAAGTCATCAGGATACTCCCTAGATGCCCCAAAATCTAGAAGCTCGAGCTTATTGGTCGCGGCATTATACAGAAAGTTGGTCCAGTTGGGATCCGTCTGCATGTACTTGAATTCCGTAATTTCGCGGAGGCAGAGGCGGAGAATTTGTGTGCCAATCCAGTCCTTTTGCTCCTGCGTGAAATTCTGAACCCTAGTCACACCAACACCATCCATGAACTCCATCGTTAGAACCTCCTTCCCCGATGCCTCAGGGTAGATTTTGGGCACAACGAAGACATCTGGCTCATCAGCAAGGAGCTCCTGGAAGCGACGTCCACATTCCGCTTCCCGAATGTAATCGCATTCCCAGGCCAATTCAGTCCGAGCATTGGCAATAGTCTTGTCTAGAAACAAGCCCTTGGGCAAGAGGCGTGAAGCAGTGAGAAGAATAGCCAAGTTATTCAGGTCCGAGTCGATGGAGTCCGCTACACCAGGATACTGGACCTTCACAGCCACTCGAGCTCCGGTCGATTTCAACGTAGCTCTATGAACTTGCCCAATAGATGCAGCAGCTAATGGCTTCTCGTCGAAAGTATCAAATAGCTCGCGCCAGTCAGGTCCAAGATTTGAGGCAAGAACTTTATTCCGCTGTGACGCAGGCATATAGTCCGCACGATCTTGAACCCGCTGCAATACTTCCTGAATGGGAGCAGGAAGCATCTTAGAATCTTGAAAGCTTATCATCTGACCCAACTTCAAAGCTGCGCCTCTCATACGGGACAGTTTTGACACAAGTCGGTCCATGTTACTCGCGCTGAGTATGTAAGAACCCTCTCCGCCACTGCCACTAACACGGCGGACACCTTCGCTGATTACTCCACCGAACATACCAGCAGCCAACCCGCCATAGTTCCATAATCTGCTCAACCTTGACGACGGAACTTTAGACTCTCGTAGCTCATAGGGGAGTGGTTGGGATTGTCTGTCCCCTTCAATCTGAATTACTGTTAGTAACCAGTATCAAGCGGTGGCTTACGGTTCAAGAAGCGCCTACTTGTACTTTCTGAGCAAGCTTCTCAATATCTTCATTTGCGCCATCAGAACTTCCCGAGGAATCGATTCGAGGTTCAGCAATAGTCTCGGAACTTGTAGGCTTCTTCTGCGATGAATCAGGGTCACTGAATATATCTTGATCTTTATCAGCCCTTGGTTTCGTATGCTCCACAGGCGTGTTCTTTGGACGGTTCATCTCTAAGCCACTCTTTCTCCCACCACCTATGGTCTGTCCGCCCAGTAACTTGGCAACTCGTGCGCTATGAAAAAGATTTGTATCGATGCCCTCTGGGATCGGTTCTTCCTCAGGTTCTGCCGCTACAGATGACACCTGACCCTTCCTCTCTCCAGCATTATAGAATGAATCGGAATTAATCTGCCCATCTGGAAATTCTACACTGCTTCCCTGGGCGTTTGAGACGTGTTTCGGTATTTTAACTCGGGGCAAAGACGATAGAGCAGGTGAAGTGTGCCCAGATCTGTGATAGAAGCTTTCTTTGTCATGTCCTTCCTCCAATGGATCAACGACTGGATCACCGACCGCGTCTGCAGTTTTGGATGGTATTTGGAGTTCGGATTGCCGCTGTATCGTCCTTGCGGCATCGGCAGAAAGTGTATGTCCTTTCGGGCCCCCGTGGGAAGGTTCTTGCTCTGGCCCAGTCTTCGGCTTCGGTGCCGGGGAGGGGCTCTTGGCTCCTGTTGCATCGTTCGATTGTTGTGAAGGTTTGTCTTCGGGGCTTTCCGACGTCCAGGCTGGTGCATCCTCGTTGAGGCGCGAGACAAGGAATGATGCGGCTTTTGCAGTCTCAGTGACTCTGTCTGTCTGGTTCCGTACTGCGCGGGCTAGGGTTGATGTCCTGTTATAGACATCCAACTGCCTTGACCTCAGCGCAATGTGCTTCTGCGCAACGCCCCGGGACGCATTGAAGAGCGCTGCTAAATCCAAGAGCCTCTTGCCAGCCATGATTAGGACTCGAAGATCGCAAAGCGTCGCGACAGGTCATCGAGGCATCTTGAGGTGAAGAAGAAGTGGTTGTCAGGTCCGAGGTTGTGCCTCGTGCCTTTTTTATCGGGGGGCGAGCTTGATCAGTCATGGTTGGCACAGACGCGCATAGAGCCTTGCACAAATACGTCAGGTACAAACGGCGCATTAGGTATGTATTTATGTAAGGGTCTACCTAAATCGCCGTAATTATGTATTTATTTATGTATTTATTTATGTACCTTTCTCTGTACCTTATATAAGAGGTGACAGGAGATGCACTTGGAATCTTAGAAGAATGATTGTCCTTCGATGGCCTATTTACCCCAAACCTCTCTGCCTGCTTAGACATGCACTGATTCCGGCTCCTAAATTGTGGCCTTGATTTGCGCCCTCCCTTTTCCGGCTCACCAGAACTCAAATATCCAACTTTGCTTTAAACATCTGCACATCCATGCCAGGCCCCACTGATTCTGCTAAATCCCACCGGCGCAATGAGTAACAGCACCTTCTCAACACCTCGTATATGCTCGTTTCCTCGTTTTTGCAGGCCATCTCCTCCAACCCTCCAGTTCTTTCTTCTGCTGTAGGATTTCTGTATACGAGGAGAGCTTCCAAGATGTTCCTAACCCCCATCAAGGGCTCGTTCATATTGTAATAAAGCACGCCTAGGTTATACCGTGCCTTTACATAATTTGGCTTGATAGCTAATGCCATTTCGTACGCCTGAATAGCCGCGCTTTCGTTCTGCCTGATATTCCCCAAACAAGCTCCATAGCGATTCCAAAGGAGGTGAAGCTGGGACTGATAATTAATCGTCCCAGGCACAGTAGACTCAATGGCAGCGAAGAAGCAATCTGCTGCCATTTGATAAAGCTCTGTGGAGAACATGAGCACTCCCAGGCCGATCTGAACGTCCGGGTCCACATTTTCCTCTGCCATAGAAAGTCGTGCAGCTTGAATGAACGGTTCTTTGATTCGATCAAGTAATTGTGAACGACTGGGGACGGCGGTTTGTGAGTCGATTTCGGGAATAGGGATCTGAGGATATTTCATTCTTAGCCATTCTTCCAGGCACTGGAAAGCCAAATTATAGGTTCCCTCATTTGTGTAAGACACAGCAAGTCTCATCATGATATCAATATTTTTAGGCTCGAGCTTGAGTGCCTCCTTGAATGCTTGAATAGCTGCTGGTTCCCTCTCGCACTCTGAAAGTACACAACCAAGCATTCTCCAGGCTTCGAAATGCATCGGGTTTGTCTGGCAGGCTGATTCGAAAGCAAGAGCAGCGAGGGAGAGTTTGCCACCGCTACGTACAATCTCCATACCCTCTTCGAAAGCACTAGGGCTCTTTTGAAAGACATTCCCATCTTGAAATATAAAATCAATCTCCTGAGCCGGAAGACAGTGACCGCTGGGACACTTGATCTCGTCGTTGACTAGTGTGTCCAATTCCACGCTGTTTTCTTCCATCAGTGCATTTGGCAGGCTTGTATGCACTCCTACCGCTTGCGTCTCCGAATCTACGGACGAAAACAAGGTATCCCAATCAACATCTTCAAATGTCTTCTCTAGGTCGGTAGAAGGAAACTGTGTTTGATCTGGTGGTGTTATCAGACGGGGGTCCATTCTGATTTCAAAGTTTGGTTGAAGCCTCGGCGACTTCGTGGTCGCAAGGTAAGCATATCCCTTTTCGTAGAGCCTATAAGGCTTGGAATTGCTCTGTCCGCTCGTGTGTTTAACACTTGAAGGCCACCTTGAGTCTGGACGATGGACATTGTGGTCAGCTAGCCGATGTTGCTGACGTTGCATCATAGGAGTTTGGTTCATTCCAAAGTCTCCGTTATTGAATTCTAATGTCCATGCTGGTCCATCTGGGCCCTGGGGGACTATCGGTTGCGGCGTGAGCTGTTCTTCCAATTTTGGTCGCTGTTGCCAGACGTCACCATTCGAGATTGGAAGATTTATGGGCGAGCTGTTAAACCATGCAAACTCATTTGTCTGCTTAGTGTCAGGTGGATGCCTTCTGTACCATAGAAAAGCAACATTCGTACTGGGTTATTGTCCTGGCCTACGGCAGTCCTAAATCCTCGATGCCCAGCTCCATTCTTGTTGAAGGCCAGTCTATCACCTTGCAAGCTTCGATCTGTCTGTAGTTGCTTTCTGAACTCATTGAAGGGGTTGGAACTCGTTGAGCACAGCGCCATCTGAGTGTTCAGCAAAGAACCTTTCCCGGGGAAATGGATACTGAGAACATAGGAGAGCGTTCACTTGGTGCCCAGAAGAAAACATAAAGATGCAAGGAGAGAAAGAGAGAGATGTAGAGAAAGATACATGTATAAAATCATGAAATAATGACGAGACTGGCCAAGCTGAATGGAACCAATGGCAGTGCTGGATCGCCATCTCCAGAGAAATATAAATGGGCATGTGAGGGGGAGATGGGGAAAGTTCCCGAAGCGGTCGGCGGCGAACGTCAACCTCGTGCCTCGGCACAGTTGGTTCGTCACGTGACGACCCTTACCTAAGCGAGGCCAACCATTACTCCGTAAGGTACTAGGTACCTAAGGTAAGGTAAGGTAAGGTAGGTATGAATCTCTCACCGCGAGCGCGAGCTTTGGAGAAGAGTGAAAGGGCTGGTGTATATATACCGTTCAATGATCTCCATCATGCCAGGGCCAGAAAGGGCTTGCTCCAACTGTACAGTGTCATTTTGCCCGAGTGCTGATTCCGCCCAAGTGATCAGCTCTCCTACATCTTCCCATACCTTTCTCTTCACAGCCTATTCGATGTACGCAGTGTATGTGGACCGACGACAGCAGGGCGTATCAAGTGTGCGAAAGCCTGCATGGTGTAGATGAGGAACTGCAGATGGCAGAGGATGCTGACATTCAAGTCCTTGTTGAAAGTCAGGAAGGCACCGAAAGAAAGACATGTATTGGGGATATGCCTTGTTGTCCACGTAGACACGAGCGTACTCTACTCTTGACAAGACAGACTCTCTCGGCAAAAGGCAGACTCTCTCGGCAAAACACGGTATCCTAGTATCATCAACGCTCGAAAGATCTAGGTTGAGAGGGAACAACAAGCCTGTATAGTGCGACTCCCGTCGGCTCTCCAGACGCAGCTGAAGGTTCGTAGCCGGCACCACGGACAGGTGAGAGTTCGACTTCGCCGGCCGACCTCTCGTGAATCTTCAATGAATCTTCAGTCGTCAAGGCCGGGAGCCCTTTACAGGGTCGGCTCCCGGGACCCTTCTGCAGCACTATTAGCCCGGGTCCTGTAACGAGGTCGTAGCGTTGCTACGACCTCCATTTCAGGAGGATTGGCACGCTGGTGCCTATCTTCTGTGATGATCTCGTCCATCCTCCGTAGGATAGCCTCCAGGACTACCTTTATCTCGGCCAAGACTGGAGGAGGAGGAGGTGGAGGGGGGCGGATACGCTTACCAAGCCAGCTGTTGGACCAAATCCAGACGAGGGTGCGTACGAGGCCAATAATGGCAAATGCAAAAATGCAAAGATCCATGTACGAAAACATGGTTACGAGTACAGAAGAAAGGAGAAAGAAGGAGAAAGAGAGCAAGGGAAGAAGGGAAGAAGAGAACGGGACGCACGCCAGATTGGGTAGCGCCCAACATCACAATATGAGGAAGGAGCAGGGCAGAGTGTTGCGGAATGTTGTTTCTGAAGCAGAAGCAGCTCTCATGATATCGTGCATTGTCGCGAAAAAAAGAACCTCCCATGCTTCACCACGTACAGTGGTTCAATCCCAATGAGTGAAACCTTTATACCTTCCGGCAACGGCCAAGGGCTTTGCGTGCACAAATTCTCCTCGTCCTGTTGGGATAAGAGCGAGTCGAACTTGAAAGTTGACTCGAGCTTCTGCTCAAAGGAAGCACAAATTGAGCCTCGCCGAAAAGCAACTTTGGTCCACGATGTCTCCTCAACACTGCTAAATCGACTTCTGAACTTGTGATCTCTCAAATCTCGCCCCTCTCCAAGATCCATCCATTTTGTCACAAACATTGCATTGCCCGCCTTGCCGTAGCTCTTGAAATCAACTCGGAACTCGGTGTAACAATGATCACAATATATGAGACCTTGTCTATTCTCGTATCCTTCGATCTCAGTCGCGCGCGGGATCTGGATACCATACTGGTGCAAACTTGTCATTATTGGGAACCAGATATGAGGGCAAATGATGATACCGCCGCGGCTATACCACGATAGAGGAATCTCTTGAGAGGATGGGACCATGACTACTCTTTGCTCGCGCAATAGGAGCGAACCCTCCTGAATCCGAGCTGCAGCTGTACGTTGTTCTACAAACCCCGGACCGAAGAGCCTCTTGGTTCCACAGCTAAGTAGACTTAGAAGCTGTGTTGTTTCATGGGATTGTCTGTAAGCTTTCATTGCCATGCGGAAAATGGTCGATGAGAACTCGGCGTATGTTCCTCTTTGAAGTTCGCTTTTCAAGTCCGCGTGCCAGCATGCCAACCAAGGTCGACTGGATCTGGATTCCGTTTGCGATAGTAGGTGATAGTTTTTGGCGAAGGACATCGAATGAAGTTGGACGCAATGTGGACAGACGATGTGGGTTGGTAGGTCTCGTTCCAGGAAATGAAGAAATTCGTCCATGGTCGAATATCCAGCCTTCTTGAGAGACTCTAGACACCTCTCTCTGAGGCATAAGTGAAAGCAATGACATGTTAAGCTTAAACTTGCGCCTGATGCCACGGGCAGATATTTTACTATAAGGAGTATGAGTTCAGCTGGAAGTTTCTTGATGGGTGAGTCCAAATCAAACGTGATGGCTTTGCCTTGAGCACGATACCGCCCGAACCAAGGTCTAAAAAAACTGAATATCTGTCGAAGAACAGGCATTTGTATGGCAGGGGTTTGATCCATCCCGAATGGACGATGGAGTAGTTTGCAGTAATTGAAAGAAACAATCGTTCAAAGTCGAAGGCTATGGCCGCAGTACAAATCATTTGTGAGACAACTCCAGTGTGGAGACCATTCCAACTTCCAAGATAGTCATTAGCGCCTAGGGATGTTGGGGTATAGGTATTATCACAGGTTGTTGCAACAAGTCGTGTATAACGAGTTCCTATTGTTTTTTATGATGTCTTAAGGAAAGTGATGTGTGGAACATATTACCCCTTATATACCTTGGCCCTACGGCCCTAGTACTACCTAGGTTACCAGTACAATACCAGTATGTTACCAATACGTTACCGGTATTAGTGATGCGTTAGCAGTCCATAAGACTACTAGATTACCAGGATATGCTGGGTTACCAGAATATGGTTACCAGTATTTCAACAATACTCTCAATGCCTTGCCAGAAAACAGTTAAAGTCAAATGTAGTCATTGGTAAGATTTGATCACATCCCTCAACGAAACATTTCAGTTATTACAGACACAAGTAGTAACTATAAAGAATCTTATCAAACTAGCACATACAATTTTGAAGAGAAAGCCAGGAAAGATGAGTGCCGGGCAATATACATGTGCAGTAAGCAGACTAGAAGTAACATAGTATATTGTTTTCTGAAAAGTGCTTTTTGAAGGGAGCTAAAAAGATGAGATAGGTTGGCAATAAGCACGTTTTAGCAAGTATTGAGGAAACAAAGCAAATATGGTGATTTTATGTCATGGCTCAAATCAATGAATAGGGGAATCAAAGCAAAAGGCATTGGTGTTGTAAAAAAGGGACTAAATAAAACACTCCCAACTGTTCAAGCCGTAGTTTGGTATTGCAGAATTCAGAATTGAGTAACAGCTTTCTGTAGTATGTGATAACAAATGAAGGTTATTGGATTCAAGTTACTGAAAGTTGGATCAATTGCTTGTCGTTTTAAGCCTTAGATCTCGAGACGCCACACTACGCTGCTGGCGCTCTATGAATGAACATTGTTAATAGATTCTCGAAAAGCTGAAGTAGAATGTCACATTTGATATCGATCCTGTTGAATTTCTACAAGCTGGTATCGATATTCTGGAGTAAGGTTAAGTCTGTTTATATTGTAATGATACAGTGACGGGCGACATACATTACTGGCGGACATCTTTCTTGAAATCCGAATCTTAAACGCCCTGCACAAAAAGCGGAAAACGAGATCAGATATAGTTGCACACAAACGACCAGAGGCGTTGTAGGTGTTCGTAGCCATACATATTTGAAGCAATAATGAAATATCAAAATCTAAGAATGACATTTTAATCGTGTGGTAGACGAAATACACCAAGCTGTGGGCTGTGTTTCGTCAGATCTTTCACCATTTTCATCTCCCACTGGGCCCTACCATTCCTACCAATCCTCAACTGTCCCTTTGGGATGTCTCCAAACGCGTCTACATGAAACAGCCAGAATCCAAATACTGGCATCGAGGCTTGCTTTATTATCTCAGGCGTGTTTGGGTTTATATATCCTAGGCGTTGGAAGAGTTCCCCTTCCTCCCAAGGTTTATTCCACTTCGCTTCTTCATATTGCAAGAATCTCCCCGCGTCACCTCGAGTCAAAACGTTGCTATCATCGTCATGACGGTGGGATGAAGCAGTTATTAGAAATTGATATTCAACGGGGTGTGAGCGACGGATTTGAAACTTGCTCTCCATCTCCTGCCATAAGCAGAGTGGTTCCCGTGGGTCCCAGCCAACAGAGACTTTGGCCAAATCAGCGGTAATAGGTCGAGGATCGGTATCGAGAAGGTCAAATACTTCTGTTTGCGAGTTCAACGGGTATGATCGGTTGTAGCGAACTTCTTCCATGCCTATGGAGTTGAACATTTGCCTAGTCTCATAATGTACAACATGGTGAAAGAAAACCCTCTCTAGGCTATTTAGCGCTGCTGTGAATGTTGAGAGTGCAAGAGGAGCCAGTGTTGCAGGGTCTAAAATGAATTAGTTAGGCAGTCAACATGACGACTTTTTTCCGTACTCATTGGCAGCTGAAGGTCCTCGGGATGAATCTCGCCGATGCCTACATTTAGTAACCCTGCCCCTAATGGATCATATGCCTTAGCATCATGTAATAAATCCACAAACAATTCTGGAGCACCTCGTTGTTTGATGTGCAGAAAGTCGAACTCCGGGTTCAAGTACAAACAGTGTTGTTCACCATGAGCCTTCAAGTCGTAAGGGATGTGTAACCTGTAGAACTCCAAAGCAGCTCGTCTCGACCCATGGCATACTTGTAGTAATGGGCTAAGTCGATGATTCGAAGTGACTGATAATCGATAGTTTCTCTTACTAATTATATTTCCTAGCCCGTTTGTGTCTGTATATGGTAGCGAAGAGGAAGGTCCTGATGGGCAAGCAGTATCATCTTCATCGGTAACTTGGATACTAATCAGGCGGTGACGACGCAAATTACACTTCCAAATCGCCGAGCAAATCTCATGTGGGAGACTGGGGAAAAGGGAAAATTCGACTAAAGGTTTCTCGACATGGGCCTGGGGGTAATCTGTATAGAAATCGTTGAGAAGGGTCACATTTGTGGTTTTGCAGAGCTGCTGGTTGCCTTCTCCAGAGGTAAGAGTAGGAGACATTGCTGCTCGACACTGCCTGCGGATTTCGTGATGAAATAAAGATGTATAGATAGGTCGAAGGAAAGTGACGCGCTTGCTAATATAAATGCGAAGTTGGAAAGCTGTGGGCGGAGGAGGTGCAGCCAATGGCTGTATCCTATGCAGTGGAGGCTGAGCCGCCTGTACAAGCAAAAGCCTAAAAAGCACGGGACTACTTATGTGAATGCCACTGAATGATCACGTTGATAATTTATCTTTTTATTATTTTATTATTATTTCTACCCCTGAATCCTACCGAGGGGCTTTGACAGATGTAATGCAGCAAGTATCTCAAATGGGTATTCCTAGCGCCTTTCCCTGCCACTCTAATCCCTTCTGACTCCATGATAATTTGAGAAACCTATGATCTTTTTCCAGACGCCGTCCACCCAGCTCTCAATCCAGATTTGGCTTTTACTGTGCCAGGCGTCTTAATCCCAAATGCATCTGATGATCCGTGTCTACCGGAACTCCCCACCCTGCTCCAAAGACGCTGAGCCGCAGGAGTTAGTTGCCCCGAGTTGACCCTTGGACTGCTGGGAAACTTCGGCACAGGCGTCATATCAACCTTCCCTGTCATCCCATACTTCGAAGATGCTCGTTTCTTGCTGGCATTGATATCTACCATTCGATGGTGCAAATCTTCCCTCTTGCTCTGCTCGGTGATAACGAAAGGATTTTTGACTTTATCCCCTTTCCCAAGATTGATTATTGGAGCAGGTGCATATGATTCTTCCTCGGGTTCATCATCCACAAAAGCATACCCATTGACTCGGGGTGTCTCACTTCCATTGTAACCCGATTCTAAGTCTGAGGCGCGACGTCGTCCAGCTATAGCGTCCTTGATTGCGGAAAGGGATGGTGAAGAAGGGATATTCGAGTTTTCGCGAACAACTGCTTCCGTTGGCATGCGGGTATTGGCATATGCCACGCTCTTCGGGGCTGCCCTAGATTCATTTTGGGCCTTTTGAGATATAGTCTCCACTGAATCCTCCACACTGTCCGGTGCGAACATCAGTCCGTTGTTCGGTTTCGACTTCCAAGCATCAGGGCGAGCAGGTTTCTCTGCCACATCCCGAATTGCAAGCCTATTCCTCTCGCCACCATCGTCTTCTAAGGAGCTTCTCGATTGCAAAAGCTTGACTTCGACCTCCTTCTGTTTGAGCATCATCTTTGATGGAAGCTTGTTATTCTCCGTCCACATCCAGGCGTACTTCTCTGCCCGTTTCTGGTTCTGCTTATCCAAGAGCTTGTAGAAGCTCTCATTATCCTCGCTCGTGTACAATGCTTGAAACTTGTCCAAACTCATATTTGTGTTCACCTCCACTGCTGTCCCCGCCTGCGTTGAAGTCGTCATATCCGACGCCACAGACATAGGCGTGTCCCCCACAAACCCTTTGGGTGTATCGGAAGCACGCAACGGGGTCTGGAGCGATGTTCCTCGCCTCCCCCTCCGACCTGGTGTCATAACATGGGACAGTCGGCGACTGGCGCTGGCAATCCATGCTTTATCACCAGATTCTTGCGCATCCAAATACTCTTGCTGGATCTCTGTTTCGACCAGGCCGGGGAAGAAGTCGCGGGCGATAATCTCGGATATCGCATCGGTGTATGATTCTTCATCAATGACGTTCTTTGGTCGCTTTATGCGTTTAGGTGGCGGAGGCATCAGCTCTGTGTCATTTGAACGCCGGGCCAAAGCACCGGATTTTGATAATTCCAAAGCCATGGTAGAAAAGTTCGGGATGTTTATGTAGTAGGCGCGAGTATGAACTCGATGTCAGATGCCCCTCACCATAAAGGAGCGTGAAGTCGAGAGGCGACAATGAGCTCGGATGGAGAGAATTTAAGGTTAAGGTTAAGCCGCGAGGCGATGCGGTGCGACGATCGGTAAAAATATTTAATGCTAATTATATCGCTTGCAGGTATTTAGAAACTTATTTCAAGATCGCCGCACAATAACGGGCGTCCGAGGAAGGTCGAACCGAGGATTTACGGTAATACGGTATTAATACGGGTTGAATATACTTATTAATACCGTTAGCTCGGTTTTGACGTTCTACCTATCTACAGTACCTGGGTACCTTGAAAGTTGAAAGTCTTAACCAACTTTCTTAACTTTCTCTTATACTATATGCTCTGTGCACGCTCCTGATTCAGAATCTCCATCTCCTTGGTTGCGCAGATAGTCTCAGGGTAGACACGCGGTCACTCTCCATTTTCGAAGAAAAGTTTTCGTCTCCACCATGACCACGGCCGAGGACCAAGCGGTTGCCTTCAAGAATCAAGGGAACAAGGCCTTCGCCGCTCATGACTGGGCTACAGCTATCGAGTTCTACACCAAGGCGATCGAGTTGAATCCGAAAGAGCCCACGTTTTATTCAAATAGGGCACAGGTATATATGCGGGGTATCCAGCTACAAATGCTCGTGTGACTGACTTCCAAAGGCAAATATCAAATCCGAGGCCTACGGATATGCCATAGCAGATGCAACAAAAGCGATTGAGCTGGATCCGAACTTTGTTAAGGTACGTTGTGGAAAGACGCCGTTGTGGCCTCTTGGAAACTGGCTCATTCGCAGTGTCTTTCTTGCGGTGGCTAATCATTATTACAGGCATATTTCCGACGAGCCGTTGCCTATACTGCCATCCTAAAATCTCGAGATGCCCTGAAAGACTTCAAGACAGTGGTCAAGAAGGCTCCATACGACAAGGACGCGAAGCTCAAATTGGCAGAATGCGAAAAAATCGTTCGAAGAGTGGAGTTCTTCAGAGCCATCGAGGTAGAGGATGCGCCATCTGCCGCTGAGGGTTTGGATCTCGATTCCATAGTGGTGGATGCAGATTATGATGGAGTCAGATTGGAGAACGAGATGACCCCTGAATTCATTACCGACATGATGGAACGTTTTAAGAACGGGAAGACAATACACAAGAAATATGTCTACCAAATAATAATAGCGGTCCAAAAGATTGTCTACAACGAACCCACAATGGTTGAGATGGAGATTGAGGACGATGTAAAATTGACAGTCTGTGGAGATACTCATGGTTCGTAGTTTCTATCCCGCATGATTTGAGGAGCTAACACGCTGTGACTAGGCCAATACTTTGATCTTATGGAACTGTTCAGACTCAACGGACTACCTACTGAGAAGCACTATTATCTCTTCAATGGAGACTTCGTTGACCGAGGCTCTTGGTCCACGGAAATTGCACTTCTTTTATACGCATACAAATGGTTACGTCCGTCTTCGTTCTTCCTCAACAGAGGCAATCACGAGACCGACGACATGAATCGTGTCTATGGTTTCGAGGGAGAATGCAAGGCAAAATATAATGGTAAGCTGTCTCGCGCCGTTTGTTTCAGCCCCGGGGCTATTCAGGGCTATACAAATTGTTCAGTTCTGACGTTCTCTAGAACGGGTATTCAAGCTGTTTTCGGAAAGTTTCTCGGCTTTACCACTTGCTACTTTGGTTGGCAAGAAATATCTTGTTCTCCATGGTGGCCTATTCTCAGACGACAAGGTTACTTTAGATGATATTAGAAAGCTCAATCGTCATAACCAACGCCAGCCAGGTCAATCTGGGCTGATGATGGAGATGCTTTGGACTGATCCACAGACCGAGCCCGGGCGAGGACCCAGCAAGAGGGGTGTCGGCATGCAGTTTGGACCGGACGTCACAAAGAGGTTTTGTGAGAATAACGGGTTGGAAGCAATTATTCGAAGTCATGAGGTACGAATGGAAGGTTACGAGGAAGAGCATGATGGAAAGTGCATCACCGGTAAGACTCTTAATTCCATCCTTTAACCCTTCTTCCGCTGACGGCTTAACAGTTTTCTCCGCGCCCAAATACTGCGACAGCACTGAAAACAAGGGTGCCTACATCAATATTGGACCCGATTACAAGCTTGAATTCCACAAATTCGACGCCGTACCACATCCAAACATCAGGCCAATGGTAAGCTTTAGTAGTCCTCTTAATCTGGGACCATGCTGACATCTCTGTGAAGGCATACGCTCAAAGCTCTCTTATGGGTATGACATGATCGGGATCACCTTCTTGGGGTATATGACGATATGTTGTTTGCATTTTGTGCATCTCTCGGTGGGAATATCGTGCATAGAAATGAAGCGGGCGTTTGGTACAACTGGGACGGGCAAGATGCATCTTGCGAACGACATGGACACTGTATAGTAGACGTCGCATAGCGGTATGCTCCGGCATCCCTCATGATCTCGGAATAGAATGAGCTGAGCTCAGCCGTTGTATCTCGACCGATTTGGTGATCTTCATTCGTCCCACACCTTTCCCACCCCCCTCTCAGTGACGAGCACGCTCAACCAATTCCCACTAGCCTTAACTCTCCAGCCCATCCTCCCCTCCGTTCTACTCCCCCCTACCCATCCCCCAAGCGCCGCTATAAAAGGGCTTAGGTCCTCCCTCGGCATTCTAACCCAGCACTCCCTCCCCTCCACCTTCAAGATATCGACCGCGATAGCCGCGCCCGCGAGGCCCAGGAACTGCGTCAGCGCCGCCGTCATATACGTGCGCACCGTAAGGGCATCGATGCTGCTATCCGCCGTTCCCTCCGGGACCAGCTCTAGACAGGCGTAGGAGAAGGGAGGCGCGGCGATGGTGCAGGTGCTGATCTCGTGACCTTTTCTGCTGCGAGGTTTTGTGTTCGGCTGCTGCTGCTCCTGTGCGCTGCGAGGCGCTTCGGCCATGATGGTATCTTCTGCGGACATGGCAAGGATATTGTGGAAGCGCGGCTGGGAAGTGGAGAGCGGGCAGGTTACATTCTTTGATATGGTGGTTGTTGCGTGGAGATAGACGGGTTTGGGGAAATATTTCCTCAGCCTTCGGAAAGAGGCTCGCGTTTTCTTGCTAGCGTCAGCCTCGCGTAGACAGGGGTGTTGGCTCGCTCCATCATTCAGGACAGGGCTTTCGAATAGCTGCAGATACCTATCTAGATACATAATAAACCACGCTCTCTCTACACTTCCAGTTATACAAACGTCCTGATTAGATCCCTAATCGTCCTACCATTGGATTCGATCTCCAGCTTCGTTTCCTCTGCGCACGCCACCATGTCCGAGAACTTCGTTCCTCCAGGCCAGCAGCGCAACTTGCGCGCCTGCATGGTCTGCGCCATCGTCATGACCCAGAACGTTTGTCTCCCCCATCCCCCCTCCCACTCAAAAACAAAAAGAGAAAGCTAACCCATAGGGTCAACATCCAGCGATTCCTCAAGGAGGGCTGTCCCAACTGCGAAGACTTCCTTCACCTCGCCGGCTCCATGGACGCCATCATCGACTGCACATCGCAGGTCTTCGAGGGGTTGATTACGCTGGCTGATCCTGCTAGGTCGTGGGTCGCGAAGTGGCAAAGGCTGGATGGGTATGTGAGGGGTGTTTATGCGATTAAGGTCTCGGGCCAGCTGCCTGATGAGATCGTCGCCGCGATTGAGGATGAGGGGAGGATACGATATATTCCGTACGAGCCAACCAGCCCCATCATGACGTGTGGAGGGGCTTTGCTAACTTCTCGCGCAGGCGCGATGGATCTGCTACGGAGGCAGACTGATATACTTGTTGGGTGATATTACTACGGGTTGTGGATTCGTTCATGGGAATGGGAAAAGCGACGCTGGAGTTCAGGGAGTCAAGAGCTAAATAGGGCCTTAAAATTCGGACATACATATACAGATTTGGTTCCTCTAAGGGCAAATGCAAATGGTATCAAAGTAACGCCAGTCCAGATGCTCCACGCCTGCGCAGTACCCCCTTCCGGACGCCTTATAAATGTAATTTACCCATCTATAACGCTCAATATCTTTGCTTCTTCGGTGGCGGAGCTCCGAAACTAGATGCCCCCCTATTTCTTTTTCTTTCCAGTTCTTCTTTCATGATACGTTCTGCCTCGCTCATCTTCTTGGGTTGTTCGATGACAGCTGCCTTCTTGCCACCAAACACGTTTTTCTTTGCGGCGGCAAAGACATTCTTGGGCTTGTTCGTGCCGCCGAGTTTTATGGAGGTTTTACCAGCCAACCCTGCCTCCGCAGCAGGTGTCTTCGCTGATTCTCCTTGTTCCGCGCTGGCATTCTCCTCACTCTTCTTGCTGGAATCGGAAGCGTCTGCAGAGGTAAGAGGCGGCGAGCCAGACTGGGGGCTCTTTGAATCCCCGGCCGGAGTAGACGCAGATTCTGACTTCGGTGGCACTGGTTTCGCCCCAAAGCTAAGCTTGATCTTCTCCCCCTCCACGCGCTTCAGCTCTCTCTCGGTTTCGTCAAGCTCGGCAGCCCCTCGAGCTTCTGCATCCAGCTGCGCGCGACGCACCTGCTCTTGAATCAGCGCCTGCTCCCGCTCCTCGTCGCCTTTATCCTGCCGCTCCTTCTTCCGAATGGCGTCTTGCCGCCGCAGCGCCTCGGGCGAGTTATCGATCCACGCAACATGGAGACCTTTTTCATTCTCCTCTACCCTACATATACCCTCTCGTCCTAGATACTTGGCAAACTCGGTCAATGACGGCCATTTTGTAGCATTCATATGCACATGCTCCTTATTCGAGATATATTCCTGGTAGAAATGGTTTAGGTGGACCTGCTTCTCGCCATGCGATGTGCGAAGCAGTTGCAAAAAGTCCCGTTGGAATTGGTTGCTGTAATCGTTTATGTATTTCTTGGGATCTTCCCCGACAAGTAGCATCTGTCTCACATGGGACTCCGATTGCGTATGCATCTTGAAGCCATTTTCGTCGCGCATTTGGCGCTCGCACACCTGCGATGAAGCGGGTTAGTAGGAGAGGCAAGCAGGTGGGATACATTTCAACTAACCTGGCAGTACCATCGCAGGCGCTGAAGCCCTTTGGACTTGAGCTTATTGTTCAGATATTTCGTGGAGCCAACTTCCGCCTTCGGCATTTTGGCTGTGTTGGCTATGAAAATAGGTAAATGCCCAGGATGGAGAGAGATGAGGCAAACAGTTACAGAGAAGAAGAGGCGCTTAGGTACCTTATCGCTGGTTCACGTGACGATAGATACTTCATCGAAGTCCCCAGGCTTTCCATTTAGCGGCCCCTTTGACACTCACAACACCTCAATTACTTGTATACGAAATTTAGAGATTCGCATCTTTGCATTCCGGTATGTACAGCATTTTACTAATTTCTTTCCTGCGTACAAAATGCCCTAGTATAGATCGGTAATGTGCAACCCTTTTGCTCCCCATTCGGCTTCATCGAATGATCAGACTGTAACCCGGATGGCATATGGACGTCTTGCACGGCAATGTTAGGGGAACTGGATCACTTGAAGAACATTGATGATTCGGTCTTCAGTTTCAAAGCATGATTAGATTGGATTCGTAGCAAATTTCGTAGTCGTATCGTAAGTGGCCCAGCACCAGACAGGAGTATGTGAAGCTAAATGTACCTAGACAGGAAGCATCATGCCATCTCCCCTCCATCCCTAACAATTATTACATCTATCACATCTCAGTCATCCCAGGATGTGTCTCCCGTCATGACGATGGTCTGTACCGCCACGCCGCCATCGGTACTCATTCCACTTCCCCTATTCTTCTTGGACATCGCATATGAGTCCCGGCTCGTCAGCTCTTCAGCATCAAAGTCCCAGTCTCGCCAGAAGTCTCGCTTTCCCTTGGCCGCTCTCTTCACCCATCCTGGTAATAGGCCTCCCTTGACTTTATAGGTCCAGTAGTCCTTCTGTTCATAATCATGCGGCATTATTCTCCCCCTTGATGCCTTGCTTATGAGCCACGCCCCTACGTTTAGGACGATATATGTTACTATTCCCGCGATGAGGCCGTAGGCAATCGAGTATGTGAAAGGCATAACTGCCATGGTGAGGAACGCCGGTATCGAATCGCCAATATATCGCCAATTAATATCTACACAAGCCCTCGCCATCATGGCACCGACGAGGATCAACGTACACCCAGTCGCCCAAGGGGGGATGGACGCGAAGATCGGTGCAAAGAATATCGAGATGAAGAAGCAGAGCCCGGTCACACATGCTGTAATGCCTGTAGCCCCTCCTTCGGAAATGCCCGCCCCTGACTCGATGAATGCGGTGACTGGAGGGGCGCCAAAGAGAGACCCGATGGTGATACCAAATGCGTCGATCAGATACGCAACTGCGCTCCCATCAAAGTCCTGCGTATCCTCATCGATAGCACCGCAGAAGCGAGCCATGGAGTAGAGCGTTCCCGTACAGTCAAGAACATCTACGTACAGGAAGGTAATCAAGGCGAGGGCAAATTGCCCGGCGTGCTCGCCAGTGATGTTCCAATCTTGAGCGACGAGAACATGTTTGATTGGATGGAAGGTGACCACCTTCTTGAAGAATTCGAACATGCTGTCGCCCGCGGCCGTATGTGGGAAATAAGTGACGGAACTGTCTCGTGGCCAGGAGATGATGGCAACGAGCAGGATACCGGCTATTATAGCCCCTTTTACTCGATACATCATGAGGAAAGATGTGAAGATCCCACCACAGAAGACACCGAGCCAGAGCGTTGGACTTCTCATCTGGCCGGAGGTACAGAAGCCATTGCCATCCTGGAGTTCCGGGACACAGCCCGCAAGCTGCAAAGGCTGACTGGTATCGCCTGTAATTGCGCCAATTCCTGCGCTGTAGGTCAGGCCGATGAGGGCGAGATAAAGACCTATTCCTGCTCCACTGGCGATCTTGAGACTGGAGGGAATGGCTCGCGCAAGCCACTGCCTGAGCCCGAGAATAGACAAGGCAACAAAGATGAGGCCTTCCACGAATACAGCCGTTAAGGCCAGACGATAAGGGACTCGACCTTGCCCGTGGAAGCCAACAACTTGATACGCAAAGTACGCGTTGAGTCCCATTCCTGGCGCCAAAGCAATAGGCATATTCGCAAAGAGTCCCATACAGAAGCTTGTCAAAGCTGCGATGGCTGCTGTTGCCGTGACCAGGTCCCTGTTGATTTCCTGGACACAGATGGCATATGCCGAAGATGCTGGGTTTTTTGAGTTCAAGCAGTACGGATCATCGAACCCCTCGGACGCCTCGCAGAGACAAGTACCTCCAGTTCCTAGAGGGCTTGTGGTCAACGTCGGCGCAATCTGCACGGCGCAACTGAAGACTTACCGGAAGTTATCGACGCATTAACGGATATGATATACGCCATGGCAAAGAAGGTCGCGAGACCAGCCCTGACCTCTGTCAAGAAGCGCGACCCCTTTCTCTCGTACCGGTGACCCGAGAACTCCAGACGAAAGCGGCGGCCAACAATGCTCTTGGCCATGGCCATGTTGGTCTTCTCCACCTGGAAATGCGCATCAGCGAAGGCACCAAGAGGAGCAGAGACAGCGAGCGCGCTGGAACCCATACCCAACCCATGATGAGTTATTATGTGTGTTCGAAATTATGTGCGAGAAATAGATTAGGCTCCTCGGCGGGAGAAACGCCGTCAGTCAGGTCGTTATATGTGCGCGCGGGTCGTTATCAATCCGTGGTGAGCAGGTTCATTGCTTCTGAGGACCCTGGGCGTTACGCAGGGAGATAGGTAGAGATTTATAAAATTAATCAAGATCAAAGGGGGACGTGAAGGTGGAATGTGGGATGTGGAATGTAAATGTAGAGACATGGAAATATCATCCATTCGCTGGGGAGGAACATTACACAGAGGAGAGAGAATATGGATATACATGGGTGATAATACATGGATGATAGATAGATATACATGGGTTTTTTGCAGTGTTGGTGCTGATTGCTTGATGTCAATGATAATCAATGATAATCATTGATAAGGTATTGGAAGAGGATCTCCCCCCCCCGTGAAGGAGCCTGGCAGCCCTACACAACATACACCGTCCCATCCCGTCCCCTGGTAAAAGATGCGAAAAAGATGCGACTAAATGATGCTGCAACCAGGACCCCCCGTCGTCCACCACCATCTCAAACGCCCCTCGCCGTCCTCCGACAGAGATACAGAATTACAGAACAGAGCGGTGGTCTGCGATCATTTCTCGCCGCATAGCATCCCACGTCTTTCTTATTCGCCTGGACGGATCCAACCGATATCTCTCTTCTCGCGAGTCTCGAGTCTGCGCTCATCTGCGCTCTGCGGTCTTTATACCATATGGAATCCCAATCATGACTTTATCCCTGAATGAGGCACGTACTCTGCTCTGCACCTGACCTGGCCCACCGGGGTTACATACTCCGTACGGTGTTGTTACAACAACAAATGATATTCTACTGATACGTTGCAACGACTATCCCCCCTTGGCCTCCCTCCACAAGATCTGTTCCCACGAAAAGAATACTTATGTCAGGCCCCACCCCCCCAACTTCTCCCCTGGTCCTCCATCCAGAGGGCAGAGGCCTATTCATATCCCTCCCTGCGGATCACTACATGTGTGAAGAGGGTGAGATTCGCTCAAGAGATGCATGTGTCTCTGTCCTCCTGGACACAGCATCATTGCCCGGATTGCCCGGCTTGCGAGTTTCTCTACCTCTTCGGCCCCACGACGATATTTCGTGCAGCGGCCGGTGTGACCCTCGAACATCGGGTACGTGCAGTCCGCTCGGGCGTGCTCGTTGCCTGGCGATCCCCATTCGCCCCCAAGAAGGACTCAGTCCTGTTGTGGTCGGGTTCCCTGCAGACCATGACAATACTCTTTATCTGCTTTTGCGAGGTTTGTGCAACGGCTCTGGGGAAGCGGGTCAGATGCGGGACGAGAAGCTCGATGGGCATCCGCAGTGCGGGGTCATCAAAGAACAGAACTTCCACGATAATGAATTGAGCTGGAAAAAAAGAAAAAGCAAAAGAGCAATCAATGAACGGAGAAACAATCTGGAAAGGAAGCTGTCACAAGAAGGCGCCAGGGCCAACTAATGCCACTCATAACTATATCAAGATCCAGTAATTCCCCGCAAGACGAGAATCTCCCGGACCTGACATACCCCGCGCGAATGAAAGAGGGAAGTCAATGACGCGGTCGGTTCTGTTGAACACGACAGAGCGGCTAAAGAAGCTGCTTTCCCGGAACAAATTGACACAGATACAGCAGAAGCAAATGCAACCAATGGGAACCATCTCCGCAGGGACTCAAGCTGAGCGCAGCCCTCCAGCAAGTCGTCGTCAGAAATTAGACGATTGAGCCCCTGACACAGGTAAAGTGGGAATTGCAGATGAGTGAGTTCCCGGGACGAACGAGAATCAAGCCATCCACGAAAATAGCAAAATTGCGTTGCGGAGAGAGGGGGGAAAAGGGGGAACTGGCTAGTTATGAATCATAGCAAGAAAGGGCAATAAATGAATTAAAAAATTAAGAAAAGAAATCGCCGTCGGGAACCTCCTCCGGTTGGAAAACGTGCTTCAGTTATGGAGGAGGCAGTGGCAGGAAGGCAGTGACAGGAAGTAAATTATGGAAAAAGGGGGGAAAAGGAAATGATTACATCAACCACGCCTCTTGCAATAAGAGTCTTGGATAGTGATGGTATTACTATTGCATCGATGGCATTGTTTCGTCCCTTCGGGCCATATGCACAGAGTTTGGCTGCCCCCGACTGTGGAAGTCTACCTACCTAGGTACCTAGGTATGCACGGGTACTTCTCCAACCGCCGCACGTGTATAATGAGGTTGGAGTTCAAACCAATCTCATGCCCTAGGGCTATTAGAGACAAGACAAGAAAATGACTATAGGCAAGCCGAAGTCTGGCAGCTATATGTAAGGTATGCAGAATAAACAATTGGCTCAATCAAATCAAGCCGTGCAACATTATAGCTAGGTAGGTATATGTAGCAGCTACCAGACTTTGGCGCGTTTGGGGAAAAAAAAAGTAATCTATTCCAGAATAGCGATACAAAAAGTTGCTGCACGCTACGGTTCCCCTCCTTGAGAAAAAATGCTCAGAAACGCCTAAAAGATGCCCCTAGATATACTTCTTTTTCTCTTTCTACTTTTTCCAGCTTTTCTAGCCGTAGCCATGCAGACCCGTTTTTTTATTTATTCAAGAAAGGTAAACAGATTGGTATGTAAGATATTCATCGCCCGCGTTGCCTCATATGCGTCTATGACGCAGGATATGTTGATTTCGCTCGCTCCTGGTAGGGGATCAGTTTTGGTGCGGACGGGCGGTCAGGGGCACGGGGAACTTTACCTTGCGAGATCATTTCGATGTTCACGTTGTGCTCTCCGAGGGTCGAGAACATGCGGCCGGCTATACCGACCATGTTCTTCATCTCTGCTCCGACTAAACTGAGGATAGCCATCTTGTCTAAGATAGTAACTTCGCCGCACTCCTCCAGTTCCTCTTTTGCTTTCTGCATGTCGTCGACTGGGATACTGGGGGAATGGATGGCCATGGACACATGAACTTCACTCGTGGAGATCAGGTCCACGGACAGGTGACGCCGGTCAAGGATAGAGAAGACTTTTGCGAAGAATCCATGGGATATCGAGCGCTTATTTGAATGGACGTTGATGACAGTGATCTTGTCTTTGATAGTAACGGCAGTTGGTCTCTTTGGCGTTTTCCGCAAGCCCAAAGCACTTGGGCTTCTCGAGCGTATAAGCTGACCAGGTGCAGGGATAGGCTCGGGCAGGACAATAGTTCCATTTCCTCGCGGGTTTTTGACGTTCTTGATGCGGATTCGAATAGGAGGCGTCGCATGGATGACTTGGTCCATGGTCAGATGGTGGATAACTTCCGAGCCGTAAAAGGTCAACTCTGCTGCCTCCGACGGGGTGATAGTAGGCAGGAGCCGCGCTGTGGGAACCTTGGTTGGATCTGCGGTGAATATTCCATCAACCTCCTTCCATACTTGCAGCTCATCTGCTTTGAGAGCGACAGCTATCAACGATGCACAGAGGTCTGTGTAGCCTCGCCCGATTTCACCGTCCATCAACCCGCCTGGAACAGCTCCAAAGTATCCCGTCAATACTGGGACCCTATCCTCGCAAGCCATAATCTTCTCCTTAAGCGCGGCAGTCAATTCTCTGAAGAACTCCTGATCAGGCCCCCTTGAGGCCTTGAGGTGAATGACATCAGAGAGATCCACATATTCCGCATCGACTCCCTACAATCGTTCTGTCAGCTTGGTGAAGCTGAAACCACATCAACCCGGCTTACACTATCTTGTAACAAAGCGGCCATGAACCGACAGCTGAGCTTCTCTCCAAAGCTCACAATGCGATCTTTCGACCTCGAATCTATTTCCAGATGCCATCGTTCCGCAGCTTTTCGATAATCTAGAATCTCCTTGCACTCGGCCACGATATCTGCAGAGAGTTTTGCCAGGATATTTGTATCCCGGACATGCGCCTCGGCCGCGCTGACATGGTCTTCGCAGATTACCTTGACCAATCTTTCATATTCGTTGACCAGGCTTTCGTAGTGTACGGATTCCGTATCATTGACAGCATTGATGGATTCGAGGACCCCGAAGATCTCCAACAATCTGTATAAGCCCCGTTAGCATTTATTTTGCGCGGTGCGGAGGAGAGCGTAGCCCTCACCGACTGGTTGTCCCCTCAACCTTCTTCCCCGTACTTCGTGCGGAACAAACAACGGCTATTCTATTGTCACCCAAGCTCGCGCTGGATGGGCCGTTAGCAAAACACTTTCTTCCCCACATTCCTTTCCCGAGAAGGGAGCTGGTGGGCTCACCGTACAATATCCTCCGCGATGTTGAGAGCGAACTTCCCTACGCTTGTCCCGCCAAACTTCTGCACCACCCAGCCGCGGCTGCTGCTGTTTCTCCGGCGCGAGTTGGAGGCTACCGCGGAAGCATCTTGGTGCCCGTCAGAAAGATCTGTAGTACTCATCCTCCAAGGACTGTGCAGCTGGGTCAATTGGATCTGCGAGCTGCTGTGAGAAATCCGAAAGAGTCATATTTTTTTCCCCGGCGATGTGACGATATCGGTCGATCCCCTTGTCACAAGCGAAAACGCTAAGATAAGGCTGATAGAGGGGCACTCAGGCACAGCTCACATCTCACAGCTCACTACGATAACAATAGTACCTTACCTTACTCACTGTGCAGGTGTTTCTGTAGTAGTTGAAATCAATAGACTTGGTACACACACAGTATCTATTAATCCCCCTGGGGATAAAATGCTATACCGGCATCAAATCCATAACCTAACCATCAATACACAAATGCCAGTACCAGAATTATATGCCTGCGTCTGAGAAGTGTTCCGTGTTCCACTCCATCCAGAGTTGGACGGTACCCAAAGGCAGATAGGCCAACAAGACAACAATACCCAAGCTTCTTAATACAGAGCATCAAGACCCTTCCAATGTACACCTTGACCATCCCGATCTACAACCAATCGTTTCGTCGTCCGAGTCGTAAGTAATCGTCCGTCCCATCGAGTCCCTAAAGCCAAAAAGCAAGAATAACACCATCCAAAGGCCGTTTTTGTTACCAAGAGAATAGTCTAAACCGCCGAGGGTTGAGACATGATATGATGGTCCATGTGACCGGATCCCGTTTGGGCGTGGGAATCGTCACGGCCAAATTCATACTTGCCCATTGAGAACTCATCGTCGGGTGTTCGAATCCCAATGCCACTATCATCATGGCCCGCAGCAGCGTTCATGGCGGCCTGACTTGTGACATTCATTGGGCGTGGTACCGAGATACTACCGTCTGCGTGAGTGCTGTCACGGAGGAAATCGTCGCTACCGCTGCTATACCGGCTCTGAGGCTGGCTAGCATCTCGACTGCCCATTGATTGTTTTGTGGAATCTCCTCGTGTAGCTCGGGATGTCTTGCATTCCATGAAGCCACCTTGCTCGGCCAGGAAAGAAATCATCTCATCTATCCAACACTTCGTTACCCACCAAGCTCCAAAGCTCTTGCCCTGAGCTATTGTGAGATCTCTCATGACAGCAGTACCAACGCTTTGGACGCACCAGACGATCTCGGCATGTGTGGCATATGGAAATTTGCCTGGAAGGGAGCCGAGAAAGTTGACCCAGCGATCCAAAACGTTCTCAGTAGAGGAATCAGCGTGGATATTGGCTTGTTGCTGTCGTCCCGTGCGTAATGCCATTTCACCATAGGGCGTGAGACTTTCGAACTCCCAGGAGACCCCAATCGGATCGAGGAGATCGCGTAGCTCAGTCAAGAGGAGATTGACCACGTCATCCATGCCTCTTGCTGGTACGCATTCGGCAATCTTTCGTGTTCTCACCATTGTAATCCAATCCTCATACATCTGGTCACGATTGGCAGGGTTTGACAGCATGTTGGCTGCAGCATGAGCAGTTAGGTTGACCCTCAGCTCACGATCAAGCAAACCAGCAAATAGTGTTGCCGGGGCCACCTTCGCTTCGATAACGTGGTTTGGTTGGCCTTGAAATGAATTTTGAATGTGAGGAACAAGTCTCTCGGAAATATTTCGCAGTGTATCTAATACGGGCTTGGGGGCGACCTGAAGCGTTAATGGAGCCACCACGCGCATCATCTTTTGATACATGACGAAATCGCACTCCTCGATCCACGGGGCAATGCTCGGATTCGCGAACAACTTCTGGACTGGCATCGTGAGAGTGCCATGGAAGGAGGTAAAGAGGTGGAAGAAGGTCTTCTCTTTGCAGAAGCGTATACACTCAATAAGAGAAGTGCAATGTGAGCGATAAAGGGCGGTCAGCGCGCTCGCTGAATCTGGATCGGTGCCCATAGGGACGTAAGGTTCGATCTTGGGAAGTGTGATGGGCTCATATTCCTGTAGGGAAATTTCACTCGGGGGTGCAAATCGAAGACGCTGGGACACTTTGCCGGCCGTGGATTCAAGCTGCGAAATCCCGTGGATATCTGGCTTACTATACAGACTATGCGGCCTGACGAAACCCTCAGATCGCGGAGCCATTTGTTCGGGCAGCTGGGCAATATCAGGCGACGGAAAGGTAGATCTCTCTACCGGGTATTGCAGTTGGTTTTGCCTACTATAGCTAATGAGTGAGCAAGACATTAGAGCGTTCGGTTTATCGTGGAGAACGTACCTAAGATTTTGTGAAAAATTGGATGTATCATTAAAGCTCTGAGCTCGTTGATTACTTTGCGACTCGGCAAGTTCTGGCTGATCCTCCTTGAGGCTGAAGTTCACGTAGTGGTATTTGGATTCGCCGCGTACACCCAGCCGTCGCGTCTTGAGTCCCGGGAAGAGCACGCGCACGAGTTTGCCAAACGAAGCGGGATTCAGGACCGTCACTCGCTCCGTAGCGCATCTCGAAACATAGTTTGCATATACCCGGCCTCTTGGTACCGAGCCCTTCCCTTTCTCACAGACTTGATTTATCCTACAGAGTTCGAATTAGCCTAGAGACTTCCTGTTGGGCATCAGAGCACACGTACCAAAGCATAGCGAATACCTGCCGTTGTCTTTCAGACTGTGGCCCTCTTTCATTTCCGTGGAGTTCGGCAGCCACATCTGGTAAGCTACGATGCTTATTTGAATGGAAGAGCTGTCTCATCTCCAACTCATTAGCTGCGCTGGACTTGGAAGGTTTCTTCGCCGGTCCTCCGCCAGCCAGCGAGTCCACTTCGTCTTGCTCATCACTGCGTCCTTCCATTAATTGACTGTCTCCTTCTCCATAAGTTGCAGGGTAACCATCCGCTGGCATAGATAGGCGACCGTTCTCAGGCTTGTACTGGCTGCCATGTGAGTATGATACGGCATGGTTCGGCATGGGGCCCAGAGCAGGATCGATTTCATATTCTCTTGGATTCTGGAGTTGGGATGCCGAGTGAATGACCATATCCTCGGGGGTCATCTGGTGACCCATGCTTCCAAATCTCTGATGCGCATTGTTGTGATCATACCACTGTTTTTGATAATCCGCAGCCGGATCAATGATTTGCTGCTGGTCGATCACTGGCTGCGTTGACACGCTGTGCACACTGGTTGTGGAGGCTCGGGATTGAGGTCGTTTGCGGCTCTTGGTCGTTGCTGTAGCGTTAGATAGTGATCGAGACTTCAGAGGTATTTTTTCCGAGGGAGGATTGTGGTCGACTGTTGTAATATAGCTATTAGTCAAGATACAATTTTAATATAAACAGAGGCCCACAAATACGCAGTATTTGCAAAACGGGCAGCAGAATCACTCACCCATCATCTCCATGGGTGTCAAGTCAAGTAAATATGTTTGGGAGAGATTCGCGGCGTCTCACGAGGTCTGGAGACGGCCGGGCCTTTGTTGTTGTTTTTTGCGACGGGCGAGAGATGGGCAGTGGGGCACGTTGCTTGGACCATAGAGTCGCGTCCGGGGAGGCAGCTGTCTGTTAGTTAGATGTCCAGATCCGGGCGGGTTGGCAGATGGGCGCCCTTGGCGGTGGTAAGGGAGCCAGGAGGATTGATTGTCGAAGAGCAGGAGAGAGAGGTTTCGTTGCTGTCTGTTTACGTTCTTGTTGACGGGACGAAAAGGATTGATCGCGAGTGTGGCAAGCGGAGGTCGGGCGGGCGGGAGCGACCAAACACGCAGCGACTATGCCGCCGCACTACATATGTTTTGGAGGCAAAGAGGGTCGTACTATTGAAAAGGTCAGGTTATGTATTAATTGTCTTGTTCCAGCGAGATGAGAATAACGTAATGAGGTGCAGGTGCTTATTCACTCCATGGGAACAACAGAGCGCTCTTCTTCTACAGTACTGTGCAGAGCAAAGTTCTCACATGGATGTACCTAGGCACGATACAACAGTACGTATATTGTATATAAGTAGCTCGTCCCATTGTACATTGTACGGAGCACCTCGGTACCTGGGTAGGTACATATTTTAATATGCTGATATTACCTTGATGACAAGTAGATTGATTCATTTCACGACCAAGATTGCAACACGGGATATCCTCCATAGAAATGTAGAAATGTTCAACCCAGGAATGCCGGGTATACATATATACAAGTATATATATACCTATGCACTTGTACAACTGAGTGAACCATCTCAATATAATCTCTTGCTCTCTCTTCCCTTTTCCCTCTCATCCTTCTCCTTTCTTTCTTTCTTTCTCCCTCACTCTCCTCGTTCACCGACTCGCACGAGACCCATCACGTGACCCCACCTCGCTCGATCGGCGTCATAGAAGGTACAGTAGCCGGCCCACCCTCCTGCTTCTTCCTCCGCCTACATCCCTTACATTACATTTGCTTGTTTTTCATCAACCTCGCACGCACGATTCGCATCCCACCTCGAAACTCAATCTGCAACCTGCCTTCCCTACACCTCTCTGAACACATCGCTCTCCCCATATCCTCGGTCGCGCAACTTGCCCTTTGCCCAGAATGTCGTCGTTTCAAGAGAAGGCCCAAAGCCACATCGCCCAGATCGACAAGGAAGTATGTGCTCGCAAACCTCTCCACCCCCTCCAAATCTGTCTTTTTCCTTCCTGCGACTGACTATTATATCAGCTCTCCAAGTACCCGGCTTTGAACAACTTGGAAAAGCAGACCTCGGTTCCCAAAGTCTATGCTTTCCTCGGCCTGATTGCAACCTATTTCTTCTTCATCTTCTTCAACATCGGAGGCCATTTCCTCACCAATTTTGCTGGATTCGTGATTCCGGGGTACTACTCGCTTGAAGCTCTGTTCAGTGTCAGCAAGGCAGACGATACACAGTGGCTCACGGTAAGTCTGGCCGCATTCCTGCCGCTATGTCTCGGCTGACGCTTCATATCTAGTACTGGGTCGTGTTCTCTTTCCTTACTGTGTTTGAGAGTGCTGTGAATGCCGTCTACTGGTTCCCATTCTACTACACATTCAAGTTTATCGCTCTTCTCTGGCTTGCGCTTCCAGTCACTGGGTGAGTTTTGTCATATTTTCAATCCACAGAAGGCTACTAATACGGCCCTCAGCGGCGCCCAAATTGTATTCCGCTCCTTCATTCAGCCAGTCTTTGCTCGCTACTTCTCTGGAGCCGGCGCGACTGCTGCAAACCTTCGCTCCAAGGTCGACAGTGCTACCTCCGACAAGACCCTGTAGGTGCGATAACACTAGGTTCTCTACTTTCTTGCCAAGCTAGCAGAGCTTCCATCAATATTACGGCAGAATACTGGAGATTTATTCCCGATAGGAAACGAGATGGAGAGGGAAGGTGTTCCGGCATGGGTGTTGGGATTGACCCTGTGGATGGGCGCGTTGGATGTGTAGCTGGTTAATGAGAGCTGGACATAATGCTCTCGAGGCTATTGGAATGAATTGCTGGGGCCGCGAGACAGGTTTCCTTTATATTGAATCCCTTTGTTTTTTGAATGCTCGTCAATTTTGTATGAAGTGTATGAGCTCTCACGAAACATATGTGCTACTTGTCCAGTTATTGTCATGAAGTCTTAACGCTCCGAAGTACGAAAGTAAAAGTCCGCACGATTGTCTCCCTGTTTCAAGCAGATCTGAAGAGTCCGAGTTGACCACGTATACCTACCTAGGTAGGTAGGTTGCGAGGCCCTAGCAACCGGTTCTCAATTAAGCTTAGCGTACATATATGGCAGTTCTAAATATACAGTACTTTGGCGTTTGAGATAAAGCTCCGTACAAGAAAGCCAAACGCCAAGAGCATCCTAGGACGACAGTCGTCGCAACAACGAGCACCTACATACCTACGGACTAAGTCTCTTCCTGCAATTATTCCCCAGAATTCTCGAAATAATCAACGAACCTTTAGATCCTGGACCATTGTGCCGCGGAGAGGGAGCCTGGATTTCCCAATGCTCGTCAGGGTACCAGCGCGATGCCCCTACCAAAGCTCAGCCCGCTGCAGTCGCGGTTTGCAGCATCTCTTATAGCTTCAATCATGTTGCTGATTCTATACCTTGTTTTCACACTGCCCAACTTGGCATACGCTGCAGATGTTGATTCGACACGAGCGCAAGATCACAACCACGAACGAATATTGGACATGGATATATTAGGGGCCAATGTCGAGAACCTGGATTTAAGATCAGAGGCAGGATACGAGGCAGAATTCATAGGATACGATCGAGGCATTATTGGAAGAGCACCCACAGCGAACAGTCCAACACAGTTGACTAATAATGTCGCGAGGACTGACAATATTGTGCAGGGACAAACATTTTCCTATGTGTTTCCTAGCGCAGAGATTGGGCTTCAAAGCCGAAGTACTGAAGATGGAATGGAGCAGGCAAGGCTGGTGAAGGAGAGTGACGAAGGGGAAGATTTTGAAGACCTCAAACTAAGACCTCGACAATCTCGAACGGTCTATATCTCTGTGAATACATGTCTACAGCCCCGGCCGATACACAACACGACGATAGAACCGCCGCCTCAGCTTCAGCTCTACATATCGCAGTCCGAGAGCAACCCCAATCCCGGTCCAAATTCAGATGGTGTTCAGGAGATGGTCATGTTGGACGGGGGTGCTGTGATGAAGACAGTAAGCGTTACCGGCGACCTTTTCATGGGCGTGTATGGCGTAAATACAACCGCTTACCAAGATGTATGGAATGCCGAGATTGCTGTATCCACTGATGGTTTCTACCACACTTTTTACAACAACTCTGATCCGAATCTTCAGCTGATCGATAGTGACAGTAGTGCTGCACTGCTGGTCACCGGCAACCTCACCAATGAAGATGTCTCGAGTTCGGCGTATCAAGCGGTGTTGAATGCTGCGCCTCCATATCTGTTATTTGCAACCGATAGTAATGAGCGCCCCATTCAAGGCCTTCAAAATTCGTACTGTGGTTTGATGCAGAATGCTGGGATTGTGCCCTCAACTACCGGACAGAGTGCGAGCAATATCGATACGAGCCTTACGACCAGAGGGAATGGTGCACCGAAGCAACAGTTTTATCTCACGGGCATCAAAGGCGGCACAACGTATAGTGCAATTCTCGCAATGTATGGTGGTAGAAATTCTACTACGGGCGGCTCTGGAGTAGTGGGAGGCGGTGGACAAGTCTGGCCAATGATGAACTTTACTACTCTTTCCGGTATGTTCTCTCACGGAGCCTTTTCTAACAGACAGGAGCTAACATTCCAAGATGGCAACTGCGCTGTGGTCTTCAATCTATCTTTCTGTGATCAAACAGCATATGCTGTGCCCGGAAATCCCAACAACTTCCCAAATATGACCTCTCTCGCTTCTTTCTACGACAATGGCGCCTCCCAATACTATCAGAACTTCCAGAACGTATTGGCGCAGATACCTTGCAATACCACCTCTACAGCTCAATACTCTCTTGCGAGAAATTGCGACGACTGTGCTGCAGCTTATAAGGCGTGGCTTTGCTCGGTTTATATACCTCGATGTACCGACTTCTCGTCCGATTTACCGTGGCTTCGGCCACGAAGCATGATAAATCCTTTCCCAAACGGCACGATGCTTCCTCCTGAGGTTGTCAGCGTTGCGAATCAGTCGGCATTCCTCAGCTCGTCCAGGAACCCGATGATAGACCAATACGTCAATCCCGGCCCTTATAAGGAGATCCTTCCTTGTGATGACCTGTGCTACAATATTGTCCAGAGCTGTCCATCTTCCATGTCGTTCGGGTGCCCCTTACCTGGTCGGACGTCATTCAATCAGAGCTATGGAATAAAATCGAAAACCCAGGTGACATGTAATTACCCTGGGCCTAATTATGACCAAATTACAAGCGGAAGCGGGACGATTATGCCGCATCTGCTGATGTTCGTCGCCCTGGTGGTGATGAGTTTGGTGGCTGTATGAGTTGCGTTGTAACCCCCTTTCTTTTGCAGCGTGGATCGAGGGCATTGATGGCGTTTACAGGGAATCTTGGTTTATAATGAGCTCCACGAAGTATGATCCTTGATGTTGATGGCATAAGGAAATGTCAGAGATTTCCCGTAGCTTTTCTTTGAAAGAAAAGGGGCCTAGAGCGACTTTTGTATGCTATAATGTTTTCATGTCTATACATACCATAGATTTGGAGGATTGGGATATATCCAAGTAGACCGGAGTAAAAGCGCGAATCGATTTGTTTCAATCCTTTACTGTAGCCATAATGTCATCCGATCAACCGAGGGGTCTACATTCAATATTGTACTCTGGATAGATGGATATCTTCAGCGGTTCGAGTGGTAATAAGACATACATACGCAATACAGCATAAGGTTTCAACGCTCTCGTGCCCGATGCCTTTTGTCTCTGCGGAGTTAATGACAGAGCTGCAGTGCTACTGTACTCCGTACGGAGCGGTGGGCGTACCTGGCAGTGTACCTACAGTAGCAGGCTTTTAAGTCAGACCGGCGCCTCCCAGTGCCACTTGGCGATGCGAAAAGCTTGTCGTCATATATATCCTGCGAGGATGCTAAGGGCTGCTAAGGGACTACTATTGGCAAAGTTTGAAAACTTTGACGCGAACAGGCCAGCCCTGACCCCGTGCAGGCTATACGAATCTCACACCGTCCCCACGAGGCCCACGGGATAATAATAAGTAATGAGATGGGCCATGACGCAGGAGGAGCAGCTTTCAAGACATGCAATTACGAACGTGGGACAATACCGAAGAATGGTTCTCATGAGGGGCACATTTCTTCTTCCTTGTTCTCCTTTCTTTTTTTCCAAAGACTGATTGCAGGTCGAAGTCTTGAAGGCACATGCGTTGGGCTTTATGCGCGGATGTTCGGTCCCGCACCAGATGCCAAAAGTAAACAACGCGTGGAAACACGCTAGTATACCCAGCTGTTAGCGCTTAACGTTCGGGGGGGTTTAGCCGTCAGAGGGGTGGACATAGCCATCTGCTCCCCCCCAATTCCCAATAGTAGCAAGCGAGTCATTAAGTTTCGCCTGAGTATACACCTACGATCGATAGTCAGGGGTTTCAGGCCAATAGTGAGGAATTAGATCTAGAAGTCACTGATTAGCAGTGCCGTGATTAAATGACGAAGACAGATATCGGGTTTGGCCTCGTGTCAACCTTAAACTTTGTTCCTGGAAGGGAACGCAGGTCCACGGAGGCGGAGTCACGGGGTGCCACTGATGCCCACAGATAGCCGCTCCCTGCCTTAGCGATCTGATAGACGCACGGCGGTGCCTGGCCGAAATTTTCCCCCTCGCGGCCCGCTCTTCGAACCAACGACCAGCATCATCAGCTTCATCTATCCCATCCACGCTCCATCTCCCACCCAATCAATTTGCATCTCGACGTAGCTCTAGGCTCCAGGAATCCCAGAAATCCCAAGAATCCCAGCGCCTTCAGCGCCCAGTTGATCAACCGGCACTTCCTCCTTCCAGGGCTCTCCCGTTCGTCCCCAATCATCGCCCACTCAATTGGCTGAGCTGGCCTGGACTCCCTTCGCCTGGCATTCTTGATACCTCATACCAGCCAAACCTTGCGTCCGGCCAGGCTCGTTCTGATACCGAGATCCCAGGCAATTTGCTTGAGAGGATCCTGCTCGGCCCTGCGCTATCACCTTACGCCTCGCGAGTCACGCTTCTTCCTCCGTCCAGAACCTTGCTCTTGACCTTGAACCTGCTCGATCTGCTCCGACCTGCTGTGCCGTACATGTACAAGTACTGGTGACAGGTATCCCGCGTCCGCCTCTAACCTCCCCTCCCCTCCCCGCCTCGGCCTGCTCCTCCTCCCAGACAAGAGGGAAAGACGTCTACAGCTCGAGCGTCAATTCTCACAACTTCCACCTTCACCCAACATTCCACCGCCAGCTTCCCGAGGCATTCGAGCTCACCCTTGCTTCCTAGACCTGACGTGGCGTGGAATCTACATCTACTCCGTCCCCTCCGTGCTAATCTCGCTCCACAATCCATCCGATCGTCGATCCTATCCTAGCCAGCGCACCTCGCCGACTTGCCTGTTCTTGGATATCACGGTATGCAAGCTCCCTCCCGATACGTATCCACATCGCCGCCTCTGGGCCTCCTTCACCGATTGACATTTTCCCCCAAGACTGACCTTGAAAAATACAGCTCGCCATCGACATCGCTCCTTGCCCACAATCAGCAAGACGTGTCGTCGACTCCTCACCATGTCGTCGACGCGTTATACGCAGCAGCCGCTGCAAATTTACCAAGATTCAAGCGCATCCTATGACCACGCTCCCATGCCCCCGATTCCGAGCCCTATACGTCCGAAGAAACCATCACCGCTTCGTCCGATAAAGAATGCCTCTTCGAGAAGAAACATTGTTCTCAACCCCCCTCAGCAAGGATACAGCCCGCAATCACCATTAAAGTCGTCTCAGCAGACATCTAGTTCGCCCTCAAGAGCGCCCTTCAACAGCAGACTGAATGTGATTTCGATGCCACCACCGGGCAGGCCTATGCACCAAACGGATTCCATGGAGAAGAAGCAGCCATTGATGTCTAAGTTCAAGCCGCAGAAGGCCCTATTTACAACATTCGCGAGTACAAAGTCCACGGACAAGGAGAATTATCCCATATATGAGCAGCATACAACTTCTTATCGCAATGGATTCGATGAAAGCAACTTCTCCCTTGAAGGCCTGTACGGTCAGAAGCGGGCAGCCAAGCGAACTCTGTTGGAGGCACCATCAATCCATGAATCGAGGGCCTCCAAGAGATCGAAGACCGAAGAAAGGCAAGGAGGAGAAGCAGTTGAGGAACAAGTAGAGCTTCCTGCGCCTGATTCATTTCCGCCTCTTCATGACGATGGAACCAAACCACCGCATAGTTACGCACAGTTGATCGGAATGTCTATATTAAGAGCACCAGCTCGTCGATTGACCCTTGCCCAAATCTACAAATGGATATCCGATACCTACTCCTTCTACAGTCCGTCAGATGCTGGCTGGCAAAACAGTATTCGCCATAATCTTAGTCTCAATAAGGCCTTTATCAAGCAAGAGAGACCAAAGGATGACCCTGGAAAAGGAAACTATTGGGCTATTCAACAAGGCATGGAGCATCAATTCATCAAGGAAAAGCCGGCGCGAAAGTCTGTGGGTCCAAATGAGAACGTATCCTTACTATCTACGAACCTTGCGCCTGTGACGCAACCGGAGAGCTCACAATCCTCGTTCAAGCCCCTTACCCCAGCAGTTCAAGACTTGCCTCCTCAATCAGCGTACACCATGCCGGAGGCCCCATCGCGTGCTCATCCAGAATTGTCCTCTGACGCTACAATTCCAGCATCAGACGCTTTCAATCCTGAAGCAGACGCCGGGGAAGAAGCCCGGGAACTACCACCATCCTCCCCCCTTATCCGCTCATCACCACCTGCGGCTATGATGCACTCGTCACCACCTATGCCTCACGTTATGCCAAGGATGAACGCTACTCCACCTCCTGTTCCACGATTCCCTTCCTCCGATCGAACACGATCTCACAAACGCAAATTCGCATCCATGGATGACAGTGGCTATTTCTCATCACTCGATTCATCTGCCATGAGACCACATCAGGCTAACCGGTTGCTTACTTCAGAAGCTGATCGCCCGCGTATAAAGCGAGGACGTGCTGAGGAGGAAATTGCACGACTTCGGGGCTCTTCATATGATAGTCCAACAAAGGGTCGCACCGCCACATCAAGCTTTGCTCCCCCATCCTCATCACCATTGCGTCGGAACCAGAAACATAATGGCCCATCTAACATGCTACCACCTCTTACACCGGCTGTGAAGTTGCAGCCTCCAGTAAGGCCAGCTCCACCCTCTGTTTCACCAAATACGAACCTCCGTCTGCATCGTGATAGGGTTCGAGAACTGGTGGGTTCGCCGGTTCGAGGTATGGGAATCTTAGATTCGAATCTACCGCCTTGGAGCCCTGCTTTCTGCTTGGATGACAGCCCATTCATTTACGGTGACTTGAACAACGACTTTGACATCTTCGCCGACAACAATTCTGGATTTCTTTCTGTACCTGGCAATGGTTCTCCTGAGAAGCGATCAGCAAAGAGACCCCGCTTGGACCGATCTAGATCTGCCAACTCCGTGGCTGATAACTCCAATTACAATAAGAGTAATACCTCCACCCCCTTGGTGAAGGTTACACCAAATCTAGCCCCATCGGCACTTGACTCGCCTGTCAAGGGACTTGGTTTTATGGCCTCACCTAGCAACTTGCTTAGCCTCAAGTCACCGATCAAACTGGGATCGCCGCCATTTAGCGTCTCTGCCTTCGGCTTGCCCCAGGACGAAGAGTTCTATGGTTCTGAATTCCTATCCGAAGAAGCTACTGACTTCTCCGGTATGGACATCATGCAAGGATTCCAAAAAATTGGTGCCGGCGGTCAGTCTTCTCGCGATACACCAAAGACCAACAATTCTCGACCGTCATTCGGCCGAAACTTCACTTCTCAATTCTAAACCTCTGGCCTTCAATTACGGGCAGAAGTGGACGGATAACGATTTTCTTTTCCCCTCGGGTACATACCTGGTGACGAATGTAACGACATTACGAATTTGGGTGGATCAATCATCTTGCTTGCTATGGCGTAGGATGGAGGTTGATGTGCGTTCAGGAAAGGAAGGATAATGAGCTCTTGGGAGAGCGGGTAGATTGGATAGCCTCACGGTCCTATCGATGATAATGATGTGAGAGTATATACACGCTGCTTTTCCTTGCATGTTTGATTCTAGATATCCTTGTCGGTTTGGTCCTTTGCTAGGTTTTGACGGCTGGTTGATCATCTGGTCTTACAGGCATTGTTGCCTTCTGCGGTCCTGGTTACGGTTTTTGAAGAGAGAATGGGTAGTAGTAGTGATTGAGTAATGAAAGATTACTGTTTTGACTATTATTCCTGATCTTGATCTGACTCTGTGTGCTGCTTGTATTGAATGCTGTCTTATATTGCAACTGATGTTCCATCGAACAGATGAAAGAGGCGGCATCTAGACCTCCTCTTGAATGCCAAGGCTCTGGGTGATCCATCTCACAGCGCAGTACCGAGGCCTTCTCCTGAATGCCGAGACTCGCTCACGATTGAGACAGGTACTCGGCTCGACCGTCCTGACTTGCATTCTCGTTGAACCTCGCGGTGGGTAGTGAGACCATCTCAAAGAGAAGAAAAGAGAATGAGAAAGGAGAAAGTAAGCAGAAAGAATGGCTTGAAGACTGCTGACAGCAAAGCTTGGCGATGTCTTGTAACCATATTATCGAAACCAGGCAAGTATAAATGAAATACGAGCGGTCAACGGTTCCTGTAAGCCAAGAATGATAAGGTTTCGAGAGATACCTAGTTGATTACTTTTACATTCAAAGGGTTGATTAGTAGTTCATTGATATATCGAAATCCCGAACACCGACAAACTCCTCTTATAGAAAATGATTTGGGGGGGGGGGGGGGGGGGAATGGCTAGCGTCAACTTCCGTAAATAACTTAGCGAGCCCGTCTTGCCTCCGTACGCCATACACGAAGGATATCAGGATTTTCCTGAGAGAAAGGGTAAAGGGAATCACTGTATGAGGTACGGATGATACTTGGCAAAGCTCAAGTGTAGGAGGGGTAAAGGATGAGCGTTCCAAATCGGGAACCCTTGGCAAACGACATCCAAGGACTCTTCTCGAAATCCTCCTGATGGCTGGTGGCTTTGGGCGCGGCGGCCATCCCCCATGCCCAGCAGAAGGGACCAATGGCCCCGGATCCGCCCCGTCTTTTTGACAGCGGGGAAGAGACTCCCACAAGCGGTTCTGCGGTTCTGTCCGGGTCGAGAGATATTGCCCTTTGCACTGCCGAGACAGCCCGGGAGGTTTCGGCGGCTGGGCTATTGGTTCGAAATCCTGCTGTGACGGGGCCTTTGAGGAGGACGCACTCGCCCCGAGGGAATGACATATCCACAGCAGAGGACTTGCGCTGACGGGGCTCTACGGGGCGGAGGGGGAGGAGAGTGGAGGAGAGTTGGCTGCTCTCGTCCAACTCTGTCCTCTGAAGTGTCTGAAGCCCCAAAGCCAAGACGCGGGAAAAGGGGGGAACATGAGGATATGGGAAGAGCGGTGGGAAAAGTGACATACATTTCCCGGGCTGAGTGAGTGAGGTGGGTACAACTGTACTGCGCATCGGCTCGGTGGGCACCTTACTCGTGCTCTGTGTGTGTTTTCTTTGACGGGGAGATGTGTAGCAGCAGTTCCACTGATGCCAATTGCCAAGAGGCAGACCACGTCCACATGATGGTTGAGTTGCAGAGGATTCATACAACAAGTGGATGGTTGAGGGGGGCAAAGGGGGCCCTCAAGCAAGGCAAGGCACGGCGTCTACTAAGCAGGTAGGTCTTCGGAGACTTGTTATGACAAGTGCTTGGTTATTACTTGAGGGGTCTTAAAGTGTCCCAAGACTCGACTATTATTATTGATTTGACTTGGGGGGGTTGTTTCTATTATTTGCTTATTGTGGATTTCTGGCTGAATTCTGGCCTAATTCTGGCTTGATTCTGGCCTCTTGTCAGCCCTCCACAAGAGACCTTAGGACAGGAGTAGTGTTGTTTAATATTTGATTATATTACATTACTTTGCCCATTTTTCCTTTTCTATGCGAAACCCGGATTCCGTGCGGATGCTGCCCTTGGGAGTTCAGGAAAATCCCTCATAGCAAGGCGGTTCGCCCGTCCCAGCCCCTCTCTCTCTTCCCACTCCATTCATCCATCTATCCTTTCAACACTCTTATTTGCTGCTCTTTTGCTCGCGCGCTCTCTTTTCGCAGGTGTTGTGACCTGTGTTGTGACCTGCTCTCTCCTGCTCAACCCGTCGCCACCCACCAGTTCTGCGGATAAATAATTATCATTCTACTCCGTAAGCCCTTCCACACAACCCTCTCTTTGCACCACCCTCCCGAGAAGAAGGGAAAAAAAACGAGACAAAAAAAGCCAAGCACCAGAAGAAAAAAAACATCAGCACAAATTGTCAAGGACCCACGCTCACAAGGTCATCAAGAACTCACATCAATAGGAGTGCGGTCAACCCACTCGGAAACCCCAGATCCTACAAGAGCGCGGGCGTTTGCCCGCACCGCCTCGGCGGCGACTCTCTCTCCAGTCCGTGGTGTTCCTATAACCGCCCTCTCCCACCGAAAAACCACAACACCCAACCAACGCGCCCGCGGGCAGTGGGCGACACGCAGAACACCGAACATCATGGCCACGGTCGCCGCGCAACGAGTTCGTCCTTCGCCTTCGACCTCGCAGGCCTCGTCCAAGGCCGGGTCGCCCGAGTCGCGCCCGTCGCCCGCCCAGAATGCCATGTCCGTCTCCAGCACCGAGAGTCTGAATGGCACTGCGCCACCTGCCGAGCCACAGAAGCCCGCCCCCGCCACAGAGGAGAAGCCCTCAATGACGAAGCGTCTAACGCGCATGTTCTCGACGAGAGACGCTCTGCGATCCAACAACAGCGTCGATTCGCAGCAAACATCCGCTGGTAACGCCTCGTCAAAACAAGATCCCCCTGCGTCCTCCACGCCCCGAACCAGCACCCCCGTTCGAAAACCGTCGTCGGCCAAGGAGAAGTCGGACCGCTCAGAGAAGTCCGTCACGACGCTGTCGAAGGAGAAGAAACCCATGCCGAGCCAGCGCTACGCCGTGGTGCCCGAGGCCCAGGGCGGCCATGAGCATCACTTGAAGAGTGCGAAGAGGCAGGAGAAGCTCTCGGACATGCTCCGAAACGTTATCAGTGGGAAGAAGAACGTGGAGCCCCACGAGGGCGAGCAGCAACTATCGCTCATGTCGAACTGGGTCGACCAGCTGAAACGCGAGCGGGAAACTCTGGCTTCAGATAAGAAAGGGGGCCCGAATGCCACGGCGTCGTTGGTAGAGAAGTACGGCAAATGCCAGGAGATTGTTGGTCGCGGAGCTTTCGGCATCGTCAGGATCTCGCACAAGCGGTCAGACAACGGAGAGCAACTATTCGCTGTCAAGGAGTTCCGTCGACGGCCGGAGGAGAACGAGAAGAAATACAGCAAGCGGCTCACGTCTGAATTCTGTATATCGTCCTCATTACGACACCCCAACGTCATCCACACCCTCGACCTCCTGCAAGACTCAAAGGGTGACTACTGTGAGGTTATGGAATTCTGTGCAGGTGGGGATCTCTACACGCTCGTGCTCGCCGCCGGGAAGCTCGAGGTCAACGAAGCGGACTGCTTCTTCAAGCAGATGATGCGTGGCGTCGAGTACATGCACGAGATGGGCGTTGCACACCGAGACCTGAAACCCGAGAACCTCCTCCTTACCACTCATGGTGCCCTCAAGATTACTGATTTCGGGAACGGCGAATGCTTCCGCATGGCTTGGGAGTCAGAAACACACATGGTCACCGGTCTTTGCGGATCGGCCCCCTACATCGCTCCCGAGGAATACGTTGACAAAGAGTTTGATGCCAGAGCTGTGGATGTGTGGGCCACAGGCGTGATCTACATGGCCATGCGAACCGGGCGGCATCTCTGGCGGGTAGCGAAGAAGGAGGAAGACGAATTCTACGAGAGATACTTGGAAGGGAGAAGGGATGAGGAGGGTTATGCTCCTATTGAATCACTGCATCGGGTAAGCCTCCACCTAATCCCCCTGTGTCAACCAACACAGCCATAACGATATATAAACAGGCGCGTTGCCGAAATGTCATCTATTCAATCCTGGATCCTAACCCCGGACGCCGCATCACCGCTTCTCAGGTCCTGAAGTCCGAATGGGGCCGTGAGATCAAGCTCTGCAAAGCAGGGGAGGAAGGGATCTGATCTTGTCTAGCAGGGGCCGCGTGCTCTCAAATGCACGACGGAAGAACAGACCCCATCCTTTGACCGGATGATGACCAAAAGAAGCCCTCTTTTCACTATTACTTGGACGACGAGTCCAGTCCCGAGAAGTCCACGTTCCCGCGCGGTCCGGCGGCTTCCAGATGCAGCAGCACGCACTTTTGTTTGCAATTTTCGAGTATAATTGTATGGTGATTGCGTGAGGGTGGAAAGACTTGATTTTTTTTGTTAGAGGGGCGGCGGCAGCTTCCGAAATCAAATAATGTGAGGTTCTTTTTTTGTTTTTTTTTAAACCAATGCAGCATAGCGATCATGATGGGAATGGAACTACGGCGTCCTCGGCGTTTGACGGAGCTTTTTGACATATTTCTCTGGCGAAATAAGGGAGGAAGGGCGGCGAGGACGGCGGCGGCGGCGGTAGGCAAAGGCAACTACTTGAGGAAAAGCCCAAGAGGAGAAGAAGAGTGAGAACCTTCAACAGGGGTTGGCAAAATCTACGTACCCTCGATGATCCTGGAAAAACAGCACACGATAACTCATTTTCCTCTTCATCTCTCGTGCGCGCGCTCTTGTCAGGAAGCAGCATCATCCTTTTTGTTTTGCTCTTTCGAGTATTCCGCGGACGAGGGAGCTTGTTGAGTGCAGAGAAAAGAAAGGAAAGGAAATGAAGGGAAGGGGATCTTTGTAGATAGATAAGAGAATGTGAGGAGAAGAGACTGAGAGTAAGAGAAAGAGAGAGGAGAGATGCAGGATAGGAAAAGATTGTTTGATAGGAAATCAATCTAAAGAAATTCTAGAATCACATTTTGTATATATTGTATTATTGTATATTGCAAAAAATCATGGCATATCTATCTCTCTCCTCGTTCGATTCCACAATCTCCTGTGAACGAGTCTCGAAAATCCCCATCCATACATATATACATAACTTTGCATGCATGTATGTATGTAGGTATGTATGTATGCATGGAAATCAATCATGCCTCCCGCCCAAGCTCCCAATCACAATCACAAGAGACCTACCTACCTATTTACCTCTGCACAAAAGTTAAATAGAAAAAAAAGAGGGTTCTAGACCTCTGGGCAGTATCACACAGTCGGTACTTGACCCCGTGCTAGTTGTTCGTTCTCTCTCTGGGAGACACGAAAATGTAAATTGACGTACACACAGACACACAACGCACGCACGCACGCACAGCCTTGATCCTGATCTTTCATGACGACGGATGATTTATCATGAAGTAAAGCAGGAAAGAGAGAAGGCAAGCAAGCGAACAAAGTAATAGATTGATTCCCCATTCATCCATCCCCGCTCTAGAGATAGATAGATAGATAGATAGATAGATAGATAGGTAAGGTTACAAAAAGCAACACGACACGACACCGGAAACGCCCATGTCCAAACGCCCATCCACACAAGCTAGCTCTCTCTTGTCCTGTCCTGGGGATGCTGTACGCAGATCGGACGGTTTGATTTGAGTGATTAACAGTGCTGCCCTGCCCCTTTCCCCGCTCTTCCTGCCTGTACGCAAGGAATTAGGCGCGAGAGGGAGGGGGAAGAGGGGCAGGGTCACTGGAGAATTAGAAGATAAACCGGCCGCAGCAGCATTCTTTCCCCTCCCGCCGTCTCTCGTCCCGTCGTGAACTTCCATTGTGACCATCCATCCGCCTCCTTTCCGCCTCCGCCGCCCCTAGGATTCATTAACGCCAGTCCGTAACCAGCAAGTAACGCACTGATGTTGTTGTTTGTTGTAATTCCGATGATGATGATGATGATAATGATGATAGATAAACGTATCGACAGGGAAGGGAATTCCGGTCCTGGTAATGTAATAAAACTGCTGGAAGGATTATTATCCTCGAATGGTATATATTGCTCCCAAGAAAATGAAATCAACAGTTCGATGCCTCTCGACTACCTAGCCAGGGCCTGTGAAATACGGGCTGATCCGAACTCCCAAATCGGTGCAGGATATGCAAGCAAAATCGAAATCACGAGTGGAAAAGGTCCCAGGCTCGATCACACAATCTCAAGAACTCCTCCTTTTTCCTTTGTTGGCTGTTCGGGCTATCCCGTCCTTCGCCGAAAGGTCCTCGTCGTGCCGTCGGCGGTCCGTTGCCGAGAGGTGGGCTGGCTCCATCTTCATACTCTGCTCTCGCCCGTCTCCTGCCCCCGCGGCTAGATTCGCCCTGCCTCATCGTGTTGCCCGTCAGGGGCGACGGGGGCGTGGGCGGTTGGTGACCTCCGTAATGGACGAGTTTAGGGAGGAGCTCGGGCCGGCCGCCTGCTAATTCAACCTGAGCGTCTTCAGCAGAGCGGTACTCTCTAGGTCTGCCCGAGGAAGTCGTCTGGCCAGGAGATGGGAATGCTGCTCTCGAATTCGATTGGGACGAGTTGGACGCGGAGCCGGAGTTCTGGAAGAAGCTTGTCCTCCCCGACGCCTCACGGTGAGCCCCGAGACCTTCGGATGCAAATACATCTGTGATGGGTGGTAGACGATTACTTGTTTGCGTTGCAGGGACATGGTGAATATGGGATGTATTAGAGAGGTTCGATGGTTGATTAGCAATGTGGCGCGTCAATGGGTGTGGTTGATGTCGTCCAGTGAAGGTCTGATTAAGGGGAGCGGACTGAATTACTCTCTCGTGCGCAAACTGCTCATGTGATGGAGCGACGATGCTCAGCCCCGGGGGTGCCTTTCTTTTTGATGTGCCCGGGGTCTTTGTTTGAAAGCCTCCTAATTCTTTCGCGCTATCCATCGGTGCATCGCCTGGCTTTGCTGTCTGTTGTAACCTTGACTCGATGAGATGCCTCTGTTGCTCGCGAACCGAGATACTCCGTTGCAATTGTTCCCTCATGGTTGGATCCTGCGTAACGAATCCTGGAGATAGACAGGCCAACCCCACGTCTTGGATACCAAGACCGCCAGTTTCCACCCCTCGCGCTGTGAGGGGGCCGCCCGACGGCCGCGCTGTGCTAGAATTTAAGTTGGACGCGCTCTTCTTCGAGAGGTCGAGTTTGCGCGGTCTATGACGAGAGGTTGGGAGATCTGGCGACGAGGGAGGCTCCTTTTTAACAATGATCTTGGGTGGTACCCCATTTCGAGACCTGCAGAAATTGCCATGTCAGTATCTGCTGTTGCCGAGGTTCCAACACCCATTGAAACAGACTGGGGACGTACGCTGATGGTGGACTCTTTCCGGCCGGTGTAGCCTTTGGACTCGCACTTGCTGCTCGTTGGGCCGCCTGGTTCGGAGTCGCCGTGGCAGATGTGCGCTGCGCCGGGGGAGAGTTGGGGGCTGCTGCTGTGGGCGCGATATCGACATAGGACGATCTGTCATGAGGTGCTGGCGACGGTGCCATTGCGATGGCAGTACTCATGGTGTCTAAAGGACAGCTTCCGAGCTGGTGTCGTGAATCGATCTCTCAAGCTCTTCGTCGCTCGTAATATCAATATATCACTGTCGCAATGGGGTTGCTCCCTTTCCGGATTCTTGTACACGGCTTATTACGCGGCGATACGGCTTCGTGCGTCTGTGTCTATGTGTGTATTCCTTCTCCTTAACGAGCGACTAGATGTGCCACCACCCAAGCAGACTAGAGAGCCGTCGGCGTATGTCGATTGCTGCTGCTGCTGTTGGTGAGAAGAGGAGTTCCGGAAGGGGGGGTAGAGAGGCTATCGACAACCAGATGCCAGATTGCTTATGAGCGCCGAAAGGGGGGAAGAGGCCGGGGAGCAGGGAGCAGGGAGCAAGCAAGCCAAAGGGAGGGACTGAGGGAGAGGCGAGAGGCGGGAGGGCGGGAGGTCGTAGAAAAGAGAGGATCGCGGGTGGCGGTGAAGTTGTATGTTTTATAGAACTGGAGTCGAGCCCTTCGACAGGAGGTGAGGTGTGTTGTGTATGTGGGGGTATTGGGGAGTCTAAGTAGCGTGTAGGTGTTTCAGAGGCTCAGATTTTCCCAGACTTTCATCCAGACTGGCGAAGCCGCGAAGGAGGGAGGGGTGTTTGGCGTTTTGCGAGAGGACCGCTGCCCCCCGGTACAGTAGCACCACGAGAACTTTATTAGTTACAGACTTTTGCCGGACAAATGCACCGGACGGGGTCCTTGAAGGTCCTTGGAGTCTTGACTCTGGAAGTATCTGTAGTATCTGTCGTATCTGTCGTATCTGTACAGTTCCTGAGAGCCCTGAGAGCCCTTACAGCCCTTAGTAGAGTTCAGCTAAAACTCCGTCCCAGACCTTAGTAACTTGGCAAGGAGGGGGGGGGATGTGACAATGTGCCGCGCAGTAGTCCAGTCAACTCTGGCCTTAGCAGCAGCAGATAGAGAAACCTAGGATCGAGGAGCACGTCGATAATGTAATGTGGGCGGTTTTGGCGTGACGACGGGGGTTTGGACTTGGGACCATTGGCATCGTTTGAGGCTGTCCGGCTCCTGCGTTGGATGTAAATAGCTATAGAGATACCTTATATTATCACTATCTGTTCCTGAACCGCCCCTCTGTCTGCTGGAGCCTGGCCATCTGGTTAATCAAAAAAGGGGTCTCGTCTCGCCCAGTTATCGCCGCCCCTCTCCCCACGGTACGGTATCACAGTAGGATCCGCTGGTCATGCAGTCAATATCAGATCAATCATGTTGGCAAGGCACGTAGGTCGTAGAGCAGCAGTTGCCACCAGTACCCTCTGTCCTCCACAGAACGAAGCCTTCTGCTGAATATCTCCCAAGAACCCTTACGGTGTCTTCCTGACTCATGGTTCTCACCGCATCACATATCTCCATTCACCGCAGCATCATGTCACATTTCGAAATAGAACAGAAGCCATCTCTGCGCAATCCTGAATATCGATATTTGCCCGTTTCAGACGCACGGATCCCACCCCATCTTCCTGCCCAGGCTGTTCTCCTTCGTATTCCTCCTGATCGCCCAGGGCCCACGGCCACGGCGCCCCAGGGAACAGCCACTGGCCAGTCAGCGAAGGAAAATAGGCCTCTTCCTCCGTAAACACTGGAGTAGACTGTCCCTGTAGCCAATATCAATGGACGCTGGATGGATCAGATGGGCATCATGGAGGAGTCGTCGGGCCCGCTCCGCAGCCTCCGCTCCTTTGAGTTCTTCCCCCCTCCTTTCTCTCTCAGGCTCCCTCGAGAACTCAAGCACGCATTGGCCTGACTGGCTAATGCCGGATCAGCGCCCCCCCTGGATCCCTGATATACATTCACCGTTGACAACAAACTCCTCGACGGGCCCTGGCCAACATGGTCGCGTTTTGAAAGGGCCAGAGAGCAAGCCACGGCTGAGCCGCCGCCAACCAGAACTCCCGCCTGCGACCCTCCGCCAACCTCCGTGAAACGCGCTCCTTCACGATTTGCCCAATGGGCGCCCGCCCGCCCTGGCTGCAGAACCTTCAGAAGAGAGTCACGACTCTCCAATGTATCATCACGTCTCAAGGAGAGGCCGGGGTCCTCAAGACTCAAATACTCCGTACAGAGTATGATGGAGCATTGCGCCGTTGAGACTGGAGTCCTTCGTATTTACTTACGACCCTCTTTTTCTGACGAGGATCCGTGGGACTATCGATAATTTCCTGTACCGTTGATCCATCGTCGGGAGAAAGAGAGGTCGGCGCCGGGGCCGTAGCCGCGCGGTTGGGAATATTGAAAAGCCATCCGACTTCCAAGGGTTCAAAAGGAAAGGCGTCTGTCTGGCTGCTCGTACGCCGCACGGTAAGAAGCGTATCAATGATATTGGCTGGAATATTTGACTGGACCTGTTTGCATCCCTTTCGTGGAGTGCTGGGACTGCGACTCTGCGCCTGCGCCGGCAAGGCTGACAGCGAAAAGAGGTCGTGATTTGGACCCTCTCACTTCCCTGACATCGTACTGAAAAAGAGAAACAAAGGGAAAGAAAGAATTGCATGCTCCATACAGGAGCAGCATGTACTTACTTGAAGAATTCCTTGAGGTTTCCTACCTTGCAAAATGCCCAGAGTACCTAGAACCCAGGTAGGGGAGGCTGCAAAATCAGAGTCGAGGCTCTGTGTAGCCTTAATATTCAGGCAGCCGCAATCGGTTGCGATAACAATTTTCTGGTCGTGCTCGATTTTTGCCCTCCATGCTGGCCGCCAATCGTAGATTATTCCTGCATCAACCTTCCCAAACATGCCTTCGAAAAAGGAGGTCGAACAGCCTACGGCCCCGGCAGATGATGATGCGTCAATGACGGAAGCGCCAGCTGCAGAGGAGGTCCAAGAAGAAGAGGCCAACCCCGTACTTCTGGCCTTCGAGGAGCAGCGAATTCGAATTGTAACCGCCCTGGCCTGCACACTTCACATGCTCTAGGCTAACTTGATAATCCTCTTAGCTTCCAGGATCAACAGATACAGCGGCGTCGTTTGAATTCAAGAAGGAAGATCATACATTGGGGAATGCGCTCCGATATATCATCATGAAAAAGTACGGCCTGCCCCGCATCTGCTCCCTGCGGGATCAGTTCAAAAATGGCCCCAGTGTTCTACTACAATCACATAAACTAACTAATCTATAACTATAGCCCTGATGTCGAGTTCTGCGGATACTCGATCCCCCATCCTTCCGAAGAAGTCATGAACATCCGAATCCAGACATACGGTCAGTAATAGCTCCGCACATATGCAAATATATACAGATCAAGATCCATGGCTGATTATACTTTAGAAGGCACAACTGCTATCGAAGCGCTGGATAAAGGGTTTGATGACTTAATGGACCTGTGCGATATCGTTGCCGATAAGTTCACGGCAGCAAGAGAGGACTTCGCTTCAAGGCAAATGGACGAGGATTAACAGATTATGGAAGGCGTGGATGGATTAGCATTGCACGGCGTAAAGGCATGGGAGGCCTGGGGAGTATGGTCAAGATTCATCAGGATATGTACAGGACGCTGCGAGAAAATGCTTGTATTTAGTTGCGGCCCTAGTTTTGCAAAAGTTAGATTGATCAACGACCCTCAGTATAGTGAACGGATGATATAGCTTACCTCCAAGAAAGCATGCATAAAATTTTCCGGACGTTTTGCCTTTGGATCCTCCTCTGTTCGGAAATACTTCAGGACGTGGGGTAACTGCTTCCAGTAGTTTAATGTTTCCTGCAAATTTCAGATGTCAGCACATATGTTGCCACCATGCTCATCCCCCCCAGATTCCACACTTTGGCTGGTAGCGATAGAGGACGTCACAGCTCCCACTTCAGTCCGCGTAGTGCCTGTCTCCCTCGCCTCCAGCGGGATTCCTTTCCCCAGGCTCAAATTGGGAAGTTCAACGAACCTGAAATTCCGAATGGCTCTGAAATAGCAGCACGTCCACCACTCCAATTTGCTTCACGTATCGATGCCGTTCGAACTCTTGCCGGATCTTGGTCCTCAGGGCGGAAACGGGCATGTTGAGAGAGTACATCGTTTGAATCTCCGGAGCCTGCGCCCAACGCTCGTTAGCTACAATTCAGGATGGGGCTCTGCCAGCTTTAAGAATTCTTCCGGCACTCCTTGTCTAACAAAATCGCGGAAGGACTGGTAACATACGGCGCGGATCCACTCCCGGTAGCTCTTCAAAACTCGTCGTTGGGCATCGGCCCAATTGACGGCTGCAGAAAGGATTAGAACTGCTGCATTTCAGCATCGGGAGGGAGAGACACTCACACTGGCGCGTCCGTTGCGCGAGATGAGTGGGATTAATAACCATGGTGTTGGTTGACGATGACTTGTGAGAGGTGGTGGTCGTGCTGGACTGCGGGTGGAGCTCGGATGAGGTTGCTTTCGATACCACGTGATCTATGAGCCTAAATCGATTTAGCGTCTCCAGGCGGAAGGCTGAGAATCTTTTGGAGCTCGAAAGGTAACCCCGCCACAGGATTCCCTTCAGACGCGCATAACACGACAAATACAACCACTATCCATATCAAGCCGACACTCTTTTTCCAGATATCTGCTTAAGTAGTAAGATGCCCGCAATTCGCCATGCCTCCAAGAGGAAAGCCCCTCCAGCAGGCTTCTCCGACATCGAAGATGATCTCTTAATCTTCAGCAACAAGATGAAAGATGCCGAAAACGCCTCCACTACCAATGTTCCCAGACATAAAGTGCACTGGCCTATCTTCCAAATCAGTCACCAAAGGAGCAGATACGTCTACGAGCTGTATTATGAGAAGGAGGCTATTTCAAAGGAGCTTTACGACTGGCTTTTGAAGAACGGGTATGCTGATGCGATGCTCATTGCGAAATGGAAGAAGACGGGTTATGAGAAGGTGTGTATTCTCTTGTTCCTATTTACTTGATGGCAAGGCTGACGGAGACAATAGTTATGCTGCCTGAGGTGCGTGCAAACGAAAGAAACAAACTTCAACTCCACCTGCATATGCCGGGTTCCAAAAGCGCAGATGAAGGAGGATCAAGCAATCGAGTGCGTGAGCTGTGGATGCAGAGGGTGTGCTTCTAGTGATTGAGCATTGGGGAAAGATGGTCCCGGTGTTTGCTTATTTACAGCATTGATGATACCAGCATTGGCGTTTTGCGTTTGAGGACGGCTTCAAATTCGAGCCCTTGGGAGAAGATTACCATAGCCTCGGCGTTCTAGGGGAGTGTATGACGGTTGAGACATGTTTGGTAACGACAGAGGTATAACTCATGCATGAGTGGAAACTTGACCCTTTCAAAGAAGCGCTTCCGCTTTGCCATTCTGGAAATGGACATATTAGTATCTGGGGTTGATATTAAATGTGGAACACGACATATTGCTCTCGTCGCCCGAATGATTTTACTTACCAGACCAAGATTCTAAATCTAACCGTGTTTTCAGATTCTTCGTAGCTCCTTGAGCCCAAATGTTACACATGAGGTGCTGTACCATCTGCAATCCTAATACGCCATCGAATCCGTTCAGGGAAGATGTCGTGAACGCATCATTCGAATCATCAAGAATTATTGCCCTTCCGTTTGGCCGTACCTCCCTTCCCATATGTCTTTCCCCATCCCCATCTGCCGGGTGTTGTAAAATATAGACCCACTCGCGTAGCTTGAATCTTTTCTCATCATCTCCACGCTCACCAGAGCCTCCGAGGCAACCTCATGCTACATCACTCGGTTGCTGCTCATATTTTCTCTCCCTCAGGCGATCAATGAGCTGACCCCATCCTCCATGAGGCATTCCTTTAACCTCAGACGTCTTTGGGTCGTCAACTATACTAGCGTCTGTTATATATTCTTTCATGCTGTCAACTCTCCGATTCAGGTAAACCGTGGCACGATGTCCCTGCTCCGACCTGATACGCTCCACTTCCTGTTTATAAGCAACGTCGTAGATATTGAATTCCGCTGCCGTTGGAGATTCAGCCACAGTCTCAATCTGCGGCAGGTCCAGTGAACTGTCCCCGCCAGTCCCAATGCCAAGGAAGAGGGGCTCTTCCGACAAGGGATCATGTGCTTGGCCTTTCTCGCCAGAAGATGCCGAGCGCGAGTCTGAGTATCCAAGTTCCTGCACTTCGCTAGAGGCTGATATATACTTCCTGTGACGGGGTGACGCCTCCTGACCTTTGGGGCCAAGAGAGTCAATCATCACAACAGATGAATCTACCTTACTGGATGAAAGTGTGTTGGAAGCAGGGAAAACATCATGATGGACGCCCTCGGCAGCTAAAGCAGCCTCGACATGTCGCCGGTCACTTAAATCGACACTTCTGGATTTATGCAGCGCAGGTTCGGAGGTGACAGATCCATCAGTAAGATGGAGGGTCCGAACATTTTTACCTAAAGTTTCATCAAACGCTGCTGGTCTTTTCTTATCAATCAGATTCTTAAATTTTGTGACTGCTTTCATCTATATTGAGTTAGCTTCTGTAACCCTTTGGATGTGAGGGTTATATACCAGAACAATGAGATTCCTCATCTTCGTCGTAATAGCATGGTTGACTTCAATGTCGCTTGGCGATTCGATGAAATCTGCTGTATTTTCCTCGGCAGATAGAAGAGGATCTTCACCGTTCTTGGTAACCCATGGATGCTCCTATTCTTAGTCAATATTATCATAATCAAAACGCGGTTCAGCTTCATACACGTAATTCTGCCATTACGATTCGCTTCTTTGGATCCTTCTCGAGCAGCCTGTTCACCAAATCTACAAATTCGGGCTCACAATCGGGCTCGATCTCGACAGGGTCGTTTCTTATAGCCTCATACAATTCTAAAACCCCTGAACGCTCAAACGGGATCTTGCCGAATCGGAGGCAGTAGAGGGATACACCCATGGACCAAATATCAGCAGCTTTACCAGAGACGTCTCCATGTTTAGTGATGCAAAGCTCCGGCGGTAAAAATGCCGGGGATCCAGCAGATTTGGCGGTCATCATATCCGAGGACTTCTCGAACATCTCGGAAACCCCAAAGTCCACAATCTTGAGGACATCATCCTCAGTGAGGAGAAGGTTGTCAGGCTTAATATCTCGATGTGCAATGCCTTGAGCATGAACTTGGACCTTTAGTGACTGGCTCGGAAAAGTGGAGTTGGAGTGAGCCTTACGGTATTCGATCCCCAGTATAAGATCCCGAAACCAGCATCTGCAACTTTCGACATCATAAGGCTCTGCCTTTTCATTGAGACCTACTTTCATGATGACACCTTTCTTACACATTTCTAAGACCATATACAACGAATCTTCCTCTGGATCGTCCAGAACTTCTATCAGTGAGACTAAATTCGGATGATTGAGTTTCTTCATGATCGCAATCTCTTCCTTGATTAGATATAAAGGATTGCCTTGCTCTTCGCCATCTTGAATCGTGGAGGCTGAGCGCCGATGTAAAGGAGCATTGAGACCGACTCCTGCAGCTAGATGCCCCGGCGGCCTCACGCTTTGTGGTCTTCGGAGTATATTAGACTGTGCTCTCTTTCGTAATCGAGATTTCGAGAACTCCTTGACTGCCTATAAGTGCTCCATCAGCCATAAATCCTGTAAAATAGAATGATGAACTCCTGCTTTTATATTTGCTTACATATTCCTTCCCATACTGGTCGACTGCGAGGTGTACGGCTCCGAACGAGCCTCGTCCAATCTCATCCTTGATCAAATACTGATTGAGGTGGTGCTCTGCTTTGCCATCCTCCTCGTTATTTGTATATTCGGACCGTGCGTTCAAAGTTTCCTTTACTTCTCGGTGCTGGGAAGCATTGCGCCGGTGATGTCTGAGCGGGCTGTGGTAGGCTGGAGTGGAGCTGAATAGTCAGCATCAGTCAGTACAATACCACAGCATAACATACAGGTACTGAACTTGAGGAGGTCTTCCACTCTCCGTAGTGCCGGGAACATCTAGGGAAAGGCCTACTTGAGGGGTTATCAGGGGCTCGCTAGTAATATCTTGAGGTTGTAAATACCATGTGAAGGCAGAATCCCCAGTTGGGCCTCCTTCTTCGCAATATCCCCTTCATGACCTGATTTCTCACAATCACCTGCGAACGAAGTCATGATCGCAGCGAATATTTGGGATCCCCCGCATGATCATAGGGCTCTGAGGTTGGGAAAGGAGAAGCTGGTCGTCTTTGAAGCCGTGAGGCTGCAATTGATATGTCCCCACCAAATACGAAGTAGCGAATCAGGACGTCAGGATGCACATCTCGCTCGCCAATCCCCGCCGCAGTTTGCGCGACAGGAACGCTGGACCCAGAGCCTCGTCTGTTGCGGTCGTCTGCATCTTAAAAGGGAGTTTTCCATCTCGACACTTGCACCATGGTGGTCTATTCCTTCTACATATTCGACCGGCATAGTGAGTTCAATCATGTCCAATGCACAACATGGAAACCTCGTGCTGATTCCTGAACAGCGGAGTGCATCTACTCGAGAATTTGGGCCAGACGAGACAGGCCAGCATCAGGGAGCGGAGCATCCACAAGACCCGTTTCGGATTCAAGCTCAAGCAGCAATCCTCCCATAACAGACCTTGGACCTGCAAGAGCACGACCAGCTCGATTAAGCGCACAAGATGATGCGAAGCTCATATTTGGTACAATCTTCTCGTTGCGAAACATGGTCCGGAAGCTTGGGGGTCCTGAAGATAGGTAAGGACAGCAATGGCCCGACTATATTGTACGAGGTCCTGACTATATGGCTTGCAGCTTCATATCATACCGGACGGGTCAATATAAGCTGCATTACTACGAGACTCCCACCAACATCAAATTCGTGATGCTCACCGATACGCAAACCCTCAACATGCGCAATGTTCTGCACCAAATATACGTAAATCTCTACGTCGAGTTTGGTAAGGGCCTCCCCGATATAATTATTAGCGAGTACTGACTACTTTGTGTAGTCGTCAAGAACCCCCTATCCCCAGTCGAACATCCAGGAGGCGAGGGAGTTGCAAACGAGTTGTTCGAGCTGGCCTTAGACCAATTCGTGAAAGGAGTCCTTTGATACGCATTACTTCGGCTTACATCGAAGGGGACGATGATTTTTATGTTGCGTAGAGTGGGTATGACTGCGAAGACATCTTGTTCGGCATGTAGAGCCTAGCATTGGGCGGCGTTCACATATGGCAGGCGTTCAGGGCGAAATTAGCACCACTGATCTGATAGCGAATATCGGAAATATATTAATAGCTTATTCCTTGTCATGTGTGATAGAGTTGTGGACTTGAACTGAAGTCTGATATAAGGATGTAGGATGTGGAGGTTTGATAGGGAAACGTATAGGGAGCCGCTTCAGCAAAAGATGACTGATTTGAAGCATCATGTGGACTATTTAGGTCTTATCCCGGCCTATCTAAGGTACCTAGGTAGGTAGAAAATGTATGGTGGTTAATTTACTTGGGAGGTCTGCTTACTGAAAAAAAAATAGGGGTGTCTCGCTGGGGGAAAAAAGAAAGGGAAGAGGGGGGGGGGTATTTATATGTCGCGAGACAACTCAGAGGTATTGCGTAGGTTAAATATATAGATTAGACCCCTACTCATATTCAAGGAGTTAATTTTGGACCGAAGTTTTGGCAACGACCTGAAGTCAATGACCTGGAGACAACAGATCACATACTGATATTTATCTCTCTTAAGACAGATAGCAACATGACCACGGCATCTCACGTATCTTACCTAGACCAAGAGCCTCAAAAAAATGCCCACTACCTCCCGCCACTAGCACCCCCATGTCCCAAGCCTGTTCCCAATAAATGCCCCTGAAAACTCCACCATATGACTACTCTGTGGGACCAGATTTCTCGCCAGCTTCCACGGCTTTGTCCCAAGCACTCTCAAATGTACTTGTAGCTCCCACGTCCACTATACTTTCCTGACCGGGAGCAGTTTCGGTTGATACCCGACTCCCTGTACCAACGATCTCTGGTCCTAATGGTCCATCTTTCTGCACAAAACTAGCACTGCCATCATCATTCATTGGACTAATTTCGCTCTCCCAATTGCTTGAGTACACAACAGCTGCAAAGGCTTCCAAGTCTCTGACCTGCTCCATAGCCTGCAGATACTCATTTGGCACACCGTTACCGATCGAGTGGGCTTGCTTACTCACGATGGCAAGAACAATCGGCAACTTGACAGGTTTGGGTTCGAAAACCTCTGTGACTCTTTGAGCGTTCAAGTCAGCAACATCTGGTGTTGCTGGAATTTTGAATGCTTGTTGTGCAATTTTCTGGTCCACAAGCGTTGAGAAACCAGCGTCGAGCAGCATGGTCAAAACATGCGAAAACGGCGGAGAATCAATTAGATCCGATGTTTCGTCTAGAAGACGTCGAAGGGGGGTTGCTGATGATGATGAAGACACAGATTCTGGGTCCGTACTCATCCCAGACTCCTTGAGTACGAACTCTTCTTCTTCTCTCGGTGGAAGCAGGTACTGCAGCCATCTAGTCGCCTGTCTGTCGGCTTCAGTGGCGCCCTCAACACGTTTCCGGACCTCGAGAGTCAACTCAGAGAATCTCTGCATGGTTACCTCATCTCTCGGGCTCAAGGTGCTAAAAACTTCATTGACTGCAGCTTGCACTTTAAGCATAACCTCTCTCCAACCACGATGAAGAAGCCACCAGCTGAATGTCAGGTATCGTCTGTTTGTCTCGAAGTCATTCCCATATGCTTGATCTGGATTATCGTCGTCGTGATTTTCCAGACTAATCGTTGACTGTTCCATGCCAGCAGTCGCAAGCGATACCACGCTCGACAGATAATTCCGTCGACCTAGAAGATTGAGCTGTATTCGCGTCAGAAGCGTGAGGAGGGCGAGAGTATATATTAAGGTAAATGCCCGCGTGATTGCTACGTAGCGTATTAGTACCAACTTCGAGATTATGATGTATATACCCTACCGCTGATCTTCAGATCATTCCAGAGCTGAAGCTTTGTTTTCCTTGCTTTTTGTGCTTGTTGCCCTCCATCTTGAGGCCCATCTCCAACAGTTGAAGCAGATGGTATCCCCATCTGACTCGCATGGACTCCGCTCTCACTCTGTAAACTTGCTAGACTTCTGCCATCATCATCTGTCACACTCGGTGGGCCTGAACCTAGCTCGGACGGATGTGCTTCTCCATTACGAGCTAGCTTGGCCGCTTTTTGCTGTTGCAACTCGAAACTTATGCGCTCCGTTTCCAATTCCGCGAGTATATTATCCGTGGCAGTGGGAAGAAGAGCAAGCACAGTGAAGGTACAGTCTTCCTGGTTTTGTTCGAAGCGCCTACGAAGACTACGAAGATATTGCTCAGCTGATATCCCAGGACATATGTGCAATAGAACAAACTTACTTCTCTCGAGCTATACGATCACTGCTCATACGCTCTCGAGCATCTGATATTTTCGACAAGACATATTGAGTTGCGATATAACCGACCCCCAGGACGCCAAAAGCAATCGCAAATGGGGTCCTATTCCGCCGGAGCCATCTGCGAGTGGCGGAGATCATGGCTTATAAGTCCGTAGTGCAACAATAACATGCCGTCTGCAGAATTTAATGGTTGTAAGAGACGGAGCCAAGTAGTGCTGGGCCAGGGCTCCGAGAGAGTTCACGCAAGCTCTCTCCTCTCGCGAGGCCGAGGTTGACGAGGTGTGGCTGGGGATGCCCTTGTTGGGCAAAACGCGAGTGGAGATTTCAACAAAGCCACCGCTTGGAAATGCATGCTACCCCTCCATATTCCGTAACGATTATTGCACACATCATACCAAGCACATCACATATCCCAAGAAACCACCTATTCTCACTAGCAAATGATCAAGCGCCCCTGACAATGGATCAACGCCGTACGCCGGAGTATATTATAGAAGTCTTTGCATCTCCGGAATCCGTGAAAGATGTCGTCAGAGGTAGCGTCTGATCCCGGACCCGTTATCAAGAGCTGATGCTGACCTCCAGCACAGGAATACTGCACACTATTTTCTTTCATAGATTCTTCCCCTCTATCCGACCGAAGACCCGCGACATTCTTGACCTGACCCTCCCTTTTGTCGAAGATGTAGAGTTGGAGACGTTGATAGATCAGAGGACAGCCACCCTTGTTCGACAATTAGACACGAGTTCGGATATGGGCATAAGGAATACGGGAGTGAGGGGATTGATGGCCGTTCAATTTTTTGAGAAAAAAAGACGGAAGGCGTGGTTTACGAAAGGTGAAGAAGAGGTTTGCTGGGAACAGTGGACCTTGGACGTTACATTGGCAACGCCACGGACTGAAAGTGGTATGAACGTCGGCCCTTGCTTCCCCTCTGGACACTATTAACTGAAGGCTTCTATTAGAAAGAGCCAAAGTCCGGAAAGCCATGGAGGCCATGTTACTGAAAGCCGCCATGAAGATCGTGACCACCGTCAACCGGGAGAAGGACCACATACCGCCAATTACCACAAGCGAAGCAAACCCATTCCCTTACCAGATCGTAATTAATCCAAAGGGGGATGGGTGGGGAGCACGTATGGGGATATTCTGAGAGCAATCGGAATTCTTGTGTATGGTTTCAGGAGTTTGGGGGCTGGGAAATAGAGGATACTGATACCCACGAGTGCATGAATTCAATTAGCATCTTACACGGTCTTCATTAAGGCGCTGCTGACATTATCAAAAGTTGTCATTATCATATCATCATAACTTCATTTATGTTTTGCTGAAACCTCCCCTTCCTCGACCCGCCCCCCTACCAAATCTCACACTCGGCGGCACGAATTTAAGTGCAGACATGGCCCCTGTTAAACCTTCTATATCCACATTGACGTCCCGAGGCGTCAAAATTTTGTTTTCTGCGGGAGCTTCTGCTGCATCATCGCTAGACTCTTGCCTATCCGTCCCAGCGACTGTTTCCAGTGTGGAGCTGCGTCGTCTTGCTCTTTCTTCGATTTCCGCCAGGTGCTGGGCGGCTGAGCTCCTTTTGCGATGTCTCCCTATTCTTAGCATAGAAGTTCTATGGTCGATGCCATCGTTTACTACATAGAAATCGTAGTCCTTGGGGAAAAGGTGTTTGTCGATCAGGTGCATCCGTCTCTTTTGTGGGTTGGAACACTTCTTCTCGCAGTCTTCAACAAAGCATGAATACTAACATTCAACCATAACAAGTCAGATAATAAGCATTGTAGGTCAGACCAGGAGAACTTACAGTCTTTTCTCCCCTTTCCTTTCTAACACTGACTAATGCATCGTGATTTTCCTCGATATGGAGATTTAAGAAATGCTCGGTGGGAAAGTTCTTCCTGCATTCTAAACAGCGATGGACGTGGGACTTGTTGTAATGGGTTTCATATTCCTCATAAGACGAAAACGAGAGCGTTTGTCGGTGTGGTGGGAGAGAGCATCGCATTTCAATCGCTGGATGTGCTTCACCGCCTCCAGAATCCAGCTGGACAATCTTGGGCGAGGATGCTTGTGCTGTTGCGTTGTGAGAAGCGACGGGTAGAGAATGAGCTGCAGGCTCTCCTAGATTCCCAGAAGCTGGGGATGAAGGCTCAAAGTCCTCTCGTGAGCGCTTGGCCATCTTTGAAGGTGGTGAACGCGGGGTAATTTACTCTGATCCTCTGGTTTTCTTATGGCTACTTGCCCAACTGCATTGCTCGCGGCGACAGATATGCCTAGGCTCCCCACTCGGGAATAGATTGTAGACAAAAGAGGAGTTAAATGGGGGTTATGATTGCTCGAGGTTGTGGTTGTGGATGTGTAGAAAAGGTGAGGCAGCCTTGTGAGGTTTCGATCATCCAGCGCAGGATAGGAAGACCATGCACCGCCACAGCCGCTTCAGCCTCGCGGTGTCCGTGCCCAACCCAAGGGAGCGATGCGATGACTGAACCGACGACGATCGCACCCATCTCCGTTGGTCCCTCCATCCCAATCCAACCCTCACTTTCTTCTCGCCCTGGAATCCCCCCCCCCCAAATTCCTAACATCCATCTTCCCTCCTCTCCTCGCGGGCCTTTAATGGTTCCCCCGTGGCCAACTCTCGTTACCGCAATTCACTACATTCTACCTACACAATAGCTCAATCTACAACCCTTAGCGCCTTTGCCTGGACCCTGGCCCGCAAAAGTGAAGAAGAGCTGCATTTTACTCCAGTCCCAACCACACTTATGGATCACATCGACCACCCTCGATTCGCGGAGGCCGACTCACGCAATATCTAACCTACAGGTTGACGGGGGTCGAAGTTCAACCTTCCAAATAAGCAATGGCAGCGCCAGAGGTGTTGCAAAAGTGGAAGTGAGTTCAACCTTGATGGACCCCGCCCATCTGCTTTGCGCCGGGCCAGACTGACCCTTCCACAGGTACGCCCAGCAGGTAGAGAAGCAGCTGCAGGGCGAACTGAAGAATAAGGATCATCTCCCTCGATTTGGGGACATCGACAATCTCATAAAAGAGTAAGCAACATCAATTGTCTCGAATCCTCCCCGTTTGACCTGGTGCTAGGTTGCGGATTGCTTGCGAAGCCACCATTTTCCTCGACTTCGAATATGCTACCAAAGAGGGCGTAGAGACCCACCTATGGGCCGCGCATAGCATCATCAAGGATCGCTACAAGAGATTGGTCGCGCACTATCGAGAGAAGGAACCGAAAAAGCATGTCGAGAGACGCAAGCTGGAGCAGCGTTATGCTGATTTTATCAAGACCACCCAGTACTTCTATAGGGGTTATATTCAGCGTCTTGCATCGCACTTCTCTGGTATGAAGGGACTGCGCCGAATTGCCCATCGACTTTCTCTTGATTCCCTTACAGTTGATGAGCGAGTCCAAGTTTCACCGAAGATCGAGGATCTTATCGAAAAATCCTGCCACGCAACACTTCTCCGCCTGGGCGACTTATCTCGCTATCGTAACGAACTCAGGACGAAGGACCGTAGCTGGGAACCTGCTCTGGGATATTATGGCTTGGCGGGTGACCTGTGCCCCGACTCTGGAAGCTCTCACAACCAAATGGCTGTCATTTCTCTGGCCGATGCAAATTACCTGGATGCTCTATACCACCTTTACCGCGCTATCGCCGTAAAGGAGCCTCATCCTCTTGCTCAAGGTAATCTTGAGTTACAATTGAAGAAGATCACGACTGCTTGGGAGAAAAGGAAGGGTCCGAACACAAAAGGAGATAACGAAGCCACTTTGGTGCTGTGGTTTGTTCGACTTCATGCTCGATTTTACGCCGGACTTGAGTTTTCTGGTCATGACGAGCTCGAAAATGAAGTTCTGTCCCGCTTGACACTTTTGCTGAAGGAGCAGCCATTCGAGACCACATTACAGAAAATTGTTCTCATCAATATTGCTGCTGAATATTTTGCTGGTGAGAGAGTCAAGCGTAAGTTGATCCACTTCCCCAGCAAATTGTAAATTAACCCAATCGCAGAGGAAGGCTCTGAGGTTAGAGCTAAGAATGCTGATTCATTCTACTTCTTTCTGTGCCTTAATGTTCGGGTCCTTTCCGTTCTTCTTCAAACCCTTGGACCCGAACTTGAAGTACAAGGAACCGGCGAGGAGCTTCCCAATGGGAAAAAAGGACCACAACCAGAGCGATCAACCGAAAAGCTCGCGGCCGTCGCACGCAGAATCTTACCGGCTCTCCGCCAGTACAGCATTTGGCTTGTTTCTCGTGCACTGATAATTATTGCTACTGATCGTTCCATCGGTCCATACATCAAGCAGATGTGGAGCATATATGCCGATGTCCTGACGAAACTTCTCCGCTTCTTTCCCGTCAAGGAATTACCCACCTTAAACTACCTGCTAGAAGAGGACGAGATCACCGTTGGCTTCAAGCCATTTCGCGATCCCAACCTTGCTCCTGAGAGCAACTTATACACTGGCGAGGATGGGTTGTTGAAACCCAGAAGCACTGATTCTGAGGTCGAGCGAAACCACCCAAACATTGAAATGAAAGCGCGAGTCCGCGATATACTTGTTTGCGCCTTGTGTCTGACAAGGGTAGAAAAGTCTCCGATTGTGCTCAATTCTAGCACATACGAGTTTACATTTGTCGAGGAAGGTCCACAGCTTGCTAGCCAGATCCAAAGGGATGGAACCGATTCTGCCCGTACAAGTCCTAGGCCTGTCGGGAATAATTTCAAGGCGCCGAAAACCTCCAACTCCACTCGCCAAACGCCAGACGTTATCCGCGCCGAAAGCCCGGCAGCGTCTGACTATCCTCAGGGTATGGATACAGACATGCATCGTATGGTTGACAGTCTTCTTGAGCCTTCGGATGGAAGATATTCCGAAAGCGACGAGACATCTTATGGGATGCATAGCCAGACGGCAAACGAGATTTTTGCATCAGTCGGTCAAAATGGTTATCAGCTTCCCCATCGTAGCACGCAAAATATGCTGCCCAGTTTACCGGGGATCTGGAGCTCGCCATTTACACCACAACCCAATGAATTGCCGGCCAAAAGTCATGAGCATCCAACTAGCACACGTCAACTTTCGCCATTCCAGCTTGCGACCACTCGACAACAGTTTGCTGCAGCGGTGGCTCTCGATGAGATGACTGGTTACAGCAGGCCGAAGAACAATTCTTGGAGTACAGAAAGCTCTAGACGCTCGTCTAACATGAGAACGAACACGGTCAATCAGAACACCGTCAATCGCGTTCTACAGGAATCTCTTGCCCAACAGTTCATGCCAAAGTCATCATCTATGTTCTCTGAGTCTAGCAGTATTTACGCCAACACCCCGCATGATAGAAATATCTCAAACGGTGGAACCTTGAGTAATGTCATGTATGCCGCCAGCAACGGCAACAATACCACAGCATATGCTGGTGCAAGCGACTTCGACAGAGCCACCATGTTGCAGAGCTCTATTTGGAACAACAGTCAGCCTAGCTGGGGTGGTTATGCTCAGACTCCACCGAGAGGACAGGGTGGCTGAGTAGCTTGACCGAGGTGCTTCGCATGCAACATTTAAGACGCAGCCCTTAATCAACGTGGCAGCATGGGAATCTATCCTTACCACAAGGGGTGAATCACTCTTTCAACCCTGGGTGATGTTACTGTCACTCAGATAGGATCAGTCTACCTCCGTGGAACCTTTCACTGGTTGAACTTCACACAAAGCAAGACCGGAACTTAGAAATCCTCTCTTGGAAGTGTGTTGAATGGACTTTTCGGTTTCTAACGCTAATATGCTCTATGCTGCGATCGTGGAGGATCATTCATGGTCATCTCTCATGGCCTCATGGGCTCTATCTCAGATTATGACGTTCCCGTTGTTGAAACCATTTCCGAACGCCGTCTAAAATCTTTGATGTGAAAACAGGTCTATTTAGTTGCCTGCCGGCTTGTAGGTCTGCTTGGGGAATGGGTATCTGCAAGTTGATTGTTCGTTAGTTTGTCTTCGGGGGGGTGGAGCAGCTTTTCGAAATTGTAACCAGATGCATGAAAATGGTGTTTCCGGTTCCTTGGGTGCACGGTGACAGTGATATGAAATATAAGAAAAAGAGGCCAACTTACGAAGGTCCCAACTCCTGAATGCTCAACTTTGCCAACCATTGACCTTGGTCAATGCAGTAGTCAAGAGGCTTCTCAGCAACAAGACCAGCAACGAAACCTGCAGCAAAAGCATCCCCCGCACCAGTCGTATCGTTAATCAGGTCCTTTTCAATGGCATGAACCGGGTACTCCTTGACCTCCTGGCCATTTACAGCAACAACGGTAGGCAAGGTTCCTTGTGTGATGATAGCGACTCTCTCCCTCTTCGTGTTTACCTTGGGCAGGGCAGCGAGATGCTTTGCAATCTCCTTGATATCCTTGGTCTCCAGTCCGTGATTCTCGGCGTATGACAAAGCCTCCGTCTCATTTCCAATAACGTAATCCCAGTAAGGCGCAGTAGCATCCAGAGGCTCCTTGAAGAACTGAGAGATGAAGGGTGCGGATAGGGAGAACACGAAGACCTTGTTGTTCTTGGCGGCCTCTTCCGCGAGAGTCTGGATGGCCGGAGGGCACACGGTGAGATGGTAGCCGCCAACGAAGTAATGCGTCGCACCCTCAACGAGCTTCCACACCTCGGGGCTCTTCAAGTGCTCCAGGTCATAGTGGTTTGCAGCACCCAGGTCAGTGCACATAGAGCGGTTGTGACCCGTGATAACAACACCGCAACGGCCGGTCTTCTCCTTCTTGTCCACACGGTATTCGACGCGGAGTCCAGCCTGCTTCACGGCATCGTGCAGAATCGCGGCGTACTTGTCATCACCCACGCCTCCGAGGAAAACGACAGAGTTTGGTGGGAGAATGTATTGAGCGCCTCGAGCGGTGTTCTGGGCTCCTCCACCGGCGATGAGCTTGGCAGAGTAGTTGTTTAGGAGATCCTCGTAGATGCCCATGTGTTTCTCTTCCGCGAGAATCGCATCGTTAGGCTTGAGGCCATACTTGGCGAGGAGGGCTTCGTCGCCATGGGCTTGGATATCTGGAGGAGGGGTATTAGCTTAGTGAAAGAAGAGCGTCAATTTACAAGTGAGGGGTCATAAATCTCTGATAACAGAATTTGCGGTGAGATATGCGGGCGCTCTGGACAATCGTCTGCGAGAACGGATCGAGATATCTACACGTACCGAGCAATGGATTCTCTAGGCAGAGAAGGGCATATTCCTTGGTGGCGGCCATGTTGACTTGTGTTGAGGGGGGGGTTTGGGAGGTTGGGAGTTGTGTTGTTTTGTTTAGGTCTTTTTTTGAGGGGGTGCGGGGTTTCGCTATTTCCCAGATAGGTGTCCCATATCGATATGCGTTTCAGATTTTGTTCTCACAATCAGGGGTCCGAACAATTCACGGCATTTGACTCGTGACCGTCGTGCTCGGATTGCATTTACTCAACTCCCCATTTACAGTAGCTGCGATAACTCATTGAGGAATTCTGTCAAATCCGTGAGTTCATTATTACCAGTGGGCAATCACAATTGTTTGACCCCCGGATCACCAAGTCACGCCTAACAGAAAACACTTTGTTGTGGAATCTTTTCGTTCATCCTTGCTGTACCCCATCCGAAAGCTACAAAGATGCGAAGCCAGTATGCCCGAAGTAATGAAAACCCTCTCAACCCATCTAGTCCTTGACCTTCTGGGTACCACGCAGCAGACCAGTTCTCCGAGCAGCAATAAGACCCGCCTTTTGACCTTGTGCGGCGTATCTTGAGATTGTTGACGCCTTACCGATGTGTTGATGGTTACCACCCTATCCATTGTTAGTATCTCCTCATGTCTTTCCTTATTAGGAATACATACTCCGTGAGGATGGTCGACGGGGTTCATAGCAACACCACGAGTCTTGGGCCATGAGTTGCGCTTGACAGCGAACTTGTGCTTAGCACGGGAAGCCTCTGCAGATGTAGTCAGTAAATGCTATCGCGCACCAAAACTCAATTAGGGGGTGGGTCAGGCATACTCAACAGGGGCTTGTCAGTTCTTCCACCTCCGGCAACAATACCAATCATACCACGCGCACCGCTGCTGACGACCTTCTTGGCTCCGGATGGGAGCTTGACTCGGGTCTTGCCCTCATCAGGGTTGTGGCCAATGACCGTAACATAGTTACCAGATGTACGTCCCAGAGCACCACGGTCACCAGGCTTCTCCTCCACGTTTGAAATGACCGTACCTTCGGGGATTGCGCCGAGAGGGAGGACGTTTCCGACTGTCAGGTTGGCCTTCTTTCCGGCGTAGATGAATTGTCCGGTGTACATGCCCTCGTTCGCAATAAATGTCTCGGTGTGCTTCTTGTACCGGTATGGATCACGGAATTGCACCTTTGCCAATGGAGCTCCACGCCCACTCTCGTGGACTATCTCAAGAATTTGGCCGCGGATGAAACCATGCTTCTCAGCATAGTCGAGAGTTCTGAACTGAGCTGGGGTCTTCCTGAGGCGGGTGTTGGCCGTGAAGATAGAGCCACGACCCTTTCTCTGATTGCGGATGACGCGACCCATCTTGGAATCGTCTTGAAATCTCGGTGACTTCGAGACGGAAGACGAGAGATGAGTTGATTGACCGAAGTCGACGGTTGGTGTCGGAGTTGAATTCGAGAAAGTCGAAGTCGAAAATCGCTTGACAGAGTACTTTAGAATTGGGAAAATTGTATGTGCGCGCTAAGTAAGCGATAATCACGTGGTGTGGATTGGGGTACAGCACCCAAGTTAGCGAGCACTGTACTGTACCTACGACGGGTTTGGATCGCAACGCGAATATAAAAAAGTAATAAAAGGCGCAATTACTGAGCTATGTCTTGTAAAGCAACTCTCAGTTAGGTAAGGTTGCCAGCTATAGAGCTACAGAGTAAATTACAGAGTAAATCGAAAGCAAGTCAAAAACTGTGCGCACTCAAACCGTCTTCTGCTTTTTGGCAGCCTTTTCCCCTGCGCCCTGCTCTCCAACTTCATCTGTCGACGATGCTATTCAGTATCCTGTTTTCTTCTGGCCAAAAGCTTGAAACGCCATGCCCTGATATCCGATAGTTTTACATGATCTATTTGCTCTGTTTTAACACAACAAGTAGGGCAGGGGATTCGAGTCCTTTGCTATCGCTATCGCTGTCACTATTACTGTCGCTATCACTGTGGCTATCTCTATGGTATTTCTTGTCATGATCCTTATTGCTACTACTTATAATCACAAAGGCTAGAGAGAATCATATTATTTCAAAGGTCTATAAAGTGATAACTAGGTCAATTAACGACTACAAGAGTGATAGCGACAGAGACAATAATTGTGTCACTCAGTGACAGGGACAGTAATCGTGACAGCGACAGGTAGGCACTGGCCAAAGCCCCTAAATCCTTACGCTCTTATTGGCTAGATTAAAACAGCGACAAACAGGGTCTTTATTCCTAAGGTACCTTATGTTCTTCTTCCTCACCGCTAGCTCCTCCTTCACCCAATTCTCCCTCACCGCCCTCGCCTTCTCGCTATTTGCCCATAATTGGGCCAATTCCTCCTCGCTGGTCATCATACGCCGGCGCACGTTACGGGCGTCCACAAGAGCATTTCGAAGTTGTACTTAGAGCAAGCGGCGGCTTCTTTGGCGTCGTAGTTCAGGAGTGCAGCTGTCACAGGTAGGTAGGGCATGGTGCCTTAATTTGATAACTGAATTTCTTATAATGACTGTGTTTATATCGTGTGTTGACTTGACGCAGCGGTCTAGAAGAATGAGGACATCAGTAGCGGCTCTATCGATGATTAACGGCGAACTGCCGAAGAGATGACCTGGCGGCTGTGGTAGGTTAGGTAGATCTACAGATCCTTCCCTATCGTCTCGCCATGGTCTACGTAGTAGACCATGGCCAAGTCGTTCTTATCGATACTATACAACTGTGCGCGTAGTACCTCTGTTAGAGATACTTGACTGTTTGCTATCAATCTTTCCCTCCTCGTAGAGCTTAATGATAGCTCGAATATTGATATGCTAGTATTCGGGCTAGAGGGATCTTAGATTTGAAATCCGAGTTTGTTGACCTTATAACTAACTATAAGGTCTCGTCGATACATCCTCGAGGCGGTCGACAAGGTTACCGATGTTTAGCTAGTGGTCTTTATCTATCTCCCAGAACACTAGGAGGCCATGGACGCTTCTGTAATGGTGAGCACGAAGACCGTCTCCGTAGTCGCGAAGGGTATCTTCGAGAGTTTCCTTGAACTTCGGCTGCGTTTGTTGAATCTATTTCCTTGCAAGTTAGCATTTAGAAGCCCTTGATCATCGGCGGGCGTAGTCCAGCGCTCAGAATGTGGACGGCCTCTTCCTACCTCTTTAAGTAAATTCCTATGTCTGTCCCCACATGCTTCAACTGTTCGAGGTAGGAGGTGTGCTCGTCGAATCCTAGAATATACCATTCCTCTTGATTTGACATCAAAAGCGTTTGGTTGTGTCTCGGTGTCCAACGTTCAGAGTTTTGAGTGATGCTGCCTCCCTGTCTTTGTAGGATCGCATACCTCCCTGTAAGTGCAGGAGTGACCGAGGTTTGAAGATTGTGGGCAAAAAAAAAAAAAAAAAAAAAATAATTGGTGTGTAGGGGCTCGACGTGCACTGAAGTCGCGTTATCAAGGCGTCGAAGGTGTTCGGGATGCGTAGCGTTGTGATTGAGGAAAGGTGGGTGAGGTGCAACAATCGTCTCTGGGGATTGTTATCCGATCTCAACGAATGTAGTTTCCTTATTGAGATTTATACGCCGCGACTGGGTGCAGCTGAAAGTTTCTCTTTGTCAGAACGTTAGAATGAAGTTTGGAAATTGAAGGAAGATGAAGGGGAGATATAGTGTTATAGGGAGTTGTTTGTCAGATGAGAGATTGTGTTTGTAGAGATTGTGTTTGTAGAGATTGTGTTTGTAGAGATTGTGTTTGTAGAGATTGTGTTTGTAGAGATTGTGTTTGTAGAGATTGTGTTTGTAGAGATTGTGTTTGTAGAGATTGTGTTTGTAGAGATTGTGTTTGTAGAGATTGTGTTTGTAGAGATTGTGTTTGTAGAGATTGTGTTTGTAAAGATTGTTTAGAGAGACCAGAGTTTGTGTTTGTAGGGAGGCAAGACAATGCCTTGGTAATGACAATAGTGATGGATTCTTAGATTGATCTTTTGCTCTAAACGCATCTACTTATTTCCCATTATAAGATACGAGGTAGGGTATCTTACCTAAGGTACCTACCTATGTTGAATTGGGTTCCTCTACTTTTGCAAGGCTCGACCTGCACCTAGGCGTAGAGCTGCCTTTTGTCCATATACGGTGCGCTCTCTAGAACTCGGATTCACCGACAACAGATGAAGAAAATGTGGTCATCAATACACACACTCAGGACTTTAACATCATCGTCGACAGCCCCTCAAGCATCACTAAAGCTCGACGCGGTATCCCTTTCATTAAACAAGCCTTCAATGCTGCAAACAAAAAGAAGGTTTGTGTTACAATCAAGCCAGATGATATTCATGCTTCTTTGATCATACTTCTTTGATAGGTCATATGCATGCCAACGCTCGAGTGATCGGAATTGTCAGTAACAGAGCAACGGTTACTGAACAGCAGATGGCGGATGAACATATAGATGAAGAGGTGTCAACTATCGATGCAGGATCATGTGCACCAGATTGGGTTCAAGTTGCAGATGATATTGTACCACCACGGGTACTGATTGGGGACTACTGAGCAGCCAACTGCAGATGACAACTACCTGGTGAAGAAATGGAGGATGTTGATTCAACCACCGGCCATGATGCTAGACTGGACGCAGGACTCGAGACTGACAACAATAACGCGACGGGTTCATTAACATCTAGAACGACGGACCAGCAGAATAATAAAGGTTGACAGGAAACAAGTGCAAATAATGCAGGATACTGGCCTGGCAACCAAGCTGAAGGTGAATATCTCGCGTGGTGAATATGAGGAAGCCGGACAACTGAACCGGCATACTCAGCTGGTCACCAGAAATGTTTTGCTAAGGAAATTCTTATGGAAAAAACAAAAAGAAACCGGACAATATGACGTTACAGTAGGGTTATTTTAATGCTTCGCGGGTGCTCTTCTACTGCCTGGAGGTATACCCTCCCTCATAAGGCTCGGAGGGCGCTTTGGCTTGGTCAATAGGAACGGGTTGATACCTTAGATATGAGGTAAAAAACCAGGTAAGCTACCCCTGCTCCTTGTCTACCTACTCCGCATACTTACCTTACCTAGATACATCCTTTGAACGACTGACGAACCTTTGATAATCCATCCCATCAATTCTCCCTGCAAGAGGACAATCTCTCATTCGTATTCAGTTAGTGGCGCTCTTCTACTGTCCCGGTCTCCTCAATCCAAGGAGGCATGGAAAGTTGGGCTTGAGGATCAAGTTGATCATCTCCTCATTTAGTCTCTTCATCCGTCGCACACGCCACGGGCCAAAAGTATCTTGTCTATGTGTACTTTCTCAAAGTCATCTGCCTATATCTTTCTTTTCTTCATGCGAGCGACTGCGATTTACAATTTTGTGTCAGGGGAATCGGTCTCTACAGATGTCAATCGCTACTAGAAGCGTCGGGTGGCTTCAGCAGTATGCATATTTCCTATTGTGGCGAACGGCATTGTACGTTGTGATACTTGTACCCATGGGCGGGATGTGTCGAGGCAAAACCGTTGTTCAAAGCCTGGAGCTTTCGACGGTCCACGGCCTTGGAGACTGCCGAAATTTACGACCACGCAATTTCTAGGTCTTTGAAGTTTTGAGCCTTAGTATTGAACTCTGATAACCGCTCTGTTTCATTCTACCGTTCGTTTGTCATTGCAGTTGCGAGATTGAATATGCATTGCCGGACTACGAGGCGCGTGGCAAAATCGAGAATGGATGAATGGAAGCCCAAGTCATCAATAAAGTCATTACAGCCAGAGCCAACAATGGGACACGTGGTAAGCGAATGGTTTCCGGGTACATTGTGCATTGTCATTGTCAGTTCTGTTCAGGGACGCGCCCACGATCTGCGACGAGTTTACCACCTTACCAGTGATCCTTCATCTCGATTCCGCTGGCTTGCTAGTCCGTCCTTACTTTCGGACTCTTTGAATCTCTTTTGGATCCGACTTCTCTCGAGGGGACTCCACCTGTGATCGAGATACTAATAATGAACGCGACCCGCGACGTTATACCGACATGTTCTGCGGCACGACCTGGCCTCATAAGGGATATCATTCATGGCGGTGGGGGTTTCTTGCGGGCGACTGTTGTGCTGGCAGGTTGTCGAAGCTTTCGTGGCATGGGTGGGAACATTGAATGCTCAATACCATCGATTAGGAACTCAATAAGAAGAGAAACTATTGGTTCTCAATTGACCAACCACCTGGTTTTGCCATGTGTTGTATTGTATGCGTGACGAAAGTGAATGAAACCTAAGGTAGACCAATGTTAATCCTTCTTGTCGTGCGCTTGTCGGCAAGTCGAGCTTCTGCCCACTTCATCTCGAGAAAGCTACTCCCACCAACCTACCACCACCAAACACTACAACCACCTACATCCTCCACGATGTCCGACGACGACTCCTCTGAGCTCTCCTCCGTTCCTTCGGATGATGAGCTTGATCTTCAATTGACCAAGAAAAACGGAATCCTCAAGTTCTTTTCCAAAGTTCCCAAGCCAACTGAAGCACCCGCGGTCGAGGCGTCGCCGCCACGACCAAAACGAGAACCTTCTCCGCCCCATGAATATGTGCTGGCAGATAATCCTGACATTGCGGTATGTCCTGCGTCTATTGTCGCGTCTTTGATAATTTTACGCGTACAAAACGCGCGGTTTTGGCTTTGGATCCTGGCTAACGCAGTATCTCCATAGTTCATCGTTATGTTTCGCGCGCGCTTTGCGGAAGCATTCCCAAAGTCGCTGGCCAACTTTGGACCTCAAGAACTCGAGCGGGGTGTGGTAGATACTGTGCCTGGAGAGCATGTTGAACACTTCCTTTGTGCGTTGCTCGGGCTGCTGCTCAACAGGAAGCAAGACATCAAGTAGGCGTCACCTCAAGGATTTCTGTAAGACCTGGGCGCTGACTCGGTTTCGAATATAGGGCTGGCCACTACAATCGCGCACTGGAAGAGGCCATTCAGACGCACAAATCGCAATGGGCAAAAGATTGGGAGAGCAAAAATCCTCTTTCAGGAGGAGCTACATTCAGCACTATGTCACCAAGCCAGCGAGTAAGAATCCCTTCTCGTCATATAATGTTAAATTATCATGTTCTAACTCTTCTATCTAGCTCACTCTTCTACGAACTCTCATTATGTGGTCGCTTTCCTCGTCCGACGTCGTGAGGAGCATAATCACGACATCTTACAAACAAAGTCGCCACGAAGACGACCTCAACCAACCACTCTCGGTGCAGCCCTGGGGATTTGATGGATACAAACGTCGATACTTCCTGATAGAGGGTCTAGACGATACACATTTCCGGGTTTATAGGGAGAGTAACTACACCGAATTAAAGAGAAGCTGGTGGAGTGTGGCAAGTGATATTAATGAATTGAAACAGTTGGCAGAGAAATTAGCGACAGAAGATGGTAGTAGGAAAGCTAAGGAGCTGAGTGGGAAGATCATGGCCGCTATACCGCGTTTCGAGGCAACTGAGGAGGTATGTTTAAATCGTCTGGACTCAACTTCAAGGCTGACATTATATCAGAAACGAAAACGTCGCGAGTACAGGCAAGCTCGGAAGCAACAATTCAAACGGCCTGAACCCAACTTCTCGTTATATGAAGGTCGAACACGAGGCAAGCGCATGAAGTACACCTACTCGGACGATGAAGATGAAGGTTACTCTGATACTACCACTTCTCGACGCTCGACCCGTAATACGGGCACTCATACCCCAGCCGAAGGGCTTGCTCCTACAGTGACTTTAAGTGGCCGCCAAGTCAAGTCACGCCAGGGCGGCACATACGGTGAGAGCAAGCTCAGTGGAACTCACACACCAGCGGTTGGGGGTATGGACGGGACTGGCGAGGAGGCAGTAAATGGCGAGAATGCTAGCGGTCGGCCACGTCGGGCTGCCGCTGCTAATCACGGATCCAACGGTTGGGGACAAAAGGGCGCGCATATCGAAGGCTACAACTCTGTCGATGATATGGACACCGAAGAGGATGATGCAAGCGAGCAGGATTACGGTGATGATGAAGAAGATGACCACGTGTCACTCGAGAGCGATGTTAACGACCAGGACGACCTCACGGATGTGGAGGATCTGGAAGATGAGATATCAGACCATCCAGATAAGAAGAAGAGCCTTGTTGTCAAGCTTCCAGTGAAAACTCCAACCCCAGAAAGGAAGATCACAGCCAAAGGAAGCTTGACACCCCAGAAAGAACCCGTACAACAACTCGACTTGAAACCAACTGGGAAACACGATGAAAACCAGGGAGGCCCTTCAGATCTGGAGCCAACCGGCGTTATCTCAGCCGCGAATGAACTCGACATGAAAGATAGCGCTCAACCCGCATCAACTTGTCCTACGAACAACGCAGCACCATCATCAGAACCATCTACTGAGCCTATGAAAATTCCTACCGAATCTTCTAATCCATCACCGCCATCTCCACTTGCACTTCGCGGTAGCCCGGAAAAGCCACATAATTTACCACCCTCTGTTGACGTTGGCTATGGAGGATCTTGAGTTACCGATTACTTCTTTGGGCGTGTTAGTAACTGGGTTGGACGTCTTATTGGAAAAGGCGTTGGTAGAACGGCGTATCAGCACATAATACTTGTGACGCAGTGTTTGCACAAGGAACGAGAGGTGTAAAACATTGATTTTAGTGTTTCACTACCGACGATGGTTACCTTTATAAATTCCTACAATACCACCATAGAATCACAGCTACTTGCCGATCTTTGAGAAAGGAAAATCACTTTGCGGTTCTAACTGAGGTAAATCAGAACCACACAATTGGCTTACAAGAGACAAATGCAAGAACACAAGATAAGGTAGATACGTATCTTGAAATCAGCAATTGCAGAATATAAGAAATCAAGGCTACCGTGGTCATAGAATGGCATTACATACTCTAGTCCTGAATGTATCTAAAACGCCATCTATGCCAACAAAAGTCCATGCATCCTATCCCAAAACGCCTCAGAAACTATAAGAGAAACCTTTAATCCCCGGAGTTCTGGTTTTGATAGTACTGCGTGATGTTAGTTTAGTAAAGCACCGTATGGGATTCAAATTCAATCGCAGACTCACGTCTCCGATATCTTGGGCTAACCTCGGATTCCTCCCTATCTGCTTCAACGAATCCACCAACGGCCAGTTATTTGTCTTATACCACCATCTTCGCACGCGTGCTCCTACAGAGTTTCCACTAAGCTGGGCGCTTCGGTTCCAGTACCGCCATCCGTGGAGAGCCAAAGACCAAACCATGCCTTGCAAGAGCGGGACCAAGACCTAGAGGATCGATTAGCACTCTTATTATTAGGCGGTGTAATCAAGACATCATACCTGATCCCGAATCGTAATATATGCCACCTTCCATTTCGAATCCGCCGCAGCAATACTAGCGAGGTAACTCTGCTCGAATCTCAAGTCCGGAAGAGGAGGCAGGCTGGCCCGCCGCGGCAATGGCCGGATTACACTATATGGAATATCTTCTTCCTCTTCATCGTCGTCGATCTCGTCTTCCTCGTCGTACGCATACTTGTCGAAGGAGGAATCGGATGCTGGGACGTGGGGCGACACGGATACGGGTTGCGCTTGCGAGGCGGCTGTCGAAGGGTTGATGTCGTGGGTTGGCGACGGCGCTCGGTTTATAGACGCCGTTTGGATCGTCTCCGCGATCTCGAGGGGTAGAGAGTCGGACATTGCGGGAGCTATTGAGGTGGTTGCTTGATAGCTGGAGATGCAGCTGGAGCTTGAGCTTGAGGTTGTTGAAGGGCGGAAGTTGCCGAGGTCGTCGTTATGCCTTTCTTCAACTTCTTGCTCCCCCTTTCCTGTGCAACATGTATGTTTTTACAGTATGCGTCCAGACCTGGGTAGAATTAACTGGAGAATTACAGGAAAATATCCTATCGTACGTTTCCTAGATTTGCAGAAACCGTACATCAAGTGCCGCGTTGTTATGCGGACTTCAATTTCTCCTGCTAAGTGTGTCGGGGAATCAATACCCCTCTATATTTGACCCAATTTGCTGTAGCCATTCGAGGCTATGGCAGAGAGGTTAGCAGTATAGGTATGTTCAATGGATAGTTTCTGGCGTAATAAGTTTTATAGTCAATTATCCTGCTCCGTAAAGGTAAATCTAAAGAATCCTCAGGAGACCTCAAATATGCCCCCTTCTAATTTATGAGCAAGGAATAGTTCAATAGGCCATCTTGATGCTCGTCTGGTGGCAGTTCGTTATTTGATTTATGATTATATGTAAGTTGAATCAAAAAAATGATAGACACATTGTGTGCCTGATACTTGACATAGCCTAAAGACCTGAAACCACCAACTTCATCAACAGCGAAATTTTAGACTTCAACCAGCTTGTTATCCATAGAAGTGCTTAACTTATTTCCTTCAGCTCTCGCTAAGTATTTCCACAACACAATCCCCAGGGAGAAATTCCTGCAAAGGCTTTCGAGCACATCCTGAACAACGGTTGGCTTTCTTGATGTCATTCTGGCCTTGCCAGTCAGGACAATAGTTCGGTTTCGTGGGCCGATTGCTTTGGAAGTTTGTTTCGGCTTTTACATTTAAGTTATCACATCTATAGTGAGGGCATTGGGCCCAACACATATTCCTTGGGCTGGTACTTGTAGTTGGAGTAGTTGGTATTGTGATGGTGGTATAGCAAGCCGTATCGGTCTTAGTAGATGACCAGGAGAGGTAGGATGAATTGTAAGGAAAAGGTTGGTCTTGGATGGAGATCGGTGAGAGGTTTCAGCTCTTGAAGGTTTCCTATGACGATAACTAGCGCAATTATGCAGCTCCCTCAGGAGCAATGAGCGGCCTCCAATAGGTACAGCATGATTCAAGCGCATACGTTGAACAACCAAATTTCCAGTGATGGTAAGCACTAGTATACTTTACATCTTGATACATCTGTCCAAGTGTTTGTGCACCAACTTGCTCCTAATCATTGAGTCATTTCCAAACCTTCCGATTGTGTCCCCAAATGTCTAATTGGAGAGAACATTCGACTCCAACGACGTATTATAGAGCAGAAACGCTGGGACGTCCACCTGTAATTCAGAAACGGAAGAAGAAATGAAACCCTTTAGGACATCAGAGCCACAGGTACTTATGCAAGGTTGCACTGGTTGAACTTGGTAGCCTGCAACATGATCTTCACCGCTCTGGATGCCATGATCATGAATCTCGCAGGAACTAGAAAAAAAAAAACAAAAATCATATAGCCTAAGCAGCATGTCGATGAGGTCTCGAAAAACAACCCGACAGTTCTGGGCCATTGTGTAGAACAACCAAGTAAAATTCCCCGCATATTCATATTCATCCTAACACTTAGAAAGGGACTGAGACTTTTTATGCTCTAGCAGCGGGGATCTGGGACAGCCGAGGAGGAGGGAAGTGGGGGGAGAAGCCTTTGTGAACTTGCTAGGTAGATGGGTTGACTACCACCCCAACGACCCCAAGAGACATCCTGACGGTGGTAATCCTACTGTCTTAATCATTGTATCCCGTAGAACCCAAAGCATGTATATATGCATATGTATTCAGGTGCATGAATTGTATGTAGGTGGATAGGATCCAAGTTGAAGGTCGTCAACTCGTCGCCAACTGGTCCGTGCACGTGCCCTAAATCCCTAACAGACGGTCTCTTCGCCTCTCCTCTCCCGTCCCACCACGTCACACATCGATCGCGCGAAACAAAGAAAAGCTGCGATCTTGACACTGTTCACGCAGCGGAGTCAAGTCTCTACCGCGACGAAGGCCCTTTGAGATACCCTATCCTTGAAGCGTCTGCATCAGTCAAAATGAGCGACGCGGCGGCCAACGAGGCCGAGAAGAACATCGAGATCTGGAAGGTGAAAAAGTTGATCAGACGCCTCGAGGCAGCGCGAGGAAATGGAACCTCCATGATTTCGCTCATCATCCGTGAGTGCAGTCCTGTACCTTCACCTATATACTGTCTAACGAGAGCTGCAGCCCCAAAGGACCAGATTTCTCGATCAGCAAAGATGTTGGCAGAAGAATACGTACGACAACCCCTCAACTCATTCTCGATAGGTTGCTGACCATAGGTAAAGGGTACTGCTTCCAACATCAAATCCCGTGTTAATCGACAATCCGTTCTTTCAGCCATTACTTCCACTCAACAGAGGTTGAAATTGTACAACAAAGTGCCACCCAACGGCCTGGTTGTATACTGTGGTGAAATCCTGACGTCTGAAGGGAAGGAAAGAAAGGTCAACATCGACTTCGAACCGTTCAAACCGATCAATACTTCCTTGTATCTTTGCGACAACAAGTTTCATACAGAGGCACTTGCAGAACTCCTGGAGTCTGACCAGAAGTTTGGTTTCATTATCATGGACGGTAACGGAGCGCTCTTCGGTACTCTAAGTGGTAATACGCGTGATGTGGTTCACAAGTTTACTGTCGATTTACCGAAGAAACACGGTCGTGGAGGGCAGTCTGCTCTTCGATTCGCACGTCTTCGTGAGGAAAAGCGTCATAACTATGTCCGCAAGGTTGCTGAACTTGCAGTGCAAAACTTCATTACCAACGACAAGGTCAACGTCGCTGGCATTATTTTGGCTGGTTCAGCAGATTTCAAAAACGATCTAAACCAATCAGATTTGTTTGACCAGCGCCTCCAGGCCAAGGTCATCAAGGTTGTTGACGTGTCCTACGGTGGAGAGAACGGCTTCAATCAAGCCATTGAACTCTCGGCTGAGACTCTCAGTAATGTCAAGTTCATCCAGGAGAAGAGACTGATCGGGAAGTATTTCGAAGAGATCAGTCAAGACACTGGCCGTGTTTGTTATGGAGTTGAGGATACTTTGAAGGCTCTAGAACTCGGTGCAGTTGAGACCCTGATTGTATTTGAGAACCTCGAGATAAATCGATGGGTTCTCAAGGATTCCACCGGGACTGTGCACACCCTTCACACCACAAAGCAGTCGGAGGTGAGCAACCGTGAGCAGTTCATGGACAAGGAGTCTGGACAAGAAATGGAAGTCGTGTCACAGGAATCGTTCCTTGAGTGGATTGCCGAGAAGTACAAGGATTTCGGCACCACTCTGGAATTCGTTTCCGACCGTTCTAGTGAGGGCAACCAATTCGTCAAGGGATTTGGTGGAATTGGTGGCCTCCTCCGTTACAAGGTCAACTTTGAACAGTTAGCTGAAGTCGATGAAGACGATGATGAGTATTATGACGGTATGTTATTACACATGAAAGAAATATTTGTTTCTAGAAGCTAACTCCAGAACAGATTGACAGTTTGATGACCTCGCATTGAGCGAGGAACCAACTCCAGCTGTCCCGTCGAATCAGAACCTGCCACACCGCCATCCTGCCGTGCAGCAGATCAAAAAGCAGCCCGCAGACCATGCTGGTAGCATTCTGAAAGGAGGAGCCGTGGCCCGCCCCAGCCCCCTCCGATCCATGATGACGGCTTCTTGAGTTGAGCATACAGATATCAGAGGTATGGAAGCATCGTAATCTGGGAATGTAGTATTTGCTAATTCTCTGCTGTAGGATGAATGCCCCACTGTTTTGGGGACATGCTGATGTTTTCTGATGAAATGATTGCGAAGGAAATGTGCATGGGTAGATTGCTTTTTGTTAGGGATTAGACCGTCTTTCTGATTCTGCCAAGGCTTAGACTTTATCAAGTTTACCTTTGACAGATCGAGATACCATACCAAATCCAAGACTACTTGCCCTCCTTTCTTCGGTGCTGCCACTTCTTGATGATCATAACGGCCAATGTTGCAACTTGCCAGGCATCAGATCCGGAACTATACCACTTCTGAACCATAGCTCGACTGTTTTCCTTTGAAGCTAAATCGCGGTCTAGAGTAAAGCGCAAACACTTAAAAATCATTTTGTTTGAAAGCCTACAGTAGTTGGACATTCTTCGTACTTCTGCGCGAAGGAAACACGGCACATAGTAGAGGGGCAGTTCCGATACCGCCTTTGGCAGAAAAGATATTTATTAGAAGACTATCATAATCGCGACAGCGTCGACCACGAAGCTGCGGCCCAATGCGAAAAGAAATACAGTATGGCCTGGGCCCTGTGAATGAATGGACGACATAGTTAGCGCCATGAATTGAGTGGAACATATTTTTCTTTATCCTTATACCTTACCTTCTGTTTGTTCCCCACCTTTTAACAGCCACACACCGCTACTGCCAGACCCTTTGACCATGGAGCATCAGGCCGAGAAAAGCAACGGGCGTCATGACTCTGACCATCCCGTTGTTTCTTTTCTAGGCCCTGTGTCTTCCTACACTCATCAGGTATATTCATCTCTTGCAAAACATGCCGCCCCGCATGCTCCATTGGACTGACAAATTGTGATTTGGTCAAGACCGCCCTCCAGCGCTTCAACGATAATGAATATGGCTTTGAGCCAGCTTCAAGCATTACAGGTGAATACTCAGAATTCATCCTATACTTGTTGCTAATGTGCTTCCCTAGGCGTATTCGAAGCTGTCCAGTCAGGAGCCGCAGACTTCGGCGTTGTGCCATTCGAGAACTCTACTAACGGAGCTGTCATCTTTACCCTTGATCTTCTTGCAGATAGACAGTCTATGTATGCAGATATCTCAGTATGCGATGAAGCCTACCTCGATGTCAGCCACTACCTTCTTGGCCACAAGGCAGCGGTCACCAGTTCCCCCGAAATGTCCGGCGCTTCGACTCCTACATCCTTGATCCCAAGCCCCCTCAAGCCAAGATCGAAGCCATTGTCGAGTATCAAGCATATCAAACGAATCTATACACACCCCCAAGCTTTTGGACAGTGCGAAATTTTCCTGGGAGCATACTTGAAGGGGATCGAGCGGATAGACGTCAGTTCGACGAGCAAGGCGGCGGAGTTGGTGAAGGAAGACAAAACCGGTACAAGTGCAGCGATTGCAAGCAGCCTCGCAGCAGAGATCCACGGCCTAGACGTCCTCGCAAAGGCTATCGAGGATCGGGAAGACAATACGACAAGATTCTTTATCCTGCGAAAAGGGGTTGATGAGACAGCAAAGCACACCGGAAATCCAACCAAGTCTCTGATCTCATTCACCGTCGATCATCGTTCTCCTGGAGCGCTCGCAGATGTCCTCGAATGCTTTCGGAATAAAAAACTAAATTTGACCAGTATCAACAGCAGACCTACTAGGATTGTTCCATTCCAGTACATCTTCTTTGTCGAATTCGAGGGCAGTCTGCGGCATGATCCGGACGGGAGAGTCAAGGGGGCGTTGAGTGACCTTGAGAAGTATGCACAGAGCTGGAGACTGCTAGGGAGCTGGGAAGACAAGCTTGTCCGATAGTCATAGGCAGTTCTTGAGGTTCTTGGGGGGAAAGGGGAGAACTTGAGAAGGGTCAGACCCCGCTGGTTCTTATCGATAAGAATATGCATGGGCGCCCAGCCGAGGAGCTTTGACCACTGTCTTGGTTTCTCGAGTGCCTGAACAACAGTCGCAGTACGAATCTTTACTTTGTTCACTCTCTCTTACGAGGAAAAAAGGCACTTCACACAGCACAAAGTACAGGATCTTTGCGGAGCACAAAATCAAAATGATCTGATTTGAATTCATGACATATATACCCTCTCGTATCTCGTGAATTGGCTTCCATGCCTTCCCTTCGTCTGCAGTCGTTCTCTCCAATCTTCCGCCGCCGAGTTTCGACAGAGGCCTTACAGTCCTCTCTACATAAGAAGCTCACATCGCGCAGGCCAAATACGATCTTCGATTACCTTTCACCGACGCCCTCGCACCTCCTCAACCTCTCGCTCGCAGATTTCTTACCGGAAACATGCTATCCACCCGGATTCCCGACCGAGAATCTCGAGCTTCCCCATCTAGCCCGCCATAAGGCTTCTCCCTCGAGCGTCCTTCCTCAGGGACACCATCTCGTATACTTCTCGCCTCAGGTTCCAAGTAGTAAGCTTCTGCCAGATGGTACGGATCCACTACAATGGCCCGGCGAGCCTTTTGTACGTCGACTGTGGGCTGGTGGGGCGCTGCTCTTCAACAACGACCCAAATAACCGGCTTGGACTCGACAATCGACGCGCGTATTGCAGAGAACATATGCCAAATGTCTTAGTCAAAGGATCACAGGGCGATGAGAAGGTGTTTGTGAATATTGAGAGGCAGATAGGATATTGTGGGAACACATCTGATACTGCGGGGCCATTTTGTGGGAGTGGTGCTGGGTCTACTATTGAGGAGGATCGCCAGACGGATGCCGATGCCGAGTTCTCACCAGCAATTGTAGAGACTAGGGACATTGTCTTTATGCGGGAGAAATCAATAGCTGCTATCAAGGAAGACATCTCTAGACCTGTGAAGATACTGAAGCGTAGGTTACCTTTCAACTTGCCTAGTTCTTTCCGTTCCTTGTTGAGGCTTTTCTTGTTCCTGGGCTGATCATTCTGTAGCGTCTCTTATTCCCGAATTCAGTGTCTCTTTAACACCAACACAATCCCTCTTGTTCCGCTTCTCAGCCCTTACGTTTAATGCGCACGCTATCCATCTCGATCCCCAATACTGCCGAGAGGTAGAAGGGCACCGGGACCTTTTGGTACACGGCCCTTTGACTCTAGTGCTGATGCTCTCGGTGTTGCGATCCCAGTTGAAGGATGGGGAGATGGTGAGGCGGTTCGATTACAGGAATCTAGCACCACTGTATGCCAACGAGGAACTAAGAATTTGTGTCAGGAAGGATAGGAGAGCGAAGGGAAACAAGTATGATGTCTGGATTGAGGGCAAGGAAGGCGGGTATGCCGTGAAGGGATCGGCTATCGTCGAGGAGTAATAAATACGAAGAGGAGGGCTGCCACAGCGGGGCCTGGTCCCTGAAGTTCATATGAAGCGCCGTAACTCCGTGAGCTATTACGATTTACAGAGGGTGTTTGGGCAGCCGCGTGTTTTGAACATCGACTCGCTTGGCCGGGGACAAAGCCAGGGTCCTTTGTCTTGCGGGCATGTCCAACACCCTCCTCGGCGAAGAGCGGAGACAATACGAGAAGATGGCACCGCTACCCCAATGGCCATAGGGGAGAGGATGAAGCAGTGCGCACACAGTTGCACATGGTCCTGTACGGGGTAGTACTTTGGAGAGCTCTGGGTTCCAGGGTGTTGTTGACTTGTTACAGAAGTCTGGCAGGGATTATCCTAATTATTCTAATGATAGAAATTGACAGTCCTTAATCACCCAATCAGCCCGACAAGGATTACGGAGCAACGCTACCGAAAATGTTTTAACTTGCTCCGTAAAACCGGTGCTGCCGCTTTAACCCGAGCTGGGACCCTGGATCGGCTAGTCTCAATGTGCCCAAGGCCTATGAGGCTACGCGGCGATGACACAGGCATGACGTCCGGTCACGTGGCTCCCCCGCCCAAAAGCGGCGATCGACAGGTATGCCCGCGCCCGCCGTGCGTCATGGCTGTTTTACCTCGTCGGAGTCGGTATTATCAATTATCAATTATCAGCTGCGTGCACACAATCCCGTAAATCTTTGGTGTTTAGGTCCAATTCGCGCTTCCATTCCATCTTCCATCTGTCTCTTCTCTTTGGCACCCTCCTCAATTCATTCATTCATTCCTTTGCACTCTATCTAGCCTTGCATCGTGCCTTGCAGACCAAAACAAGCTTCTGTTGCCCTTTGCTTTCGTTGTCAATTCGTTCATCCATCGCACCTCCATACATTCGACTTGCTGCGGCCTGCAGCATATACATACACACACACAGCCCACCACACCGCCGAGCTTGCCCTCCCTTTTTCTTTTCTTTCCTTGCCTTGCCTTCCCTTCGTTCTGTCCACACCGAATCCTCTTGCAATCACAATCGCCTTGCTCAGGGCCACCCATTGCACTGGCCAAAAGCTGTTGCCGACACTCTCTCGAAGCTTTGCGTGCTTAAGAAGGTTCCGTGGACGTCCCTGCCCGCATGCGCTCCCTCCACGCTTTTCAATTTTTCAATTGCCAACCTGGACTTGCAGAGCGGGCTTACAGACATACATGAACCTGCGAGCGATGCGATGGCACCCTCAGCTCGGGAAGGTGGAAGCAACGGTCGGCGAAAGAGCATGAATCTCTTCTCGAGGGCAGCCGTAGCTACGAGCATCACACAGATAAATACAGATGTTGGACACGGCGATGCAGACGATCCGGGAAACAAAGATAGGAAAAAGCTGGGGAAGCGAGGCTCGATCTTCAGCATTGGCTCCGGTACGAGTCCAGATCTGCACCAGGGCGGATGGACGAGCCCGATCGAACGGTCGAATTCCCCCAAGCTGCGACCGCGCACGCTTCAGAAGGGCAGGCCGTCGTCGCTTTTTGGCTCTTTGGGGAGGAAGTCGGCCACTTATGTTGACGAAGGGGAAGAAGCCGACACCTTGTATTCTGCCACCCCCGAATCACCGGAAGTCGAGCTTGGAGCGTCGAACAGTAAGACGGTACTTCACCATGGGGAGGTTCAGACTACAAGTGGCATGTTCAGGAAGAAAAGGGAGTATTTGGTGTTGACTGAGACACATTTGATACGCTTCAAGAGCCAGTCGCGGGCATACGAGGTCTTCCCTTCTATTTTATCTGCGCCCGGTCGAGGGACTGCGACTCGTCACGCATCTACGGCCTCGATTGGCTCATTGCAAGAAGTCCAGTCGGTCAATTCGCACTCTTCAGTTGATTCCGAAACTCGGATCCCTCTAGGCCAGATCGTGACAGCATATAAGGTAGAAGATGGGCGCCCCTTCTACACGACTGAGGTTGTTTACTTGGACGAGGAATATCACGGGGCCGGGGCAATTCAGCTCATGCTTCACGATCCAAAAGAAGCAGATCTTTGGCATACCTCCATCAGAGCAGCTGCTGAAAAGGCGAGGTTGCTCATGCCTGAGCCATATTCCCGGAGAGTTGTTCGTTACCTGGTTCAGATTCTCGAAGCTGCCGATGATTATGATGCCAACCATTTCCAAGTTTTCCGGGTACTTCGCAGAGCAGCAGTTCCCAAAGGTGGGCGATCATCCTCGGATGAGCTTCAGAAGTTGGGAGCTTCGGTGTTTTATATGGTGATTGGTATCAATCGCTTGCATATGATACCTATACCTGATTTCAGTGATCCATCCGGGCGGCTCGCCATTCCCAAATTAAGCAAAAATGTCTTTGGACTCGTCACACTAGTTGCAATGAACGTCAGCTATCCTGATGACAGATTCGAGTTGAGCTTTCGGATGCCTTTGCAGCCAACAAAGCTACTCGAGTTGGCTGCCTCTTCGCCCACTGATATTGCCATTGCAATCTCCAGAGCCTACCGATATCTGAAACCACAATGGCTGGATTGCAACTTCTCATTTGCAGGACCAACACGGCTACTACAGACAGCTGATGATCTCCTCCTTCTGGAAGAAGAGGAGGAGTATGGTTCCTTCGATAGGACTCTTGTTGCCTACTGCATGGCTTACAATGTACGGTCTATTTCTCATCCTATACGGTACAAAACTGATGAACTGCACAGTGTAATCCGGTAAATATACAGTACGCAGTGGACTGGGAGGTTGAAGATGCACCTGAGTTCAGGTTATTTCACCCAGCCAACACTCCCAAGTATTCTATGTACGAGTTGCTTGCAATCATGAGAGCTCTCCGCTACAATGAATCGTTTTGTTCAATTTCATTCAGAGATATTGACTTGCACAGCATGCATGGTCTACATGATAACTACGGAACTGATCATGTAGCTTCGAGCACTCGTGCTGGTAAGTTCCGTGGCAATCATTTCACGACAAGTCTAAGTTCGTCAGGACTGCCCATACGAACATACTTCAATATAAAGCCGCAAGAGAGGTCGATTCTCTACCAGGAGGTCCAGGCTCTAGCGCTGAAATCGACCCGGCTAAAAAGGGTGGATTTCAGTGGTTGCCTCCCTAGAAGACGGCCAAGAGACACCTTTGATGTGGAAGGTCACGAAGTTGAGAAGGATCCAGGTTGCGAGATTGTTGCCGCGTTATTGCCGTTATGTCGTGGACAACTCACTGATGTCAGCTGGATTGTCTTGAGTGGGATCGAGCTGGGAGAGACCGATCTTGATGACCTAAGTATGCTGCTGCCACCGAATCATCCATTCCTGCGCTGACTTCTCTTAGTTCCCGCGTTGGACGAACCCCGGTCCCGGATCAGAGCCATTGAATGTTCACGCAGTGGCTTGAATGATCGAGGTATCATGCAGCTTTTAGGTCATTTAGAACGTCAAAATAGCACCTTGGAATGCATCAATATCTCCGATAATCCAGGAAGAATTCATCTTGGGCGATTTCAAGTCTCTATGAGCCGGTTTGCCATGATTCGGAAGCTTGACCTCTCAAGAATTACTCGAACATTGGGTGAAGAGCCTCTCATTGTTCCCGAAGTTCTGTTATCATGGAGACTTGAAGAGCTCATCTTGAATGGAATTCCAGTAAGGAATCTCGCCATAAACTCTTGAGTGTTGCTGACGATTTTAAGGTCAACGACAAGACGCTCGACTCTATCTCGGCGTATTTGGCAAGCGATATGTCAGACAGCCTTCGTCTTCTAGAAATGGAACAGTGCAACTTGAATGGCAGTCATGTAGCCGTGTTAATGCGATCCATGACTAGGGTGGCTGGAGAGGCCCGCAACTTGCAGCTTCATGTCAGCGCCAATAGGCTTGAAAAAGGAGTAGGTGAGATCGTCAAAGCCATTGAGGAAAACTACACTCCATCCCACCTCGTTGTGCGGATGATTGAATTTACCAAAGAGGACCACTTCAAACAACTACTCCAGGCCTTGCGCACCAACACCACGATTCGTTCATTGGATATCTCCAAGGCTTCCCTTCCTTATGACGCTGGGCCAGAAACCTGCGATGCTCTGCGACTGCTCTTCGCCGAAAATACAACCCTTGAAGAACTAGATATCTCGGGCGAGCAAGCCCACTTGGAAGTGACCCGGTTTGGAATCGGCCTTAATCAAGCACTTACAGGTCTCAAGCAGAACAAAGCCCTCAAAATGTTACGGATTGAATATCAGAATCTTGGTCTAGAAGGTGCGAACACACTGTCATCCGTCCTTGAAGAAAACAAATCTCTCACCCACATCCATTGTGAGCACAACGATATCAATCTCCAAGGTTTCACCATCCTCGTCAATGCTCTTGCGAAAAACTACAGCATTCTAGAGCTCCCATTCTTTCGCGATGATCAAGGGCAATCAATGAAACGAATGAGTGCAAGTATAAAGGACCATCGCCGTGCATCTTTCAACGTCAACAATGATAATGTGAAATCTTCTGTGCGTCGTACGTTGACGGTGTTCGGTGTAGCAAAGCCCCAGAAACAGGATTTGACCCCACAAGACATCGAAGCTGTGGTAAGGGTACTAGGTGAGAAATGGGAAATGGAAATTCAACGATTGGCGGTGTTCTTGGACCGTAATAGGAAGATCGCTGCTGGAGTTGAGGGATATGGTTCAGACTGCGAGGGAATTCTCAGCGATGAAGCCATGAGGCCCATGACGGCGTTGAGCGATCGAGGAATTTTGGAACAAGTTCTGAAAAGCACCACATCAAAGGTCGAGGTTGGGAACACCCTTGATAGCACAACCCACAAGCTTGCGGGCCTGGGTATCAATACCGAGAAGGGAAATGAAAAAGACAACACGAAAGCAGTGGAAGCCGGGGATGAGTTATATGATGAGACACCTAAAGAACCCATCAGAACGGTTGGGTTTTTACCGGAACTACCAGTCATCACTCACGAGAAAGTGTTCGACCTGGACGGAGCGCTGTTTCAGCTGGAGTCATGAAATGAAACTTCAAGTTCATCTTCAATTGGAATATGGCCCGACATGGCATGAGATGAGATAATTGAATCCATTCGGCTTTAACCAGGCGCTGCATCGTAGCAAGCAGGAAGCGTACTAAGGTACTTACTTACCTCCTTCGCAGCACTGCGTAGCAAAGGCACGTAGAAGGAAGAAGGACAGGGCGGCGTAGGCAGGCGAGGCAGCTGATGCACCCGCATTACAACGACTTACGGGGAAGGGGGGAAGAGGCGCGTGCAGCAGGGACCATGAATACACGAGGAATGGGACAGAACTGATGACCGAGAAGCAATCGGGGTTGTATGTATATGTATGTATATATGTATCTATCTATCTAGCAGACGAGAAATGGACATGGGAAAATGTCATGAATGAGATCGATTGGTCGATAGGTGATGATGATGATGATGATGATGAGAGAGTGTATGTATGTATATCTTATATGGTCTATAAAGAAGAGAATTCATCACTCAATGATCAAGAACAAGCATAAGAACAACAAAAATCACATACACCCACGCCCTCTCCGGCGCTAGCTTCTAGTTCAGGAGCTCCTCATCAATAAAGCTTGGCTTTTCTAATAATTTATTTTCTATGTGTTGAAGTAAAGGAGGGATTAGGGGGAAGAAAGGGGGGG